CAATTGACCCCAGTTTGATCTGTTGATGCTGCGATGCTTGACTTCAATGACCAGAAATACGATGTGCTGTCAGCTTGCATGTTTTTGTCCAACTCACACTAATGAATGTGTAAGTTACACTAAAAGTGATCATCCATGTAAGACAAGGGCTTACTCCATCGCATGTCATACAAGCAGTGGGCCGTCAGGGTTGTGAACAGTCGAAGCTTACACTGGCGCTTCGATACATCGCCACTATCAGCTTCCGGTCAGCATTGTCATGATGGAGTTGATGGCTGTGAAGCTGATGGTGAACATGCAAACCGCACGCGAGCTCAGCAGTGGTGGGGTTGTGGTCGAATCCAGGGAGTCGGAAGGATGGGAAGGACGGCATCGTTAACTACGACGGCATGCCGCCTGGGCGGACGGCTGCTGCTGGGGAACTTACATTAGCTCAAAACACCTCCTGGATCAATTGTGACCACGAGAAGAACAGGAAGACAGGCATCGCTGCTCTCTTTCGTCCACAGACCACCAAGAGCAAGGCATTCGAGATGACGAAACGATTCGTAGAGAGCAAGGAGGCGGTGACAGCGGAAAAGGATGAGACGACGGGCCAGAAGATGATGTGTATTCAGGACTTCAAAGAAGTTGCGGACCGGAAACTGCCTCGGGTTCACAGGAGTAGGTCTGCCCTGTTGGAAACACTCGCTTGATATCGGTACATGATTGCAGGTTACTGACTGAGGCATCTATCAGACTACTACAACGACGGCTCAACCGATCAGATTACAGTGAGAGAGAACTCGACCGCCTTCCTGAAATATAGAATCAGACCCCGTGTGCTTGTCGATGTGTCCCAATGCTGCCCTTCTATTGAATGCCTGGGTCGCAAGGTCGCATTTCCCGTGGGCATTGCACCCACTGTCCAATTCATTGCCCACCCAGACGCCGAGGTCGCTACCTCCCGGGCCTGTGCGCGAAAAGGCATCAACATGGCCATCGGCAGCCTTGCCAGCAACACAGTAAAAGATATCTGCGGCGCTGGGAAGTCCGTTGACTCGAACATGACCTACGCGATGCAGATGTACCCCTTTAAGAATCGCGTCATGGCAGCGAAGCTCATCAAGGAGGCCGAAGCGCAGGGTTGCAAGGCTGTATTCCTGACGGCCGATTCACCCACGCTAGGCGTGCGGTACCGGGAGTGGAAGGACGACTTTCGCATACCCAGTGAACAGGGCTTTCCCAATATCGGCTGGACGGTCGAACGGTTGCGGGCACAGAGCAACGACTCCGTAGGTCAGGACACGCTGGACGACAGCCAAAACTGGGCGCGCGACATTGCCTGGTTCAAGAGCCAGACTAAGATGGAGATATGGATCAAGGGCGTGCTGACGGCCGAGGACACGCAGAAGGCTGTCGAGATGGGTTGTCACGGGATTATCGTTAGCAATCACGGCGGAAGGCAGTTGGATGGTGTGCCAGCTACGATTGACGCTTTACCAGAATGTGTAAAGGCGGCAAGTGGGCGGTTGAAAGTGCATATCGATGGTGGTATTCGAACCGGATCGGACATTTTCAAGGCCATAGCCTTAGGGGCGGAATGCTGCTGGTTGGGTCGGCCAGCGCTCTGGGCACTGGCAGTAAGTCGTTTGGCCCTCTTCCTCGAATCCCTATGCTGACCGCTATTCCAGTACGATGGCGAAAAGGGCATGGACCTCATGCTGCAGGTGCTTTACGACGATTTTGTACGGTGCATGAAGCTCGCGGGCTGCCAGACGATCAAAGACATTACTAAAGCGAGTCTGGGTGTTGTTAGGCATGATGGACCATTAGCTAGGCTGTGATGTGCGACTTGCGCCCGATCGCAGATGTCTGTGAAATGTGCAAATCTATTAAACATTGTTTCTACGAGAAAAGATCGCGCTCATTTTGTTAAGTACATAAAAATGCCCTAATGCTTCTCCTCCCCTGCCTGTTGGCGCTTCCATTTTTCTATCGTCTCTTCCTCGGATTTATTAGCCTTTTCGATCGCAGCCCGCGCGCCATCCCACGGTTTTCTTCCCCTGCCAGTGTCAAACAAGCGAAACAGGTGTGGCGACGACGTGCCGTCCATAAGCAACTTGTACAGCTCAGGATCGTTCCACCACAGTTTCCACGACTTTAAACTCCGCCAGTTACCCAGCCGATCATAAATACCGGCACCGGCGACTTTGTCGTGCCAGTGATCCCATTCCAGCCCGGAAATACGCCCTGGGAACATTACATCGCCATATTTTAGTAGCTCGGCTATATGGCGATAGTGCGCGTGGACGTTTCGCTCCATCTCCGCCTGCGACGGCATTGGATATCCGCCGCTCCAAAGCTGTGCCATCGCGCTGGTCACGACATCTACAAGTGGGAACGATCCCTGAAGTCGCACAGCATAGCCCAAAATGGCGAGCGAATGCGGATGTTGGAGCGACAGCCAATTTTGATAGAGTCTTAGCACGGGTCTCTGTTTCCTATATGTCTCGGGGATTAGAGCAAATCCATCTGGGGCCAGGTCGGGGTTTGCAGGGTCGCACTGAGGTGGGAGAAGCGCCGATGCATCAGTCGTCGCCCCAGTTGCGCATACAATTGCGTCGATGTTGTCCAGTACGGTACCATCTACGAGTCTGACAGAGTGCGGACCGATGACTTCGTCAACCGCCTGTACGGATTTCACCTGGCCCGTTTTAAGGAGTGGAACGAGGTTATCGGCATAGACCGGAATGCGAGAATCGATGTGGACGTCCTTTCGGGTGGACCGGTTCAGTATTGGGTGGTGTCTCATCTCCGGATATGACTTCTCTTGAATTGATAGCAGGAATCTCTTCGCCATAATTCGTGCAATGGCGGGGGCCAACGCCTCCATGCGCCCGGTAAATAATTTACTGCGCATAGGTTGGGCTAGCGGCTTGCCTTCTACCACACGTGGAATCTTGACATACACGTCAGCGACGGTTCCTTCTGTCTGTTGGGATGGTAAAAGTTATTGCCGCACTTACAAGGAGGACCTGCCGGCGATGGCTGCAGTATACTTGCTCTGCGCCTTCACGCGCTAGGTGGCGAGCACAATCGGCTCCGGTGAGGGCTAGGCCGATGATCAAGACTCTTTTGCCCCTGTACTTGGACGGCTCCTTCATCCGTAGGCCATGGATGATATCGCCCGCAAATCTCTGCCGACCTTTGATATTGGGCCAGTTCAACTTCAAATGAATTCCCGTAGCGAAAACGAGTCTGTCGAAAACATGTGTCTGAGTTTGGGTGCCGTGTGAATCCGTCGCCCGTACCTCAATGAGCCATTTGTTGTCGGCCTCATCTCTCAGGACCCTGACCACCGTGGTGTTCAGACGGATGTGCCGGTGGAGGTCGAAGTGTTTTGCATATGCCTCGACATATTCGCACATTTGAGCTGCGGTTGGGAATCTATCGGACTCTACACGAGGAAGATCAATGAGATGACCTCCTATGCTCCATATTTGCACGACGTCATAACGTACCCTCGCTCATTGGAAAATCGGTGTATGCAACCTGGGGTCACATGCATTAATCAAGGGGGCGAGGACTTATACAGCAGACTGAGAGGACAAACCGAATATTTGGTAAGGACGGCTCTGGTCTGCGGAAGGACAGACGTTTGATCCGGGTCTGTGGTTACATGCCAAAGCCCGCCGATATAGCTTGCGCGCTCAAAGACGGTCACATCGAAACCTGTCTCCACGAGGTTCTTCAAAGCGGCCAGGCCAAGGCCTCCGGCGCCAATCACGCAGACCTTTTTGCCTAGTCCTCCAGACATCTTTGAGCAAGGCCGGGAAGCGTTGCAAGTTGTAAGAGGGACGTAATTGGTATAAGGAACAGGGGCTTTAGTGTCGACTGAGGACAGCAAGGTCCAGAGAGCGACTGCACATGGATGTAGATGCTCTCAAAAATAAAGTGATCAAGATGGGAAATCTGCGGCGTTCATGACCATGTTTTGACCCCATCAGTATAGACCGAAGAGTCACTGTACCAACCCTTCCGGGAAATGCTTATACACACGCCACGCGAGTTCAGGTTAGCCGTCAGAGCGGTTGCGCGTCTTACTGCGTCGTGGTGATGGCAGCCATAAGCATCTTACGCCCGCAGGAACCTTCTGTCAACAGTTGGTTCCGTGAGCCATTTGCCAGTAAGCAGACTTCGTGATCAAATCCTCCGCCATGGCTCGCAATAATTCCGTTTCCACGTATCCACTCGCCAGCTGATGGAGTTGATCCGCCTCAGCCTTAGCGTTTCTGTCGAGGTAGTGGAATCAAACAGGGTGAGTTTGTGGGTTGGGTTGCCGTTGGCGGGCTTTGCTGCTTCTTCGTCGTCGATTTTCTCGAAGCATTTTTCTGAGCGTCGAGTGTGCGATTGTTTTCTTATTTCTACTTCTCTTCTGCGACTCATTTTAAACTTGCAATTGCTTGTTTTCTTTCTTTCTTTCTTTCTTTCTTTTCCTTCCCTCCCCCTCCCCCTCCTTGCATGATAGTTGGCATCTCTTGATCAACCGCCTGAGGCCCTAATTGATTGAACGTTTGTTTGCTTGCTCAGCCTGCTGTTTCAATAGTTAAATGTACTATACATACATTAGCGAGTGTGACTGTGGTTAGCTAAAACAAGAAGAAGTTTTTCTGACATGAAAATGTATGTATTTTGAGGATGACAGTGATGTGTGTAAAAAAAAAGAAATACCAACCCCTGCAGCTTTGACATTACTTTCAATGCTATTTTTATACTCAGTCAGCATGCAGAGTGCAAAATACATGACAAGCACTGATTCTCGAGACGTAACTCTGAACAGCCCCTTTAGTTTTATGAAATTGTAAATATATATGACCTCACGAGTAAACAGATCGCAGGCAGGAATTTTGCCATAACTTCTCTTTTCCCTCTGCAATCTGGACTTGCTCCGTATCATTGCAAAAGAGAAGACAGCCCAAATATTCAGGATCCAAAAGTCAAAGCAAAGCCGATCAAAGTCAACAGGCACCCATTCCGGAGGAACTAGCCCTCAGAAGCGATTCGGTTTGGTTTTCACTGTTCATCGATCGCAACTTGAGAGTATGGGGAAAAGCGGTTTGTGCCAGAAGATGTGCGGTCTTCGCTTGAGAACCACTGACTGATGGGGATCTTGGTGGCATGGATGCTGACACCCGGCGTCCGGTCTCAAACATTACAGGGGCAGAATTGATGACAGCTTCGCGGAGTTCGGAGTTCGGAATGGTTACATGCCAAATATGTATCTTTGTTTTGGGCGCACCAGCTGCGGCCCAACCGGCCCTGAACCCGGCCCCTGGCCCCATCGCTAAAAGATATGTACGGAGTACGGAGTTTGTACAACATATATATGTAGTTACTCCTTCAGGGAGCGCTTAATCCGTAGATAGTTAGCCCTAAAAGCACGTTCTCGAAAGCTGCTTGCAAAGACTGGATTGATTGGAACGGCGAGCATGCGATCCAGAAGAGCTAAAAGTCTTGGTAATTCGGGCAGAAGTGCTGGGCAGGACCCTTATTCCAACAACCGGCGTGTGGTTTGTCGATGCGGCCGCCCGCGAGATCCACCGTCACCACGGGGCAAAGTTTGCTGACCTCCACTCAATACTACCGGCCCGCACTGGTTCTTGTAGCTTGGTCTCGGAGCCCGATTTTAGCGTATGGAGATCGGAATGCGCTGATCATCGCTGCAGCCAAAGGCTTCGCCTATGATCGCTGCTTTCCAAAATTTCTACTTCTAATCTTTCCAACCTCCCCTCCCTCTCGCAGACGAAACGCCTGCTTCTATCGGAGGCCAGCGAACAATGGCTAACGATAATCCCATGGACCCCGTCACGCCGCCTTTGGTGGCAGATGAATCTGCTGCCAAAGCAGATGTTGAAACTCCCGCTGACAGCTCGAAGCGCAACTCCAGCGATAGGAGCGACGAGCAGCAGCTAACTGTCGAGCCACTCCATCTAGACGAGGCCGACACAAACGTCCGCTCGAGACTACGCGTTTTGGCCATTGTCGGCGCACTTTATCTGGTCCTCTTCGTTGCCGCTCTCGATCAAACCATCATCGCGTAAGTAAAATCACGTGGCTCCATTGCAATCTGCTAAAGACACACGCTGATGCTGGGCTCCAGCACATCCATCCCGACAGTCACCGCCGACCTGCGCTCCGCTGCAGGCTACACATGGATCGGTGGCGCCTACTTGCTGGCCAATGCTGCTGCAGGGCCCATCTGGACCAAGGGCAGCGACATCTGGGGCCGTAAGCCTGCCCTCTTGGGCTCAGTCCTGATATTTGCCGTCGCGAGCATCATCGCCGCCGTGAGCGCAAACATCCAGACGTTGATCTCTGCGCGAGCACTGCAAGGCGTGGCTGCCGGTGGCCTATTCCAATTGGTTGCTGTCACCATCTCAGATCTCTTCAGTCTGCGGAAGAGAGCGCTATATTTCGGCTGGATGGGTGGTGTGTGGGCTCTCGCTGGATCCGCCGGCCCTTTGATTGGAGGTGCATTCTCCGAGCTTGTTAGTTGGCGGTGGTGCTTCTGGGTCAATCTCCCCGTCTGCGGACTCTCCTTTGCGCTACTGTTGCTTTTCCTCAACGTGCACAATCCACGCACCGGGCTTCGTGAAGGCCTTGTGGCCGTTGACTGGTTCGGAACGGTCTCCATCTTGGGAGTCTCCGTTCTTCTTCTCCTTGGCCTCAACTTCGGCGGGACGACATTTCCCTGGAATAGTGCCCAAGTTATCTGCTTGATTGTATTTGGAGTGCTGATGATCGGCTTCTTTCTCTTCAGCGAGAAACGTCTGGCCAAATATCCCCTGATGCCACTCACTGTCTTCAAGACGTTGTCCAGCAACGCAACCATTATCGTGGCTATGGGACATAGTATGGTCAACATCGGCATAGAGTATTACCTCCCGCTTTTCTTTCAGAGTGTGAGACAGGCCTCGCCGCTCCACAGTGGTCTTCTATTACTGCCCATAACGATCACGGCAGCTGCAGCGGACGTTGTGGCCGGCATCTTGATCCATCGGACAGGTCGTTACAGGGAAATCATCTGGTTTGGAGTCACGCTTATGACGCTAGCGACAGGTCTGTACATTGATTTTTGGACTGACACCCCCCTCGCCAGAATCATCGGAATTCAAATTGTCGGCGGCACGGGTACTGCACTTCTGTTCCAAACACCTCTTCTCGCCATTCACAACTCTGTCAGCCAGTCCGAGGTCGCGTCAGCTACAGCGTCTTTGGCATTTATCCGCAGTCTGGCGACATCTGTGTCGGTTGTCGTCGGCGGTGCGGTCTTTCAGAACAGCATGACGACTCGTCGCTCCAGTCTTGTTGCCGCGGGTCTTAGCGACTCTGTCCTTGATGCCTTGGCCGGCGATCAAGCAGCGGCAAATGTGGGGATCGTCGCGACTATATCAGACGCGACACAACGTCGAGCCGTGCAAGACGCATTCGCGTGGAGTGTCAGAAATATATTTATCCTGTACACATGTGTAGCAGGTATTACAGTGGTGGCGAGCATTTTCATTAAGCAGAAGCACATGAGCACAGAGCACACAGAGACCAAGACTGGAATAGAAAATTTGGCAAAGAGAGAGAACGATAATAGCTCATGATGCACCGTCTCACATTGAGCTGCTACTAGAGATGTTTAGCAGCAAGGCATCGACCGGCATCCATTATGCCAGGGGTTCCAGGTGGAACTTGGATCTTTGTCTGCTAGTCCCACAAAGCTGACAGGGCTTCGAACTTGTACATACATAGACATGAAAAGATATTTTGCTGCAAAAGCACATGATTGCACACGCAAAAGATTTTATGCTGTTGAGATCAATCTTTCTGTTGTCAGAGCTGGTTGCAAAGAAACAACCGCAAAATGGAGGACTTTGTACTAAACCATAAGAACTTTAGAGCCGCTACCTGCAGTGTTGATAAAAAGATATTACTGTGCACTGCCTTATTATGCCCTCAAAAGCTGCTTGTGTGGCTGAATGTTGATACTGACGAAAGATTTGTTGTACTCTGTACGGAGTAATCGACAATGAGAGTCAAGTTCGTCCAGCGAAAGCCAGATGAGCCAACCTGATTAGTTACTAAGATTTTCGGATCCGGATTAACTAATACTCCGAAGACTGACAGAAAGTAACTTTCGCATTGCGACGAGCAACGATGAGCTTGTCCCGGCTCGCTAGCCTCCTGCATGAAGTGCTGTTGATCTTTGCAGGAGCTTCAGGCAGATGGTGACATGACCTAGCTACACATCCTGTTTCCAAAGGCTTGCGAAGCTGTTACAGATCTCACTTCTCCACAGCCTCGATGGAAGCAAACTAGCCTTTGAATGGGCCTCCGTTTAGGCGTAAGGTTCGAAATTGAACCCCCCCTATCATTCTAACATCGCCATCAGATCAATCTCCTTCTCCTTCCTACGCCGCACTTTGATCGTTGCTCCCCGATTCGACATGTTGGCTCCCGCGGAATGTCGTACATATTCTTGCGAAGTCTCATCCAGACAGAAATCGAATTCCATCAAGAACAACACCAATGCAAGTTTAAGCTCCGTCACGGCGAGGAAGCGGCCTGTCCATTGTAAGTCAGCACTGAGCGTTCCGCTTGGTTTAGGAAATTTTACTATACCTGGACATGCCCATGAACCGTATCCGAACTGGATCATGTCGGTTGAGAGTCCTGTATATTGGAACCCGTCGTTGTGCTTGCCTCGGAGGCGCAAGAAGCGATATGCGTCAAAGACATCGGGGTTAGGATATACAGATGGATCCATGTTATTGCCCGCGAAGGTAACGAATGCGCCTTTGGGTAGGACGGTGCCATCGGAGAGAACGGTTCTGCGGGTGACGATGCGCCGTAAAGGAGCTGCGACATCATGTCAGTGTGCTACCGGATAGAAGTCATGCAAAGCGCTTGACATACCAATATTATTCTGCATGATCACGAGCTCTGGATTAGTCAGGTGTTCGAGGAAGATGTATGTTGTGTCACACTCACCGGAAGCATCCTTTGCGACTCCTTCAGGAAACTATCCATCAGGTGCAGCTTGGAGAAGACATTTTTGGTCCATCCTCCTTCTTCCTTCAACACCCTTACGATCTCATTCCTCAATGGCTGCACAACATCAGGGTTTTTGCAGATGTCTAGTACAGCGACATTCATTGTCTCTGTTGTATTGTGCACCGCACCAAGCGTCAACAGCATCTGCGAACCAACGCAGTCTATATATTTGCCAAAGCGCTGACTTGCCTCCAGTAACCAGCCAAGCGTATCGCCCACCTTGAGGGATTTATACTCACCGGCAGCGATCAGCTTTTGGCGTTTCTCAATCATTGGTTTAATCATCATATCAGCGTGGGCACATTGTTTGCGCACCATTTTGCTCTCGGAGAACCAGAAGCGATGCGCCAGCGGCCGCCAGATAGGTGAACAGGCGCGAAGTCTTGCCGATGTCCTGAAGGCATTGAAGGTGTAGGTCCTAACTACATCAAGCCATTCGCGGTCCCGACAGGCGTCTCGGCCGAGGAACAATAATGTGGAGAGGCGGGCGACAATCTCCTCACAGACCGGCTGCATCGATACGGAATGCCACTCATCATCTGCAGCATCTTTCGAAGGCATGGATGCATCAATAACAGCGACTGCTTCAGCGGCTAGCTCCTTCGTCATCGCAAGCATAGCAGCGTTGACCTTTCCACGCACTACATGTCGGATTGGTTCTGGGTAGTTCCTCATCGCCTTGAAGCCGATCATACCAGAGTAAGTCCAGAAATGCTCTGTGGAGAAGGCCTTTTGCGCGTCCAAGCCCTTTTGTGCGTCCAGATCCTTGTTGGCTTTGATTTCCTCGAGGAATCGGTTTGGAGCGACAATCTTAGGCCCATTGCCCGTTATGATCTGGAAGAAGCCGTCATTGGTGGCTTCCCGGCCCCGAAATATCGTCTCTAAAGCGTGTTCGGTCCAGCTGGTTGCGGCATCCAGCCCATCGAGTTTGATCACGGGAAAATTGGGCCATGGTTTGGTCGGAGCAATTAAAGATTTGTATATTCGAAACAAGACGAAGATCGCACCAAGTAGCGCAAGCCGCACGAGGACACGGCTGTCAGTAATCACGTCCAGGGCTAGCGACATTGTATGGATGGCCTCGCAGAGGGAGAGGAAGTTGCACCTAGGGGAGACCAACTGCACCAAGAACGTCTATAAACAATCTTAACCGATTTATTCAGGTTGGTAGGTGAGAAACTGGCTAAAAATTGGAAAGATTCGTGATGCTCGAACGGGGGGTGGAAACTTTCGTCCTCGGCGATTCGTATTAACGACCATAGCAGACAAATTAGCCGGCACCCTGGTCCACGCCGGACAATGTTCTCCCCGAAACCCTTGTGACTGGCCAAGTGGCGGCATATGCTTGCTGACTCCTTGCAGCGACTTGGATACATTGCTTATTGACATTTCTCCGATAGGGCAAAACAAAGTTCAGACCGCTGACTTGTCATTGGCTCATGAAGGATCCATGCATCCGTGCTGAAAATAGGCTTTCCATAGGAGTAAGCCAACATTACAAGGGCTGACAATATGTAGTTAACGCTGACATTGAGATTTGGCTGAACCGAAGAATATTATCACAGCCTTTCTCTCTCGCACAGCATGTGTGATGAATTGGTGTCATTGTTGCCAACCCACTGTTCTCAGATCCACACTACTCCAGACGCTCACACTCCTGTATAGAGTACAATGACAGCCCTACAACTACCACCTCTAATGTCTTTCCAATGCATTGATCCTTGATTCACTGTTCTCCAGCAACCCCTTCCCCAATGGCCAGAACGATAATTGAAACTATGAACAGCGAAGGGTGCCATAGCCGGGTGCACGGCCGAGTAGACGGCTGTCAGGAAGCAGATGGCATCTCAGTGTTATTTGGACCTCAGGGCACTGTCACATCCGAGTCAATGCTCGAGATGCGCAAGTTCCTGGAAGACAACCCGGCTTTAGATTTCCTTTCGACGACAATCTCAGAACTTCCGGCGCTTTGGCCCGCCGTTCTCGACGTTTGCCCCAGTTTAGACAAGATTCCGGCTAAGAAAAAGTTGAATGAACTCGTCCGTTTCCTGACTGAAGGAGGAGACCCAGCCGCGATATTATCCTCAGAACCGCTACCCTCGAACAACATCATCATAAGCCCACTAACGGTGGTATATCAGATTATCGAATTTTGGAAGCTCAGCCATGGCTACTTCTTTGACAGTAACGACGACAGTGGATGCCAAAATCCGTCAAATATATCAGACGTTCAAGGATTTTGCCTGGGATTCTTGACTGCGATATCCGTTTCTTGTGCGCGAAGCGAAGCGCAATTTCAATCTCTATCTTCGAAAGCGGTGCGCCTGGCTATGTGTCTTGGAGCCTGGGTCGATTTCGATGCACTCAATCATAACGTGTCTGAATGTGCATCAGCTGTTGCTGTTCGATGGAAATCGGATACGCATTGGAAGCAATTGGAACACACTATGGCGCTGTATCCTAAAGTTAGTACCGTCAATAATTCAAAATACTCAGTTTCGCAGCTCATACAATGTATTATAGGCCTACATCTCGTGCCACACTGATGCGAAAACCGTAACAATCACCCTCCCAGAGCGGGACTCGGCTCCGTTCATGTCGGAGCTGGCCCGGCTGAATTTGCCTGCCATGTTGCTTGAACCGCGAGGACGCTGGCATCATCGGGACCATCTTCCCGGACTACGTGACCTTTTATACCTTTGCCAGCGTGACGAACGTTTCCAGTTCCCGGATGCCAATGGATTGAATAGCTCTCTCCTGTCTAACATGAACGGAGAAGCTATCACACAAGGATCGCTCCATAGCATCGCCCTGCAATCAATCCTTACCCAGCAATCTAGATGGGATCTGGTGTTTGACACTTGGTTGCTTAAGGGCCGAAGTTTTGGTCACTTCATGATTGGTGAAAAGGTCTTGGTCCCCCGAATCGCTAACAAGGGATTGTCTAGCACCGCCGCATTATCGTCACCGCCAACAGCGACACCCACCACAGCAGCAACGATGCTGGAGGATCAAGAAGAAGCTAACATCCCCGACTCTGCAATTGCCATCATTGGAATGGCCTGCAGGTACCCTGATGCCGACTCGTTGGAGGAGTTCTGGGACTTGATCAAAGCTGGGACATGCGTGGTCCGGCCGTTTCCTGAGGATCGATTCAAACCGTCTTGTCTCAATCGTGAACCGAAGGGGCCGTTCTGGGGCGGCTACGTTCGGGAGCCAGATGTATTTGACCACCAATTCTTCGGCATTTCGGGTCGTGAAGCCAAGTCCATGGACCCCCAGCAGAGGATGTCTCTGGCAGTTGCTTACGAAGCAATGGAATCCGCGGGATACTGCGGCCTTCGCTCCGGTGAATTCGATCGAGACATAGGATGCTACGTTGGGGTTGCTAACGACGATTATGATTGCAATGTGGCTTCGCACCCTATCAATGCCTTCTCGCTGACGGGTACTTTGAGATCGTTCATTGCCGGTCGAATTAGCCATTTTTTTGGATGGTCTGGGCCGTCGGTCACGCTGGACACGGCATGCTCTGCCTCTGCTGTCGCCATTCATACAGCTTGCAAGGCACTTCAGACCCATGATTGCTCCGTGGCCTTGGCGGGCGGCGCCTGTGCCGTGACCAGCTCGCGTATGACGCAAAACCTGATTGGAGCAGGGTTCTTGAGTCCAACTGGAGCATCCAAAGCATTCGACGTTGATGCGGATGGATATTGCCGTGCTGAAGGGGCAGGTATGGTGGTATTGAGGCGCCTTCAAGATGCAGTGCAGCACGGGGACTCCATCCTCGGCATCATCACCGGATCTGCCGTGAATCAGGGATCCAACTGTTCTCCTATTATCGTACCCGATTCAGCGTCTCAGGTTGCCCTTTACAAAAAGGCATTAAGAGTGTCCGGGACCCTTCCTGCTGAGGTAACCTACGTAGAAGCTCACGGTACGGGTACTCAAGTCGGCGACCCAAACGAGTTCAGGAGCATCCGGGAGACATTTGGGAGCGTGGACCGACAGGATGACGTCTTTGTTGGTTCCGTCAAAGACAATATTGGACATACAGAAGCGTCCTCGGGCGTAGCGTCGCTGTTGAAAACCATTTTGATGATGCAGAAGAAGACTATACCCAAGCTAGCCAATTTCAATCGTCTCAACCCTAAGATTGAGCCCTTGGGTAAAGATCATGTTGTGATACCGACGCAATCGCGCGAGTGGAAAGCCACCAAACGGCGCATAGCATTGATCAACAACTATGGTGCGTCAGGGAACAACGCGGCTCTCGTTCTTCAGGAAGCCACTGCGTCGACTTCTCCCGCTGTATCCTCTCCCGCTTGTTCTCATTATCCTATATATATATCCGGGAAGACGGCGGAAGCAGTTCGTTCCTACTGTGAACCTCTGAGAATGTTCCTCTCAACAGGCGACAGACTGAGTCTGTCCGATATCGCTTACAATCTGGCCATCAAACAGAATCGGGACTTCGAACACTTCCTCACACTGACCGCTTCCAGCGTCCGGGATCTTTCTAGCCAACTAGAGAAGATTGCTTCCGGCACCACATCTACCGAAGTAAGATCCAGCCACCAACGTCCCGCCGTTGTGCTCTGCTTTGGTGGCCAGGACGGGAAGCTGGCACACATCTCGAAAGACCTGTACGATAACTGCGTGGTCTTGCAGCGCTACCTCGTAAGTTATGGCTCCTTAATCTAACTAGAATCTTTTTGCTGAGATATGACTTCTACTAGGCCGAATGCGAGTCTGCCTGCGCGCAGGAGCTAGACCTCCCCAGTGTCTTGTTCCCAACCATTTTCAATCCTGGCCCGATCGAGGACTTGGTGATTTTACACTGTACCCTCTTCTCGATCCAATATTCATGCGCTAAATCATGGCTGGATTCTGGCCTGAAGGTCGACAAACTCATCGGGCATAGTTTTGGTCAGCTGACCGCGCTGTGTGTGGCTCGATCGTTGTCCGTTGTTGAAGCAGTTCGACTCGTTGCACAGCGTGCCCGACTGCTGCAGACACACTGCAGCCCTCCCCAGAATGGTTTAATGTTGGCTGTTGAGGGAAAGTTATTGGATGTAGAGCATCTCCTCCGTCTCGCTGAGCAGCAGCAGCCGCGCTTTTCGGCCGATATTGCATGTTACAACGGCCCTCAAAGCTTCGTCATTGCCGGCGATGAGATATCTATTCAGGCAGTCGAGAAAGCAGCATCATTACTATCAGCGACATGCCATTTCCGGATGAAACGTTTGGAAAACAGCCATGCATTCCACTCACGTCTCCTAGATAACATTATTCCTGGTCTCCTTCAAGCAGCTGGAGAACTTAGTTTCCAAGCCCCTGCGATACCGATTGAAGCATGCATCGACAATGATGATGATTGGAGCCAGGCCATCACTGCAGACAAAATCGCCCGACACACTCGTGCACCTGTTCACTTTATGAATGCTGTTAGGAGGATCGAACAGCAAGCACACAATGGCCCTGTGTTATGGCTCGAAGCAGGATCAGGATCGCCAATCATACCCATGATCAAACGAGCCACTATTAATCACCTCGACCAGCATATCTATATTGCCACACCTCTTCGATCCGATGTGAATTCCCAACTCAACCTCGCAAATGCTACATCTTGCTTATGGTCAAGAGGAGTGAGGGTGCAGTTCTGGCCATTTCACCCCCATCAGCGCTCATCATACAATTGGATTAATCTACCTCCGTACCAGTTTGCAAAAACCCGTCATTGGTTAGATTATAAACCGGCGACGGCCGTGTGGGAGGAGACGTCTATTACGGGCCCTGAAACAACCTTGGATGAGAATACTGAGTTGATTCGACGACTACATCCTACCAATCATAACCTATCTTATCGGGATGGTAGCGGTGAAGAGAACGTTGCTCTATTCGAAATCAATCCCAAGAATGAACTCTACCAGCTAGGTACGCAAGGACACGAAGTCGTTGACCAAAGCCTCTGTCCAGCATCGATGTATACGGAATTCGTCCTAACAGCCTCCCGCTTGTTGACGCATGCTGAGACAGATTTGGTACCGCGCGTATCAAGATTGGCAATGTCTTCGCCTCTCGTACTCAATCCAGTTGGGAAAATATTCTTGAGGCTGCAAGCAGTAGAGAAATCGCTATCATGGGAATTCTCAATCTACAGCCATGACAGGCAAACTAATCCTCTTGCGGCTGAGGCGGCGATCACAACACACGGCACAGGGTGCGTCACGTTAATTTCCGAAGAGTCCAGCAGCAGTAGTATTTCGGCGTCTTCGACCATCAGTCCGTTCCGCTCACTTCAAAGCCTGATACTTCAACGATGTCACGAAATCCAAAATTCTCCCATGTCAATCGGCTACAAAGGTCCTACAGTCTACAAAGCGTTTCGCCCAGTGGTGACATACGTAGACTACTATCGCGGGATTCAAAGTATCTACAACCTAGGCCAGGAAGCCGTCGCCCACATTACCATGCCGCCAGCACGACCACCCAACATGGGAACGGGCGTCTGCGACCCAGTACTGATCGACAGCTTTACGCAGGTCTCGGGCGTTTTGGCTAACTGCTTTGCGCTAGGCGAAGAGAATCCAGGCGAGATGTGGGTGTGCAATTTCATCGGCGACATTGAGCTGAGCCGAGAATTCATCGAGCATGCGAGAGAGGATAAGCACGCGTGGACAGCATATGGCAAGTATGAGATACCCACTCCCAAGAGGCTGACGTGCGATATTTTCGTGTTTGAGCCGCTCTCGGGGAACATCGTCTTTACTATAAGGGCAATCGAATTTCAGAAAGTTTCGGTCAAGTCTTTGTCGAAGATTCTTGGGAGGCTCAACAACAATGACAACCGCAAAATGACTCCAGCATCACAAACACGCCCAGTTCAGGATACATGGGCTCCGGTGAATGAAAGCCCACAGGTGCCTGACATAACGAGGTCGACAGCCACAATAACAAGAGCAGCAGCAAGTCCAACTGGAAATGCGGATAGTTTTGGATCCATGTCACTACAAAAGGAGCTCGAACTCTCTGCTAGAAGAGTCCCGGCAGATATGCCCATACCTGACATTCAGCCCGTATCGTCATCGGCGTCTTCGTCACTGGAGAAAATCCAGGAAATGCTGCAGGACATACTGGAAATTCCCCTAGAGTCCATTTCGCCTAATGCGCTTCTCGAGGATCTCGGGATCGACTCTCTGCTGGCTACGGAGCTTTTCTCCGAGATGAACAAGCGCTTTGCTGTTTCCATCTCACATTCGCAGTTTGCCACCATCTCTGACGTTCAAGGCCTCGCTGGGTTGGTGTCGGTGACGGCCACTCCCGAGACATATAGTCGTCGTTTGGGTCCGGCATCATCGACCTCAGCGTCAAGACTGCCATCTTCTTCCCCGACTGAGGCGGCCTCAACACGCCCATCCAGCGTCGAACCATCTTCTTCTCGTTCATCGCCGCCTCCTACTTACCCTCCTCAACTTGAAAGAGAAACAGTCGTTTACGGCGAACGAGATGGGATCCCCCTATCAGCCGATATCTACTATCCCAATGGCAATAATGGACTGGGAAAGCCGCTCCCGATTGGTCAGTCAACACCATTCTTGTTCAATTGTTCTTAATCTGGAGTGGAGAATATAGTCGGTCGCGGACACTGATGCTTGGATCGTCTCTTTAGCTCTCATGATCCATGGTGGAGGTCACGTCATGTATACACGCAAAGACATCCGCGACGACCAGACCAAAATCCTTCTGCGTGCTGGATTCTTGCCTATCAGCATCGATTACAGACTATGTCCCGAAGTTTCGCTCCACGAAGGAGCCATGCAGGACGTTTGCGATGCATTGTATTGGGCACGAAATATACTACCTAATCTCACCCTCCCTGGGCGCCCAGACATCTGTGCCGACGGCGACAGAGTCGTAGCCGTAGGGTGGTCATCCGGGGGACAACTTGCTATGTCGCTGGGGTGGATGGCATCATCGTTGGGAATCAGGCCTCCAGAAGCCGTGTTCGCGTTCTACTGCCCGACTGACTACGAAGACCCATTCTGGTCTCGACCTAATCGGCCCTTTAATCAGGAACCTGTCCCTCTTTCTTCTTCCCCTAGGTCGGAAGGCTACGAGCATCTTTACGAAGGACTCTGTGACAAGCCAATTGTAGGATATTCTCCCGGTGCGTCGAAACGCGCGTTGGGAGGTTGGATGTCTCTCGACGACGCCCGCTCGCGCATCATTCTTCATATGAATTGGGAGGGCCAGTCGTTACCCATCCTCATCAACGGGCTGTCCAGAAAGCGTATTCCGACGAAACTTCCATCTCCATCCATCGAGCAGATTCGAAACATCAGTCCTCTGGCACACATCCGAGCTGGCAGGTATAGGACACCAACCTTCTTTATCCACGGAACACGAGACGATCTTGTCCCCTGGCAACAGTCGCAAAGAACATACGAGGCTCTGATCGAAAACGGTGTGCCGGCTCAGTTGGTGATTTTGGAGGATGCTTTGCATTTGTTTGACATGTATCGCGATTTTAAACGGAATGCGCGTGCCATCAAGGCGGTCAATGATGGCTTTGAGTTTCTCCGAGCGTATGTATAGAGGGCTGTAAACGGAGCATGGTGCCGTGTCAATGACGAGGGCCAACAGGAGGAATTGAAGAAGATACTTTAACAATAACAATTAGATATGCTTCCAAATCTTAATAGAATATAGATAATTCCCTGTAGATAGATCTCGACGTATTGGAATTGAAAAAAATATGAACTCTTGTACACGACATATCATCCTGCGCTGCCCGAGATTGAAATATTGATATCCTTTACGGAGTTCTGGACCTTGATATGCGGTTAGCTCAATCCTCAGATAATGGATATGGATGTACAGCTCTTCATCAAGATATCTAGTTTTGAAGTGGAATTTAACTATCTTTTTATTTTCAATCGTGAACCTTCTTCGCAAATTTATACGCAAGGCTTAAATAACGGCCTCTAACATCTAGAGAAACGCCCATGTTATTTCCCTTGATATTACCAAATGTTCCCTGCTCCAAAAACAAAAAAAAGAAAAGGAAAAAAAAAAAAAGAAATATTGGTGGTAATGGCATAAACGTGCTATTGCGAGAGGAGATTGCCGTTACCGTTGATGCCGTTATGTTTGTTGACGCCCAGGAGATGGTCAAAGAGCCTCACCAGATCGGCAACGGCCTGTGCATCAATCTGGTGATGACATACCACCCTCGGACTGTCTAACACTACGCCGTATTTCTTCCCCAGGTCAATCAGTGTCCGTCTATCGATCCCCAGCGCATCAATGTCCAACCAAACGATATTCGTCTCAACCTCCTTGGTCAATCGTCCCCCTCTCCTAACCCACTCCTCTCCCAGCCTCTCAGCAACGCGGTGCACATCCCTCAGCACCGGCTTCTCAATCTCTGCGCCCATGCCAAAATTCTCAAACAGCGCCTCCCTTGCAGCAGCCGTAATCACACCGCCCTGCCTCATCCCGCCCCCAATACCTTTCCTCGTCCTCCGCATTCGACGTATCAAGCTTGCATCCCCCAGCACCATCGCCCCCATCGGCGCGCCTAGATTCTTGCTGAAATCCACGGACACAACATCGACGAGCGCGCAGTATTCTCTCAGAGAGCCTGCACCCGCAGCCACAGCCTCAAACAAACGTGCTCCGTCGAGGTGTGTCTTGACGTCGTGCCGTTTCGCCCAGTCACGAATGCGCCGGAGTTCATGCAGGGGCAGGATGATGCCGCCGGCGGTGTTCTCCATCGATATGATTCCCGTGGGACATTTATGCACATCGTCATCGTCGATGACAGCATGTTTTTCTAGATCTTCAACGCGAAGATACTTCCCGTTTGAAGGACGCACGGTTTGGATCATCCCACCACTCAGTATTGAAGGTCCACCGCCCTCGAAATTGACGCTATGCGCGGCAGCATCAAGCAGGATACCGCAGGGACGGGAAGAAATGAGCGAGTGCAGGCAGAGTTCGTTGGCCATGGTTCCCGTGACGACAAACATGCCTGCCTCACGGCCGGTTATGGAGGCGACATGGGCTTCGAAATCGAGCGTCGTGCGGTCTTCGCGGAAGACGTCATCGCCGAGGGATGTTTCGACTATGGCGGCGAGCATGCGCAGGCTAGGCCGGGTGATCACATCGCCTTGACATTCATCATTGATGCCGGAAAAAAAAGGATGGAAGGGACAGGATTGGAATCGTTGGACTTACTCCTGAAATCGCTCCTTGCCGTTCCGGATTGGCCCCAGGCAATGGTTCCATCTAAAGAACGAAGAACTTCGATCGTGGATGGATTAACAGTAGCAGTAGCAGCCGCAGTTTGCTGGTGAGACTGAAGATGCATGTTGTTGAATGTCCACTCAGATTCGTCTTGAACTGTGCTCCTTTTCTTTTCCGCCTTTTTTTTTCCCCCTTGCTTGTGCGGCCTGAATTGATTGGCGTAGTTATACCATAACGACCTGCCCAAATGTTTTGATCAGATACGTATGTTCGCAGTGTTGGTGCCAGCCGCCCCTTCGGCCTGTGCCGAAGGTATGTATAACGACAACTATGCCATACATGCGATATGCACAAACTGCGACGAGCGGTCACTCGTCAGAAATCGAAGCTGATGTTGCGCGGTGCTTTGGCCGCGGCTGACTGGTCCAGACGCTATCCGTCAGCGCGGCTGACGCTGACTGGGGTACACTGCTGAGTGTCACCAACACCAACAGCCAACCGACTGTCATCATCACCCAATTGAAGGTCGTTGCATATAACGAGAGCCGTCAGTTGTCGAAATAACGACCTGTCCAACAAGAACGGGTATTGGATTCTCAAATCCTGTAGGATCTACTGGAAGGCGTCGTCCTCGTCATTTGCCCTCATTCCTTTCCATTTCCTTAATATGTCGTTGGCCAACCGAGCACAATAATAGTCGAGGCGCTTTCACCAACCATCTGGAGACTGGCTGCCATGGTTGATTTACGGGGCTTCGTTTGCTTTGCTGGCCTTATGGGCGCGAATTTTTGTTGTATACGGAGTACTCCGTAGACACCCGCCAGTCAACGAGCGGATATACTCTAGACTATGGAGTACTCTGTACGGAGTATGGAGGGGGTCAAATAAAATGTCAACGATCGGCTAAAAATAATCCCCCCCGTACGACGTACGACGTAGTTTGAGGGGGAATTCTGGATTTTTCCCAAATCAACTGTTCGCACTAGGCCTGGATTAGCGTCGGAGTCAGGCCGCTTTAATAACCAAACCAGCTGCCTCAGCTAGACTTCGAGACGCACAAGGGCAACTGATAGCGGAGTCTCGGTTTTTAAATTGCCCAGAAACCAAAAGCGGTTTTCAAACACACTCATCCGCAGGTCTCATGAGGGGGAGTAGAAAGTGAGGATCATTGGTGGACAGAACCTTTCGGTTGTCCAGGCCAGATCCCGCCAGATATTGAGCACAAGTCTGAGCACAGATGTTCTCTAGCATCGGTAGTTGAATCCATGTTTTGAAGAAAGAGGAGCGGCGAGAATACTCATTCGGATTGTTCGGAAGCATTGCTGGTGTGCATTGAACAGGATTTTCTAGAAATAAGTTAGTTAGTTGACACTTCCATAATACTTTTGATATAAAACAAATCTCAGATGGCTGGTGAGCATCGTATTCAAGGTCTATATCCAGAGCGTTGGAATCAACACTTCATTACCTGAGAGAACTGGGATGCATTTTCCCTAGTTATTACAAGAAGCTTTGATTAGTACTGAAAACATGGGTAGAAGGGCTAGTACAAAGAAGCCAGACGTATAGAGAACGCAAGGAAGTGTCTCTGAGCAGGAAGATTATACCACTTAGATCTGTCACCACCATGATTAGTATGTTCTTGTTTCCCAGTTGATGTTGATAGAGGGACTTAGAGGCGCTAAATTGGTACAAGCGTACAGCTGAGGGGATCTATATGGTTGTGCTGGATAGGCACTCCGTATTCCGCCGGGTCTCTTGTCTTGTCTACATTCGATACCCTCTTTTAACAAAATGTGTCCGAGTCCCTTGGCATTCCCACTGTATAACCTTGATTTGGAAGCACTTCCTGGCGCGCCCTGGGGTGGTGGCAGAGGTGCTCGCCGAAACGACAAGCTGCCAGCTCCCAACTACATGCATAGGCCGCCGCCCAGCAGTCACGGCGCCCCGTGCTCGGACTCCAACGGTCATTCTGAAGATATGATTGGCCAATTCATCAATTTGCTGGCCTGATCTGTAGATATAAAAGCATTGTTGAAGTCTAAGCCCGATCATAGTCCACGTTCTACGGAGCATGGAACCCTGATCATAAGGCGCGCGCTTCAAAAGCACCGTGGACAGACCCCCCTCACGGGTATACCGGCGTTTTAACTGAAGAATCATGGGAAGTCCCTTACACTTAGCCAGAAGGAGTCTCTGTCCCCTATGCTACCATATTGATGTATGTGAAGAAGCACTGCAGCATTTCAGTGCCCGGAGTATTTGGGTATCTGCTCAGATCAAAACCTAAGGAATAAGGCCACACATCGCTTATCCTACCAATGCGATTTAGGGGGATGTAAGCATGTCTGTGGTTTAATAAGATTGGTGAGGCCGCAAAGGGTGGTTATGGAGAGGTTTCAGCGCCTGCATCAAGCCAAAACTACTGTGAAAGGTAGTAACTAGCTCCCCATTATGGGCTCCCACGAAGATTCCCTTGCTTCTTAACAGCCTGAAAGAACACCCCATCATTCTGTGCCTCGGCCAAGCCGCAGGGGAATTCAACTCAAGAGATGGCGCATAATAACAGCACGGTCATCTTCTGACAGAGAAACCATTATTGTGTCGAGAGAAAGGGAGATCAAGCTTGCAATGGGGCGAGGGGTCAGGAGAGATCTGTAGACTGGATGCGTCTAATCAATGACGCTATCCCCTCGGCCAGCAGTCAAGTGACAGGGCAGCAACAGGGCAGGGGCTTCAGCTTTGGCTTTATCTATGCTTTCAGTCATTTGCTATGGTACCCTTGATCTCAGTTAGCAGGGAAGCCTCAAATCGGGTTAGGATTGTGTAACTACGGAGGAAGAGTTGTGAAGGCGTGGACTTTTTTTTTTGGGGGGGGGGGGGTGTGTGTTAAACTCCACCCCGATCATAGAGAGGTTTCACTTCCAGGAAGAGGCTAACCCATTCCCTCACCACCGAACTTGGCAGCCCCAATGAGACTTGAACATCTGGGCGTCAATTATTAAGGGACAAGATGGTTTGAGGATTTCAAATGGGATGGGCGTTGAACGAGAGGTAGAGGCTTGCACGTCGAGATTGTTTGGTGTGAAGCAGTCGGAGACCATCATCTGGACGGCAGAGAGCTCCAGCCTGTAAGCTCGGTGTTTGGGCATTATTATTCCGGTTCGTCACCACCCAAAAAAGCCAAGGTTGGCGAGCGAGAACTCCGTCGCAGCAAGTCCGTACAGTACTCCGCGCTCCGGACTAAATTTAGGTCGTATAAAGCCGGCCGATGGCAGCCAAGCAGCAAATCACCTGCACCCTTTGTCAGTTGCCGGGGGGGTTGTCGACAGCCAATCGAAGCGGCCTGCTGACTTCACAGCGCAGGCGCTCCCCGACGTGGCACTCCCTGGCTTGGCGCTCACCGCCTCGCCTGCAACGCCCGCCGCTGCCACTCCCAGCATCACAACAACACTTCTTCCGAGCCATCATCGCCCTCCACCCTTCATCTTCCCCAGACCACGCTCAGCAGAGATCCTGAGCATCTCAACTCCAACTCCAACACCAACACTCACATACTGACTCACAGACGTCCGTGACGGATCCTTGAAATCCTGTTCACAGACACTCCCAGCGAGAAATGACAACAATGGTACTCACTCCCAGGGACCCTTCGCCAAGACGTGCCGGAACGGAAATCTGACCTGTTGCTTGTAGGATCTCCGCGTCGGGAACAAGTACCGTATCGGCCGCAAGATTGGCAGCGGCTCGTTCGGAGACATCTACCTGGGTATGCTTCTCAGATTGATCCTCTTTCCGTGTGCTTCAACACTCCAGTCTGCTCACATCCTCTTTTTATTTTCTTTTTTTTCCGCCAGGCACCAACATCATCTCCGGCGAGGAGATCGCCATCAAACTCGAGAGCGTCAAGGCCAAGCACCCGCAGCTGGAATATGAGGCCCGTGTCTACAAGTCGATTGCCGGCGGGGTCGGCATCCCCTTCGTTCGATGGTTTGGCACCGAGTGTGACTACAACGCCATGGTGATGGATCTGCTCGGCCCCTCGCTCGAGGATCTCTTCAACTTCTGCAACCGCAAGTTCTCGCTCAAGACCGTGCTGCTGCTCGCCGACCAGCTCATCTCCCGTATCGAATACATCCACGCAAAGTCCTTTCTCCATGGTAACCACTCCAGGCATCATATCATCGAAATGACTATCTGCTAACATGGTTGGCAGTGAGTGTTTTTCTTCCATCGGGACCATTGCTATCGACTACTGTGCCCGAATGTTCCCGCTGGGCAACGCTGCTTCAAACGTTGCCTTGTGGCATTGCCTCAAGTCTTCTCTCCTCCCTTCTCGTATCAGCCTCTTTTCGGGGTTGTGACATGCTAATTCTGGATTTTTCGATAGCGCGACATCAAGCCCGACAACTTCGTTATGGGCATTGGCAAGCGTGGAAACCAGGTCAACGTCATTGACTTCGGTCTGGCCAAGAAATACCGTGACCCGAAGACGCACTTCCACATTCCATACCGTGAAAACAAGAACTTGACTGGCACGGCTCGCTATGCCTCGATCAACACGCATCTGGGTGTCGGTATGTACTGTCCACCTCTCCTGTCCTGAACACTTGGCACGTTTTGCACCTCATCTTTTCAAAAGAAAACAAAACATCAGCAAAATCTCAATCAGCAGGATAGTCCCCGAATGACCCGCTAGACTCAGTTGCAATTCACTTGAGTGCCCTTTTCAGGACATGAAGGACTCTTTTCAAGTTGCAATCAGCAAAACAAGTCAGATTTATTCAGCTCTGCGATTGGTTACAGACCACGGCTTGTGGAAGTCGTATTCTCCGTCAAAGTGATTGAGATTTTGCTGTTTACGATTAAACCTTTTTTTTTTTTTTTTTTTTTTTTTTTTTTTTTGATTTGATTTTTCTTCCCGCCGCAGAACGTGTCTACTGACCTTTTACGTAGAACAATCGCGTCGCGATGACGTCGAGTCGCTGGGCTACGTTCTCCTTTACTTCTGCCGTGGTTCTCTTCCGTGGCAGGGTCTTAAGGCAGCTACGAAGAAGCAGAAATATGACCGTATCATGGAGAAGAAGATGACCACCCCTACTGAGGTGTTGTGCCGCGGATTCCCGAACGAATTTGCTATCTACTTGAACTACACCCGTAGCCTGCGCTTTGATGACAAACCAGACTATTCCTACCTGCGCAAGATCTTCCGAGACCTCTTCATCCGCGAGGGCTTCCAGTATGACTACGTCTTCGACTGGACCGTCTATAAGTACCAGAAGAATGCCCAGGCCATCGCTCAGGCTCAGGGTCAGAACCATCCCGACGTCAAGCCACAGGAGAAGGTTACTCGAAATCGCCCGAGGCACCAGCCCAGCCAAGGTTATTGAAGTCTAGACACACTGTCCCTTCCAGCTCATCGGTTATCGTCTGCTTGCCAGCTCGTGTTTGGGCCAGGTCTTCGATGAAACCTCTTTGCAGATGGAAGCGTGACAATGTCATAAATTTACTACAGGTGGATAGCGACGGATAAGTCCGTCGAAATCAAGGACATTCAGTGCTGCTGTTGAGCTATACGACGCTGTGCGGCGATGATTTAGCAAGTCTACAAGGCTCGAAAGGGGGGAGGTTCTCTTTGCTCCAGATGGTTCTTTGCCACCTCTACCGCCGTTTTTCCATACATCACATGGACTCCCACTAGTTACATTGACAGTGGGTACAGCATGTCGTCCATTGCACTTGGCCAGAGGGGGTAGATTATAGGCATTTCCAGATATTTCCAGATAGTATCAGGTAGAGAAATCAGAGGTCTGTCGCGTGTTTTCTTATTTTTTCTTTTTTTTCTTTTTATCTCTTGTTGATGTTATCGATCCGGATTTTCACAGCTCCTTGCTTCGTCGAGGCTCGAGCACTTCCACTTTGTATCCTAAGTTTTTCGATAGCTTTCCACTCGATAGGACATCCACTCCCTTGCCTCTCTCCTCTAGCTATGATCGCACAGACACCCAGATCAAACATCTCCGTCTCATCACAGATGGGATGGCTGAACTTTAACCCGATTCAGTAAGTTTTAATTGCTTCACAATGGATTACTTTACCAATCTGTTACACACTCATTGTATGCTTGAAGATAGAACATCACTTTTTTTCCCTAGTTAATATCATTGCTATCTAGCTATTTCAGTTATGAAGTAGTTGCGAGACCAGTCTTTTCTTTCTTTTTTTTTTCACCTTCAGAGGTGGTATTCCTGAGGGAGGTGTGGAAGGGTGGGCAACTAGGTGACCTGGGAAGTGGGATCACTGCTATGTTGTGATTCTGATGTCCATCGTTCCTTGGCCATGAGTGGTGAACGGTTAGTTCCTCCGTGAGTGTCACCCATATATATCTGATGTCACTCTCTGCCATTTTATCATAACAACTCTCAACGCCCGACTGACATATCAAGCCTTTGCTAGGCCGGGAGCTCCTCCCCATTTTACATCGGCTGCCTGGTGGCTGAATCCCACCAGGGCGGCTTTGAATATGTGAACTGCCGGATATCGATGTGATACCACGCCAACCAATATCCGACGACGGCGGTAACATGGGCGTTGACTTCGAAGATATTGACTTATCCGGGGTGGAGCCAGCCAGGGACGCCATCAAACCTCATTATGGCATTAAAGATGCAGCCTGAGGGGGGAGGGGGGAGGTACAATACGATGCCAACGCGCTGAGAGAGACATTAGGCATGACAAGGCTCTATTGCACAATCAGCGGGGTACAATGTTCAATCGGCTCCTTTCGATTTCGAGGCAAAAAAGCAAGTTTCTCGATGATCGGCTTTCTTATGTTGTTTGCGGCGGCCCCGCACACTCGAGGAGGAACTGCGCTGCCAGCTGTCACCATGCATTCAGAAGGCAGAGATCGCAGTTCTGCGAGATTGGCCCACGGACAGAGAGAAATATGGATGAGCGAAGGGTCGTTGATTTTCGTTCAGCTGTATGGAGCGTCATCTGATCGGGCCAGACACAGTTGCGTGCATGTTAGCTCCCTTGTGAATCAGCAAGATCACTATATTATCCTGCCTCTGCTCGACGGCGTAATGCAACGCGGTGCGACCATGACTGTCTGTTACCTCGATATCTGCCCCTCCCAGAAGCAGCGTGTTAACCGTATCCTCGTGTCCGCCACGGATCGCATGGTGAAGAGCCGTCAAACCCTCACCATCGCGCGTGTCAGGCCGCATGCCCCGACCAAGGAAATATCGAATGAGTGCGCAGGATCCCTTTGCGGCTGCCAGATGTAAACATGTCTGCCCCTGGCTTTCGCTTCTCATTGTTCGTGCTTGATAATGGCTGTTATGTTCGCATGGTCGTCGAGGTTGGCGCTGGCGGAAGCTAGAGGTGCGCGCTCGACCGCTCAGAGATCGCCGCTCAAGTTCTTCATGATCCACTATGGACATGGATGGAGAGAGCTGTTGTAGGCGACTATCTCTTGTTGGACATCGCGACAGAGGCTCTATCGCTGGACGTGACGACAGTTCGACGATGGATTGCGCATGAGAGCAAGAGTCCATCATCGGTGGTGACGCGGTGGGTAGCGCCAGCCTCTCTCTTCTCGAGTCCAATTCACGACCGGAATCATTGGGGGTACGACGTTCATGATGCGCCAAGACCGGTTGCAAGGTGATGTTCTTGCTCGCCGTTCCGTTCACCTCCCTTGGTGGTTCATTGTCTGTAGAGGGAGAAGGATAGATTGGTTCTGGGTCCCAGTTGGCCGAGGGTGGTTCCTGGGTTAGGCTATCAAAGACATCCAGGAGCTCGGGCTGCATTTCTCCAATATGACCATCGTTCACCCTGCCGCCTTGTTTCGGCATGGTAGTGGTGGTAGGTTCGCCCTCCCACAGCTGCCTTTTGAAAGAAAACGATAATGCAGTCTCATCATCATCATCATGATTCATCCTGCAATCTGTGGGCCAGAGCTGTTGAGGCTCATGATGTTGCTGTGGTTGTTGATGAGAGGATTGTTGCAGCTGGTTCTGTCTGGCGAGCTGTTTCCGTCTCCCTAGAAGAAAGGGAAACAACATGGTCAACATTACGAAATAGCGGCGTGGGTTCATATCAAGACTACTTACGATGATTTCTCTGCGCAATCCGATTCTGCTCGCGGCGCCGCGCAGCCCGATCGAGATCTGGATCGTAAGTCTCATTCATAGGAGCAATAACAAAAGAGAATCAAAACTCGAAGATCGTCGAATCCTTGATCATGTTAGCGTGGCGAGAAGTCAAGTTTTATATACACTTTCCTATGATCGGGACCCGGTTACAACTCACGGCACATAGCGAGAAATGAAGGGTGGTACAGAAAGCTACGAACATTCAGGACGATAACTAACTAGCCCGAGTATGTGCAGGCCAATCGGACAACAAATTGTCCTGATCAAGTTGGCTTGCCGGTTCATCTAAGATTGAAAGAACCACCAAATTCCAACTACACAGTAACCAATAGCAGCCTCAGAAGAAATACGTCGACTGTTGGTTCGTACGCCCACTTGGGGCCTAGCCTCTATGAAGTTGTGCGCAAATGCGTGGCTAAGCAGTTTGCTCACAGAAGGTCGCGGATGCTCATGAGCTTAAGAGAGGGCGCCAGCCGTGTTTTCAGGCTCCATGTTTGGGCATTGCTTCTCCCTGGATCCAGGAATCTGGGTTCGACCTCTCCAGGAGATGGTCCTGGTGATCAAAATTAGTTGCAAGGTTGTCCATCGTGATTTTAGAATCCAGTGATATTCTCCTGTTCAGTACAGGGTTGGCATGTTATGCTGCGATGTCACTCAATTTCCCCATACTTCCTTCGGCCATGCATTAGCCTAATGAGCAAGAACTCCTCTGTCCAGTTAAACCTGCACAGGGCAATATCCCACACGCCAATAGCTTGGGTTGCATGCTATGTTAAGCTTCGCAGGAGTACGAAGGACAGGGCTTCGCCGAAACCAGGTCGCACAATTTTCCAGCGTGGCTTTGCGGGATTGTAAACTCAGTTTTACAGACCCAAATCAGGGTGTCTGCGTTCAACCCTGCAGAATTGTCCTTGTAAGAACAGGGTTGGTCGCAGTTCCCTTGCATGGCGGTCTCTGTACGGAGTACTCCGTACTCGATTGTGTTATATTTTTAAGTTTTTGATGTGACCAGCAACGGCATTTTGGAGGTGGACCGGACCCCAAAAGAGCCAGCCAACCGTGTGTCTGGTTTGTTGATAATGACAAGTTTCAGCTATCCAGAGTTTGGCCTCCAACTTTTCTTTTGGGGCAGATCATCTTTGATCTGCTGGAGAAGTTTTACCCAAAATGACCTAGTTGGTGGGTTGCTGACAGGGACTCTCGTGCAGGGCCCGGCTTGCCCGGCTTCTGGAGCATTCTGGGTCTGCGTTGAAAGTTTTCTGGGGCTATTACGGGACTTGGATGGGAAGTTTCCAACGGTTTTGGTCCCCATCCGGGCGGGCTTGGTCCCGACACCATGCCTAGATGATGGTAAGCGAGCTTGGATAGTTTAGGCCTTGTATTGGGTGGCCATATCTGTAGATAAGGCTAACGAGTAAGATCAGAGTTAGTATTGTTGGAATCGGATGCAAAATTCAACTGAAGTGCCAGCTGAGTCTGTTCTCAGCGCCTGGGAAAGTCGTTCACGGTTGAAAACTACGTATACGGAGTACATTGGGCGAGTCAAGGCAAGGGGATATGAGCCGTAGGATCAACCTTGAGACTTCGGAAATGAATATTGTGACAAGCACTAAGCGGCAACCGGGCGGGTTGTCCGATGACTTACTCTAAACAAAGACGTTGAAAATTCATTGAGTGAGAAAATGCTCTTGTTTGAATGGCTGTTCCCACTCTTTTCAGTCTCTCGTGTGTCTCTTTCAATTCCAAGCGTATCTCATCCTACCTCAAATCCTTCCAAGTTCTTTTAAGTTCAATGGTAAGGCTGAACTGACAACGGAGAGGGAAGAGGCCCCGCTTTCTCCGGCATCGAATAGCTCAAGCAGTTCGAAAGGAGAATTTTGATCTGCGCCTGCGGCGGTTGGTTCTGCTGCCACCGCTCCATGTGGTCCTGGCGCGCCGCCCTGTTCCGATTCGGGGTCTGATGCCGTCCGTCGCAGTTTGGAGGAGCATGTTTTCGGGATATTTCCTCCTGATGTCGCGGGTTGCAACCCTATATAATTTTCCCCCCTCCGTCGCGCTTTGTTTTCCTATTCCTCTCCACCTGGCCCCTTCATCTTCCCCCCTGGTTGGTGACCGTCATGATTGAGACGCCCCCATCCCCGCGCTCCCCGCCCGTGTCTTTTTCGTCTGCGTTCGGGGAGACCGCTGGCCGCCGGGCGCTGCCTACCGGCCCACCAGTTGCTCAGCCGGTCAGGAACCGCTTCATCCATTTAACGCTCCTCCTTTTCAGCCGCTTCACTTGATCTTCCTTCCCAATCCCCAGTGAGGCTGCGAGCAGCTTTCGGCGCTTTGGGCCGAGACTTGTGGACACACTCAGAGCTCGTCTGAATGGTATGGTCTCTGTCTTCCTGCCCTATCGACCAGCCAATGACAAAAATGCCTCGATGGAAATCAGCACATGCATGTGAAAGTCGTCTCCGCCATTGGCGATGGCGACTCAGATGTAACAGCACACCGGTGAGTTGATCCTTGTCCATCCCTGGATAACCAACACATGGACCCTGGCTCGACCCTGCAGTGCGGGATGAGGACTGACGCGGTGCTCCGTACAACCAGCAAGGTGCCTTGTCAGCCATGTGGGAACAGGAGTCGAACCCCATTTTTCACCAGGCATCCGCATTCTGGGGCGTTTCAAGCCAGCATATTTCAGGGTACAACCCTTCCGGCCTCTCCTTCGTTAATCACATGATGAAGCTGGTAAAGGCACGGTGGCCGCCACTCTGCCCTCCTCCTGACTTTGCGTGCCGCTCAATGGAGCTGATGGAGACCAAACGTTTGGCGAGGGCCACACCGAACTCACTAAATTGTAATAGGATTAGCGCGGTCATGATGTTACATACAAATCCTGCTAGCAATGCATGATCCTTGCAGCATTGATTATTCACTGGCAGAACTAAAATTAGTTAACCGCGCTTGAGGAAAAAGATAATCTTCATGACGAAGGTTGTTGGTGGCTGAGTGCCTGATCTGCGGAGTCCGCCAAAATTTGCCGAATGGAATCACAGACTGACCAGAATATCGCAGGCTGAGGGCCTTCTCATCCATCCAGACAACACCAATGCTCTGCCTCTTTGCTGCACAAGCTGAAAAGAAACCATTAGTCTCGTTGTGTGGAGATTCTGGAACCACCTGATTATTTTGATTTCTTGGAGCACCCCATATGCAATTTCTTCAGAGAAATTAATTTAGGACATTTGCTGCTGTTCCATGCAATTTTATACGGAACATGGAAAGTTGTGGACATCTGAAAGGTTCGCTATAATGCAGTCCTGTGGAGCGCCTGAGAAGGAATTTTGCCGATTCCTTCCTGGTTTCGATCTTCATGAATTCATTCCCTATGAATTCTGCCTTCGAAGATTGAAGCTTAGCGAAGTCATTTGTTGCATGATGCTTCACCAAACTTCCCTAGATTTTGTTATTTTTAGGCATTGCAGGGGGACTTTGCTTGAACTAGGACTCAAGAGGTTCGTCCAGCTTTTTCAAGTAATCTCTAAGGCGGAAAAGGCGCCGATATATATACATATATATTTTCTGGAGGATGAGCCCACCGTGCCGAGCTCATCTCTCTCGAGTCTTATGCATTGCTAGTTGTAGCTTGGACAGGATATCACGGCGAGTCCTTTACACTAAGTCCTAACGGGAATGTCTAGACTCTAAAATTGCTTGCACATACATGCACACCTTGATAATGAGCTCCCAACAAGCATCCGGAATCACTTTTTGGGTTGTATCTTACGGAGGGTACATATGCTCAATAGATATCCACAATAACCATGATTTATAATTTGCGGGGTATAACCATTGCAAGTTATTCCAGCTTAGACAACTGCTTATCTGTATTCCTCCAAAAGTAGTCTTGGCCTCTCACAGAGCTCTCAATCGGTGAACACGTCTGGGGAACTCGTGAAACCTCGCGATAGGCGGGATATCACCAACCACATACAAAATCTGTGGTACCTAGGACCTGCCTGATCTCTTTTCTTTCCTTGCAAGGTGGCAATAGGATTTTCACGTGGTTTTGCTAGTCCTGATAACGGAATCCGGCGGAATCTCTAGGTAACTCATATTCCCCTCGGCTGATCGGCGCTGAACGAGTTTAATCGACTCCAGTGATGACCCCATCTAATACGCTCTTTGGTGTAAATAACACAGTTAAGGCATTGGGAAAAGTTGCAGTCCGGGGGCCCAGCGTTAGTCAGATAGACAGGCATTGGGATGTTGTGCAAAACTGGTTATGATGGCTCTGGGTAGCAAGCATAAAGTAATAGAACTTTGGCACATGACTATCATCACATGTTCCATGTCGCCTGAGTTTGGGATATGCTGTAGACTTCTGGCAGGATGACTTAGCTTGCGTGCACCATTGTTGCGAGCTGGATTATAGCCAGAATTGAGATATTGTTTTGTGTAAGGGACATATACGTGCTTCAAAACACGCAGTGATGGTTGGTTCACATGGGATATTAAAATTGCTGGTGACCCCATCAGCCCTTTGATGAGATTACAGTCATAAAGCATAGGCATCCTTCCTTGGTACATATAAAGCCCCCCTGTTCTGCAAGGAACATCGCGAATTGCAGCAGCTATTGCAAAGGGCTAACAAGCTTCAAAAGTGTATTGCTCGCTGTGAGTGAAGAGCTGGGAAAAAGCGACTCGTCCAAGAGGCAAAGCACTTCGGTTGAGGCAGCGTGGCAGAGTGAACAGTGAGCCTGAGATGGTTCAGAAGTAACTCCGTAGCCTGCCAGTGTTTGGATGCCGTTCCCGCCGGCTCTATCGCTGTCCATTGGTCTTTTTGAGATCAGAACGAGAAATTGTCATCTGCGATGGTCGTCTCAGAGCCGTGATCCGGCCAATCAGAGGGAGCGGTCGAGGGCGAAACACGGTCGTGCCAAACCCCTTTTTCCCGCCAACCGATAGTGCGCTTCACGGCTGCTCCCCAGTCTTCCAGGAACTGAAGCTGCCTTCGTATTCGACCAAAAACTTGCAGGTTTGTTATACCAATCGACAGTGCTGTGAGCAGGGATAAGTTCTCAGTCCTAACCCGGTTTATAGCGTTGAACAAAAGTTACATGCACCAGACTTATCGCACCTCCATGCGCAATGATGCAGAGCTTCGGAAGAATCCGAAGCGCTTGCTGCCCTTCCTAAGTAGAGCCTCGATCTACAAGCTCTTCTTGCCGCGCACCGTGCGAATTCTCCGACGCTATAGGCCTCGCCTGGCTCCACGAGTAATACTAATAACCCCGAACCTCATCGTCAAGTATGGCTCGACTGAGGTATATTCCGAAGCATGCGCCATTGACTTCATCTCAAAAAATACAACGATCCCGGTCCCTAAGCTCGTCACAGTTTTCCAAGTACGTGATGGAACTACTTATATCCTGATGACTCGATGTTCCGGCGTCCCCCTCCAGAACGTGATTCGCCAACTATCTCAAGTAGAGAAGCAAAACGCTCTCGCTCAGCTGCGAGGCTACGTCGATCAACTGCGTGCGCTTGAGCCGCCACAGCCTGGAAAAGTTGGCTCCATAGCCTACGGTCCTCTGGAAGACGATCGGATTTGCGACGAGCCCTGCGGCCCTTTTGGAGGCGTCGCCGAACTTCACAAAGCGATGCGACTCAAGGCAGAACTTCCATCAGGTCATGAAGAATGCGACAAGTTGATAACTATGCAAGACAGACGAGATTACGATATCAAGTGTACTCATGGAGACCTTTCTTTACGCCATGTGCACTACCTTGATGGGAAGATAACGGGTATCATTGACTGGGAATCGGCTGGTTGGCTGCCGGATTATTGGGAATATACAATGACCTGGGATGCATTCTGGGACGCGTCGGATTTAAGGGACGATATTGCTACATTCCTGGATCCTTTTCCCGAGGAGCTGAAGATGGAACGAACTCGGATGAGATTATTTCGCGGAAGAGGTTGAAAAGAGGGCGGTTTCAACCCGTTTCTTTTCGGATACCTACTCTGGCCTGATGCCAGGTCGGCAGCATCTGTGGCTGCCTGTGACCACCAGTAGGGTACTGGGGCTAAAAGCGGGACTTTGCGCACCCACCTCTCTTGACTTGACGGACAGATGCGCTCGGCCCCATATCCTTAGTTCCCCGTTAGGAATCAAGAAAAGTGGCTTGGCATCATCTCCTCCCGCATCGATGGCTGAGAATAAGAGTGTTGACCGGTTGCTTCTCTCATTTGGTCTGCGGGCCAATGAGATGAAAGGGCAAGGCAGTCGAAGATAATTGTAAAATTGTGTGTCTACGGTGCAGATATGAATGGAATATATGGGTAGTCAACTCCGTTCTCAGAATACACCCTGACGTAATGGCGCGGTCATGGGATGGAAAGCACTGGTTATCCTTATTTTCTTTTTGCGGTACGAACCTCTGTTATCCGCAACCACACATGTTTGACCATGACCCGGGAGGCGCACCCTCCACGCTCGATGAGTCGTAAACCTGGGGAAATTGACCGTTTAGCTTTCGCTCGGTCTCTGAAACTTGAGGATGACGGGCCAAGGATTTATCTTGGCCCGGCATACCCCGTACATACGGCTTTGTGTCATGTGTGCTTCTGAGTCCGATCGAGCCCTCAGCAGTCGGGCGTTTGAGTTGGGCGAACCATATATTGTCCTAGGGTATGGGTCCTTTTGAACAAGGTCATCTTATAAACATGGTCGGGGTTCCTAAGGCCTGACGGAATGCGAATATAGGTAGGTCCTGACTTCCCGGACGAAAGGCTCGCTGGCTGACTGGAAGGCGATCTTAATATAGAGCGGCGATTTCTGGCTTTTTCGGGATTAATGTTTTGTCCTTTACTGAATACTCCCTTATTTCGGACTCAATATAATGCCTTCAAACAAGGATCGGCTTTACGTCGCACTTTATGCCCATGAGCGCCCAGACACGTTGGTGACTCCAACCCTGATGAGTCAATTCCACGTTTAACCGCCATCAGGTATCACTGGGCTTTCTTCCTTTCTCCGAAGAATGACCCCGACGGTGATGACCGGACGGTAAGATACCACGTAACGAACACCATCCTTATGCGCGACGGTACCATGCAGCAAACCTGGCGGTACGACCAAAATCAGCTCAGGAAGGTTAAAACGGCCAGGCTTCTTTGTAGGGTTCTTATAGGGAAATCTGAGAAATCACGGCAAGAACTCGAGAACTCCCTCAGAACCGTGCCGGTGGTGCAGGATGTGGGTCCACACATACCATACCCGATAATTTGTGTCTAATTCTGCGTTAGGACCCAAATTGGAGATGCCGAACATGGGCTGCACATGCTATTGCGCAGCTGGCAAGAGACAATGTCCTGAGTAAGGTTGCTAACTGAAGTTGTTAAACACGCGGTTAATATGAAAAAAAAGGCACAAAGTCGGCTACCGATTGGTCCACGATAGAGGCCGAGTGTAGAGCCTATGTCCGGAAGAAAAGGGAGCAAGGAAGGTTCAGGTCATTGACAGCCACAATCCCGACATATGATCTTATGACGAAAACGGAGATAACCCCTTGAAGGCCGGCGTTGAGGCGAGGCAAAGGGCCGGGATGAAGTGAAGGACGGTATTTTCCGAACGTCTTCCTCGATAATTGGATTTTGATTGCGTGCTGAGTGCTGCGACTTGTTGAAAATATAAATGGGGACTTTGGAATTCTCGGGCGCCGAGCCCCAGTGGTAACTATCATAATGCTCATTGCTTATTTTCAAAGATGACTCAGGGAGTGTCTGCATTGTAAATAACGCACTCCGAGCGCCATCATCCAAGGCCTGGATGCTCGCAGCTCTGAGCTTTCGGTACACATTAGCTCGGTGATCGGCATGTTTCCACTGCGGTTAGCTCGGATCTTCCCTTTGCTTAGGCTGGAGTCTCAAGCTCTCGAGGCTTTTCCCTTCCTGCCCGGCAAAATAGCGGTTGAACCCCACGACCTTGAGCTGTCCCCGATTGGCGTCGTCCCAACTTTTTGTGCCTGTGACGTCATCCCGATATCCAGCTGCCTCCCTCCGGATCGACTCCGAAGCAATCTTCCCGAAAATTAAGACGGCGGAAACACGGCAATGGATGCGATTCAAAGTGCGTTAAGGATTATTGATAGCCTATTAGGGGAGAATGAAGATATCTGCGGACTAGCTAGCAACAACGGGGGCTGCGTGGCTGCAAATCTGAAGCTCTGACTCGTCAGCTTTGACGATGAGGGCATGGCGAATAAGGCATGTTTTGCCGTTGAAATGACAATCCTCTTAACGTGTTGCCGATCCTATATTGCAGTCTAGGCATTCCTGAGTCCCATACTTTTTTATCGCGCTAATCTGCCATCATATAGTTTGTAGTGTTTGCTGTTGGACTGAGCATGGAGCTGGGCTGCTCTCGATTTCCTCGGGCGACACGCCAAACTGTCGGTGCAAAGCTCAAAATTGGGTCTACATGGAAAGACCGTTACCTATCCCCTACAAATGTCAAGATTCAACCTATCGGACCTATTTTCAAGCGCCACATTACGTCCAAGGGGTCGACAGCTGACCCCGGTTCTGCCCCCGATCGAGAGCGAGTGGTGATACTCGGTTCAGGATGGGGAGGCTATACGCTCTCGAGGCGACTGTCCCCTTCTAAGTTCTATCCGACCGTCGTTTCCCCTCGCTCGTATTTTGTTTTCACTCCACTTCTGACAGACGCCGCTGCCGGCTCCCTCAACTTTTCTGAGATTGTGGAGCCCGTTCGTGATCGGAAGAGTCAGGTTCATTATATACAGGCTGCTGCTCGGAGTGTGGACTTCAACAAGAAAACTGTTATGGTTGAGGCTTGCGTTGTCAAAAGCGGGGTGACAGAATCGCCACGTGTGGAACGATCCGAAAGGGAGACAGATCAGGGGCCACAGATTGGGAACCTTCGGGGAAAGGAAGCCCTGCGAAAGTGGGAAGCGGGTCAGGTATTCGAGGTACCGTACGATAAACTGGTTATCGCCGTTGGCTGTGTTAGTCGTACGTTCAACACACCAGGAGTGAGACAAAATGCAATGTTCTTCAAGGACATAGGTGACGCTAAACGAGTGAAGAGACGGGTGCGAGAATGCTTCGAGTTAGCTGTCATGCCCACAACGAGTTTCGAGTTGCGAAAGAACCTATTGCACTTTGCAATTGTGGGCGCTGGCCCCACTGGAACCGAATTGGCCGCTGCACTTTGCGATTTTCTACACGACGATATGTTCCAAATTTATCCTACACTGAAAGATAGCACTCGTATTACCTTGTACGACGTGGCTCCAAAAGTTCTCAGTATGTTTGATAAGACGCTGTCGGATTATGCAATGACCGTCATGAGCAGAGAAGGTGTGGAGGTGAAAACCAATCACCATATCCAAGAGCTTCGATGGGGTGAGCCGCACAAGGATCCGGCCCCTGAGATGGATCCAAAGGGCTGCTTGACACTTAAAACGAAGGAAGGAGGAGAAGAAGGCGTGGGAATGTGTGTTTGGGCCACCGGAAACGAGATGAATAAGTTTGTCAACGATTCTTTGGGCCCACTGGAGCAATTCCCGACATTCTCAGCGCTCGTTCAACCCGGCCATACTTCTCCTAATGATCCAAAGTCGGTCGCTTGGAAAATAAAAAAAGCTCCTAAAACCGGAGCTCTTCTCGTTGATAACCATTTGCGCGTCCAGCTCGAGTCCGAAGACGGTAGAAGGGCTGTGATGCAAGATGTCTTCGCCCTGGGTGACAACTGCATGCTGGAAAGCGATTCTCCTCCTGCAACAGCACAGGCCACTAATCAAGAAGCGTGCTGGCTAGCAAAACGGCTCAATAAAGGAGGTATTGGCCAAGAACCGGGCTTTTCGTTCAACAACTTTGGCATGATTGCGTATCTTGGGAGCTCGAAGGCTTTAATGCAGATTCCAAGCAGCGAACACCTTCCCAAGGGTATCAAGGGCCGCACAGCGTGGTTAATATGGAAAGGAGCATATTTAACTATGAGTTTGAGTTGGAGAAACAGGTTAAGAATTCTGTATTCCTGGATGTCCAATTGGGCGTTTGGAAGAGATATTTCGAGGTATTAGGTAGGGAAAATTTCCGAGCCTGAAAGAACGCAGACTGGGAAATTTTAATTGCATCGCCATGTTGACTCTGTAGTCAAAATGAAAGGTACGAAGAATTCGAACTCATTGACCAGTAATCGCTAGCCACACACGGACTGCGTAGCACAAAGCAGCTGTTCATCGCTGAATGGCAGTTGAAGTAGCACAGTCTGTTGAGAGTGAGTTGAGTTATAGCCACTGGTTTACCTACCAAAAGCCACTCACTCAAAGTGAAGGGCCTTCGGTTAGACTGGACGCGCGTGGAAGTACGTGGCAATTGGTGTGTGCTGTTGAAAAGCCGAAGCCTAAAAAGAAGGGACCTCGGCGAATCGATCGCCCAGTGCTTTTCCCCGCAGAGGAGATCCTCGAAGATGGGGAAGCTCCAAAAAGCCCGTTCGGATGATGGAAGCTTCATCTTCGCCATTCATATCTGTCAATTTTTCGGACATGCATTGTAGCTGTCCCAGTTAGTTCCGTGGTTGACAGTGATACAATAGACATTGCATCCAGCTTGACTAGGTCACAACCGCACGTTGAGCATCACTCCCAATATTTTACCCTTAAACTTATCTAACGAAGTCGGTTCTATCTTCCCACCATGTCCACTGAACCAGCGTTCAAGGAGATCTCGCGCCAGAAGCTAGCCCAGCTCGACTCAAAGATACCCAAAGAATGGCGCCTTCCAGCCAAATGGATCCCTGCTGGGATGCATTCGCCTGAAGAGTCGGTTGCAAACACGAAATATGATGCCATTAATGTCATGGATATCCCGAGACAGTGCAGGCTTTTAAGCACAAAGCAATTGGAGATCACTGAGAAGTGGGATGTCAAAGGGCTACTGGGGGAGATGGCCTCTGGACGACTGACGGTCACGGAGGTGTGCGAGGCCTTTTGTAAGGTAGGTAGAAGACGATGAGCTATATAGACTCTATGCCAGTCGCTGGCATCCATTGGCATTATAATATACCTTCCCGAATTTTGGAACTATACAGATATGGTCTAATGTTCGATGACAGCGTGCGGCCATAGCTCACCAACTCACGCGGTGCCTCACCGAGCCTCTCTTCGACTCGGCCCTGAAGCGTGCATCTTTCCTTGACGCTCATCTCAAGCGAACCGGAAAGCCTTATGGCCCTTTGCATGGCCTTGTTGTTTCAGTCAAAGACACATTTGATGTTGAGGGAGTTGACTCCACCACCGGCTTGGCCAGTCTTGCATTCAAGCCTGCTAAGAAGAATGCACCTTTGGTGGACCTTTTATACTCTCTCGGAGCAGTTATCATTACGAAAACCAACATTCCCCAAACCCTTGCGGCTTTGGACAGCGTAAACAATCTTTTTGGCCGAACCCTGAACCCGTTGAATCGCCAACTTACGGCAGGAGGAAGCTCGGGTGGTGAAGGTGCCCTCGTAGCCATGCGAGGCTCTATGGTTGGAATGGGCACTGATATTGGCGGCAGTATCCGTATTCCGGCAATGTGTAACGGAATATATGGATTCAAACCTAGCAATGGACGAGTTCCTTTTGGCGGCCAAGAAAGTGCCATGGTGCTAGGCAGAGGGAGGACATCGATCCAAGCCGTGGCTGGGCCGATTGCACGATCCATGTCCGACATCGACGTTGTGATGAAAGAGATTGTTCCACGATCAGAATTATGGGGTGTAGATTGTATCCCCGGGAAATGGGCGAGTGAAACGCATGCATTAGGAGAAGGCGAGCCGCGGAAATTCACCATTGGAATTCTGCGTTCTGATGGCCGTATTCCTCCGCTTCCACCAATTGCTAAATTACTTGATGAAGTCGCCCAGAAGCTTGCCGGCGTTCAAGGCGTTGAAGTCGTGGAAATTCCAGTTCCAAAAGCACTTGGTGACTGCCAAAGCCTCGCCAATGCGCTGATGGCGGTTGACGGAGGCGGTTTCATGGTCGATCTTATCGAGAATACAGGCGAGAGTCTCATTCCTTGGCTCCAGGGCAAAACCAAACGAGGAAAACCGAAGACATTGGCACAGGTATTCGACCTCCAAGCCAAGAGAGAAGAAATCGAGAAAGCCATGATGGAGATGTGGACGAGGGGTGCAGATCAGACAAGAAAGGTCGATGCGATCATCCATCCCGTAGCTCCGCATCCAGTCCCAGAGCTGGACAGATATAACGCTGTCGGTTATACATCGAGCTGGGTTCTGTTGGACTATCCGGCTGGTACAATTCCGGTGCGGAATTTCAACGAAGCAGACCTGGACTTGGGAAAGGAGATGGACTCTAAGATTTTGACAAGTTGGGATAAGAGAAACAGAGAGCTGTGTATGTTCTTGAATCCTCCTGTATCTCTTAGCTCTTGCCCGTATCCTAACAATCTTTTCAACTCCAGGGAATTCAAATACTGTGAACCGACGCGTCTACCTTAATTCACCACTCAGCATTCAAGTATTGACGCCCAAATTGCATGACTACGACTTATATCATGCCATGGATTTGATTGACAAGGCCCTGAATGGTTCAAAATCTACCCCGGTAAAGCTGTGAAACCCGGCACCTATGACACTTCGTGACAGCTGAGGTTTATCAAATATTTATATATAACCGTATCAAAGATGCGATTCAATCTTACTAGTATATATACGTCTATACCGATGGGAGGGCGGCGGATAGCCTCGAGATATAGGGTATTCGTCTAATCTACTTCCAAATAGTAATGGGTGTATGTACCTGGAGATATCAAGACAGTATTCGTCCTATATTTACATCCGCCCCTTCAAATGCGCGCCACCATCCGTCGTAATACAGGCTCCGTTAATATGGCTGGCTGCTCTGCTCGACAAGAACACCACTAGGCCGGCAATATCCTCAGGCTCGCCCAACTTCTTATTAGGGCTATGCTCTGCCAATTTATCCTTCCCCCCCTGGATCTTCATGAGTTCGTTGGCCATTTTGGACGGATAAAACCCCGGTGCAATTGCATTTGACAGGATGTGCCGTGGTCCCAGGGCGACAGCAAGGTTCTTGGCGAGATGGATGGCGGCGGCTTTGGAAACGGAGTAACTGAAGGTGGCGTTATTCCCCATGCTACCGACCATTATTCCGGCCACGGAGGCTGTAATGATGACACGGGAGGGATCTTCAACAGTGGCACGAGCCTCGAGGAGAGGAGCGAATCTAGGATCTTTGTTAGTTCAACCAAGGAGATAAGGCCGGGGATCAGAGAGGCCTACTTCTGCACACAGTAGAAAACGCTCTTGACGTTCAGATCCATGACCTTCTGGAACGCTGGCTCGGGATGTGTCTCGAACTTCTCTCCCCAAGTGGCTCCGGCGTTGGCAAACAGGATGTCGACATGGTCAGTTGTTTTCTTTACTTCGGCAACTAGTCGCTCGATCTCTGATAACTTGGAGCTGTCTGCAGGGATCGAGATGGCCTGGGCACCCGGACGCTTGTTTGGCAGGGCATTCAAAGCGGCAACAGCTTCTTCGCATGCCTTCGCTTTGCGTGAAGTAATGTAGACTTTGGAGCAGCCCGCTTGGAGGAGACTTAACGCGAATCAGTATGAAAAGAGCTACAGACGGGAGGGAAAGAGCTCTGTATGGAGATAGCAACAAACCCGCTCGCAGAGTGTAATCCCAAACCTCGAGAGCCACCGGTGACGACTGCAACCTTGCCCTCGAGGGAAAAGATGCTGTCAAAGTTTCGGAGTTTGACTTCTTGCTGTGCTGCTGCCATTGTGAAACTCAAGGGTAGCTCTATTCGGAGCTGTACACTGAGTCTATAAGATCGTTTGAGAAACTGGGAATACAGCAAAAGGATCCGTAAGTCAACGGGGAGGGAGAATGTGATAAAAGTCTGGTGCTCGGGCAAGGCATCGTGGAACAAGCTCGGCCTAGCAGCTCTCAAGAAGAGTCGAGCCATTCGGCTTGCGGGGTCAACCTTGACCCGTTCATTATGCTCTGGAGGCGTTGCCGAATTTACGGCTCGGATATGCCGTAAAACTGTATGTTCCTCGGGTTAATATACAGTCAGGATGGGAGGCTTCACGGACAGTCAAACGGGCGCAAACTACATAGTAAAGGCAATCGCCATTTGCACCTATCGAAGAGCGTAGTGAAAGATCAAAGAGCAGTTTGCAGAAGCGCTCCCAGCGTCCTGTCAAGGCTGCTCTGGCGGTTTTCAGTGATGCCGAGGTTCAGCCTCAGGGCCAGCCCGGCGGATTCGCGCCAACGCCAGTAAGTATTAGTCAGTTTTCGGGCCGTGGTTATTCCGCTGCTCTGTCGTGCTCTCAGACCACCTGGGCAAAAAAGGCCAATCGCCTGGGGGGTGTGTTCAGTTATCCATAATACGTTCTCACCTCCAAACTCGGCCTCTCGAGTGTCTTTTTTCTGCTTTCAGGCCAAGGGATAGTTGGGGTCGGTGGCTATGACAGTCATGCAGTGGCGGTTTACAAGACCGTCACCCCTCCGCCTCAGAACGGAGTTCAATTCCTTGCCGCTGCTACTGGCGTTAGTATATCGCCGGACTGCAGTGGCCCGCACCACCCATAATTATCACAGCGACATTGGTTGTATTGTGGACAGCTGTTGATTTGATGAGTTAACAGCCCTGGTTATGAGTCGATGTTGATGTCGATGGGACAGACTCTCAGGGACGAGGGAAGCTTATGTACTTACTAAATAGCCTCCATGCCGAAGACGATATGCCACACTTTCTCCATCACCCAACCTACACCAAAATCATCTGTTGTCTGCGTCTCTGCAACCCATCTCAGCATCCGTTCATAGTCCGTCCTTGGCCTCCTCAGAATTTGTTTCCGACTAACGGCGAACTGTGCACAGCAGACTCCACCAATATGTTTCGGCACATTTTCGCGAGGAACGGCAAACAAGTCCATATAGATCTCCGCCAGATGCGCCCGCACATCGTCTCGACTAATATCGTTTTGTGTGGGATTCAGTGGATTTGCGCTGATTGGGCATCCGGGATTTTCCATGCAGCGCAGATTAACATATCCTTGAGCATCGACAGCCTCGTAGCGGAGATGTCGGAGAACGTCTCGGGTTCTGGGTCCAAAGAGGTCATTGTGCCATTGCTCTTGATTGGCGTGAATGAAGATCGAATATGCAGGGAGTTCGTGGTAATAATCAATGATGAAAGATAGGTAAGCGGCTGCCTCGCGGCCTCTAGCCGATCGCGGGATCAATAAGTCACTCTCGGGCGGCGTCTCGGTCGTATAGATAAACGCTGTGTGGTTTCTAGTGATATAAGCCAGGTAAGCAAAAGGAGAGAATGGGGATATTGGCGCTGGAGGCATGAACGTACAATTCTGAGCAGGTATCATGGATCCACCGTATGTCTTCTGCCTTCGTCTTTGCTGCTACCAAAGCCTTGTGGATATTACTCTCTCTATAGCTGGGTGTATCTAGAAAGCCATTTCCAAACAGGGCTGTTAGCTTAGATATCTTAAATCTGCATAACCGCCCCACGGAGAACCACCTTTCATAAATTTCCAGTGGCACAATGTGTATGTGAGGAATAGCATGATGCATGCCACAAGAATGGATCTGATCAGTTTCATCGTGAGTGCATAGAATGTCATTTTCCATTGAAATGCATCTATGTACATCTAAATTGAATCCACTTGCCTCTCTGTCTATTCGTGTTGAGTATTGTCTGAGTTAGCTAACTAGCTGGAAAGATCTCTGACGTAGTTGAGCTTGAGGAACGGCAATGTAGGGTAACCTCGGATGGTTGCAAGTCAGAGTTCACAATTATAATTAACCGGCCGCTTCCAGGCACAAAGAAAACTCAAAAAGGGGAGAGAAGCAAGGTTTGTGCTTTCAAGCAATATGGATATGCGACGGTTGAAGGTATGAAGCCAGGGAGAGAATACAAGCCTGGGTATCCAAAATGCGGCAGCGCCTTGCTACCTACGTGGGCCCGTCGAAATCCCAAACTTCAGACTTCATTTTTCCTTGCGCCAACTATTTTTCAGCCTTCTAAAGGTAGAAATTGTGGCATGATGCATGGAAATGATATACCGCTCCCCGTGGTTCCGGTCGCGACTTCAAGGTTAGATATAAGCTTCTTTCAAAGTTGGTTGGTTCTCCACTCTAGACTGTGGAGTTTCAACTTGGGATCATCGTCAGGGCCTAAATAGCTGCAGGAAACAGGCTCTCATCTTACGGAGTGCTCTTGATATGCTTATCCTTTCTTCTTTAGCTTCTTCCTGGACCACTGGCATCAGCCCCCTCCTATTTCAATTTTTCCTTCTAAAGCTACGTTAAGGCGGATTGATCAATTTCTTCCTTTCCAACGTCAATCCATATGCGGTTTTCCCGTCTTTCGGCAAGCTCGATGGGGTTTCCTCTGAAATCTCTTAATTCTGAGAATCCTGGATGGACAATATTATGTAGCCAAAGATCGGCAATCCCGAAATAAGTGCCGTAGTTTCGGGAATCCTTCCCATGCAGCTCCAACCCCCACTGAGCTCGGAGAGATTGCCCGTTAGAACAGGGCGAGAGCCATGGTCATATGCCGATTAACGAGATAAATCGGCATTGCGGCTATTTGCTGAAGTGGGATTTTGCCGATTCCCTAGTTTTGAACTGTCACTGCGGAGTAAACTACCTGGTTAGTCCACTTCGCGGACGCCGGCATATCGACTAGTAAGCTCATCTGAGGACCCGTTCCGGGTTCCTGCCCCAAGCACATCTGTGTGGATAAGATAATCAAGAACATCTTAGAGGCGGTGATGCTCCGAGCGCATATGGGACATCCCATAAGTCTACCCTACAAGTCGGGATTGTAGTGGAAATATCAAGAATCTTACGGAGGCTGTTGTTCTTTTGTCTACAATTTCAGAACACAGCGCGGCTTGCCGGCTCAGCCCTCATCACCCGGGGCTAAATTCCGGGCCGAGTTGTTGCGTCACACGACGTTGATTCGTAGTTGTCCAGTTTGGTGCTAGCAGTACTTATTGTGCCAAATTCATCTCATCCCATATTGAAACCCCGACCGCATGGCATTTTGGTATATATAGGAACCCGGAATTACACAAACAAGGATACAAGGGGAAAAGCATAACGCCAAACTAAGAGTAAAGGAAAGGAAAACCACAAACAAAGGAACAAGATGGCGCCCTCCGTCGTTGAGGCACCTGCAGCATCCCCCGTTCCCCAAAAGCAGGGCCACGCCGATGACGCCAACCCTACTCAGAGCAATGAGCACGGACAAGTAATCGAGCAAGTTCAGATGAACAACCGGACAGTCGCGGGCAAACAGCTCCGTATCAGAACCTATCCCAAGTTCGACACCCTCGAAGACGAGCGTCTATATCGCAAGCAGCATCTAGCAGCTGCATTTCGAGTATTCGCAGATCGCGGTTTCGACGAGGGTGTGGCAGGGCATATTTCAGTGCGAGATCCAATACTGACGGATCATTTTTGTATGCGATTTGTCTCTTTTCCCCAATGGCCTCCTTAGGCAGAGAAGTAAGTCGCATAATAACCGCATCGAGCTGTAGGGTTGAATCCGCTTTCACAGCACTTTTCTCAAATATGCGTCTCTGATCTCATTTTGGTCAACGAAGACGGAGAGGTTGTCATCGGCGATGAGCCCATCAACTCGGCAGCATTCTCTATCCACTCCGAGATCCATAAGGCGCGGCCAAATGTCAATGCTGCCTGTCACGCCCACAGTGTGCATGGAAAGGCATTTTCGGTGTTTGGAAGGGAGTTGGATATGATGACACAAGATGCTCTCCGCTTCTATAAATCCCACGCAGTGTACGACAATTTTGGCGGCGTAGTGCTCGATCGAGAGGAGGGAATTCGTATTGCGAAGGCGTTGGGTGACGGGAAGGCCGTGATTTTGCAGAATCACGGGCTGTTGACTGTTGGAGAGAGTGTGGATGAGGCGGCATTTTGGTTCATCAGCTTGGATAAAACTTGCCACGCACAATTGTTGGCAGATGCGGCGGCAAATGGATCTGGGTATAAGAAGATCATGATCAATAAAGAGGAGGCTGAAATTACAGCAAAACAAGTCGGGGGGCCAGAGAAAGGTTGGCTGGCGTTCCAAGGATACTATGATGAGCAGATCGCAAAAACGAACGGTGCATTCTTGAAGTAAGCACCTTTGTACACCGGTCGCGCGAATGGAAAAACCATCAACCCCTATTGTGCATAAGCATATCATAGTACACGATGACTGATGAATTAAACAATGCTCCTGGCTCCCGTAACTTGGACCCCAGAAAAAAGTAAAATCTGCGGGGGTACTATTGTAAAGAATTCCCACAGTCTTATTTAGGTTTTGTGCTGTTGACAGTTAAACAGACGCAATTCATATCCCATAAATGGCGGAAAGCCAGATGCCCAAAAATTCATAAACAGGTTAAGAATCCTGTTTCTGCACAAGTTGGTCAATAAGCAGTTATACATCGGATCCACATGTCTCCAGGCTCCGAGCACCGCTGGTAAAATCAATCCTAAATGTCTAGAAACTATGAACCGAATAAATACCGGCTAGCCTCTTTATATATTATTATCAATGTTTAAGGGAATCCGCCCCGCAGCAATGAAAAAAAATGGAAGTGCTCAAGTTTCACAAGACCCAGCATTAAGCTGTTAGAGGTCGCCCAATTCGGCAATTGGATATTTGGGTTGGCGGGACTGATCCGAGTCGACAGGGCTGTATTTCTTCACGCTGTCGGGAGTAGATGAACGAATGGACGATATGGTATGCCTCTTTAGGTTATAGCTGGTTGTTGGAAGTGGCCGTGCGAGGGGAAATTCGGATGGTTGCTGCGGCATGGCGTTTGATTCTTCATCCCTCTCAACGGTAGGATCAGGAATATCAATCCTGAAGGTGTTTTGAGTCACATCTGGACTGGGTGCTCGATCAGAGTTCTTCGAGAGCAGTTTGAGCAGTTGTCGTCTCTGCAGCTCGGTGTCATCGAGGCGGTGGTCTCTGCGCCGTCGCCGCTTCCTTTTGAGTCCGGACGCTGAGAACTCATCACGCCAATGATAGAGGACGGCTATAGCGCATCCGACTGTGAAAATGGAGCATATAACGATGGCGGCGATGGCCAAAGTGTCGAGGGGCAGACTTCGAAGGACGGTATTCAAGACGAGATTTAACAGACCGGTGATACTTGAGCCGAGGTAAGCCCTGGGAAAAATCAAGTTAAATGTCACTTTCCAGATGAAGCAGCATGGGTAGGGGGTGCATACAAAAAGATAGAATCCACGAGCTCATAGGCCTTTCTCCATCTCACACAATATATTACGCAGTTAATCGATGCGACGACAACCAGGGCCAGAGATACCGCAATCAATGCTTGTCTATTTCCTCCTAAATCCGAATTCTCGTAATCCATAGAAAGAGGGAAAATCAAGAACCTGAAAGGTTGGTAAGCAATGGCCCATCAGAGGTGTCTTGCTGTCCGCAATTACGCCGAATCCTTTGGACACGTACCCAGCCAAAAGCAGCCATGCTGAACCGCTTGCGAAGAGCTTCCAGTACCATGGCAGCTGGTCACCAAATATTCCCAGGCTGCGTCCAAGTTCTGAATAACGATGGGAACCCATCTTTGTTCAGCGTCACGGCATTGGCATCTGAAAGAAACGAGAGACGATGGGAGCGTCCTGGGTGGATGGAGGTACAGAAGTTGCGAAGCGGGGCTAACGAGCGAATCTTTGAGTAACTGAGGCGGATCAATCAGTGATAAGGGATGCCCATCGTCAGGAGAAAGAGAGGGGGGACGGGAGTTCAACAGGCGAGAGAGGGTGTCTCTTCCATTCCAGCCGTGAGGAAAGGAAAACGTCCCTGGATCTGACGGGCAACGCAAAGGCTTATGACCGCCTTAGTCATGGAAACGGATCGCAGTTGGCAGGCAGCGTCGCTTCTGCTGCAGCCGACAGGGTTCTGCGAGGTTGGCAAGCTAACCGATTAACCAACTAGTGGACTGCCAGCCCGTCAAGGATGCAGCTGAGGCCGTCGAGTGGCGTAGTGCGTCGTCACGACAGGCACAGAAACGGAGCACATACATACATACATACATGCATGCATACTTTTTGTAAGTAGGTATGCAGATAATAATAAACGTGTGGACCTGGGCAAATTTGGGGAGGGGGAAAAGAAGAATAGTAGCGCGAGAACGACGAGTCCTTCACCAACGCGCCATTCAGCGGGACCGGTCTGGAGCCGCTGAATTGCGCTAGTTATTTGAAGGCCACTGCCATTCAAATAGCGCCTATCTTTGCGATGCCATAGGCCGGGCTGCCAACAGCGGTTTCACACCCGACAGCTGGACGACGAAGCGCCGAGGGACGGTGAGCCCGATCAGCCCGCGAACTTTGCAGCTATGTAGCGTGGCTCGGGATGGACCCTCTTTTCTCCTCTCATCGACATCGTCAGCGTGTTTGAGTTTTCTAACCCGGTAAACTCTTCGTAAGGCTGACGAATGGTGAGTTCGTGAGCGACAGTCTGTTGGTCACTGGCACAGCGAGGGCTCCACGCACCTGAGCCCCTCGCTGAACCTTTCCCAGCAGTGCCTTTGACTGTCGAAACACCCGGATATACACGCAGTACATTCATACAGTTACATCACTCCACCAAGTTCACACCACTCCAGCCATCGTCGCAAATGATGCTAATAATGAGACACGAGAAAGGACTTCCCCGACTTTGGCGCTGTATTCCACCTGCAGACGTCTAACGACGGCTCGCAGAGAGAGCTCCGTGATTCCGGGGAAAGGCAGTCAATGAAACTGCAGGCGACCTGCAATATATGTGGTTATGTACATAGCACATGCCGGTCAGCCTTGCATCCCGAGCTCCTCTCTTTATGACGTTTTATTGGTAAGGGTTCCCGCTTTTAAAGTCTAATCGTGAAGCCCTTGACGTGAATGCCGCGGATTCTGCACCCTCACACCAACAGCGTCCGCGAGCCGGCTTGAAATCATCGGTTCAGCCCTCGAGGATTTAAAGACAGTCAATCCTCCCACATCCTCGGGATTGAAGCAGGGATGTGACCAATCTGATAGGCTTCCAGACTGCGATGCTCTCATTAGGCTTTGTCTTGCCATAAAATGCAAGGCAGCTGCCACCACCCGCCAGCCTGAATGGCCTCAATTCCCGTATAGCCGGAGGACCGCGGAACCTGCAGCGGAGGCGTAATTCCGGAGAATTGCGATGCGTGCGGAGCTTCCAGGATAACTTTATAATTGTGATACACCATCCGACGGGGGTGGTTCTCAGTTTTCTTTCTTCGTTGTGGCCAGCAGAGGAGATTCCGCATGGTTGCGCTCGCTACATATTTTTCAAGCTGCAACTCGACAGATTCCAACATGTGGATGCATTACAGGCCCGTTCTCTCGTCCCCAGCTAAGATTGGATTTTTCGCTGGGTCACCCAATTTTGGTCGGGTAACGTTATGCACAATATTTCATTGCCCCAAGAGTTCCTTCACCTTAATGGAAATCAATACAGGAAATGGGCTTCTATGGAGTGCTTTTCAATGTCTAATTGATTAAGACAACCCGCATGGAGAAAAGAATTTTTTTTTTTTTCCCTTCATCAAGGGCAACAGTGAGCAGCGACTTAGCTTGTGAGCAAAGCAGCTTGAGCCTGCATCTGTTACACCGTGTTGAAACTTTCGTGCGATATATCCGCACACAGATTAACCTCTGCTCGCATATTGTATCAACAGTCTGAGCTTGACAACTCCATGAGCAAGTTCCTAGTTTTCAGAAACAGTGTTGGACAGCCAGAGTCTAACTTTCAATTACCAAAATGCTGCTCTATATTGTGTTACACAGCCTGAAATTCAGAACTACCCTGTGAGATGTCAGAGGACTTCACCCTGGACACAGGAGTCATCGAGACCTTTGTAGATCGTCATATGGGATACGGGCGATAACGAGGCCCTACGCCTGGAACAGGTGCTCCCCTGCCCTTCCGCTCTCCGCTACCCCTTCTCCAATTACGGCCTCCTCCGGGAGTCCTGGAGACCGCGGGTTGAATATAAAAGGCGCAATGGTGCCGCAATCTGCACCGCATATCTTTGAATGTTCTCGCTGGTTTGCTACAACGCTTCGTTTGGTGTCTTTCTTTAGCTGGCATTATGACGGTAAATGCCGCAGACGTTGAAACAGGATCTCATCCCCAGACTTCCCATGGAAGTGAAATAACCTCAGAAATACCAGCGCAAGAGTCTTTGCAGAGAACTCCTGAAAAATCCAATATTGTTGACTGGGATGGACCAGATGACCCCCAAAATCCCATAAACTGGTCTTCCGTTCGAAGATGGATGACGATTACAATAGTTTCTGTCGTTACCTTTCTCAAGTACGTGAAAAATTTGCCTAGAAGCGGAATTCTCAATAACCCATCTCGGTAGCGCTTTTGGATCAACGGTCTTCGCACCCAGCGTCCCCGAGGTGATGCATGAATTCAACATAGACAGCGGTGCTCTCTCCAGCTTCACTGTCTCTGTTTTTGCCATTGGTTGGGCTGTTGGTCCGCTGGTCTTGCCCCCATTAAGCGAGTTGTATGGGAGGAATCCACTATACCACGCTTCCAACTTATTTCTTACCCTCTCCTCAATGGCTTGCGCTCTCAGTAGCAATTTGACCATGCTAATTGTATTTCGGTTTTTTATGGGACTAGCTGGATGTCCATCGCTTTCTCTGAGCGGTGGAACAATAGCTGATCTGATCCCATTGGAAAGGCGGGGAGTCGCTTTGAGTGTGTGGGGTATGGGGCCCTTGATGGTGCGTATATTTTAGTCTGAGTTATTTGGGTCCTGTCTAATAAAATGAGCGAACTCTATGCTTTTATCTGCTGATCGATACGGTAGGGCCCGGTAGTTGGTGCGAAGTCAACCATGATGTGAAACGCTGTGCTCGTAAGCTGACTCCTTGTTTCAGGGCCAATTGTAGGCGGCTTTATGACTGATAGCACTGGATGGCGTTGGGTATTTTGGATGATGACAATTGCAGTATGTTCTAATAGCCCCCGACGCTGAAACCGTGTGCTGTCATTGATGATGACAAGAGTGGAACACTCACCATTATATCACTATTGCTACTGCGCGAAACCTATGCTCCGGTCATCTTGGGCCGCAAAGCCTCCCAGCTAAGACAAGAAACTGGAAACATGGAGCTTACCACGAAATATGATAAAGGCGAAACCCCTGGGTATCTCTTTAAGATGGCAATCCTCCGCCCTACCAAGCTACTTCTCTTCTCGCCGATTGTCTTTCTCATGGCACTCAAAATTACCATCTCATATGGTTATAGCTACTTTCTTTTCACGACTTTTACCTTCGTCTTTGGAAATCAATACGGCTTTAAGCCGTCTTCGATCGGTCTGGTATATATAGGCATCGGCATAGGATACGTGGTAACACAAATCATTGCAGCATTATTTTCTGACCGATACATCGCTCGAATGAAAAGGGCCAATGCCAATGGTCATCCAAAGCCAGAATGGCGTCTTCCGCCGCTCGCGTTGGGTGCCATAATCTTGCCACTGGGCTACTTATTTTATGGCTGGACCGCGATGTACCGTTTGCATTGGGTTGTTCCAATCTTTGGCACGGCGCTCATCGGGGCCGGAACGTTATGCTACTTTTTTTCGATTATGGCATATCTGATCGATACATACACAATCTACTCCGCAAGTGCCATCTCCGCCAACATCGTTCTTCGATCCATCGTCGCCGCGACGCTACCCCTAGCGGGGACCAGGTTGTATGAAACCTTGGGCATAGGGTGGGGAACGAGTTTGCTAGCGTTCATTGCGTTAGCCCTGGCCCCGATCCCTTTTTTTCTGCTTAAATATGGGGAGAGAATCAGAACCCATCCTCGATTCCAGGTGAAGCTTTGAGTTTTTGGGGGGCGGTAGCCTGTCTAGGGCTGAGTGACACATCACGTTGACGGGATATAGTAAAACCTCACGGTCTACGGAGTCCTCCGTTCTTATATTGTATCTTATGGTGTTGAAATATCCGCCGCGGGAGAGAGGTTACGCGGATCGAGAATTAGCCAGGATTTTCCGCTCCTTATGCTGTGCTTATCTATGCCAATGGAAGCCATGCGGCAACCCAGGTGGCGGGGGGTTCAAAAAAGGGTTTCATCTCACAATGTATGTATGTACTGTACAGGCATACTCCGTACGGAGGACATACATTATATATGTGACTTATGAGGCCAATGGAATTTCCCGGTCAACTCCGTCTAGATTTGATATTTCTTTCCAATGACTTCGTAGGCATGAAAAGACACGAGGTTCTCCCAATGGCTCCTTCTGAGGCTGTGTATGCTTTTAACATCAGGATCTAACCCCGCTCCCCCAGCGGGCCGTTTATATTTGATTCCCGATGTATGTACGGAGTATGTGCACATGGATGTGTGTGCAATGTGTGCTGTGGAATCTTTTCGGCTACTTTTGACGCGTACACACACGAGGATATCATAAGGGAAGATTGCAGTCAAATGGGAAGCAATCGAAGGAAAATAGGAAATTTCATGCCGTCGAATACCCTTCAACAAGAGCGTCCTTGAATGAAGGATCGGGATCCCGGGAGAAAACTTAAGGCAGGGTCCCCCAGCGAGCTTACGCCAAAGTGGCGTGGATTGAAGCGTGAGCGGGATGATTCCGTTGTTTCACAGTTCTCATGCTTGTTGTTCTGGCAGGCCTAACCCAAGTATTCTCGCGCACCTTTCATATGCGTGATTGAAAGCTTGGTGGTGTCCTTGGTCACCTTGGTTCTTATAAGCTCTCAAAACCAACTGCTTGTCGCGCACTGGATCAGATGATGAATGTGGAAGATCAGCAGCCAATTCCCAAGGAACGAGATCGAGCTAAAGCTAATTCAGCAGCTGAAACGTCCGATTGACCACGAAAATCTGATCGCCGTTGTTTTGAGCCAAAGGCAAGTGGCTAGATGCGGAGGAGGCATGCTCGTTTTTCTATCCTGTGAAGAGAAATAATTCGCCTTTTGGAAACACCTACCAACGGCCTGAAACCCATAATCGACCTACGTATCTTCTCTCTTCACATACTCCCGACTGACGAATGCTTCCTTATGTCAAGGGGTGAAAAAGGAGGGAAAGATGTTTAGACAGCATGACTAAGGAGTCCAAGTTCTAGGACACTATCCGTTTCTAGTTAGCGCCAACTTGGGGAAGACTCGGCGTCACGTGTTAACCTCAACGTCGCCCTTCAGTGTTCACCAAACAAGTCAACGATAAACATCTCGCAGCGATCGTCAGAGGTTACTAGCCCCTGTAAGGGCGATCTGTTGATTAGGCGAGATTTAAGGATACAGAAGACGCGAAGCAAAGAAAGGTACTTTGCATTCTCTCTCCGGGCAGGGAAATAATTAACCCGAAAAGCAATTTTGCTCCGCAGGCTGAGCGCATCACTACTGACAACATATCCAGAGGGCATCAGCACTGTTTCACGTTGAAGTCGAGAGCGATAGGATGACCTGGTGCCATTCGTTTCAAATCATTGGTTTCCCTGAAGACATTCCGTCCTTTACTCAATCATGATCCCAGAAGAACAATGTTTCGCGTGCTTTTCAGCACCTCACTTGAATGTCGATTTCCCCATTGCTTTGATATCCTTGATCGACATTTGGTAGGGCCTAATGGGAAGAGAAGCTTGCATTCGTCACCATCAAGCCTATGGGATCAGGGGTATGAAGCTCGCAATGGGTCTTTCAAGCGCGTTAACAAGACCTGGATTTGGCTTCGACTATTCCACCTTTGATGGATGAGAGAGGGGTTGAAGCCAACCCCGCAGGCAGAGTCATGGCCTGATCACCTCTTAACCGGCATTCAACCTCATTTATCTTTGAATGCTAGCAAGGACATCCTTGTTTCACTGCCATCTGATTTCCCTCCTCTCAACTCCGAAGCGCTGTCGAAACTCATATAAGGAGCCTTCTTTCTCCCTCCAACTTGAGCCTGCCAGGACGAAACAACCAAGCAAACGATAGTACATGAGGACGGCCTAAATACATTTGCTTCTCTTTCTTCTTTGCCATTATCCTTTGATCTTTTAGCTGCGGCTCTTTTTCCATCATGCAGTTTCAACTTGTTGTGATGGCCCTGCTGGCTATCGGGGCCATCTCGGCACCTACTTCGCACACTTCTTCAGATTACAGCCTTGTCAGACGAGTCGCTCAGGGTACGCCTCCTCCAGATTGCCCTCCATGTGGCCCTCCCGACGGTCCACCCGATGGACCCCCAGAGTGTCCTCCATGTGGTCCTCCAGACGGTCCTCCCGATGGGCCTCCAGACGGTCCTCCCGATGGTCCCCCAGAATGTCCTCCATGTGGTCCTCCAGATGGGCCTCCAGAATGTCCTCCATGTGGCCCTCCTGATGGTCCTGGTGGCCCAGGCGGTCCTCCCGGCGGTCCCGGTGGTCCTCCCGGCGGTCCAGGTGGTCCTGGTGGTCCTGGTGGTCCTCCTGGTGGTCCCGGCGGTCCTCCCGGCGGTCCTGGTGGCCCAGGCGGTCCTGGTGGTCCTCCTGGTGGTCCCGGCGGTCCTCCCGGCGGTCCTGGTGGCCCAGGCGGTCCTCCTGGTGGTCCTGGTGGTCCTGGTGGTCCTCCTGGTGGCCCAGGCGGTCCTCCCGGTGGTCCTGGTGGTCCTGGTGGCCCAGGCGGTCCTCCCGGTGGTCCCGGTGGTCCTCCCGGTGGTCCTGGTGGTCCTGGTGGCCCAGGCGGTCCTCCCGGTGGTCCCGGTGGTCCTCCCGGTGGTCCCCCAGAATGTCCCCCATGTGGTCCTCCAGATGGGCCTCCAGACGGACCTCCCGATGGTCCCCCAGAATGTCCTCCATGTGGTCCTCCAGACGGTCCTCCCGATGGTCCCCCAGAATGTCCTCCATGTGGTCCTCCAGACGGTCCTCCCGATGGCCCCCCAGAATGTCCTCCATGTGGTCCTCCTGATGGTCCTGGTGGCCCAGGCGGTCCTCCCGGCGGTCCTGGTGGTCCTGGTGGTCCTGGTGGCCCAGGCGGTCCTCCCGGCGGTCCTGGTGGTCCTGGTGGTCCTGGTGGCCCAGGCGGTCCTCCCGGTGGTCCCGGTGGTCCTGGTGGCCCAGGCGGTCCTCCCGGCGGTTCCAGTCGCCGTAGGGACCCCATTGCATTCTAAACGCATACCAGCTTCGAAGCCTTCCAAACTGTGTCGAAAGTGAGTCTTTCCTATCTCTTTCATTTCTGTGATTTGTTCTTACCTCCGTCCACCTAAGAATTAGGAAAACCCGGATAGGGCCAAAGTTATGCTCGAGACTTCGAACCGATTGCTTGAACGGGACCTTAGTTCCTTCAAGGTCATGGAATATCCAGGAAGGCAAAGCAATAACATATATTCTTTTCTGAGTTGTTTTCAATGTGCCATATGCAAACATGTTTTCTTTTTAGTCTTATTGAAGATGACCTTGCTCTTATTGTCTTTTAAGGGTTCACCTGGCTGCATGTTTCTTACATATTTTTTGCCTTGAAACTTTTCTTCGTGTGAATATTGCATTGTGGACATCTGAATGAGTCCATCTACAGTGAAGAATACCCTGACTAATGGATTTCATCCTTTACAACTTTCTTATCATCAAGCACCAGGTCATCACTCCCCCCTTTTGGCCTAGCCGAATTTATCCTAACAATATGACCGAATTCTTCGAACATCATGCCGAATTACACACAGCTCCATTTTTCACTGACTGGCGAGCAACTTGGCTCTCTTTCCCTCATCTCGACTGCTTTCATACCTTACTTCGTACTCCCTAGTTTGAATAATACCATTGTCAGTCAAATTTTCCGCGCTGGGGCTCCTCCGTTCATTATTCCCCCTACTCATTAACCCTGTCTTCCGCCGGTCCTTCGACTTTCTCGGGTCGTTTATCTTACTATTGTGACCGTATGAAGCATATTTCCCAATCCGCGAGTCGTCGTTTGCAGAGTGAAGGAGGTTTTCACAGGGATGTTCCCTTTTGACACCGGTTCTAGGGTTTGAGCTTCCACTGTGGGTGCCGGAAGTATAACTCTGGCCTGCACCACCGGAGACGGAGAGTTCATAGAATTCGGGGATGGCACCGGCCATAAGTCCCGTTCGGAGATCAGCAAGGACGCGTTTGAGGCCAGGAATACTGGCGGTGACGATGGAGAGGCACAGGTTGACTTGAAGCCATATCGATGGTGTGACAGCGTGCCATGGTTGATCGGTAGGGTTAGACTTGAAAAAAGGTTGTATTTTGGCCAAGGATATTGCAGTGAATACTGCGACACTGTTTGGGATGGTAAGCAGGGTGGTGCTACATCTCCCAGGGAGTGACGAGGGCAATCCATACAATATTCGGGTTCCGAAAAGAGCAGCGACTGTCATGCGTTTCTTAAAGGAAAGCTGCACTCTCCATACAATGAAACAGGGCAAGATGACAGTCGCAACGTCGATGATGACGCTGCCAACACCAAGGCTAACATATAGGGCTTGTTGATTCAAACACCGGCCTGGTGTAAAGTCCCAGGGCCTTGGCCGATCACATTGGAATGAAAGGGTGAAAACGCCAATAATGCCCCAAAGGCAGATAAACCCCAACACCCCATAGCATGCGAGGAGAAATTTATGGAATGGCTTGATGGAGATGATAAGAACGACCATAGACAGCTTGGTGCATGTCAAGGAGACATGTGCGAGAATCTGACTGGCATAAAGATGCTACTTTCTCCCAATGAGCCGCTGGACAGGTATTCAAAGGGGGGCAATTGAGAATACTTTACTGTACTGTTCAAAGGAAGCGCCACTAAGAGCGTTCCTATGGCGCCCAAGTCCATTCAAGCAGGCATATCTCATACACACACCTTCGACAAGAAATATTATCTAGCTCAATAATAGTGATTAGTCGATACCACCGGTGGTTAAAAGCAAAAGGAAGGCATCGTACTGTCGCCAGGGACAGGAGCCAGTCACTCATCAAAAGCCGGCCGACGATTTTGGTTCGTGAAACAAACGCTACTCCGACCACCAGCAGGGTCAATATTATGAGAAGAACGCTTGTAACGACAACATATCCGCTATTATCGTTAGGACTGATGGGCAAAAGAGGTGGCAGTAGGATATCCTGATCACTGTTTGACATCACGATGCCATGAGCAAGAGAAACTCAATTTTCAGGATTTGCACCAATTTTAGATAAAAGAATCGCAGGAAACGGATGGAGTCGAAGAGTAAATTCACGAGACTCCATCTTCACATCCACTTTGGATCAATTCAAGACCAGAGGGAGATATAACCGGATATAATCTGACAAAAAGTTCACTTGCCACGATACCCATGAACGACTGGGTTTATTTTATTGAAAACTCTCTCCGAAGCTCCATATTTCTTCAACTTCTCTCATGACTTCATCCAACAGTTGGAGCCACCCGTATCCCACCCGCAGGAACGACAGACATATGAGTTAGTCACAAACTTCCCCGAGCAAGGGAGCTGTCGAGAGATTGTCGGGACTGGGACGATTGAAAGTGCATGAGTGACGAATCGGAAGCTCGACTCAGACACTGTGATACCCAGGATAAGATCACAATCCTGCAACTCCTAGGATCCCAAAACAAATCCAATTTCTTCAGGGCCCGTGGAACTGGGTATCCCAAGTCTCCCGACGCTGTACGAAGTAAGGCGTCTCAATAATTCATAGGAGCTGCGAAGGCCGAAAGGGATGCCAAGGAGCGGCGTCTCGGAACGCGGATCCGAGTCCCACTCGCAGCCAATTCTGGCGCTGCACTAGCCGCACTCGGAATAGCGTTAACTGCCGCAGCTCGAGGCTTGTCCGCTAAGTCTGAAAAGGGCCTGTTGGTGCCAGCCCGGGATGGCCCTGAAGCCGGCTCCAAGGTCCCTATGCACCTTGGAAACCACCAGCAGTCTCGTCACTCAATGGGAGCTCTATGAGTTGGATTCTTCCAGATTTATCACAAAAAGAAGCAAAAACAGAACAACTCGCGTTCGGTGGATCAAGCGGCAAGGAATATTTCGTGCACGGGATGATAAGCGGGCATGGATGCGACATCCCAGGATCCTGCGCGCGGGCGACACTGGAGCAACCAAAAAATTGAAATCTAACCAGTCATCCTTCGAATTACGTGGGTGTGGTGTGACCTTTCCCAGATTGGACGGAGGAGAAGGGAATATGTCTTTAGTTCGATGACTGGCCGCGACCTTTCCAGTCGGTTTAACAAATCTCTCCTCAATCCCAGTCCAGCATTTTCCCGCCACAATTATTTTTGCATGGTTGTGCCACAGTCTTTCTGAATCATGAATGGGTGACACTATTCCTCCGCAGGGTTTTCATAATGCCGGTACCCTTGCTCATGCGACTGACTGACCTCGACCATTCTGTGGGATGCACAGCGAGAACCATCGTCAATTGACTGAGGGGTTCTGCACACTGGTTTGACTTCTTCATCATTTCTCTTTCTTCCAGCTTCATTCCCGCGCTTTGCTTGGGAGGGATCGCCGTAAATAAGGCATTTGGAATTTATTTTGTTCCAATCCTCATTTACATTGTGTCAATCCTTGCACGACATCATTCGTCTCATGAAGACTGATCAAGTCTCATGAACCGTCATTATGGAAGATGCTGAATGCTACAAGCTGGATGTCCATTCCCGTATCCAGAGCATAGACTCTCCAAAGGAGAATGAAAAGGTCTCCTCCGGAGGCTATGGCTCGAAGATCGTGGAAGACCAGACAAGGATAAAGGTATGGCGTGTATAGCGACGATAATCGAGTGATCTCTAACGCGGCGTTTATAGAGGCTGTTTAATTTTACTCAAATATTCTTTTTTGCCTTGACCTTTATGTCCAGTTGGGAGACAATGGCTCTGTATGGAGATGATATCAACCAACTATGCAAAATATCAACTACTAATATTAGCTGTAGCAATTTGACGGCTGTGTTCACAAATGGAGGTCCGCAAGCGTTGGCTTGGGGTATCCTCGTTGTGGTTTCCGGAGCTCTAGCGCAATCTGCTTCTCTCGCGGAAATGGCTGCCATGCAACCAATTGCCGGTGCGCAGTATCACTGGACTCACCACTTGGCGCCACCGCGTCAAAGAAGGTTCATCACCTGGATGCAAGGTAATTATTACCCAGATGAAACTGCAGCTGTCAAAGAGCTTTTCCTTTTGCTTATATTCGCATTACAGGCTGGATTACGTGGTTCGCCTGGGTCTCTCTCCTCGCTGGCGTCGCAAACACTACAGCAAACATGATCCAGGGTTTAGCCATCATCAACTACCCGAACTATCAACCAGAGAGATGGCATCTTACCATGATCATGTTTGCGATGCTTATCATCGAGGGGTTGATGAATATGTACACTTTCTGGCTTATTCCGTGGGTTGAATTGCTGGCTGGTATATTGCATATCGTCCTTTTTATCGTCTTCGTCGTCGTCTTGGTGTGTCTTGCACCCCGTCATACAGCCGACTTCGTATTCGCCAAGGGAGCGTCAGCTTCGGGGTGGAATAACAGATACGTTTCGTGGAACCTAGGACTTCTCACTCCAACCTGGGGCTTTGTTGGTATGCTATGTTATATTTTCTAAAATTTCATGTCCCTAGGGAGATGTTGACTCGCTTAGGTTTCGATGGCGCCGTCCATATGAGTGAAGAAGTCCGACGTGCCAAGAAAGCCATGCCACGGTCCATCTTCTGGACTGTTGCGACAAACGGGGTCCTCGCTTATGCCATTATCATCGTGATCCTGTTTACTATGGGTCCCCTGGAAAACGCATTGCAATCAAGCTTCCCTATCATTGAGATCTGCCGCCAGGCGACCGGCTCTGTCAGAGCCGCCACCGCTATGGTGTGTGGGCTATTGGTTATATCGCTAGCTGTTAACCTTGCTAGCATTGCATCCGCATCACGGTTAACATGGGCATGGTCTCGAGACGGTGCCCTCCCGAGTTGGTTCTCATATGTAAGTACTCGTGGGGCTGCAACTTTCCCGGAAACCTTTTATTCTAATAATCTACTTTTGAGATTGATCGCAAACACTGCGTTCCCGTTCGAGCGGTCTGGCTCCCGATTGCCATTGTGATGGTTCTCGCATGCCTAAATATTGCCAGCGTAACCGCTTTCGGTGCGTTCATTGCCCTATCCTCTATAGGCCTATTCACTTCCTACCTAATTGCTATTGGATGCATGGTCCACGCACGGTTCTTCCAAACACACACGCTGCAATTTGGCGAGTGGAATATGGGCAGGCTTGGATTACCAGTGAATATCTTTGCTATATGTTACACCATCTACGTCATCATCTGGCTTCCGTTCCCATCCCTCCTGCCGGTCACCGGGGAAAATATGAATTACTGTCTCCCAATTTTTGCTGCAAGCACGCTTTTTGCATTGTCGCTATGGTTTTTGCGGGCTAAGAAGCATTGGGGAGGACTAAATAAAGAGGTTATCCGCCTTGTGGTTGAAGGAGGGGAACTCAACCTTAAATGAGCCACCTTTTTTTCACTGCCGTTTTCGGCTCAGACTGAAATAGCTTTTTTTGAAAGTGTTTAAATTTGTCGCCTCAGGAGCAGGAAAAAAGAGGAAAAACAGGACAAGAAAAGCTCCGAGAGTAAATAAAATAGGTTAACAACTCCTCCGCACATAGAACAATGGGGAAGAACATGCTCTCTATCAAGGAGAGCTCGGGGTCTTCAAAAAGGAAGTAAGAAGATTACATCAAAAGCTAATTTGTATCATATGAGAGACCTAATATTCATTCAACTACTGACTAATTTATTAGGTTGACACTGGCATCTGCGACTCTCAGTTTGTCTATTCAGTAGGGGATGGTCCGACAGGTTGAGCCGGAAGACTTGCTGCCAAGATGCTCCTTGCTTCAAGGACGAGGATTACGCTCTGTGCCCAGTCAATCTCCACGTGGATAAATACATTCTTTTGGATCGATTCAGTCGCAAGCGAATAAATTCAACTCATAAGGAATAAAACAGTGTCCATGGAGCGCTTAAAAGTTTTGAACACGGACAATCAGTTCAATCGGAAAATGCAGATGGTCATTTAAAACAAGATATGATTTGCATATATCTCCTGTTTGAAAGAATGCAGGTGCTCACACCCGGTGATAACTAGCATGACTTGAAACAATGTTGTTTCGAAAGCAGGGTGTTACTCCTGCAGAGTTATGCGTCCTAGTACAGTTGCAACAAAGCTGCAAGTACAGGCAGAAAGAGGGTTCGTCGCGCGTTTCATTAGACCCGAGCTTGAGTTTTCCACAGGATATGATGAAAAAATTGCTCCCATGCATTAGTTTCCCAGTGACTATTGAGGCAGTCGTCTTTTGTCTTATGCGCCTGGTACCATGGGGACCTACGGATGTCGGCTTACAGTAATGGGTGCGCCGGCTTAAAAGCTGTATAGAGAGAGTGTCCAAAGAGATGATAAATTGATGGAGCAAATTGAAAATGAAGAGAGTAAGGATGTAAACTATGGCCAACCCAACGCCCTGCCGGGTCGGGCTCCGGGGAAAATCCAAAAGAGGCGCAGTCTGCGTAGACCTCTCTGAAACAGCCAACCTGATTAAAGCTTCACATGATGATAACGGGCTTCTGCCCAGCCCAGTTAACCTATGTATGGGGTGGGTATGTGATCCCGATTTTGAGAAAAGATTCGATGGTTCGAATCGCACCAGCTTTCAGAGCAGAGAAAGATATTCTCGAAACCCAATAACGTCCCCATTGGCCCTAGCGGCGACAGAATCTCAACAATCTTCCCGCCTCCCTTACGGGGATCCTAATAATATGAAAGAGACGCATCGCAAGACATCCATCCATGGCTTTGTTCCGAGCGGACTTGGCGCTGGGGTGGAAAGGGGGATGAACACGTGACTGTAGCGGAAAATGACGCAATATGGATTAATCAGCGCGGAATTGGGCCCCACTGCGGGGTTATTTCCATCCCGACTGCCCGCCAGCGCAGCGTCGGCAGTCTTGGGGCAGTCCAGCTGGGAGGGAAGAGACTGTTGACCCAAGATACGACCCTAGCAATTGAGCTTTGCCTCGGGGCTCAACAGCTTCATCGACTCAGCAAACACTGCTGAATCCCTCGACACTTCGCTCCCAGCCGTAGTTAAACCACATCACGAACTGACACAGCCATGGGAGATACAATGCGAGCTGTTGGTATGATCGATCTTCCAGATATCCTTAATTAACAATTACTTGCATTCGAATATTCGCTGACAGACATATTCTCCTTAGACGTCAAGGGTGGTACAGGCCCAGCCTCTGCCCTCTTCATCAATCCTTCTGTTCCCAAACCAAAACCTTCCGCTACGGAATGCCTCGTTCGTGTCAAGGCGTTTGGCCTAAACAGAGCCGATACGCTTCAACGACAAGGCAATTATCCGCCCCTGCCTGGTATTACTAATATCCTAGGTTTGGAGGTCAGTGGTGTTGTGGAAGAAGTCGGCGCTGGGCAAGGAGAGGATGCTCCAGTGTGGAACGCGGGAGACGAGGTGTTTGGCCTACTGTACGGCGGTGGATATGCGGAGTATGTGGTCGTTGATAAAAAGATGCTGATTAAGAAACCAAAAGATTGGAGTTGGGAATACGCTGCGGGGTTGTGTGAAGTTTGGTTCACGGCCCTTCAAGCGCTCTATCTCGTCGGTGGTTACGATTCTCAGCGGACGCGCTCCATCTTATGGCACGCGGGCGCCTCCTCTGTTTCTATCGCGGGCATCCAGCTCTCCACAAACGCTAACCATAGCTTGGACAACACGACTACGGCTCAGAATCTGCCATCGGCACCAAAAGTGTTCGCTACATCCCGGACGGATGCCAAATGCACTTTCTGCATTGAAAATCTACACTGCACCGGTGCAGTGAACACCAACAATCCCAACTGGGTTGAAGAGATCAAGAAACAAAACGACGGTAACGGTATCGATCTTGTGATAGACTTTGTCGGAGCCACGTATTTTCAATCAAATCTTGACGTCTTGGGTCAAGATGGTCGAGTCGTCATACTCGGACTTATGGGCGGTGTGATTCTGCCAGACAAAGTTAACATCGCCCCGCTCTTGAGGAAGAGGGCTAGGGTTGAAGGAAGCACCCTTCGATCAAGAGATTTAGAATATCAGGTTCGATTGAGAGATTTGTTTGTGGAAAAGGTCATGCCAGGCCTCATCGATGGGACATACAAACATCATACGGAGAAAGTGTTTGGCTGGGCCGATGTCGGGCTTGCGCATCAGATGATGGAGCGGAATGAAACAAAGGGAAAGCTGATATGTGTTATTGGGTCGACCTGATACAGCTGCCAGGTTGTCTTGATTCGGCCGTCCGTACTGTACATCCAAGGTACTGAAGTGCGTACATGAAGGAGACGTGTATTCATCGCATCGAAATACTGATTATATATATTTTTCCGGAACATGCTATGCTTTAATGCCTTAACAAATGCAAGAGATTGCGCCGAAATCAATGCATAACAACCCCACGATTCTATCTTCATGAACCGGCCTCTGTGTACCCCTCATTCATTCGGACATTCCATAGCGCGACCAAAACAAACGGCCTGACTAACCGATGGCTAGAGGGTCCCACACAGAGAACTATGGTACCTTCTCCACCGCATCCAACGACAAAGCTTTCTCGTCATTTTTGGCCCTGTCACGTCTTGCTTCATCCTCCTCTTCTCTTCTCCGCTGCTCCTTTAACTCCTTCAGATGCTGACAAAACTTGCTATTCGCTCGAATCCGCGTCCCATATTTGATATACGTAAACGGAATCACCGACATCACCAGGCTACAGAACGCCAACAGGCTACATGACCAGTTGGGGCCCAGCTTGTTGAACATCGGGACGGCTGCGATAGGAAGAGCGGCGCCAAATATGCTCCGGGTACAGCTCGCTGCAGACTGTGCACTAGCAGAAAAGGTTTCGTACGCGTCAGAGATATAATTCAGAATCGCCATGAAGATCAGCAGAAAGCCCATGCCAAAAGGGATGCCGGACAGTGCCGGAATAACCCAGTGAATCTCCGGCTTTGCTGTCCAGCCGAGCCAAAATAGGGCGATGACATATAATGGTCCGCCTAGGCATGCTAGCGGAAGACGTCTATATTCTTCGACTGCGGCCCAGCTCGCACCTCGGGCCTTTGCTTTATAAAGAATACTATCCCACCACAGAAAGATACCCAGAGAAATAAAAGCGCCTCCACCAACTACCAATCTGTTAGCTCTAAGACCATAATCTTCTTCTGGTCAATGACTCACTCATCAGATACGTCAATCCAGATTCACCAGGGGACATGTGATAAATTCCTTGAGGATTTAAGCATTAGCGATTGATGTACGGCAATTGAAAGGTATTCAACAACGGGTGAAAGCCATACCTTGAAATATTACCGGATATGCCTGGAAGAAAAGGAAAAAAATAGCATATACCATCGCAAGATACAAACAACTAAATAGAACAATGGATTCGTAGACTAGCATCCGTATCGGGCGTGTTAAGGTTACCGTTAGCGTGGCTTTCAGGTCTCGCTTTTCGAGGTCAATTGGGGCAACGATGTTATTGTTTCCAGTCTCTTGACGCAATTTCTTCGCTCTCCTTTGAAGTAATATCGGAGCATATGTTTCAGGCATGAATACCACGAACGGAAGAGTGATCCCCGCGAATATTAGCCCTACCCAGAAAGCCCACCTCCAACTAACCACGGCGACATATCCGCTGATAAACGGAGCGGCAACAGGTCCAATCGTCGTCGCCTAAGGTGGTTAACGTGGTTATGGGATATAATTAGGGGGAATAGGCTGACTTACAGCCATGAAATATGCCATTACTCGCCCGCGCTCCCTCGGGTCATCGTGTATATCGGCAAACAAGCCGCCAACCACGGCCACTGGGGCGGATGCCACCACCCCGACAAGGAGCCTCAACACCAAAAGTGAAGCCCAATTCTGGCACACGGCGCACGCAAGTGTGAATGCCATGAAGCCCATGAATCCACCGACAATAATCGGCTTTCGTCCATAAGCTTCAGATAACGAGCCACATATGATAGGACCAACAACGTAACCAATGAGGAACATAGAGATGGGCAGGGCCAGTTGCTCACTACCTTCGATCCCGAAGTCCCGTGCGATATAGAGCACTGCACCACTGGGGAGAGAGCTCCCCAGGGTACTGTTAAGGACCCCCAAGACTCCAGATGTCAGAACAAACAGTTTCTTTCTCTGTATCAGATGCATATTCTTTAGCAAACATGTACACACAGGCATAGTTCAGAGCAGGGAATCCCATATAATATTACCATTGACCAATTGACAGGATTCTCCGGGTCCTGGGAGCTAAATGAAACCACCATCTTCGAGGCCACTCGCCGGAACTTATAGCCTCCAGATTCTCCTCCATCCACAGGAGAGCAAATTCTTCCATTCACACCGTCGATTGAAGTCCCGGACGAACTTTGCGAAAGAATAGTTTCTACATCTGCTAGTTAACTCCAGGCCCCGAAGATCTTAATGTCTGCCACTTTCTGTGCTGCATTTCAATTCACAAACCTGTGGCTGCCACCATACTCGCTCCCACTTCCTTGTGTCCACCAACGGTTCTAACCCCAATGTCTGACATCGCATCATGCGACGTACAAGATGATCGCGCACAGGCAACTGCGCATCCCAAGAACAGCCGATGAACGGTCTCTAGGCGAGAGAGAAGAGTATTGAGGAAAAAAAAAAACAAAAGAAGGGAGTGGAGAGACAGGTCTCACAGAATCGTGGCAAGGAATATTCTCAAGTTTTCCGGAGGTGGCGATGCTTCCACCTATTTATTGCCCAAAAGTAAATAATAAAAATGTTAGACAGAGACGAGAGAAGAGCCGTGTTTCCTTTTGTGCTCTGCCCCACAGCGCGAGTTGGGGGGATGGCATGGAGAGAGCAGAACTCGGCCAAAAAAGAACATTCTTGGCCTTGCTGCTCGAGACGGGACAGCGAAGCACCGCTCTTCTTCGAGGCCAAAGGAAATGAGGACTCGACCCGGGCTAAGGTCAGTGCTCCATATACCCCGGCTTCCCGGTGCCAGTAATGAGCGTGGGGAAAGCCAGCTAACGTGGTTAATGGGGTAAGAGAAATAGGTGAGCGTCCGGATAACACGGCTTCAGGTGTGAAAGTCAATTCCTGACTCGCTAGCGCCCCAGTTAACGGTGCTTCGGGATGGCTGCCGACGAAAACGTGAGAGCTCCGAAAGGACCTTTTTTTAGACGCTCGGTGATCAGCAAAGTTGGCGAAAACGTAAAGAGGGTTGCGCCACATAAAGTGTGCTGTTTTCGAGATCAGTAGGATCTCCAGGTTTTCCTTTCTTGCATTTTTTTCACATACTCCGTACGTGGATGCATGTTCAAGAGTGACCGACAGAGTGTCGGCTTCACCAGACCCAGCATCCTCTCATAGATGGTGAGATGCAATTCTACCCGAGTTTATGTCGGCTGGAAACCTTCTCGAGATTTGATATCGTGCGTGAACCTTGACGCACGTGTTGTGTGCAACCAAGCAAGCTGGTTTGGATTGCAATCCCGCTTCGTCGTGGTAGAAGAACCTTTTCTCTTTCAAGAGCGACTCGACAATCTACAATGAACTAATAAGTGATTCCATACCTGGCTCCGCGTGGATCCGATAAGATACTGCACATTATTATCTTATCCCAATTGCTATCGGCCAATAAAAGCTTTAGATCATATTCGCGGATACAGATATCCTTGAAGAGGCTCCTGCTCAATAACTGACTTTGCGTTAAACATGCTGCTTTAGACCTAAGTCGCCTTTCTGAAGCTGGCTAATACCAAGTAGGGTGTTGACGGGCATGATCGTCTCGTCTTTGTCTTCAAAAACAAGATAACGCGTTCTACCTGAATTGATGCGCATTTTTGACAGGGAATTTGTCCCTGCCTTGGGCCTCTGAGCTAACCCAAATGCTCACACTCTTGGGCATAACTCCAAAGCTACCGTAACCCAGGCGGTTGATCTTAACGGAACCACCATATTGCCCATAGATCTCGGTCCACTTTTCCCCCGCATGATTTCTTCCGACGTACATGAATTTAAACGAGCGCCTCGTGCTGCTCATAACGCAAGCAAGACCGGATGGGTGATCAGCATCCCCGTATCTTACGAAACCTGGGTTGCCGTTTATTACTCATTAGCCATCAACTGATTTAACGCGGAATCAGAAGGCCAAGGCAAGGAGTCAAACCAATGCAGTGCTTTTGAAAAAAGTAGTCACGTTGCGATCCGTAAGCGTAAAGGCTGCGCCCCAGTGCCAGAGACCCCAAGTTGGGCAACGGGCCTTCAGCCGCATTTAGAAAACCAGCGTTGATACCATAAAGGTCGCCATAGAAAAGACACGGATACCCTTCTTTGCGGAGGAGTATCAATGCATAAGCAAGGGGCTTAAACCATTGCTCCACTGGAAGCTATGGTGTCGAGAACGGGCGGGCGAAGAATTAGCATGGACACTAGCAAGGGCGAAAATAGAAGGGCGCCGCCCTTACCTCCAATGACTGCCCTAGTTGCTAAACAGGAGTTAGCCAACTTATCACAACGCAATGTCGTCGTAGGGGCGTACGACATACCGTGTCATGATTCGTCACAAACGTCTGTCGACGGTCAGCACATCGGATATCGACAGAGTATCAGTATTACTTACTACGGCGTACTCGGGCCGCTTTTTCAGCAAGGTTTCGTGGAATACCTTCCTGAGGTCGGGTTTCCTCGCCCGGGAAAGTCTAGAAATATTGTGGGCCAACGGCACATCGAAGAGGGATACCAAATTCTTCATCTGTTCCAAATAGGTCAAGAGCTCATTTATGTCATTTTTCCAATACTCGGCGACGAAAAACCAGTCCAGTCCAACTCGATTCTTTATGTGGAGGATAAACTCGATAAGAAAAGACCGTGAGTAGTGTTTCACAGCATCAAGCCTGAGCCCGCCGATGGGAACCTGCTCACTGAGCCACTGAATCCAATTCTTAACATCATCTTTGACATCCTCATTAGAAAAGTCGATATTTGCAAACATGAGATAATCGAAGTTCCCTCGTTCTTTGCTCACGTCTGAGGCCCAGTTTTTCCGGCCGTCGCCAATAATTTTATAGATACCTCTAATTCCCGTTCTAAGGTTGTGGTCGATACCGTTAAAATGGTACCAATGATATTTCATCGAACTGTAGACATTGCGGCGCCCGGGAAACTCGAATCCAAGCCAAGATTCGATTTCTATCGGCTTGTTCCCATGGGTGCAATTTCGATCTATAGCGGAACGCTGAGTCAGATGAAGCGGTAAATTCCTAAAGGAACCAGCAGGAAGCATAGAGGACACTACCATCTGAATCCACCCTAACCGCCTGGCATGTTTCCGTCCTGTCTGCGCCGGCCTTGTGGTTGAGCACTGCATCCCACAGGATCTTTATATTCATTTCCTCGGCCTTGTTGGCCAAGTCCTGCAGCTCCTCCTTTGATCCCCATTTCGTGGGCACTGAGCCTTTCTGGTCAAACTCGCCGATGTCGTAAAGATCATAGATGTCGTAGCCATTACGGGCAGGAGCCATTCCCTTGCAACCCGGAGGAATCCATATAGCGGTAACACCAATCTCTTTGAACCAGTCAAGAGCCGCAGTCAGACGCTTCCAGTGCTGGTGATCAGCCGGAGTGTTCCACTCGAATGCTTGGAGCATCAACTGGTTCTGGTTCGACTGAGTGGTGGCTTTTTTTCGTTTTGAAGAATAGGATGAGCAGTAGTCAGCAAACACTCCACGCCTATAAACCTACAGCAGGAAAGCGGGGTCAGCTAACTCTCTGCTTGTTTATCAGTCATGCTGTTTTGTAGCTGGCTGGTCAAGATAGGATATCAATGCAGCTGTGTCGAAAGACCAGGTGTTTGGTTCAACAGATCAACAATCAAAAAGCTAGGATGGAAGAGTAGTGGTTAAGCCTGCACGAGAGACGTTTGACAGAGACGGTTGACCGTGTCCTGAGCAGCAGACAACAGATTCTTGGGCGTCCATAACACAATGAATAGCGGGCATGGAAGGGATGCTTCCTGCATCCCTTGCTGAGGAAACGAGGCATGTCACGAGGAAAGGAAAGACGGGTTCACTCCATCGTTGCTGGCACGCGAGCCACAACGCAGCAGTTGGTTCCAGGGGAAGCACGACTATCTCAAAAAGCCTGCGGACTGCAATTCCGAAGGAGCTCCTTGGATCTGTGCGACGAGAACTCCGTGCCCTTGTACGGAGTATGTACATCGATATTATCAGCATGCATACGGAGTACATACTCTGTACAAGCACAGTTCCAAGCAAACAGGGCAAACACACACCGAACTTACTCGCCCCAGCAGCCGCACCACGTGACCGACGCCGCGACGCTTGGACCGTGACGCCCCATGTCACCTAGCCACATCCAATGAAGATTCGGCAGCGCCCTGGCTTGATGGAAGTCTGAAGAGCTCACCATCCGCCGCTTTTCGCGCCCGTCAATGACTCTGGGCCATCTCCTCCGTACTCCGCAAGATTGATGTTCGGCTTGCATCATCCGGGCACACTTCGTCAGCACACAGTGCTTCACCGTGGCTTTTGCCCGCCCATCAACCCAGACTTAGCTTCCGTCATCGGCTGTTAGGTCACTCCGTCGTCACTCCTCCGTTCCGCCACCTCTTCAAAGGAATGCAGCGCTTTTCAACCTCTTTGGTCCCTTTCACCCTTCCGGAATCCCATTTTGTCAAGTCCATGGAGCCGTTGTTGTGCTAATCTGTGCTGGGACCTGTGCAATGGCTTCGGCGGGCAAACCGAACATCGACGATGGCAGACGGGGCACCAGTTCTCCGAAGCTTAAAGGACGCGGTAGGCGCACACGACCACTCCGTCGAAAAGTTTTCATCACCTTTCCCTGGATGGAGCGGCTAATCGTCTGCATGGCGCGATAGATCACGCGAAAGACACATTATGTCGAAATGTGACCATATACGGCCGCTGTCGTTACGAAGATAAAGGTCCTGGGAAATCCCCCCTTTGCTTTTACTCAAGATGTGTCTCGACGCTGAACTGACAGCTATGGATTCAAAGGCTGCGTATTCAACCATGATCCGTCACGGGTCAATGACGCCCAGCATCCGGAAAGGTGAGATGCCCCACCTGCCTGCATGATATGCCCCGGTACACCTCTTAACCCGACCAAATACCTGACTGAGATGGCTTTTCTTCATCGCAGTAGAAGTAGCAGCAAGAAGCGCTTTAATGTGGACTCACCCAGCTTCACACCATCCGCTACTCCCCTCAATGGCTCCTCCGGCTTAAAGAAGTCCGCTACTATCTCTCCAAAGGCCGCCAATGCTGCGCCGTTTCTTCCCAAAGGGGTCCTTTCGAGTATGTTCGTCTGTTCGCTTCGGACTATAAATTATGAGATGTTGATCAGATTCGTTAGGATCAAATGCTGCTACGCCTCAGAGCCAACCGGAGACCTCTACACCTGAGTGGTCCATAGGCGAGATCCAAGATTTCGTTCCGCAAGGGTTCGACACTTCGCATGTTGTGAGTTCATCTCTTTATTTGGCGGGGCTTGAGATTCTAGCGTTGCTTTGTCTGTTGGTCATAGCTATTGCACTAGCCCCGCTCGAACGTATCTGAAACTTAGTCTAATCGCATGTGATGTAGGAAAGCATACATGGACACGGCAACGGAGTCCTTTCAACTCCTGCTTATGATCCGTTTGTCTCTTCTTCCACACCGTTGGGAGCTTCTGGTGCTGTCACCCATCAGGTGCAGCCTAACCCATACTCCCACGATCCATCTGCGATCGGCGGGGCGGCTTTTTTTGGAGCCCACAACGCGTTCCAGCAGCCGGTATGAAGGAGATCCTCCATTCAAATTTCCTATGCTAATGAATTGCTTAGGTTCAATACCACTTGTACGCCCCAATTGGACCACATAATCAAAATATTTTAGGTTACCAAAGGAACATCCATGACCTGTTTCTTCCCAATTCCTTTCGAGAGGAATTGCAAAAGAAAGCTGCAGCTACCCTTCAGACACTACCTAGTGAGTTCTACCCTAAAGCAGGAGGCTTTACTTGCTTTCCCAATTATTGATCGTCTCCAAGATTCGCAACTCCCTACCCAGATAGATTACTTTCACTCTCTTGTCCCGCTTGATCTCTCCCATCAGAAGAACGCCGCCATTTTTGGGTACCCGAGTTGGGTTTATAAGGCTCAATCCAGCAAAGATGGAAACTTTTACGCTCTCAGGCGTCTGGAAGGTACGCTTTAAACCACTGATATCTCCGAACCATAAGCTAAGCTGCTACCCTGCAGGTTTCCGTTTGACAAATGAAAAAGCGATCCGATCAGTGCAGAACTGGAAAAGAGTGAGCTGTGGCAGCGTGGTCACTGTGCACGATGCCTTTACCAATCGAAGTTTCCAAGATAGCTCCTTGATCTTCGTTACAGACTACCATCCGTTATCTAAAACCCTGGCGGAGCAGCATTTAGCCGATGGGCAAGGTCGCTACCAGGGTCGTCATACCTCCGGGCATATTCCAGAGCAAATTCTCTGGAGCTATGTGACCCAAATTGCGAATGCGCTGAAAGCGATTCATAGCGCGGGTCTTGCTGCTCGCGTCATCGAACCAAGCAAAATTCTGCTTACCGGCAAGAATCGAATTAGATTGAATGCGTGCGGCATTTTGGACGTTGTGCAATTCGATTCTCAGCGACCCCTGGCTGATTTGCAACATCAAGACCTCGTTAACTTCGGACAATTAATCCTCACACTCGGGGCCAACTCGCCTTCACTAATGCATAACCCAACGAAAGCCACGGAGCATTTCAACCGCAGTTACAGCGCTCAGCTCAATAATTCCGTCTACTGGCTACTCAGTGGTATGCAAAAAGATCAAGAACGGACTATCGATATATTTATCTCCGGTATATCTTCACAACTTATGTCGACCTTTGATTCGTCGCTTCATCTTGACGACCAACTTATTTCCGATCTAAGCCGGGAATTAGAAAATGCCCGGCTCGTCCGCTTGCTCACCAAACTCAACTTCATCAACGAACGACCAGAATACGAACACGATCGTCAATGGTCAGAAAATGGAGAACGTTATTTCCTAAAATTATTCCGCGATTATGTGTTCCACCAAGTCGATGCGCAGAATGCACCTGTGGTGGATCTAGGTCACGTATTGACCTGTTTGAATAAATTGGATGCGGGAACCGATGAGAAAGTTACCTTAATCAGCCGCGATGAACAGTCGTGCTTCATTGTGTCGTATAAGGAGCTGAAGAAAGCTGTAGAAGCGTCTTTCCAGGCGCTTCTCAAACCAGCGCGGAGAATCTGATGATAGACGTACCTCGATTGCTCTCTTGGCAGGACCTGGACATCCCTTTGTTAGTCGTGAAGCTGTTGTGGAATGAATTGACAGTGTTTGAAAAGCTGCAAAACATATCAGGTGCTTATTTATTAAGCATCTACGTTGTTCTGTCTCTCTAGCTATATGCGTTTTGAGAATGTCTTTCTATATTATACCATGCAAGACAAGAGAAACCTGGGGTCGGAACCTTTTCTTTCTTTTTTTTCCTGGTTTATGCAGGAACCATGCAAAATTTTGGAAGATTGCAGAAGTTCAGGAGGGATGATTTATAGTATGTTAGAAAAAAAATTGAGAAAATATAGTATAAATGTTTCTTATCTTCTCTTTCGATACTTTCGCAGACCCCACTATCATAGATGCAATGCTTCGTCATTGCAGTGGCTTCATCGAGAAGTGTAGAATAGGGCTTACGTCGACTCCAAGGCAAGAGTATCATGCGAGCGTCGTAGGCGCTTAACAGAAGTATGCGTATCCTACCACAAGAGAAGGGCCAGTGCACAGAATCACCAAATTTCCCGCTTCCCCTCTTTGCTGCAAGGGAAAGGCACAAAGGTTATCAGTGCAGGGCAAACTCTGTTGTAAAAGCTTTTGGCTTGCTGTGTGCCGGGCGGGTTAGTAAAACTTTCCTGGAGTGTGTCTCGATGCAAGCTACGTGGCAGAGGTTTTGGTAACAGAGGCTGTTTAATTTTTTTTCCGAAGTAGAGGAAATCAGGCACATCTTGTGGAAAGGAGGTTGATATGATGAACTTTTGGCCAGTTGTGGCTTGATTCGGCGGGCGGTAAAGGCGGGATTCACCCCGGAGAAATTGTGAGGGGAGACAGCTGAAGATCGACGTGGCCCTGGGCTTGAGACCTGCATCCTGTCACAGGTGTCACATTAACTAACTACACAGTTACCTTTGTGGTCTATGCACAACTTGACTTGGATGCCGGAGAAAACCTCCTCATCATCAGATATACGTTGTAGTTCTACAGTCTGACACAGAAACAGAGAACAATTATGCTCCAGCCTTCACAGCAAAACAATCAGTTACATTGCATTTAGAATCCAAACCATTCGGCTGATGGCGAAGAACTCTGCCCCAAAGTTTGATGTTGTAATACTTCACTGCGTGTCTGCTAAAAGGCTCCCAATCGAAGGACTGGAGGATGGTTTGGTGGATTTCCAGCCATCTGAAGACAATGGCTCTGTGATGCTCTGGAGTAGTCAGAGTTAATAATAGTGTTTACTGAGCACAGTTCACCCCAATGATATCGATCCCGACCAGCCATTCGGCATGCCGCATCGAGCGCCAAGCTCATTCCGCCCCGCCACTAAAGTAGATCTAGGCCAATAGGACCTGACAATGGGAACTGGGTCAATTTCTATTGATAGGAAGCTGCAAATGACTGAAGGATAATTGGTCACTTTTTTGGCTCTCGAGCTGCTGCGTTTCTTCAGTCCGGCGGTTCGACATCGATGATCCAGACCACGCGAGAGCATGCATGCTACCATCTCAAGACGGGAGAGAGATGTGATGATCACATATAAGGCCGTCCTGGTATGGGATTTCAGGATGTGGACTTCATATCAATTCTGCAAATATTTACCCGTATTTCTCTTCACTTTAATATTTCCTTTGTTGGCAATTTGTTCTTCGCATTTCCTTATATAAGTATTAATCCTTCCGGGAGCTGGTCTTCCTGCTGATATATATAATTATCAACATTGAGACTGTGATTCACGATTGCAAATGATGGGCCGTTTGATGTTGATTCTTCTGGCTCTCACCTTGTCAGTGCTTTCCCTACCTATCGACCGGCCCCAAGATGAAGCCAAATTCCGCTCTGGCGTTAGCAAAGAAATCCAAAAATTTCCAAAACGCGCCGAACTTGCCCCAAGCCCACGCTGCGACCTCTCTCATGTAAAGCTTCCACAGAGCTCGGAGCCTTTTCCAGATATCCCTCAAGGACAGAAGCTTCTTGCTGTGGCTGTTGGTCGAGGAACCCAGGTAATATTGAGACCCGTATCGCTTGTTATTAACTCGTGGGCACCGTGGATATGCGTTTGCCACGAACTGTGATTCACTTGAGGCCAGGCTGACAAATCGTGATGGCATAGAATTACACATGCGAGTCTGAGTCCGGAAACACGAAGCCAAAGGGGGCTCTTGCAACCCTGTTCGACGCTTCTTGTATAGCGGCAAACTCTCCACCTCGTCTAAGGGCTCTTGTGTATACCGCTCTTACCCAGCAGCAGCAGCAGCATGCAGAGCCCATTTCCAAGACCCCAATGGGCGAAATGCCGTTTCTGGGTCGCCATTTCTTCAGTGATGACACAACGGCAGTATTCGATCTCGGCGACCTAGGCTCCTCACTAGTTAGAAAGGAGGGGGCAGTTGATGCCCCTAAAACTGCACTGAAAGGAGTCGGCGGCCAGATGGATGGTGCGGTCGCATGGTTATGGCTCAAATCAATCCCAGCGAGCAGTGGCAAAGCAAAAACCATATATAGGGTGAATACTGCGGGAGGAATGCCCCCTAAAAATTGTGCAGGCCAGCCAAAGGAGATGACAGTCCAGTACTCGAGCGAATACTGGTTCTATGGCTGAATCAAGGGTTCATGATCTCTGATTTGACGGGTATATATGTATGCGGGGCCTTAGAATGGAAGTTCTAGGCAAAGAAGGAGGGTGGCCTCATGTATCGATGTATTGCCGATAATCGGTGGCACAGAGTAACGTGACATAAAGTTGTTTCAATTCCGAACTGCGGAGGTTGAAATGCGCAGTCGAGACTCTGGAGGAAAGCAGCGCCGCAAACGGAAATTAGGGCAAGCGCAGCTCACGTGTGCCAAAAAGGTACAAATCACGTGATATGGTGTTTTGACAAAATTTCCATATGGAAAAACGCCAGTCTAACGCTATCGGGCTAGCGCAGAAAATCGATCTCGTCGAAAGCTCCAAAATTTCATTTTTTGCTTGGGATGAAGGGACTCGTCAAACCATTCTTCCTAACTCAACACAACCTGTTGTGAGCCCTCATTGCCACTCAAAAATAGCATCTTAGGGCTCATAAGTCGGACCTGCATCTCCGACCCCGCCATCTTGCGTTTTTGACTGCGGCTTCCAGCTCCTCTTAGTCGATTATCGAAGCACTTCGTTCTGTGGGTGATTTCCCAGTGCGAGTTTGTCTTGGACAATATCTTCCAAACTGAGGCCCCGCGCTATTATATTAATTGCGATTGTATAAAATGGCTTTCGGAGGTTCGCGTGGTGGACGTGGAGGACCCCCCCGTGGAGGCCGCGGAGGTCCTCGCGGAGGTGGACGAGGCGGTGCCAGAGGTGTGTACTGTGATACCCATCGTCATACTTTATCCTTTGAATTGCATTACACCATGGTTGAAGGGATGAATGGCTCTCATTTGGGCCCTAGCCTTGCGAATGGCTTGCGCGGGATAGTAGAATCTGTGCTAACAAGCTTCTCTTCCAACCAAAAGGCGGATTAGGCTCTAGAGGTGGCCGTGGAGGTGGCCGTGGAGCTCCAAGAGGTGGCAGAGGCGGCAGGGGTGGTCGCGGTGGTGGTCGCGGTGGAAAGCCTGGTGCTAAGGGTGGTGCTAAGGTCATCATTGTGGGTTGTCTTGAATTCCCTCCACACGGTGATGCGATATCGCCGGTTTGTGGGATCACATTTGACTGGACGCTTACCCGAAATTCGAAAGGAACCTCATCGTCATGCCGGTGTCTTCGTTGCGAGAGGTGGTAAGGAGGATCTCTTGGTTACAAAGAACTTGACCCCCGGCGAAGCTGTCTATGGCGAGAAGCGCATCTCCGTCGAAGCTCCGGCCACAGTGGACGGCGACAACACCACGACTAAGGTCGAATACCGCGTGTGGAATCCTTTCCGTAGCAAGTTGGCTGCTGGTATTCTCGGTGGTCTGGACGAAATTTACATCAAACCTGGCGCCAAAGTTCTCTACCTCGGCGCTGCCAGCGGCACATCAGTCAGTCATGTTGCCGATATTGTTGGCCCTACTGGAACCGTATACGCCGTTGAGTTCTCCCACCGTTCAGGACGTGATTTGATCGGCATGGCCACCCACCGTACAAACGTCATTCCGATCGTCGACGATGCGAGACACCCACTCCGGTACAGAATGCTTGTTGGAATGGTAGATGCTATATTCGCCGACGTTGCGCAGCCCGATCAAGCCCGTATTGTTGGTCTGAACGCTCACTTGTTCTTGAAAGCTGGTGGCGGAATCCTTGTCAGTATCAAAGCCAACTGCATTGACAGCACGGCGAAGCCCGAAGTTGTTTTCGCCAGAGAAGTCCAGAAATTGAGAGAGGAGAGAATAAAACCAAAGGAACAACTGACACTCGGTAAGAACCTTTTATGGATATATTTCCCAGCAAAAAAAAAAAAAAAAAAAAAAAAAAAGAAAAAAACTCAAGAGCTAACGCGTAATTTCTCAGAACCGTTTGAGCGTGATCACTGCATAGTCGTTGGCGTCTACAGACCATCTTGATTGGATTAATGCTTGGATGTCTCTTGTATGGTGTTTTTTGATTCTTGTTTAGTACAGGCGTTCTATGTGTGGATCCTTTTGGTTGCAATGTACTTCATACACTTTTCTTTGATGATGGGCCGACTAAAATATACGTATTAGATTCAGCATCTGTGCACTTCCATATCCACGCATCTACTCCGTTCATCTTGCTACATCAGTTGAATACATGATTCATATCTGCACTCACGACCCCAACTCCTAATAGGCTATCCAGCCTGTAATGCCATGGGATCCGCGGCAGAAATGCATACAGACGTTGATGACTGCAGAACAGAGTTCCCTCGGGATGCTTTTTCCGAAATAGACATCATTTCCAACCCCGCAGATCCGCCGCGGGATTTCTGGAGTAAAACACTTGTCAGCGCTACTCACCTGCCACCAACTTATAACAGATATGCAGGCAATATATTAAAAGGCCTGCAAATATATACAGACACTTGCCTGGCGAAATGAGATCTATTGCTCTTGAGAGTCGTGTCCATTTTGGCCACTGTGGGACTATTGAGCCTTATCTGTTGAAACAATGTCCATTCTTATTACTGGAGCGGCAGGCTTCATCGGTCAAGAGCTGACTACAGCGCTCCTCAAGTCTACCCCTTCTTCCACCCGCCTTACGATAACTGATGTCACGACTCCCATTATACCAGTTTCTGCCCAGGAGCATGCATCGCAGGTCAAGTCGGTCAAGGCTGATCTAACCTCCCGTTCTGCTGTCGACGGGCTCATTTCGAAATCTGCAGCATACGATGTCGTCTACCTTGTCCATGGAATTATGTCAAGTGCATCTGAAGCTGATTTCGACCTGGGAATGTCAGTAAACTTCTTCGCAACTCATTATATCTTGGACCGGCTTCGTCACACCATGCCAGGCGTTAAAGTTGTTTTCACATCCACATTAGCTGTTCATGGCCCCACGGCTGCAGGCTTTATCATCAACGAGCGCAACCTACCGCAAATCCCGACATCATCGTACGGTACGCAAAAAATGGTAGTTGAGTTGCTAATCAATGATTACTCCCGGCGGGGTTTTATCGACGGGCGATCTGTCCGATTGCCTACTGTTACCGTTCGAGCGGGAAAACCAACCCAGGCAGCTAGTAGCTTTGCGAGCGGAATCATTCGCGAACCATTAAATGGGAAGAGAAGCATTTTACCTGTCAAACGCGATACGGAACTATGGATCTGTTCCCCATACACCGTTGTGGAGAATCTGATTCTCGCAAAGGATATCCCCAAGGAAGCCTTTGGTGATTCCCGATCCGTCAATCTCCCGGGTGTAAAGGTAACAGTGCAGGAAATGCTGGATGTTTTGGAAGAGGTTGCCGGAAAGGAGCGAAGAGAATTGGTGGAGGAAAAGTACGATCCGGCAATTGATAGAATAGTGTCAGGGTGGTCACCTAATTTTGATACTTCGTGGGCAAAGTCACTAGGATTCAAGGAGGATATGCCTTTTATACACAGTGTGAAGAGGTATATAAGAGATACTTCCTAATATCCTCTCGTTCCAAACTGGCATTACATTTGTTACTTGCAACGTCAAGTGCCCGTCAGAGGACAAATACAGTATGTCAAGCGGACTTTATGGGCATCTTTCGACACTGTGCAAAACGCCTGCAAGGTCTGTCAACGAGCTCTTCACGATGACAAAAATATGAGGTCTTCCTACATAGTTCCATAAGATGGCCAGAAAGTTATGAGTATGGTCCATGTAAGTTTCAGAATTATAGTAGAAAGTATGGGAGAGTCTCCAAATATCGGGGAATACCTTCCAAGCTGTCGAACAAAAATCAAATCTTTTAATCAATTGACAAAGGAAATTATTGAGTATCTCAGTGGATGGTCTCGAGTACTGTACAAGATGGACTACATATCGTGGCTATCAATCATGCTGCCTATCTATCAGAAAAGTTCGCCGGGGAGCGGCACTACCAACGGAAACGACACAAAAGAAGGGGATTTTTGAACATTGTTTTCCTTCATGCCGCATTTCGGCTCATGTCGTTGCGGATTCTCTGGTAGTCCAACATGCCTTCAACGCTGCCGTAAGCACTGACGGCAACATCCTGATCCCACAGCTTGCGCTGAGCGAAGTCCATGACGTCCTTTTCAGTGACCTTGTCAATGGCACGTTCGATGTCCTGAGGAGACATGCGGCGGCCGGTAGTGACGATCTGGCGGCCAATATCTTCGGCGATGGCGGTGGTACCATCGAGGGAGAGGAGAATTGAAGCTTTAAGTTGGGCCTTAGCACGCTCGACCTCAGCGGGAGTGACGCTGAAGGATAGTCGAGACCATTCGCGGAGTGTGAAATGGACGAGGTCGTCAAGAGCTGTCTTATTCTCGCTCACAAGGTAGATACCCCAAAGACTAGAACTTTTCGTCAGCCTACTATCAAAATTCCAGACACCGATAAGTCTACCTACCCAGTGTCGCTATAGCTTGTGGAGAAGCTCATAAAGCTGTTGGCAAGGTTGTTATGGCTGATGAAGGTGCTCAATTTGCTGCCAAGGTACGGAGAGTTACCCATTGCTCGATCCCAGTTCCCGACGATGGCTTGCGTGACCAAAGCTGGGAAATAATCATCATCCTTCCAGCTAACGCCCTCAACCGCAAGAGCAATGTGAGCGGTTGGTACGGTGTCATCACGGATTCTGACATCGGAGCCGATGAAGTCAGGAAGGCGCTTCTGCTCGGCTGCGATTGCGGATGCAGCCGAAGTTGGGGGTTGGCTCGGGATGGAGCCAAAGTGTTGCTCGGCAAGCTTCACTAGTTGCTCGTGAGGGATACCGCCAGCACCTACAAGCACCATGCGATCAGCCGTGTAGTTTGTCTTGATGTAGTCAACAAGATCCTGGCGTTGGATGCTTTGAATGTTCTCTTTCGGCCCGAGGATGGTCCGGCCAAGAGGCTGGTTTTGGAAAGCGGTAGCATGGAGATGATCGAAGACGACCTCCTCGAGCTGTTTGTCGACTTCTTCCTGTTCACGCAAAATCACATCCCTCTCCCGTTCAATGGCGGCGGGTTCTAATTTCGAGTTTTGAAGAATATCGGATAGGATGTCGACGGCCTTCGGAACATCGGCATTGAAGGATTTGGCGTAGTAGACAGTATTTTCGCGCTACATAAATGTGTTAGGAGGGTATTTTCATAAAATGCAGTATCAACGGACGGACCGAAGTGTAGGCATTGAGATGTCCTCCCATGTTCTCAATCTCGAGCTCCAATTGGTGTTGGGTTCTTCTGTTGGTTCCCTACATTAAGTCAGCACCATATCGATTTCTCTCTATGACAGTATTCTGACGGAGATGGAGAAATACCTTGAAGGCAAGGTGCTCAAGGAAATGCGCGGTGCCATTAGTTTTGTCCGTTTCCGCCCTGCTACCAGCGTCGATCCAAACTCCGACTGTTGATGTCTGAGCCCACGGAGAATACTCGGTCGCGATCTACAGGGGGTCAGCAATCGCAAGAGAAGTACCAGACGACCGATTGACTCACCGTCAAGCCGTTGGAAAGCGTCGTTGATTGCGTTGTGGCAGCTGTGGAAACCGGGGTTGCAAAACCTCGTTTGGCCGGTCTCACAGCCTGGAGAGCAGCACGGCTCCGAAGAGCGCCGTTGAGGCTAGAAGCTAGTCGCCGAGATGCCATGGCGAGGGATATCTGGAAGGGAAGGGAGGAATTGGCGCGTTGTGCAGGACAGAATGCCTGAAATCAAGCTGGATTGACATGTTGAAAGAACGGTCGAGGAAGTCAAATTATCGTCTGTTGCCGACCAATCACATGACCTCGAGTGCGAGAAAGATCTAAGCGCTTCCTATTGGCTGGTGGGCAGCCTTTCGACCAGCCGAACGACGCACGATACTGACTGCATCGACAACGGCTTTTCAGGGTCGATGGCTGCGACATTTGGACACGTCGTTCCGCGTGTTCAGCGCCGTACTCGGCATGGCGACTGGTGGCAACGCCGTTCCTTCGCCAAACCGATTCGGCCAGCCCAATCTACAGGTTCATCCACCGTACTTTCCATGCTTTCGATAACCAGCTACAGAGTACTGACCGTTTGAAGCCTCTCTTGATCCTCGTCACAAAGGCACGAGTCCGATAGACCCCCTAATTTGACCTGGTTGTTGGTATTCCTGGGCGATAGGAATTGCCCCCGCTGCACGGAGATGGCTAAATACAACGTCGAGTCTCAACGGATGGGAGGAAATATGACGTTAAATGGACCTCTCGTGCAGTTTCGAGATGAAATGGAATGCGACTCCGGTTTTATTTTCGGTTACTATTTTATGGACACAATGTCTAATAGATGAATTTTCTGGCTAAGAGATTAACTATAGCTCAGGCCCGCATCGCACCCCTACACCATCCAGCTCCCAAAGACACGAGTTGTTACACATTGTGTGGAGGGACCGGAAGGGACGCTGACGAACAGGTGAATCTTTCCGCTACCGATGAGTGAACAGCACCTGAAACAGACACATTGCCGGTTTCCAATCCTAGCCTCATATATAGTTAAGAAAGTAAAGGCTCATCGACCCAAGTCTCTTCCCGGGTCGGACTAATGCACCTTTTCGTTCCTCCACACCTGTCATCGGCTACAAAGGCTGAGAAACCTTTTTTCGAGCTACCCGCCAATCTATGTAGTGGTGGCACCCGAGCTCCATTTCACTAGCATTAAGGCATTAAAATGCCAGAGAACCATTTGTTTTGGACTTTTAAATCACTAGTTACCGTCTTGCCCAAGGATCATGGCCCTGTAGGTCAGTATGGGCCCCGATAGATGCTTTATCATCCAAATTCGCCGGGCTCCTCGCTTCATACGCAGAAAGTCAATTTTTCATCTCACCTTGAATGGTAGCGTTCCATGTCGTACCATTGGGCTGGGTCAAAGACTTTCTATCTGTTACTTGACCCATCTGCTCGGCACTCGCGTATAGCTCCAGTTCGAAATCATGGCGAGAAGGCTCAAGTTCCATTTTCTCAGCCTGGCCGGAGTACTCTGTACTCTGTACGTCTTACTACGAAAATGAACGGATTGCCCCGGACGGCAGTCTAATAGTATCTGTGTGCCGTTCGCAGCAGACCTACTCCGTACATGAGATCATAACGGCCAAAGCAAAACCTTGACAAAGGTGACAAAGGCTGGGACCAATGCGAGCTAAACTCTTTGTTGGACAAGCTGTCTAGCGATTCTAATCTGGACCAAAGGCTGAGCAACCATGAGAGACTGATCAACCACGATCTGCAGATGTGGCTGCCTCCGACCCTTGACGGAGCAATCCATTCGGATTCTTACTCCCACTTGAGCGGTCGTCTCATTACTTCCATGGAGTCCGGGCGATCAACCATCACATCCCATTGGCGAATTTCATAACGAGAGTTTTACCGAGTACGATAAAATTGGATTTGAAAGCGCCCAACTTCCTGCGGCACCGATGGGATGACGGGCCTCGAGATCTGGCAGGGGTGAATGAGCTGATCCTACTGGTGTTAATGCGTTCTGCACATTAGCATCATCAGGTTAATTCCCGATTTAGCATGCTGATCACCACTGGCGGAGGACGATGTGGGAGATACTCCATACTCCGTATGGAGTACATCGCGCAATGAAATCCATTTTCCCAATAGGAACTGTTTTATGCCGGCCAGTTGATTCCCCCTTTTCCCTGTTTACAGTTTTCATCCCTTTCATTTCATTCTGGGCGGATTCGCACAATAGCCTGTTCAGAGTTGCAATGACAGAGTACGGTGCTTAGCACTTTGCACTTGATTCATAAGGGTTGAGGTGCTCCGAGATTCTCTCTTTTATGAGACGGCTGCAAGATTATGTGCCCACGCCGCTAACCCATTCATTGCTTGATGCATTCCTTTCCTGTAGCACGATACTAAACACCGCCAACTGGCATCTGAGTTCCGGGCTCTTTTACGGCGAGACTTGCAACGGGCATCATTGATGTCCCTTTCACCCCGCTCCCTCCACTAGTTTGCTAAATCGGACTTTCCTGCACAATGGATGCAAGTGATGGGACACGTCCGGTCTCCCGCTCCTCTTACTCCGATGGTTCCGAGGAGCCTCTTATCGGAAAGGTCAATGACGAAGGGGGCTTTCAATATCCGCGTCTCTCTAAAATTCGATCGGTTTTGATCATAGCAAGTTTGGCTGGGACAAACCTTTCCAGCAGTATGTCCCACGGCCTAATCACCGTGGGTATACCATATATCGCCTCGGATTTGCGGTTGCCAGATCATCTTTTATTATGGTAGTTATTGAATGATCCACTTATCTCGGGGTAGTTTGCTAACATGAACGGATCATTTAGGCCATCGTCTGTCGCTGCGTATGTTCAGTATCTACGTTCACACTATCAACTTTAATTCAGCACGGAAAATCTATCTAACAAGTATCTCTCACACAGCTTGGCGAGTGGATGCTGTTTACTTATTGCCGGAGCACTAGCAGACCTAGTTGGCGATCGACTTATCAATATTATCGGCACTATATTACTTGCTATTTCCGCTTTTGGGTCAGCAATGGCTACGTCAGGCTTTTCCATGATCGGCTTCCGCTTGGTCGAAGGCATCGGCGTTTCTATGTGTCTTCCAACCGGGGTTAGCGTGATTACTCGGTCGTTTCCACCGGGAAGACGACGGAATGTTGGGTTTGGATGCCTGGGCTTGTCCCAACCCCTCGGCTTTTCCCTGGGAATGGCCCTTGAAGGCGTATTTGCGACTGCTCCAAATGGCTGGCGATATGGGTTTTACTTCTGCGCGGGGATCGGGCTTGGTTTTACCGTGTCCAGCATCTTAACTTTGCCAAAGGACTACGAGAGACCCAATTTCCACTGGCGCCGGGTCTTGTACGATATCGACTGGATTGGTGCTCTTGTTGCCAGTGCTTGTTTGGGTATCATATCTTATATCTGCGCGTAAGTTTTATCCAGCCTGTTTGTGCGGTGACAGTGGCGTCTAAAGTTGTGTGTTCCCATGCAGTGTCCTCACGGAAGACATTTCAAACCTGTATCAGGTAAAGCAGATCGTGTTAATTCTCATCGCGATGATTTTGATACCTGTGTTCGTATTCTGGATGGATTTCCAAGAAACCCGTGGAAAGCCAGTTTTGATTCCAAATTCATTGTGGAGCAATACAGCGTTCGTCGCCATCTCAATGGTGGTGTTCATGACATGGGGCGTTCTGCAAGGGTCGGAACTCTTCCTAAGTCTATTGTATGCTCGGGAACTCCCTTTGCTCTATGCCGTGAAGTTTCTAATGATTCCTTAGCTTCCAGAAAATCCAGCATTTGTCTCCCCTGGAAACATCGGTAAATCTGCTCCCGAATATATTTATCGGTATAGTATTGAACGTCACTACTGGGTTGATAGTGCATGCTATCAGGGTCAATTACCTCATTGTTTTGACGGCTACGCTTGCCGCGGTTTCGCCATTGTTGATGGCCTTTGTTGACCCGAAATGGAATTACTGGACCTGTGCTTTTTGGGCTGTTCTTCTGGGACCGGTGTCCGTCGATGGTATGCCACCTCGCCAATGTCTGAAGATCCACTGTATTTTCCGTAACGCTAATCATTTATATCTTTTTTTTTCAGTGGTTTTTACTGTGGCGCACCTTCTTATTACCGATATATTTGCTCCTTCGACACATGCTTTGGCGGGGGCCGTTTTCAATACTATTGCGCAACTCGGGACCTCAGTTGGACTGTGCGTGATCGCCGTTGTATCGGCGGCGGTGCAGCATTCTTCGAACTATCCCAAAGATTCTCCCGATGCACTAATATCGGGATATAGAGCAGCATTCTGGACCTGCTTTGCAATGATGGTAACCACCGTTATCATCAGCTCTGTTGGATTGCGGAATATTCGTAAACTGGGTGCAACGACCACTGAAAATTGGAGTTAAACGTCAGGGAAGTTGAGTTGGAGATAGGAAAAAAAGGCATATTGCATTAACAGTTTGCGTCATGGGTTGCTCATTGGCTAGTTTTGCCCGGGTTTCAACATGTGACTATTTATTCGTAGATCGTCTCGACTAAGATGACACGGCTACCGTGCGGCTGAAGGGGTCCCCATGCTACCGGGAAATATGAAGTTCAGCAACGCAGCGTGACCAGGCTTGACGTTTCCTGCCAGGAGAGGAACGAGATATGTTCACTGCTATCTGCATCCGAATATTGCATATCGCCGTGGCTGGGGATCCAAATGGAGTACGTGGTAGACCATCACTACGCCTTTAACAACCCATAGTCGATTAGCTACTAAAGTCGCGTTAGTTATAAGACCCGGCTTCATTGATTTGAGAGTGTCTTCCGGCTCCACCAAGAATCCGTTGAAATATATGGAGTTTGGGTCGAGTAACGGCTCCTTCGTCGAAGGTCGACCCAGTAGGTATAGCTTCATGAAAATATTTCTCAAATGTATGAGCGATCCAAACTGTCTACATTATTTGGTGTCCGGACCTGCATACGCAAACCGGGCAGAGCAGGATTTTGCTCCCAACTTTTCAAGCGATTCCGGTGCTCTAGCTTCCTTTCTCGTCACTTTCTTTGTCGAGTTCGCATCGCAACGTCTTGGTTGTCAGTAGAATTTTGCTATATCTCCTTGAAAGCATCCAGGCACTTCTTCCTTTCACCGAGAACACCATCCACGCGGGATGACAGAGGCGGTCTCCTTCCCTCAAACCTATCAACTGGCACGCTAACTACTGAGCAAAAATAGGGTAACACCTCCAGTGTTGGGGGTTGAACCCCTATTCCTCTCAGGCTAAGCCCTCGATGCCATACCGTGCTAAGACCCCCACACTACTCCCCTTTTGGCCTAGCGCCACACACAAACATTGCGTATATCATGCTCATTCACGCGCTCCGTCTATCCTCCTCTCTTTTCTTCCCCAAGCAATACGTTCATGTATATAGAGCCTTAGCTAGGAACTTCAACCTGGCCCATGACATCCAGCTAGCATTGTTTGGAGATCTCGGTAATATTCTGGGCTGGAACCTTACGGGAGAACCCAATCATCTAATGAAATGGGGGGGTATCTCGTTTCTGCGGTCCTTACAAAAGCAAGCAGAGCGCGGAGGACAGCTGTTCGCTGCAGGCAAGACCGGCGAATATAAGGGTATAGGCAAGGGAAAAGAACACTTGATTCGTAACCAAAATGTTGGGGGCAGACCTTTGCCCGGATGACAAGGGAGCACCGCTCATGGGTTCATGACATGGGCTCTCTGGAGTCATTTGGAAGATATCTTGCAGCCTGAAGTAGCTCCTTGAAAGACAGGCGCGGGTAACAACTACACCTGTTCTTCACATCGTGGCAACCTTTTCATTTTAAATCCATGAGCTCTCGGAGCCACCTTACTCCGCTTCGGTAAGGGAGCGATACCCAATGCAGTCTCGGCCGGCGGACGAACATGCAACAAAGGAGCGCGAGGGAAATTTGTAAGAACTCAAAAAGTTGTCCCGAGGCAACTGGCCAATCGCTACCTGCAACCCTTGTTAATTCGTCTGTTATGATTCTGGGGCTACGAGTAAATCCCTACCAGTTAAAGGCCTTCTGAATTTGCGGCTAACGGGGATCGCGAGGACTTCCACTGCACGGCGACCCCCCTTTTTTGGTCGTCCGCAGCAACGAGAGCACCACTGCGCCGTACAGTCTCTTGGAACATGCATGTCGCCATGGCGTAAACACACTTTCCGGGTCCCGGGTTCTGGAGTGTACTCGGCCTAGATGACGTTGTTGAATCGATTTCTAAGCCTTTGCTCCAAGCTTGTCTGGGCATTGACAGGCCCCTCACCTCTCGAGTGCCTAGGTTCATTCAGAGAGAGTACCTTGAGACTGATATATATATAAGGATACAATCCAAGCGGTATTGGGCAATAAAACTGTGCTAGTTTTCTTTTTCCTTAGCTTTGTCCGAATATTCTCCTGCTATCATCTTTGCTTGAACCGGAATTCCCAGCGCAAAATCGTTTACAATGGCTACAGAAAACAAGGCGTTGTTCTATCAGAAGGTCCCCACCGAGTTTCCTGTACCCGGTGAGCACTTGACGATTGAGAAAGTGCCGTTTGACCCTGAAGCTCCAGCTCCCGATGGCGGTCTTACCCTTCAAGCGTTGTACACGAGCTTCGATCCATATATGCGGGGTGGCATGCGGCCGGCTCAAGTCAAATCCTACCGTCCGGCATACGAAATAGGAAAACCACTTCCTAGCATTTCGATCGTTAAGGTCCTAAAATCGAACAATGACAGGTTCAAACCAGGCGACATTGCAATAGGATTCATGCCCATCCAACAGTATATCGCTGCACCCGCAGAAACTGTCCAGGCCCTTAGGCTGCTGGATAACCCACTCGGGCTGGACGACCTCCGCTACTTCCTTGGCGCTCTGGGGATGCCCGGCCTCACCGCATATTCGTCCCTGATGGAGATTGGAAAGCCGAAGAAGGGAGAGACCATTTTTATTTCGTCTGCGGCTGGAGCCGTGGGCCAGGTCGTTGGCCAGATCGCGAAGCACGAAGGTCTCAGGGTCGTTGGAAGTGTTGGGTCCGATGAAAAATTGAACTACATTATTAATGACCTTGGTTTTGACGCTGGATTCAATTATAAGAAGGAAAAGCCCCGTGACGCTCTGAAGCGACTGATCCCCGAAGGCATCGACATCTACTACGAGAACGTGGGTGGCGAGCATCTGGATGCGGCTATTGAGTCAATGAATGACTTTGGACGCATCGTTACCTGTGGAATGATTTCCCAGTATAACGTCAAGCCAGAGGACCGGTACCCGATCAAGAATCTTTTTATGGTAGTGACCAAGAGAATCACGATGCGCGGCTTCATTGTATCTGATCCCGGAATGGGAGACAAATGGGCCAAGGAGCACCGGGAGCGTGTCTCCCAATGGATCAAAGATGGCACCTTCAAACCTATGATCCATGAGACCGTTGGCATCGACAATGCTGCAGAGGGACTCGTGGGCTTGTTCCAGGGGAAGAATTTCGGCAAGGCTGTGTTGAAACTTTGAAAGCAGAAAAAAGCATTTATTCTTTAAAAGGCCCGGAGATCATTCACAGTAAGGCATGAGAGGGTTGTTGGTTTGGATAAGGACAACGGAGTTGCGATGTAGACCGGGCGCTGCAATTGTCAATATTGTGATGATCGCAAGATAGTTGACTAGATCCTTGAATAATGCATCTGAATAGGGCCCCGTGGTGATGTCCTTTCGCATCTTCCGTCCTGAATTCTTTGGGGAAGCAGAGTTTCCAATAATTACTCCGTAAGAAATACATAGCAAATTATCATCAAAAACCTTGTCGCGGAGGGAAATCACGGGATTTCTCGGCTGAAGAGTTATCCTCCCAGCCAATCAGGGGCCGGCAATTGTGCTGACAACCCGGCGTCCGAGGAAGCTGTTCCGAATTGGTGAACAAACCATCGAAAGCTTGATCCAGCGCCCGTTCATCGCTCCGCAACGCTACTTTATCGAAGATATTTCCGTTGTATCTGCTGAGCAGCATCACATCACAATCATGGCTTCGATCATCCGCCCTTCAGCGTCAGCGCTGCGACAGACCTGCTTCACATTCTCCGGTCCCACACGACAGGCAGCGTTTTACTCCACAAAGTCACCTCTCGCGGCCCTAACGACCGTCAAGCCAGTGCAGGTCCAGAAGAAGGATGGCTCGATGAAGATTGCCCAGTTCCATGCTTCTAGCAAGAGAGAAATTTTACCTCCGGAGCCACGTGAGTGTTTGTCCTAGCGGGCATTCGATGGGCCGACGCCACACGATGTTCGTGCAAGAGGTTGCCAGGAACTTGAGGCTAACTGATAGTGTTATTTCGGTCACAGAGGTCATCAAAGGAACCGGTACGTCTTATTCGATGCTGCGAGCCGCGAATTGAGTCTCCTGTATTCCATGAAATTTGGGAGAATGGAAGAGATCGTCGTTGAAAGACTGAAGAATGCTGACGGGATCTTTAGTCAACGATGCTGCGCCAATTCCCCCTACATCCCCCACCCACGGCAGCTACCACTGGGATTTCGAACGGTATGTGAAGACGCACCGACTCCGGAGAAGGTGGAATTAACGTGGCTCATGACAGAATCATCGCTATCTCTCTTATCCCCTTGACCATCACCCCATTCGCTGCTGGATCTCTCAATCCAGTCACCGACGCCATCCTTTGCGGTGCTTTGGTACTTCATTCTCATATCGGTTTCCAGTACGTGTATCCGTGATTCCGACTCCCATGGTTTTAAGTACCATTTCGCCATGTTCATGATGCAGGATCTGACTCGCTCAATTTCGTTCTAGGGCTTTGATTGTCGACTACCTTCCACAGCGCCGTGTGCCCAAGACAAAGGCCTTCTGCACTTGGGCCCTTCGCGCCGCCACATTGACTGTGGCCGTTGGTTTGTATGAGTTCGAGACGAATGATGTCGGTGTGACCGAAGCTATCAAGAGAATCTGGAAGGCATGATTTTGAAAACTGTACATACATAGGCATTTCCTTTTCCTGTTTATATTATATCTGTCGTCGTTAAGTTCAGGCATTTCGTTTGGTTAGGCTCCTCCGGCTTTAGGGCACATGTCCACGACGCGATATGATTGCCCATATCCGGGTATCTTACGCCTGGCTGCTTTCTACCCAATGTCGACTCGGGCTCCTTAGACGGAGAGCTCGACTCAAGCAAAAGAAGGATTGAAAATATGTATACACATCAAAATATCGTTACTATTCTTCCTCCGATAGCTCATCCCCCAGCAAATCATCATCCTCAGCCTTGGCCATAGCCTTTTCAATCAGCCTCAAGGTAGCGCGTAACGGCAGCCCAATCACATTATCATAGCTCCCTTCGATCCTTTGGACCAAGATCGATCCTAGGCCCTGCATCCCATAGCCGCCTGCCTTGTCCACTCCTTCTCGCGTCCTCACGTATGCGAGAATAAGTTCATCTGTAACGTCCGGATCAAACCTGACTTTCGTCTCTTCCACCACCGTCTCCAAAGCGTATCCCGGATCGCGGGCACTTTCCAGCGGCACGATCGCGGCCACGGCAGTGTATACCTTGTGGTCCATCACGTCTCTCAGCAACTTGAGCATACTTATGTGATGGGCCTCCGAGCGCGGCTTCTCCAGGATGTCTCCTGTTGATATGTCTACCACGATCGTATCGGCAGCGAGAATTAATGCCGGCTCACCCTTCTCCAGATTGTTCACCTCTTGCTGATATACCGTGATGGCCTTGTGAGTCGCGGTTTGGAGAACATATTCGAACGGTGTTAGAGTTTTCGGGAAGTCTTCTGGTGTGTTGGAAGGGATGATTTCGACATTGCGTAGGCCGAGGAAGGAGATTATTTGTTTGCGACGGGGAGAAGCAGAGGCGAGGATTACCCTTTTTGAGCGGAGTTGGTTGAGAACGGGGAGCGAGAGCGGTGGGGGGCGCGGGAGTGGTATGGGATTGGTGTTTGGGCCGCCCGTGCTTGAGGCGGCTGTTTCGTAGGATGGAGGAGGATCGGAGGGAGCGGGAGGCTGAGGATTCAAGTCTGCTTTCTTCTCAGACATGGTAAGACTGGAATGCTCTATGATTGCACGGGGTGACTGGGCTGCAAATGATATATGAAGTCCAATATCTTCCTTAGATTTCAACTTATTTGTGTCACCCTTTTCCCCTCGAAAAACTTTCAACACTGTGTTGAGTGATCGCCGAGTGTTGGTGACGCAACTCCGCCTGTGCGCGCTGAGGCCGTTTGGTGGGGTCACGAACTAACGATCTTTTCATCCCAGGCGAAACCTCCGCTTTGAATGGAAATCGTTGCATATCTCGTTGGGTTGAGGAAAGGGACTAACAGGGAAGTACTGAGTATGGCGCATAGCAACGAGAGTATTGACGGGGTTCTGAGTATGTATGGAGAAATATATGCCTAATAGTTTGTATGTATGAGCATCCGGGATGCGAGGATATTGTACTAGGGAACTGGAAATCAAACTACTCCGTAATGCACCAACATATCCATAGCAGAACAAATTATGATCGACTATCCCGCCATCCGTTGGATGACCGCCTGGTAATGCTATTAAAAACCACCGGCTTGATGAATCCTTGTGGCACCCTAAACTGTTATTATGTTCCAAATTGCTCTAATCAAGCATAGGATTGTCGAGCCATGCATCAGCGTCTGGCTCGGAGAATTATCCAAATTTGTACCACGAATTCCACTTCGGTAGAGGACAACTTTAGCTGGGACCTCGCCGGGCGGCTGTATGAGGAAGAAGAGGAGTCACGGATCATAGTCCGATATATCGAAATAAATGCCGTTTTGTACTTCTAGAGAGCCGCTGTCTAGTACTCTTAAAGGGCCGCTCGCGAAAGCAATTCGTCAACGCCGTGAAAGCAATCATCACCTGTCCTCTGGCCACTTTTATATAGAGTATAACTTGCCGCAACGTCGAAACCGGGGTATTCCAAAGTTGTTGTCAAGTGTTTTCCACTATATTCCGTGCCCGACCATCCACCGTTCCCCCTCTCTTCTCTATCTCTTCGATCAACTCTTGTCTCTCTTGGAGCTTGACACGAATAAAGTCCACGGTCTTTCGCAGAACCATGCCTTCGCTGCGTCCTTGACCGGCTAGGCCAGGAACAAGTTCCGTAAGTCTGTCAAAGCCTTCGCGGATCGCCGCGCGACGCTTCTGCTCGGACGCAATATGGTTGTTTTTCTTCTCTTGTTCCGTCAATCGAGGCTTTTCTCGCTCTGGAGGCCCCGCTGAAGTGAGTTTAGGGGAGGCAGAAGATTTGTCGGTGACAGCGCTATTTTGATTCGCGGACTCTGTAGTATTTGTTTGGGAAGCGGGTCCTAGAGGCTGCATGGATAATAAAGGGGGTGAATTTGAGGGAGGCATGGGACCAGGGAAGGGTTTGGAGGAGGCGAGTATCATGGATGAGAAGCAGGCGAAGCAAATGTCGGGATCGCCGCAGCGTTTTTATCTTCCTTGCCCAACCCAAGAGAGAAATATGAATGTGGGAAATAAAGGAGAGACTTTGTTGAAAAGTTGAGTTGAAGCCATCGAGCGTTCTTCGTCGCCCAGCTAGTTGAACCGTATTATTATCTGTGCTCCCTCCCCGGATTGTCTGTTTCGGCTTGATTCTTGCCAAGACAACCCAGAAGCTTGTTGACGTCAAAGCCCGAAACCTTTCGTCCCAATCTCTCATAGCCTGAACCAAGGGCACTTAATTCTCTTCTCTTCTTCTTCTTCTTCTTCTTCTTCTGTAAATCCCTCACGGTTGCCAGAATTGCTGTATTTTTTTTTTCGACCTTGTATGATATATGAATTGATTCGCTCCCTAGCGTTTTTCACTTCGGTTTTGATTTTCGGCGCAGCATGAGTCGTGAAAGACCACTGAGAGGCGGTTGTTCATGTGGAAGAAATCAATATGCCATAATTGTACCTCCGGATTCTGCGGAGCAAGCCGAAGTTTACTTTGATACAAGTAGCGAGCACAGTATGTCCCGAGGCAATTGGACAGTCCTTAGCCGTAATGTCTCATCGTTTGCTGACCCTGCAATTTCGATTCTCGACAGGGCGGACCCAAGGGGCACCGCTAACAGCTTGGCTCCGCGTTCCCTTGCTGTGGTATCAGTCTTTTACAAGATCCTACTTCCCTGACGAAACCCATGCTGCTATTCGCCGCGTTTTCATCCCAGAGACCGCCCCACACAGCAGACGTGTCTTCTGTGGCTTCTGCGGCACTCCGTTGACTTTCTGGACCGAAGATCCACCAGAGGAGGCCGACTACATGTCTGTCACTGTCGGGAGTCTTTCAAGTGAGGATCAGGATATTCTTGAGGATTTGGACCTTCTCCCAAGGGATCCTACGAATGAAGAGATTGCTAACACTAGCTCTTCTACATCCGCTTCTCCGCCTACGGATCCTCTTCAGCTTCGGTTCAGGGAGCCTCAAATCTCAGTAACCCGTCGAGCGGGGGCCATTTATGGCATTCCTTGGTTTGAGGAAATGATTCAAGGAAGCCGTTTGGGCCGTATTGGTAAACATCGTCGGGGTTTCGGGGCTTCACCAGACAGATCGGTGCAGATCGAATGGGAGGTGACCGAATGGCATGACACAACTGGAGGTCCGACCACGCAAAAACATGGTTCAAGTCCAGATCGTGTAACGATCTCTTCTAAAAGAAAGAGCCCAGAGGTCGGTTGAAGAGACATTGATGATTCGGAACAACCTCCTGGTTTTAGCTTGGTGTTGTTCCCTTTCCATATGATATGAGCACTAGCTTACTTTCTATACAAGCAGGAATAATCTGCGGTCGTTCTCGAAATCTCACGCAGCGGTATCATTGGGCTAACAACTTCAGGAATGTGTCTAGAATAGTCAGAGGCTCTAACTTGCTTTGCGGGCGTTGCCTTCGCTCTTTGCTGCTCTTGGAGTTCATACCAGTGTTTCTCCATGTACTCTACAATACTTGGCTGGGTTCCGCTTCAAATTGTGGCCCAGCCTAATATACCGTAAGGTTCTCCCGATATCTAGTATCAGGTTCGCCATTCCATGCCCCTGTAACTTGAACTGCTGAGCTCTCCTTGGCCTCAAGTCAGATGCTTAACATCATGTCTGGTGCTTCAAGAGATCCGTTTATTTTTATTAACAGTTATAGCCCGTCCGGCGAATCTTCGACGAGCTCACAGGATGTCCTTGAGATTTTGAATCTATATTTGAGTTGAAAACACACTCGCCTTTGCTTCGGGAAAAGCCTCTCTTGTCCCAATGCTCTTGTTGGGATAAGTATAACTCCTTTTTTCCCTTTTTCCTCCCCTTCTGAACTGTTGAGGTTTGCTGTCATGGGCCCACAGCTTTTAGATGGGTACCGCGCACCAGACTGTGAAATGGGAGTTTGGATCAATGGGCGTGGATGTTGATCCGATTTCACGCCTTAGGGCGAGGATCATTGAGTTTGGAGAGCAGAAAGCTCTCTAAGAATCATGCAAGCTGATAAAATGCATGCTGCTACATGATTCTTGCTATTTCTCATCACATTTCATTGCAACAACAATACAAAGGATATGGTAGAAGTACCCTTCTTCTAATTCAGCTTACCACCATGGTCAAGTCTGACCAATGTCCTTGTTACTTTTAACAAGGATATTGTACATTTGATTCTGATGTTCTTATATCACACTATCCCTTTTAGGACCCTCACGTGGTCTCTCGCGCATTTGCACCTACACATATTTACCTTCACAATATCAGCCTACAAACATCATGATCTAATAATTCTGACCGTTGGAACTTAATATCCAATGGTGAGTTTTGGAACTCTACCTCATCCTATAATCACTTGCCAGCTGCAGTCATGGCCACAGCTACTTCTAGGCTCGGCGCAGACAGTCCTTTGCCTGATAGAGCCAGTGCCAATGCTCGCTCTGACAGTGCGACTAATCAACGCGTCGATGATATTTCCCTATCCTTTGTCCCAACTTACAGATTTATGACTCCAACATTTTCTCCTTGTTTGCGCCCTCCAAAAAGAGTCCCACAGGTGCCGCCACCATTTCCAGAGACCCCTACACCTCCAGCTCGCCCCTCCGCCCGCTCTCGAGCCAGGAGTTGGGCCGCAGCAGCTGTGAAAACCGTGAAAAGTGTTGAAGTTTTGCGCTCTAGGAAATCATCAGTTGCCCTCAAAAAGGGTGCTGATAAACGACGTGGTTCAACAAGCGAGTTAGGGGTACGTAAATCCGGATCCCCTGAGCATAATGACGCGAAGTTTTTCCCTAATTATTTTTGCAGGATAAGTACCATCTTATTTCGATTGCTCATTCAACTCCGCGTTCATTCTCTTCAGGAGCTATAAACCTTCGTGACCCATACAAAGTAAGTTTGGCGAGTCACCCTAGTTTCTATACAAGCTGCTGGATGAGCTAACAGCTACTAGGATATACCTCCTCTTCCAAGTCCTTGGGTGGATAAAGCCCTTCCATCCGAGAAACCTCTTCCTCAGACTCCCGGTGCAAATTCGGAACCCAATCTTTCTCCAGTCACCTCCCGCAGCCTTATTGACGCGGAAGAACGCCCTCTGTGTTGGTCCCCGCCAGGAATGCCTGGGGTAAAAGAAGATTGGCCGATATTAGCGCCTACCAAGGCAACCGAGTCTTTAGACAGCGAAATCAGTAGAAGTCAATTGACACCAATGGCTCCAATGGCACCCGAAAATGTTGAGCGTGGCGTTAGAATGTTTAATGACGCGGCGAATAGGCTTGCTGGCTCTTTCGGAACCGTACCCATTCCTCCACAGGATTCTACATCCATGGATAATGAAGTATCTATCACCACGGACGCGTCTTCTCCACGTCAGCCAGTGTCCACGACTCCTGAACCAGGCACCGTTAATATATCAAAGGCTTCTGCTTTTAACCCCTTCAGGTCCAGATCTAGAGCTTCAGATTTTCCTGGTAGCTCCCCTACAACACCTGTGAATCGAAACTTCTCCTACACATTTGACTCCCAGCGCCGGGGTGGTATGACTGACTCCTGCAGCTCTTCAAAGGGCGAAAAGCGTGAAATATTTTCGGGCAGAGGTTCCATAGCTGAAGATTTGCCTTCATCTGGAAGGAAGAGTTCCGCATCCAAAATTCCTCGCGTTTCGCCGGCGGTATCGCCATCAAGTCCGACGTTCCCTTCTGGTGTAGAGAGCAGACCAATGTCCCCACTACTTTCTCCAACCCCTCGCAGCTCGATTCCCCTTCCAAGCCGTTTCCTTCGCAGTCACAGAAGCGAGCAAGCGCCAATTATCCCTGCCCGTAAAGCCTCGACTACGTTTGGGAAGCTTGAGAAGAGTATTGTCCCCGCCGCGGGAAAATCAACCCAACCAGAGATGGTTAAATCTACCGGGCATGATACCTCTGTGGAGCTTGGACTTGCAAGCGATACTGAAGAGTCCGACCCTGGGGCTAAGGTTGACACCGAATACATTACGGAGGAGGGTGTTAGAGTTAAACAGCTATCTCATGCATCTCCGTCTGGAGGCCCACAATTGCGAATCTCTCCAGAGGCCGAGAAAGTTATAATGGGTGACGACAATACACAGCCAAGTGAGAACAAGAGAAACTCAGCTCAGCGTCTCTGGCGGTTAGAGAATCGACGTGAACTTAGGATGTCTACCGACAGTTTGTTCGGTGGTTTTGGAATGAAACGTGACGGTAACCCACGTGCAAGGTCTTCGTTGGGCAATGTCTCAACACCGGACTCCCCGCCGAAAGATGCGGCTTTGACGAGGATTCCCACAGTGAAAAGCGCCGACCTCAGTGTTCATTCTCCTTCGCCTCCCGGAAATGATCAGGGGTCCAAAAAGCTGGTGACAATGGACGTTGGTTCTTCACCAGTGGTAAAGACTTCGAATAACCCGTTCTTTAACAAGGTCCTGTCAAAGTCTTCCTCCTTTACCGTTAGAGAGGAATGTAAAAACCAAAAATATGTGCAGAACAACTTTCCATGTAGCGCAAAGTCACCTCAAAAACACGAAATACCGCAGAATGGGCCGCCCAAGGGAGATAACGCACGCAAAGATAGCCCTCAGCATATAAAAAAGAATGAATTCTCACCGTCTAAAATTAAGCGAACTCCGGAGCGATTAGAACTCCGAAAGCATTCCCATGTCGTGAGGCGAGAATCCCCTCGAATATCGCGCCCTCACGAAGCTCCCAATCGCTTCCCTGATAAGTTCGGCCGCCCACACTTAGACGAGGAAGCATACCAATCAAAGTTAAGAGCTGTTCGGATGACACCAATGCCTGTCACTGCACAGGATACTGATCATACTCAAGGTATCAGGTGTAGGGATGGAGCTTCTCAGGGTCGTCACTCGCACCTCCATGCACTTAATCACGCATCTCAAGATTCGACCAAACAGAAAGTCTCTGGAACGAAAGGAGTGTTGTCAAACTTCCGTGGCCTTTTTACCAAACATAAAGCAGAGCCTATCAAAGAAAATCCAGCTCCTACTCCGTCCGGTCAAAGAGAACGACTCTCACGAAAGTCTAAGGCCTCACTTCACGGAAGACGGTCCATCGCGAGGAGCCCAGTTCGGTATTATCAGGCAATATTTGGCACCGATCGTGAGGTTCAAGCGTCCCATGAGTTGCAGAATCGCGATGTCCCTGTTTCTGCCAATAATTCCTTTACACCGGTGGCACCTGCATTTGTAGACACTCGAGAAGTTAGTGGGCTGGCTATGGAAGTACTCGATTCAGCTCGCACTGAGCCAGACACAAGAAACAAGGAAAGACTTGTCAAAGTGAGTACATCTATTGCAAATGACGATGTTGAGGACCTGCTAAAATCGTCATTAGCTTGGTAGTTTTCTTATCGAGGCAGTCAACAACTCCAATGATGCGGAAAAAGCAATGATAACTGCCATTCAGGCTGCAAAGCAGGCCGAGATTTCATGTGCTTTAGCAAAGGAGAATGCCTTGCGGATTGGTCGAGTTGCTCGTGAGTGGCTAGGAGAAACCATTAATGGGACCAGAGCCTAGATGTTCCCTTCCTTGAATTGCCTTCTGGTTTGCGGTTATTCCTGAGAATGTTTGACCTGGGGTTGCGCACACACTGGTTCTGGCACTTATGCTTAAAAAGAAACTAAAAAAAAAAAAAAAAAAAAAGAAAATATCCTCCGGGTCTCTTCCGGTTTAACGTTATGTTGATGATTTGTCTTTGCCTTTGGCTCCCACAACTTTAATCCCTTGGGGTTCCCATTCTTCGGCTTACCATTCTCCGCCAATGCTGCCAGCCCCCGCAGCTTTGGGACCTGCAAGGCTTTTTAGCCATAATGTATCCTAATGAACCTTAATGTTTGAGTAAATGATCATACTTTGTCATCTCATGTTAGTTCCTTTGAATTCCTTAAATTCTCGCTATATTTTTCCTTATAGCCTTTGAAGCTGACATACTATTCTTATAACGCCCTAAATTCGCGATTGGTAAAACATATTTTGCGGCGATAGCAGCGGGTAGCGTTGATCTCAAGCTCGAGGTAGGACTTCATCGGCATGCGGCTGATATAAGGCACTGACTTGGAAGCTAGTTGAAGATACGCTACTTACTCATGCACCTCGATGTAAAAGAACAATAATTATCTAAGGTTATAAAGTGAGTGAATTGAGAGACCCACCCCAAATATGTACTTTTCTGTAATCGTAGTATTCAGGGGCTGGATTGACCAACGAACAAGCGGGCCAATGACGGGTCTGGCGGCGGGTGCTGACTAATATGAAAGCTTATTTGAACCTCCCTTTTCAGTAATGCCAACCTCGATGCTTAAACAACAGAAAACTACCGGGATTGAGCGACCTTGCTAGCGAATAAATACAAACAGCGAGGCGATTTCAGGGACAAGCTAGGTGGCAGGCTTTAATGCCCTTTTGATACCCTATAATGTTGCAGTTAAGAGCCAACACCTCATGTGCATTTATTCTGATTTACATATTTTGAAGAGGGATCAAATATCTTCAAAAGTACAAATTTTTCGGTTTCCTATGGCTGCCAGGATGGATTTCATTCCATGGTGTATAACTCTTCAAAAAAGGACTTGCCTGATGCTGTCCTGGCATATATGTTTTGGATTCCCCGTCCGATGGACCTGTATGGGATGGTATCAGCGCAACCGAGATCAGACACATGCTTTGCGGAGTTTTCCCAGGGCACACATCCAGTTGACAAATGAGTATGAAGATCATGTCGTTTGCTAAGTCTACTTGTGTATGCACACTGTAATTCCTGAGTAGCTCTCGTTTGATCTTACGAGGCTTATTACACCAATCAATGCACTACGGAACTCGCCTGTTTGGGCTGATCTGGTTGCCATGTTTATCTCACTAGCGCGAACTTGAGGGTATAAATTCTTTCTCATAGCCCCCTCTTTGCTTCTAATTTCTTTCTCGTATCTACAGTTCTTCAACAGAAGTTGAATTCCATTCCTCTATCCTCCCATCGTTTCCATTAATGGCTCTTCGACGGCTTTAATGTCAGGGTCTTACTATTGCCGTCTTTCTTTTCTCAAAAAGTCGGAGCATAAGCTCTTAATCTGCTGCCCTTGTCTTTAAACCATCAATTTCTACCTTGTCGTTATGACACGCTCGTTCTTCACCCCTCTGCAAAGGACAAAAGCAGAGAGGGGGCAACATTTCGTTTGGTGCTCTGCCACTACGTTTCCTCGACCCTACGAAGCCAATGTTTGTTTCCTTTCCTGCCGTTTGTTCTCCTTTGGTTCAGTCTCTTACGACTAAGCTCTCGGAACTACTTTTCTTTAGGATCAATGCCTGGACGCTCAATGCAATATTCTTGTTTTACAGTATGTGACCCTCTCGCATTGAATCTTTCTCCTTTGCCTAACAGCTTAAGAGCATCTTGAACGACTCCATCTCGTTCTTGCTAAATTCATACGATGATGTCGTGTTGACGTTTTAATCGTTTGTTGTGAACTTCACAACATGGTCTCGACGCGGTCGTCGAATTACCGCGTATTTGCTCTTGGAATTTCTTTTGCTCTCTCACCCCACATTACTTTACGCTTGCAAATCTTTCCAGCCTAACAGCTGGTCGATATTCTACGATTTAATTGATTAGTCGACGCGCAAGTCAACTAACTCACTGTAAGTGTGCCCGCTCCTCCTGCCTGTCGGTGATTGCTGACAATTCCATTTCCTAGAATTTTCCTTTCCTTTTCGCGATCTTCCCCGCTCGGCAGGCCACTATTTTCCCCAGTTTCTCCGTTGGCTCATAGATGGAGTCTATCGCGTCATTCACCCAATTTTGAAACCGTTCTCGAGTATATATTTCATAAAATCTGGAAAACTTTAGGTTTGTACCCAAATACTTTCTCATCCTTAGAATTAATATTTAACGCCTGAATCGTAGTTCAAACCTTTCAGCAAATCCTTTCTCAGAATTGAACTCGACAATTTTTCAACATCACATCCGCCGATTATCTTGCTCTGCACGCCGTCAACACCAGGTTTGGATCGGCTCTTGACGCCATTTATTCCTGGCTGCTAACTTCTTTAGCAGCCGTTTATCCCAATTCTGATTTATTGTTTTTGCATCAAGTTGCAGCATACGTGCATTCAGTGATGCGTCTTCGACGCGAATGGTAACTACTTGGAGCCTTAACCCTAGCGATTATGCTTTCTAACACCTACAGTTCCTCCAATCAATGGCAGCCAAGCCGTGATCAGTAGGTGGCAGTCTGACTCTGTCTTCCTTTTTGGTATTCAAGCTGATTTTCGATCCAGTCTAACTAAAATGCCGCCAATTCTCTTTCAGAAATCGTGGATTGCCCCTTCGATCGGTATCCTGATGGAACAAACGAACCCACCAAAATAAACAAACAAACATTAAAAAGACAAAAAGAAAATAAGGAAAAAAGAAAAAGGGTATAACAGAAAATAAAAAAAATTATATGTTGGTTTTAAAAAGTGTTTGATTATTGAGCCCCCCTGAGACGATATGAAGCGACGAGCAGGCTTATGAAAACACCTCGTTGAGTGATTTGAATGGGAAAAAAAAAAAAAGAAAAAAGAAAGGAAAAAAAAAAAGAATTAAATTAAATTAAAAAGAAAATGCAATTAACCCAAAAAAAAAAAAAAAAAAAAAAAAAAAAAGGGAAAAGAAAAAGAAAAAGAAAAAGAAAAAGAAAATGGAAAAAAAGGGGGGGAGAAAGAGAGAGAAGGAAAAGGATATCCAGCAATGATTATCGGCTTATACGCCCCTACTCCCCGCTACTGCTGTGTTCTGGCGCCTGCTGCCTGCCTGTCCTGCTTTCAATGCGTGTCACCATTTTATGCGTGTTTTGATAAATGTGCCTCCCAGTGTCTTGTCTGGCTTTTGTCTGCAATCCTTCCTGTGGTGTTTGCTTAGGCCCTTATGTATCCTGTGCTACATCTTTTGTCTTGCCTCGTCAGTTTTGGTCATAGTCACCGTTCCTTTCGCTTTTATTCTTGTCCTTTTTCTGAAAAAGGCCGTTATTCCTACTCATTCGTACCACAGGGCTACTCGGCGCGCGTATCCTTACCGCATATCTACAACAAACATTGAGTGAAACTCATCTCCTAACTCCTACAGCCGTCTTGATCTCATGCTAATATTTATTAAAATACAGTGACTCCTCAACATAGCGCCCGCAATCTATAACCAATCAGCGGCAATGGCGGCTGATGTGGCGTGGGATAGCGCACTGGTTTCCTTCGATCGCTCTTGACTTGAGTCAAACGCTTTATGCGGTTCACGAGCTTCAAATACCTGGTTTCTTTTCCAATTGATATAATCAAAAAGACCTTGGAAAGATGCTGACAACCCTACAGTACCAGGCTCCTTGTCTCCTTCTCTTCGGCTGCCTTCCAATCCATTTTGACCATAATAACCAACTGACGGCTCAAGGTCGCTCAGGGTGGCGTGGTGGACAAACAAGGACTTCCGAACATATCTTACCCGCGTTTATTTCTATAAGCGTTAGCTTCTATATCCGATCATATGCTGTTACCCTAAAAGTCTACTTAATTTTTATTGCTTCGCTAAGCCCCACAGACCCAATGCACATACTCTTGAGGTGTTTTGAGCTATACTAATGTCATTTTTAGAGTAACAGATGCGACGCCTTATATTCGCGTTCTTGGGTCTTATAACCAAGCATACCTCTGTGTTATGCTGTGGCGTGGAGGATATCTTTCAGATCCCATCATTCGATCGCATCTCTGACCTGCTCAAGTATTGATCCGGTTTTCCTATTAAACAACACTGGTTCAATCGTTTCCTTCCACTTACTGCCATACTCTAGCACTTTTCTTCTCTTTTCAATTGGATTTCTGTTTTCAATGAAGCTGACATGAAGAAAGGAAATATGGGGTCTATAACCAGCCAGCAGCTCGAGGCTTCCTGGCGTGGCGTGGTGGGTCATACACTCGAATTTACATCTTTTAACTAGTACGGCAATTAACCTGTTGGGCCGAAAAATGGCTTAACTTAGCAGACCATTTCCCTTCCTTTTTCTGGAAATCCACCGGCTCACCATTTGACCAACGTCAAACATTCTTTTGTCCACAAGACAAAACGGTCGCGGAGATGTCTGAACATCTCGACAAATTCGGAATAACACTATTTTCCTTCCATCGAATCAACTTTTCTGGGATTTATAACCAATTGATAGCTCGAGGTTATCAATTGACGACAGTGAATAAACTAAGCATGGCTGGTCATACATTACCCTAGTTGGAATACATTGAGATTTCTGCGCTTTGGAGAGATATGGTAATGCATGGCAGGAGGTGCACTGATGTGGTAATTACTATTTTTCTATAGAAGTGTCAGATGTGTTATTGCCGGAAGAGAAGCCGTTGAATTGAATCGTTTTCATATCACTGTGCTCAACACAATGTTAAACCATGGGCATGCATTCCTGAGCATCCATGGTTTTCTGGATATAGCAAATGAGGATACCGCTAGGTACTGTATTTCTTTTGAGCTAGTCTGCCGTGATGGGTTCTCCTCCTTTGTTACGGACAATAAAGTAAGTTCGGGCGCTCTCGAAATTCCGCCAATTACGTGATAAACTTCTTTTCGCCATGAAAATCGGCCATATTGCTATATCATCATATGCCATCCATGGTCGAGAGCTCGAGTTAAATTGAGATTAAAGGGCCCTAAAAAGCAAGATTAGGCTCAGGACTGTAGTCATACGCCATCTGAGGCAAATGATTCTTTGGGATATAAGACAGGCAAAACGACGTTCAGTAATGCAAAAGAGCTTTAGCTGAGCGCTTTTTTAAATGTGGTTCCGGCGTCTGTTCGTTCAAGTTGCCAGAGTATGAAGGAAAGCATGACATTCAGAAATTCGCCAAGCTCTTCCTGGTCGGGAACGTCAAATGGCCCGAATTCCTGGATCTCAAGAAAAGGGATTTTGCCTTGCGCTGGAAGCACTGGCTGGGTACCTGGCCCAAAAATGTATTCGAGATATGTATTGTCATATGTCCCGATGCTAATGTGGAAATGCAAGTGGTCTTGAGCTACCATGAAGGTATGGTAGGTTTTGACTTTTTTCTTCCACTGTAGTAGAACTCTTGTCAGTAAGACATTCCATGACCAGAAATATAGGAACATGCAAAGGTAAGGGCCCTTATTACCGTCAGGTCATCTTCATGGCGTTTCCAGATGTAGGCGGCATGCTCCATTGACTGCTGGGCCAAAACAGGAATACTCTCCCCCCAGTCCCTACGCGCAGCGCGTTTTGCTTCGAATATCGCGGCTTCACGTGGCATCCCGACTAGAGATAAACCGAATGGGATGCTCCCATCAATACGAGCTCGGAATTGAACGTCATGTTGTTGCCGAGAAGTATTACGGACAGGGCCAAATCTATAGGTCGTCTCAAAGGCGTTTGCGATGCAGAGGGGCCTGGGGTTGAGGGCCTGCACTAGGCTTGCTAAGCCCCCGAGAAGTGTAACCATAAAATCCGCAACAAGAGTCTCGGTTGGTGTTCGACGAGGAGGTTCCTCCTCTGCTGGTTCTGTCACTGAAGGTGCAGCGGGAGGAGTACGAGGAGGAGAAGAGACTGTCGACTGATATCCGATGTCTGTCATCTCAATATCCTCTATGTCAAGCTCCTCTGAGAGAAAGCCCTGGCGGGTTGGACTTGTAGGGTCTGCACGTGCTGAGGGGCGCATAGCGTCATAGAATCCTATTTTTTCGGGAGCCCCGGCCAATGGACATTCGTCAATCGAGGCCTGAATTGGTCTATCCCAGAGTTGGTTGTACACATTAACAAGCAGTGAGAAGGGGCCAAGCCCATCTGCAAGCGTGCCAAAATATTCAGGAGGGGTACACTTGCGGAGTTCTTTTGGAGCACATATAATGCGATACAAGGTCTTAAGCCTGTCAAATCCAAGGATGTTTCTGTTTATAAGTTTTGTGGCATCGTGCTAATGGTCTTCGTCGAAGAAATACTCTAGATTGGCAATATACGTCGAGGCGTCGTTGGGTCTTTTCTTTTTGGGCCAAATGCATCGGATGGTCAGGAATGCTTCTTTTGGAACCGTTGATGCGGAGAAACGCCCTGTTTGGCGCTCCCGACATTAGAAGCATGTAGTTAACCTAGGGTTGGGAGCAGCTACCTTCCATGCACAGTTGTTCGAGGGTACGCTGTTGAAGGCCATACTTTTTTATCGCTGCATGCTATTCATTTTTGTTGGATAGGATTTTGTCGAGGCCTTCAGCGGCCTTGCGACGAGGAGCTGCCATGTCCGCGCGGAACTTCGGAGGGTGGGGACGTGTCGGAGGTTAATTTAACTTTCAACTTACAGTATATAAGTTTATGTGGAGAGGACGGGGAATATATAGCCACGAAACAGCAGGGATGGGCTTCAAGAAGCAACTGAACCTAGGACAAGATAGATATCAAGTGGAAGGACGATGACAAGGAGGAAGAAGACTTGGGCGACAGGCAGCAGGTGAGGGGGCAGACTGGTACGTACTTACTTATTCATTCTTCCCATTGGTGGCGGGTTATGTGCTGGATGCTCCCACACCAACATCATCATCAACACACCAACAAACAACACCTTCCCATCAGACCAGCAGAGCAGCAGAAATTCTCAATGGTAGCCCGTTATGCAATCAGAAAGGAATTCATTCGATTCCCCGGAGAAAGTTGGCTGGCTCATGGCGGACCTTTTTCGGCTTTACCTCTCCTACTCGCCAGGCTCGTTTCAGTTTGGGTGGCTACAAAAGACGGTGGACCTCAAGGTGCGTTGTAGGGACACCACTAGCGATAAGGCAGTTTTTCCAATATCCTCGGATCTCCTAAAGGCCATCCATAAGTGTGAGAGAGTTACCGCGCCAGAGAAATCTCGGGGCCTCCCAAGCGACTGGGGTTTCTCTGGCTTCATGAAGACCGCTGCCCACCAGGTTCTAGACGAAGTTCCCTTTACGCAGTCTGAAGAGTAAGATGATATATCCTTTATTTATTTTTGTTCACCCTCTGACGTTTTATCAGATTCCATGGCCCACTCTTTAGATGGCTGGGCGTTGGCATCATGATCAATTCCTACCCCGCCATTAAGGGGGTCCAAATCTTCCATCTTCATCATAACCACTGGAGCTGCATGATTCGGGATCATTCGAGCGCATTCGACACAAAACAGCAAGAAAATCACAGAGATTATCTTCTGAAAAGTGAGCTACTCGCAGTCACTTCGATCTTCTGCCGCCAGATGAACGAGATGGTGTGGCTTCCTGAAGAGAACCGGTATATGGCCAAGCTGATATACAAGGAAGGTTTCTTAATGGTATGTTCACCCTTTCTCTCCTTTGCACTTCCTTCCCATTATTCGTATCCATGGAATTGTGCGAATATTGACAGGACCCCCAAGGCCACGGTCGTGACATTCGTCCATGGGAAAGTACGCATAATCCAAGCGAGCTGCAACCCATCGGAAACGTACCCAACGCTCACCTTGACGCTGAGGGCTATATACAAGCTCGGCGAGGACAACTACGATAAGGAGGTGGCCTTTGATGTTCTGAAATGGATTCTCAGCCCTCCCGAGCCGGCCAAGCAGCTCTCCATGAGAGGAAAGAAGTAGGCAATTTTGTCATACATATAACCAGGCATGAAATGCGTGAGGCGGTTTTGCTAAGACTTTGCTGATACGAATATTTGGCGATTTTATTTACTTTCTTTTTGTCATCCAGGCTGCTCTCATGAGCGCTACTATGACGAATTTGTATCCCACTCGACGGAGCGTATTAAGCATGTTATTTGCAAATATTCTATTCAAAACCACATTGCTCAATTGATATGCCAGCATTTCGAAAGTGGCCTTTGGCACTCGCCTTTTTTGCGCCGACAGAATCAACGCACCGTTGAAGGAAAATACCGAAACCCTAGCTAGGGCCTTCCTCATATAATGACCAGTTCTTCTTAACGTAAGCCTTCAACTCAGCAAAGAATTCCTCTATTAGGTTCAAATCAGGCGAGTAAGGTGGCAACTATAGTAGCTTCACACCAGCATCGAAGCACATCTGCTTTATCCTGGCTGAGCGGTGGAATGATGCATTATCCATAATTAGGACAGATTTTGGTTCCGGCCACCGCCCACAGTGCTGAAGAAGCTGCCCAATAAAACCTTCAAAAAAAGCCGCATCAGTTGAACCAGTAAAGACACGAGAAAGGAGAATGCCAAAACAGGCTCTGTCAAGATACACTGGACGACACATCATCCCCGTGGTTTGCCCGATAAAGATACTTCCATGGCACGATATTGCAATGAACAAGCTAGGTTGATTGGCACTGTGGTTGAGGGTGACTCGCAAAAATGTGGCCCTCCATCGGCCTCGCAGATGTAAATCAGGCCAATACCAGTGGGATTGGAAGGAACGGAAGGGATCAGCAGACTTGCAGGTTTGCTCCAAAAAGATGGGAAAGTAAATGGTAGGGAAAATGGAACACGATAATATGTGCCTTTGTATCTGGGTGTTGCTCATAACATGCCCTTGACTATGTCTTGTTCAATGGTCCTATCCACGGCTGGAAATATTCAATACTGGCATAGATTTTCATCTTTGCCACATACATTCCAATACCTTCCTGCCTCCGCCTGGCAGACCATTCAACAACCGACCATCGACCCCCATCAATACTAGGACCGTTGGATTCGGCTTTCCGAGCTGATTTCCCCAGCCGGAAATATCCAATATTGGCAGAGTTATTCACATTTCTTTGCCACATACATTCAGTACCTTCCTGTTTTTGCCTGCAGACCACCAACTATATGAGTATCTTTATAGATCTCATAAACAACTATCATTTCCAGTAGCTGGCTTTCTAGTCACTGCAAACATGTAACTAGTGCCATAGTCTTAGACTGAATGCACTTATTGAAGTTAAAAAAAAAAAAAAAAAAAATGTCTTGTGTCTCCCATTGCCTACTCATATTCCACGCTTGTCTGTCGTCGTATGTAGAGAATCGTTGTAATAGCCGCTGCAACTACACAACCCACTCTACTTCTTCAACGCGCTAAGACCCTTTCTACACTCAGGCGGCGGAAATCCATCGGAGAGCTCAGTGAATAACACGCGCAGCTCTTTGTTTGGAAGAGACTCAACATCCTAGCCGTCAGTCATCATCAAGACGAGGGACTTCCCCAAAGCAGTCAGTCCACTCGCCGCCATCGTCAAAACGTATCCAGTCAACCAAGAGATCCCTCACCTATTAAAGAAGAGTATTCTAGCGATGGGGAAAGGCCTCGACAGCGCGTCTCATTTAACCCACCAACCAGATCATCTCCTCGGCGCTTGGAGGGAGCCTCATCTCGTCGCCCAAGTTCCACAGATCCAGCTCTCGCGAAGCCTCAGCATCATGTAATCCTGTCAAGGTCGTCAACAAGATGTGTCCTGTTCTGAAAAGGATTAACTACACTTGAACTGGTCAGATCCCAAAGAGCCTCATCAAGAACAACTTCCGAAAGTATTTTGATGTCAAGAAGCTTGTAGACCTTATTGGAATTCCACACAAGTTAAGGAAAGAGAGCTGCTTTAAGGCCAAATTCAGCTGCAACATGGCCGCTGGTTTGTTGTCGAGAGAAACAAGAGGAAGACAGGCATTAGGCCTGCTGTCTGGGACAGGAAATTCACTGAGGGCGTACAAAACAAAAGAAATAAAGTGGAACATTCCTTGTGATTCAGTCAGACTTAAATACTCTACCCTGTATAATGAAAGTATCATGTAAGGCATCTGACGGATGCGAAAAAGGTGATTTGATGGATTTCCAACTGACCCGGGCGCTCAAATTCTACATCTCTTGGCCTAAATTTCTATCTCTTCCAAGTGCCGGCTTCGCCTCCCACAATTGCATTCAAACTTCTTTGAGTATGCTTGGCGCAAGGCACAGGTGGAATAATTGTTTTTCCGGCCAAGATATTGTTGGAAGGTTGCCTGGAAGGTTTGCGACCTCCAGTTGACACGCTAATATCGATTGCACCTCGCGTGATGAATCCCCAATCCCTTCCTGCTAGACCTTTGCCATACAGCTCCTAGGGAGAATTTTTGATGCATCCATCGCTCATTTTGTCTGCGTGACCCCTTGGCATTTTCACTCAGTAGAGTTTTGCTGGAAAGTTCTTAGGCGACTCCCCGCGATCTCATATTTTACCGTGGCCGACGCCAGAGTTCACAACGCTCTGTTTTAATATGGCGAACCTCTCGCAAGACGATCGAATCACCATTAAAAAATACCCTTTGAACAACTCCCTAGATCATTTACAGGACTTGCTTCAAGATACAGAGAGGTTCTACACAACACACCTAATTTCTGATGATGGTGCTCTCGATGGCCTTGATGAGGCCTGTCAAAAGACAGTATCACGACTTCTCTCTGCTTTGCAGGGTACAGACGCAGCTCTTGTTCTTCAGTCAAGGATTAGCAGTGGCAATGTAGCATCAGAAATGGCGCGTCTATTTGAGCGTGTTCAAAAAGGCGACTTCAGCTACACCTACTACCGCCTCCTGGTGAAGCTTGTCATCCAAAAAGCACCTGACTTTGACATCTGGAATGCTGTCCTTAGCCTCATTGCAACTTCCTCACAGGCTACTCCTCCACCCCGCCCTATTGCGTCCCTTCAACAGACCCCTTGGCTGCGCAACACCAGCAGTTTTGTCAACTCAACAGAATACCGAAAGCATGTTGACACTATATTGAAAGAGGAGCTCGGGGACCTCCACGCGGACATTCCTGGTTTTCTTGAAGCCTATTTTGGGAATATCTCAGGTCTTGATTCAATCACACGTGTTGTCTTGGATAAGTGCAAGGAAGGAGATCACCCGCTATACAATGAAGAGAAGGGGTGGAGGGACTGGCCAGAGCAAGCAGTGGAAAAGGAGGTGCTAAAGTGGCTGGCAGATGTTATCAGAGAGCTTGTGCATTTTGTGGAGACACATGACTCGGCTCAGAAAATTGACCGGAGGCCTCTCGCGCAGCCCACCCGGCCTCTAGAGGGATCTATTGCAACACGGAAACTTGATATTGGCTTTGTTAATGATCCAAGTGCCACTGAAGACTCCAGATGCCACTGGTCTGAGATTCTTGTACCCGGGGAACTGAAGAATGACCCCAAATATGACAGCCTCTCAAGAGCATGGCTTGACTTAGGAAGGTACGCCAGAGAGGTCCTAGCTGCCCAGGATTCACGTCGTTTTGTTCTGGGGTTCACTCTCTGCGGGCCATTCCTCCGCCTGTGGGAATTCGACCGCCTTGGGGGGATAGCATCAGAGAGCTTTGATATCAACACTGATGGTCTCCAATTCATATCCATTATTCTTGGGTTCCTCCTGATGAGCCCGGAACAGCTTGGATTCGACCCCACTATCATCACTATTGGAGGCCAACGTTACATTGAGGTTGAGAAAGATGGTGAAAAGGAAAGACTTGTTATTGATGGTGTAATTGGGCGGGCGCGCTGTATTGCTGGTCGAGCCACAACTTGCTGGAAGGTACATCACAAGGATGACCCACAAACCCTGCTGGTGGTCAAGGACTCATGGCAGTATCCAGAGCGTGATGAGGAAGGAGAGCTTTTGCGCGAAGCAACAGAGAGTGGTGTCACCAATGTTGCTAGGTACTACCATCATGGGACCATCCGCATCAACAACAAGAATGATGATGTCTTGAGTATTCGAAGAGACCTAAGCATTCCGACATTGAAATCCAGGCAGGGCAGTGTGAAGCCAACCACTAGCTGGAACAGGTCGCGCCGAGGGCGAAAGAACCAAGATAGTGCTTCTGGACAGAAAAGGTCTTCTGACTGTGTGGATACCCTGCTTCCTCCTCCTCCCAGCAAACGTACTCAGTCAAGCTCTCCAACCAAATCCCCTGCAAACAGCACCCCACTGAATCGAGTGCACCGCCGTGTAATTGTCCGGGACTATGGGAAGCCAATCTATGAGAGCAGCTCAAGGGTGGCCCTGCTTGCTGGGCTAGAGGGCTGTATCAAAGGGTATGATTCCCTCTATCAAAACACCGGGATGATTCAATGTGATATCTCCCCTCGGAACCTACTGGTGAATGAAGATGATGATAACCCTTCCTGGCCGGCTTTTTTGATTGACCTCGACCTCGCGATCAGAGTGGAACGGGATGGCTTCTCTGGAGCGCGAGGTAAGACTGGTACTAGGGCATTTATGGCTATTGGTGTACTATACGGCGAAAAGCATTCCTTCATGCATGATCTTGAGTCATTTTTCTGGGTGCTCTTCTGGATATGCATCCACTATGATGGCCCCGGGAAGGGAAGGATTGTTGAGAACTTTGAGGAGTGGAACTATGTTAACACAGAGAAGCTGGCCAATGAGAAAAAAGGGGTTATAGCTGATGAAGGGGACTTTCTCAAAATTGCTGAGGAAAATTTCACTCCATACTATCAACCCTTGGGCTCTTGGGTCAACCGATTACGCCGAGTCGTCTTTCCTGACGGTAGGCGGTGGAAGAAACTGAATCCACACCTCAGTTCAGAGATGATGGACGTCCTTCGGCGTGCACAAAGCGATTCGAATGTTATAGACCGGGGCTCCTAATGAAGTAATTTTACTTATTGTTTCTCTCACCAGGCCTTTCGGCACCATGCTGTTGATATTGCTCAATTGTCCAAAGTTCGACATTCTCTTCTTTGCGTTATCGGGAGTCGTGGACATATGTGGTGTGCTCGATGTGCTCCGAGTGCGAAGTTGGCGTGGTACGCCTTGAGCCAGGAAGTACACCCGGTTTATGAGTGATCAAGTGGTCAATGCGCAATTGGACTTTACCGTTATCTCATTGCCAGAAGACGCTTTGAATATTCAAAGTCAATCTCCTCGACATCTCGCGGTGATCTCCATACCCATACTGGTCATCTCGGTAGCTACTCTGGCCATTTATTTCTATCGTACGGTCGATTGTTCTAGGTTTCTGGTAAGGGAGGCAACAAAGGCAGGTAGTACACCTCAGGTTTTGCTGCGCAAGAGAGAAAAGGTAAGGACTAGGGACTGGACGCGTCAAATCTGGCAGGCAGATGGGTTGTCCAGTCTAGTATCATCCTCTTCTTTCCCACCGGTTCTGTGGCTTCGGCTCCCCAAAGACCTGCTCCTCCACATCCAGATCGATACCCGTGTCGCCAACTGGGTGATGTCCTCATCATTCTGTGCAAGATCTCCAAACTTCCGTTGTAAAAGTTTTGACAATGTGTGACTTGTTAATATCACTTCAAAACCCATCCACCCCAGCCTTTATAAGAACAGGTAACACTCTTTGGGAGTGGGTTATTCCAAAGGAGTCCTATGTTAGCGGAATGCGTGGAGAAGAGTGGGGGGTCACTCAGCGGCCAGCCTGTCAAGTATTGCAAAGAAAAAGATAATGAGAGGGTTGTAGGCTGGATATATATCTGTATAATATAGATGTATATGGGTATCTAGATAAAGTAGAAATATAGAAGAGTGGAAGATAGCTGAGAAAGAAGAGTAGGAAGGAAGAGGAGTAGGAGGTGAGGGGGATTTCCCGTACCCTCGCCAGTTTGAGAAGGCCAGAGAACGTCCATCGGGTATCCTGGTTGGCAACTTGCGCTGCCAGCATGGCAGAGTTATCCCAAAATGAATATAATATTATCACTCAATATCCCTTAAGCGACTCTTTTAGTTCTGTGTGTCGTCTGCTAGAAGAGGCAGAGCACACCCGCCAAATATCCTCTGATGGCACTCCCGATGGCCTTGATCAAACGCGTCAAGCGACGGTATCTAAGCTCCTCGTCATCCTAATGGGCGAGAAGGCAGCTTTCAACCTTCACCCACGAACCGGCAGCAAAAATGTTGCGTCAGAACTATCAAGATTATTTACACGTGTTCAAGAGGGGAACTTCGTCTATGAAGAATACCACCGAGTAATGCGCCTGATTTTTGAGAAGGCACCAACTGCTGATATCTGGAAGGCCATCTTAATGGGATGATTTCGTTAAACATTAATATTGCTATTGGTGGTGAATATCCAGCTTAGCGTTGCTAGAGGATCAAAACACCGGCTCGCCCCAAGCTGGTTAACTTCTCGGACTAGTTAACCAACCAGTGACGTCCCCGCCCCCTCCGACAATCCGCCGACTCACCACTCAACCAACGTCAAACATTCCAGTGTTGACAAGAAAAGATGGCTGAAAAGCGCGCTGTATTTACGGAAAAGGGTGTTCCACCACTCCCTGTTTTGTCCCAAGCCGTTGTTCACAATGGAATGATATACTGTTCGGGTAGCGTCGGCCTTGACCCGGCCACAAAGGAGATGGTATCGGGAGGAGTTGGCCAAAGAACCGTGAGACAGTTACCTCCTCTCACTTGCAAATCATGGTCAGTTAATCGGGGTCCTTTAGGCGCAAGCATTACAAAATCTTAAGGTTGTCCTTGAGGCTGGTGGGAGTAGCGTCAAAAACGTCGTGAAAGCCAACGTGTTTTTGACTTCGATGAAAGATTTCGTGGAGATGAACAAGGCCTACGAGTCTTTCTTTGCAGATGGAGTTAAACCAGTATGCGTCGTTCCTGAAATCTACGGGCATAATGCTGGTGAACCCCTGCTAATGCTGTTTAAAGTGCCGCACCTGTGTAGCAGTGAAGGAACTGCCTTTTGGAACTGATGTTGAGATTGAATGCATTGCATATCTGTAAGTTATGTTGTCATTGTTTCATTATTCGATGTCTGACACACAGCATCGCAGGGATAAACCACATTCAAAGCTCTGAAGCCTCTAAATGTACAAACATATATCTTGTATATATGATGTTTCAATCCGAATACCCGTTTTCAATTGGAATAGACCGGGGTTTACAATTCTTGACAGTTTTGGTGCTGTATTCTATCATGGATTCATTCCCAATAACTATGTTAGCAGTAGCAAAATGTTGATTATTTTTTTGTCAATTACTCATGAAATCAATTGTTGTCTATGTGTCAGACCCTCTACAGCAAGGAACTTCAGCCAAGTTAAATCTTTCCCTGGAAAGCATATTCTATCGTGAAGGTGCCTTATTCCTGGTGCGAGAACACCGCGTCCTTGCTGGAAGTCAACCTAACTAATAAGCTATTAGCGACGAGTCCATTTTCGGCCTCCCATAAAATCCACGTGCATGAGATTTAATATCAACATGGACTGGAATAACCCACCACTGTCTATGATGTGAAACACCTTCACCATAGATACTTCTCTTAATTCTTCCTTAGTTGCGTAACAGATCACTTGATCCAGCAAACCCTACGGATGACTAGTCATTAATCATAGCTCCCCTAGAGCTGCGTGCAGTGACTGTGATAACTCTGGCTTATAAGTTTCACAACCGCCTCTTTCTTTACTCCACAACTTCTTTTCTGTTGTTGTGACTACATTCAATCTGTACCAAATGTATCGCTCTTTGTTTCGAGGCAAAGCACATTGGTTCCTGGGCCTTTCTCATATAGCCACAATCTACTACATCATGGTCAGGGAATTCCTCTACAATGCCTTCATATTATTTAAAGGTGACATGATGCCTCTATGTTTTCCCACCATGTCACATGCAATGGGCTTATTGGCACAGCAATAGCAACAAGGGTGCCCATTACATGATCAAGTGTCCATGAGTTTGATACGGGATGAACCGTGGAAATTTTGCACTAAACTTATTCAAGACTTTCAAAGCTTGCATTGTTTACAATTTTGCCTCTCTATATCTCCATATTGGTGTTCCCATATCGTCTCTGCCCCAACGCCCAAATGCCTGATACCCAGCTTTATTACTCTTTGCATAACCTCAGGCTCAATAGGGTCTTTCATTTATAGCCCATCGTTCATCCCTCATTTTACTCAATGGCTTCGACAACTGACCAGACTGGGTCTGAACATCAAGTACCCTCAAACAAGAAAATGAAGACACAAGCCAAAAGAAAGGTATGGTTCTTTTCCTCGTAATGTTCCTTTCCTAGCTAACAAATAAAAGCAAAAAAAGACTCGAAAGCGAGCAGATAGTGCTCAGAAGTATTCTACCCCAAAATGGGAGGGAAATAATAAACATACTGGATTTGTCAATCAGAATGAAATGTCCCATGTGGCACTATATGACATCAACGAAGGCGTCATTGTGGATGAAAACGGGTACTATTGGCATATGGGATATACTGGGTACGGCTTCCAAGATGGAGAGGAAGTCGCCAGCGGCTGCCCCGGGCCATGTTGCTGTGCCGACTGCCAGAAATACTATGGATTCTACCCGGCTGTAAGTCTTGACTCATTGCCAACACAGACGGCATCGCTTTCTAACCCCTGCTGACGGTATAGAATCCGGAACCTTGTTATGCATGTTGGCCGCATGAATTCTACGCTCCCGTGTTCAACAACAATGCGTTTATGGTTCCGGTAACAGCTATTGGAGGATCACGTCTTCGCGCTGAAGCACCTGAATTTGTTCCTGCATATCAATCTTTTTCGTCAGGCGATAGTGAAGTTGCAATTCAAGTCGATACACTGGGCCGGACGGACGATACTGCTGCTGCAGAGAGAATGACCGAGGAACCGACGCTGAGACGCAACATCACCATTTAATAAATACGGTTGTGCCAGCCGGAAGTGGGCATAAGTTTGTCTCCTTAAAATGCACTCCTATTCATAATGATTTTCTTATTTGGGTTTGTTTTTAATTTCCTTGGTTTGTCATAATTTACAACAATTGAGTCCAAAAAATTTGATGATGTTGTCCCTTTTTGATATCAAGCACACGTGTTCCCCCGCTCTTCTATGTTGAATATCTGTTGTTTTCCAAGTTGTTGATGTAGTGAAAAGGAACCTTTTATGTTTCCCTTTTATGTTTTCCTGCAGCTTTTGTCATTTCCTGGTGAAAAATTTGTAAAATGGTCCCTGAACACAAGCATGAACAAATAACAGCTAGTTTCCTGTTGGATTTGAACCTTGGAGCGTGTAAATTCCTGCAAGGTTCCAAGTCAAGACGCAGCAGGGGATTCAATCCAGTCTTATGGAGTGCTCCGTACTCTTTGGAGCAAAACAAGACAAAGGAAATGACCACGAAGCATCGGGCATTTCTGGTAAAGACAGGGGCTCAGCAATGTGGTAACGAATACGGAGTACTCCATAGGACTTTGGTAATAAGTCGAGCGCCGGGCGACTACATCGACTCAGACCCGACTATCAGGAATTTCAGCCTCATTGATGGGTCCAAGGCGCTATGTACGGAGTAGCTCGGGAATGTTTGGCTCAGCGGCTGAGTATGTATTCCCAGTTCTCGCTGGCAGTCTCGTCGATGAGACCATCTCAGGGGCTAAGTTGTGGCTGGTTCTCGTTTCAGGGGTCGGAAAGGGGCTGGGTTTAAGACTAATCCCAAGTTGGACTAGCCTCAAATTGGTGTTGCTCGCACTGCATTCCCCATTGGTCTTAGCGCGGTTGTGAGACTGTCCAACGAACGTGCAGAGGGACTGACAAGGATACGAGAGAAAGCGTATGTCGAACGGACTACGGAGTACGGAGTACATGTGTACTTCATGAGGTCGCCAGTCGCTTCGAAATATGAAGCGCACAAAGGTCGAGACGTCGGTGGTTGGAGGTGGTTCTCTAACATTCCGGAGTACAGGAGCTTCCACCTGCCATTGCCGGAGCAAAGACTTCGTTGACTGTCGATGCATTTATCTTCTTGCGTCGAAGGACCATTGAAATCAGTGAAACCATCTTATTAACCTGACTTCTGAATTTGTCAGTTTACTTCCATTCCTGTTGGCAATCGGGGAGAGCCATGGTCTACTGCGGGAAGCCGAGCAAGGGTTGTCATCGGTGTAGACGCAGGAAAATCAGAGTAGGTAACTCGATATTCCCAGCCCTGCCGGGACCCCATCGAGTGCTTTTTTAGGCGCTCAACCTTACTTCGCCATACACTAATTGAGCATGCAGTGCGATCAAAGCGAGCCCTCTTGTGGCCAATGCCTTCGCGCCAATCACATCTGTCCCGGCTACCGAGACCAGCTGGATCTTTTATTCCGAGATGAGACCCCAAAAGTAACAAGGAAGGCTCGCACGACCTCGAAGCATGCGGCTTTAGGCCGATTTCAAAGCTCAATGGCAGATCAATCGTCCGCCATTGTGGAGATTTCCCGGCCCGAACAAGTTCCGCCGATACCCGCAAGGCCATATCAAATGACGAACGGCACTGACCCATTTTCATCACGACCACTTTCTCTAGACCTAAAACATCAGGCGCTCTGCTTCTTTGCATCCAGCTATGCACCTCCTCCTCGCAGTTTTGAGGCAGATTATTTAGGCTATACGCCTTTGGGACAAAATGTAATTGACAATGAAACTCTCACCATTTGCATGACAGCAGTCGGTCTGGCCTCACTATCCAACATCACCAAATCACGACCAATGCGGCTTGCCGCCCAGGAACAGTATGTACATGCTTTGGCATTAATACACGGCAGGCTACAGAACCAAGAGCATGCGAGATCAATTGTAACCCTCGATGCTGTTATGCTCCTGGGGATGTTTGAGGTAGCCAATACTCCAATTTTCCCGGAAATGGTATTCTGATGGCCATGTAGGTGATAGCATGTCGTGGCGCACGATCCCTGCACACTTGGAGAAATCACATGAGTGGAGCAATTGCTTTACTCAAGCTCCGCCTGGAAGATCTACCGAATTTTCGAACATTTATCCAAGTCCGCGCCCAGATTGTAAGTTGATAACCAGGAGAGCTTTACCTGTCAATTCCCGTCCACCCGACTTGCTGTTTCTATTTTCGCCACCACTTTAGCTACCGACGATCCCCTTGTCAAAACCTCACACATCTGGTAGAGATTTCAACTAACAAATAACTTTAGATTTCCGGTTGCCTTTTATCTGAGACTTATTGCCCTCCTTTGGTTGGAAACCTATTTGAAAATGATCGTCCCAGCATACCCAGTGCCCAAATTATTACGGAGAAACTGACGGGTCTCTTGGCAAAGGTCGCCAATTTGCGCGCTTCCATAAAGGAAGGAGTAGTTTCCTCCCAGTTCGAGATTCTTAGCATGGCTTTGGGCTTAAGAGACCGTCTTCTTTCCTTTGCACAATCGCTGGAGAAGGTTTATCCATTCCACAAGGCTGGGGATCAAGACAGACAATGTGCATTTCTTTCTCCCGAGTTTGTTTATGGAATTCATTTTGACGTATACCCCGACTTTTATGCTGCGAGCATATGGAATGGCTACAGAGCCGGCCGCATTACACTCAGTGCCGCAATCTCAAAGTATTTCTCACAGCTCAACAAGGCTTCTTTGCACCACCCAGGCTGGGACGAAATTAAAGCAAAGGTCGGAAATGATATGCGCGAAATACAGCAACTCGCGAGGGATATTTGCGCCAGTGTCCCATTCACATTGGGGATGATACACTGGGATTCAAATACGGTTTCCGTTAAGTCTACTAGCACCAATGCACTGGGTGGCTTTTACATGCTGTGGCCACTATACCTTGCGGCTGAGGCGACTGATACAATGCCCGATATTCAAGCTTGGGCTGCTCGTCAACTCGAATATATCGGACATTCTCTGGGGATTAATCAGGCGTTGTGGATGGCAAGCATAATTAAAGAGAAATCCGCTATAGACGAGGTGTTGGCTTCCGAATCTTTAGCGGATTCGGACTTGTGAGGCCAAGCCCCCAAAATCTTGACGCCGGTCTTGCACATAGGTGCAATTACATTACGGTCTATGTTCATTAGATTTCTAAGGTATAAACTCCGAGGTATCCAAGCATAGGGAACTAGACAATCAAATGTATCTACGGGAACTTTGGAGAAATATGAGGGTCTCTACGGAGTACATCTTCGAATTATGAGGAATATGACGCGACTTGGCTTATATGAAGCGGCAGGCTGGGTCTAGGTCATAGAATATGAACTGCTAGATAGGCTATGAATCTAGGTGGAACTAGTAATATCGCTCAGTCTTAACGAAGACACGCTGAGGCAGTAGTTTTTACAAGTGTGGCCTCATAAGTTGATAGAAGCTGATGCAGAGTCATGTCTTACCGACGCAACCCGTTCGGTTTAATCTAAGTGATATACTAGAATCTTGCTGAATACAATCCCAAAAGCATATGGGTGACAAGAAAATTGCATCTAGAAGGTGATCTTACAGGAGCGATAGCACATAATAACATGAGCGGTATAACTATGAGAGGCCCCTTTTACTATATAGTCGCCATTCTTCTTGTGTTGGGGATAATTGCACTCACCCCCTAGGATATTGGCCCAGGTGGTCTACTATCTTGCTAGCATTGCTCTATACAACAACCAATATCCTAGGACTTGTCCTAGACTCTACTTTCCGATCACCGTTCGCGAGAACCGTGGCGGGCGATGGGCATAGGCTTTCATCAGACTGTGTTTCTGCTCCCGTTGCTAAGATAGCATGGCCAGATAGCTGTGAAACAGCTCCATATGACAACGCAACCGCCAAAAGCTTCAATAAGGATCTTACAACGTATTTGAAAGCGGAGGAGCTGAGATAAAACATTCTCTGTGTCGGGATGAGGTGGTGGGAATGCCAGAGCTTTTTTTTGAGGGAGTGCGGGCATAGGTAACATGCAACAGGGCCTTTCTTTCGATCCATTTTGAAACAGACGTTGGCATTGGAGTTGGGGAAAATCCAACTTGTGCGTTTGAGTCAGGGAAACAACAGCCTTAACAAACCCGGTCAGGGAATACACCGTCTGTTGATGATAAGATAGGCTTTTCCTTGGCCCGACCAAGCATCTCGGTTGTCCCACGGGTCCTTAACCGGGCCCAAGCAAGCTCACCCCGGAAAGAAAAGCCAATAAGCTTCCCATTGATTATTCGGGCTCTATAATTCTTCAGACATGGTTGGGGCCGATATGCAGCAGGATATAAAGATATGCGTATAGGACAGGTGATTATGAATCAACAGATTCGTCATAATCTGGCATTGAATAAGATATTCACAAGCGACAGCACCTTACTGCGGTTCTGAGAAAATTCGGCGAGTCGAAATCAGCCTGAGCCACATGTCGCCGCAGTGGCACTTTTCCATGCCACAACAAACAAAGATTGTTGTCAATAGCAATGGCAAAGCAGGGCCCCCCTCCCTCCCTAAATGGCGACTTTTTACCCGCTTTGGAACCTGGATCGAAGAAGGCCGGTGACAGGTGCATGGAGGCGAAGAATCAAGTGCCAGAGTGTTCTGTGGTGCCGTGTTTGCTGGCAGTTCCAAGTCGAGGAGTGAAGGAGGCTTGGAGTGGCGGTGCAAGCGAGACGCTAGTTCACACCGCGAAAGCCCACCTGCAACCGGTGCAACGGTCGCATCCCAACGGCGTTAATGGATTGGATGGCAAACAGACGGTCTCGCGGCAGGACAGCCAGATGCGATGCACGACCCATAAAAGCCTGTTTGCCGTCTGTAAACTTGGTCCCCTGAAAATCGTTTGCCACCCGAGTTATCGATTCTGCCCTGGGAAAGCACCCAGATAATGTCAGCTCCGATACGGGTGACGAACACCTCCGTTATCTGCCTTGACTCTTTGAGCGACGGAGCTTGAAAAACCAAGCCATTATATATATAACTATTTAATGAATGAAGCAATGGTTGGAGTAATTATTACTTCTTTCAATTCTCTTAGAGAAGCATCCTCTGCTCACTTGTGTTTACCAACATTTTTCTTGCCTGCATATTTGCTTAGCACACTCAGCCGCCAACACTCTTCAACTCAAACCTCCCTGTTGTTTAACCGCCGCGACTTGATCCTTTAGGATATATTTTCTGACACCACTTTGACCACCGGCTTCTAAGTTGTCTGCAAAGCGCAAGTCGCTGAAATGGGCATGTTCAGCTCTTCCAAGTCGAAACAATCGGGCCTGCGTCCGGACTCGATCTTTTCACGCGGATTGTCGCGTCGGAGTCGTAGTCGCAGTCCCGGAGAGGGCTCCCAGCAGTTTCCTCGAGACCCTCGGCAATGTTCGAATGCTACCTTAGAATATCCTCTAGAAGATCCCCCAGCTTATTCTCCTCATGCTGAAACACCTATGCCTGCTGCTGCCCTGGGTTCTGATTCACCTTATGCGTTTCTAACGCAATTCGACACAGTTTTTCTCATCGACGATAGCGGAAGCATGGCTGGACGTAGCTGGAGGGAAACTGAAGCCGCGTTGGTTGCCATTGCGCCGATCTGCACCGACCACGACGCTGACGGTGTTGATATCTATTTCTTAAATCATACCAATCCGCGCTCTTCTCCGGGCACAGGCGCGTACCATGATGTTACTTCGCCCGTTGATGTCCGTGAGATATTCACCGCCGTGGCCCCGAGAGGCGCAACTCCAACTGGGAGAAAACTGGGACGTATTCTGAAGCCGTACCTTGAGAGGCTGGAGCACTTAGTCAAACTTCACCCTTCTGCCAGCTCGGATACGCTGGTTCGGCCGCTCAACATCATTGTCATCACCGACGGCGTCCCGACTGACGACGTGGAAAGCGTTGTTGTGAGTGCGGCACGGAGATTGGACCAGTTGAATGCCCAAGCATGGCAAGTTGGGATCCAGTTTTTCCAGGTCGGGAACGAGCCCGATGCTGCCGAGGATCTGCGTGAACTCGACGACGCCCTTGCAGGCGAACGGGGTATCCGGGACATGGTGGATACGGTGCCATGGTCCCCACAGAACGGCGGGACACTTACCGCAGATGGTATCCTGAAGGTGGTACTCGGCGCTGTGCACAGGAAATATGATCGTAGGAACGCTGCGGGAAGGAGAACGTAGAAACCAGCAGTTCTTGAAAATTGGTGGATGCTTTGTTACCGGTGATCCGGTGGAGCACGGAGTAATGGAGACCAGAGGATGGATTGCGGGCGGTGTAGTTTCGTATGCCGCTCCGCTTTTGTTTCTATTTGATTGGCAAAGCCCATGCCGTATGCCGTTGTTAAATATACATAATTCGACTCCTGAGCACATCTGGATGGCGCCACCTCCTGTTCATCTGCATATGGGGGCTCTGTTTCTTTGAAATTAAGGGGTGGGTTTTTTTTTAATATCGATTGCAACAAATATGTATGTCAATTCCTTCTCTCCACTTGCGGCCTTCGTTCCACGCAAAGTGTGTAACTGCTCCGTCTCTATAACCATATATGTACGGAGTACTCCATACAAAGTATGTGCAGTACATACGGAGTACATACTCCGTACATCCATATAATATACGGGGTTTTAGTACTACATACTCCATACATCCAGATGAGATGGCAACAGCGAAGGTTCGAATTATTTTTAAGACTTCGGCTCGGAGGTCGCCATGAATTTCTCCTATTGGCCAGATGCACTCGATTGCAGAGTGGATCCGCTTACCCGTTTGAGCAGCTGAGCTGCACCTTTCTGCCTTGTGATTGGCCTATCTAGCTGAATCAGCACTAATTTTTAATCGAATCTGGCCAATCGAAATTCGGGAACGCCTCTATTGGCGCTGCGCGGAGCCGCCCTGGAGCACGTGCGCACGCAGCAGGAAAGCCTTCCAACTGGCCCGCACCGGGGCTGGTCGTCCTGGGAGGCGCAACCTCAGGCTCGAGGCCATTCGTTGGACTAAAAGTTAGCGGACCGCAAAACAGGTTTGCGCTGCCCAGCTCGACGTTGCCCAGGTTGCTTGGGGCTTTATTTTTGGCGCCATGGTGTTTTCCTCCCAAACTCGAACCTGGGATCTCTTCCACCCTGGGGTGGGTTGTGCTGCTTGCTCTCCGTTTCAACAGCCGCTCGTGACGTTTCAAGCAGAGCTTCGCCCTCCGTCCGGAAATTATGGTACTTTGACGGAGGAATTGACTCCAATAAACGTGTTGCCTTGGCTCTGAGGGCACAAGGGCCTCAAGTTACGCCGTACTCCGTCCCTGGTGCCGAGATATTCTCCCAAGCGCCGGTCGTTGCTCCCGAGATCGCATCGCTGATCCATCTTCCTCCCGAGCCCCACAGCGTGTGGAATGGATTGCCTCTCCCAGGAACCTGAAGCAGATTTCATCCCTACTTTGAAACAGTCCAAGCTGTCTTTGACGATAAAAATAACAATCGAAAGCTCGTTCAGCACCTCTTTCCCTGCCCGGTTCCAGTATAATAATATAACCAGCTTGGCCCTGAATGATGCTGTGGGTTGAAAGAGCTTGAAGCGTCCTTGAAGTGTCATTGTTGAAACTTGACTCGTTCCTTTTTCTTTCTTTTTGTTTTGCCTTTCTTTCTTTTTTTTTATTGTGCTGTGCTCCGTACAATTTTTCATGCTGGTTCTATCATTGTTATTGTAGCGTTCGTGCAGTTTCTGTGACTAAAGTACGGAGTATATAGCATTTTTTCGGAGTTCTTCCCATTTTCTTGAAGTTCATTCGCCTGGCTGGATCCGGTCACATTAATTCGTTTAATATACCCACCTAATCGCCAGAATGGTTTCGGCATCTGCAACAACCCTAATAACATTTATGCTGTGAGCTTGTCTTCCCTCTGTGCGATTCAGAGTCTCGCTGACCGTCGGTGTGATTTGTGCAGCCGAACCCCGCCGAATACAAGTTCGGTGAAGCTACTTGGGTCGTGGGACAATTTCTCGAAAGAGTACATCATGGAAAGGGACACAAGAATCGGAGCGGACCATTGGAGAGGATGCCACGTATTTACAAATATAATCTGCGATGGTAATCTCACTGCTACACAGCCGGGTCGTGACGGTGGGCTGAAGATGGGCGGCACATATTGGTACTACGTATGTAAAACTCCTTTTTGCGTTTGCATGATTTTATGTCAATTTATCTGACTTGGGGCTTTTCTTCGACCCAGTATCGTCTTGACAACGATGTTGATTACTATGATGAAGCTGAGCCGTGGACTACTTCCTGTCCGCTTCTTCCTGGCCAACCAATCAATGTCCTGAATGTCCCAATCCATCTCCCTTCGATCGACACCCGACGGCATAAACGTGAGACCAGCATGGCATCGCAGCGCTCAATTCCCCAGACGATGAACCCCGATGACAAATATCTTAACCCCAGGCCTCCACCGCGACCAAAGCTTCCTCGTCTCCTTACATCCACGGGGGCCACTCGTATTCGTGACGCATTGACTTCACCTATATTAGCTTCACCTCAGCATCCAGTTCACGGGCGGAGTGCATCACACCCGCGAGAGCTTGCAGAACGTCGAAGGTTACGGGTTCCTGCAAAATTGAACCTGGATATGAGCCCCTCATCCGAATCTTCGACAAGGAGTAATGCTCTTCGGACTGCTCTTTGGAACTTTAAACCCCCTCGCTCAGGCGGAAAGGATGAAGACAATGGTAAACCGTGGCGCATGAATGAATCCGAGAGCAATCGAGGTAATAGGGTCGACTATTCCAGAGGGAGGAGCCCTCGAAGCAATGCGTCATCCCCTTCGCATAACTGGCCGGCAGCTGCGCGTTCAGCGCAAAACCTGAACGTCCCAGCCGAAACGTATGGGGAGAGGAGGGCTGTCTCACCCTGCGGAAGCGAACTCAAATCTCGAAGAAATCGATCCCCCTTAAGAGCCCCAGTCAGGTTTGACAAAAGCCCTCTAGCCGCAATTCCATCTCGTGGCATTAGTTCGGACCGAGGAGATTCCAGACCGTCCAGAGAAGAGCTTGACCCAGATGATCCGCCATCGTTGGTCGTGCCTTGCAAACTGGACATCGGAAGCACTGTAAATCTGAATGAGAAGCGGCTGCCTACACTTCCGAACAGTCCGTCGTCGGTCCTCGATGAAGAGCTACATAGAATAGGTGCCTTCCGATCCCCTATGCTCGATATGGAAGCCTTGCAAAGCCACTTTTCGGCATCTACTGCCGCATCTCCGGATACATCACCCGACTCCTTCCTACATCCTAATGTCAGTCACTTCTCGGAATGCAGCACCGACACCGACGCTGTATCGCCGAGTTCAATGACTTCCAGTTCGACGTTTTATAATGATAGCTCTCTGTCTTCTAACCAGAGCGTTGGGACCAGCGAGGCTTCAGAGCCTCCGCTCACTGACAAAACTCTCCCAAATTTTGCCGGTTTACGTATCACCGACGATTTTAACCTGTCTTTACCTCGTATCTGCAAAGACGACATTCCATCGTCTTCCACTCCCGTCGCAGAAGAGTCTTTACCTAATTTTCGGGTCTCGGGGCTGCATATTACTAAGAAGCCACAAACTGCGTATGGTCCGGTCTCAGATTTGAAAGCACATTCTCACGATCGACAGGTGCTGGACTCTGGGCTTCCAACACCGCGAGCTAGTGGAATGCAGTTAAAACCGGAGGTGGAAGCAGGCGGTGCCCGACTTCCTTCACTCCATGTGCAGACCATGATGCAAGAACTGATGGACGAGTTGAGCTATTTAGGAAATATGATCAATGTTAATGGGAAAGGCAGACATTGATTCGTTTGAAGTATATACAGTGAGGTTGTATAGAACCTGAAGCTGCTGTCTTGGCACGTCTTGTAGCTTGATATCTTGTCTTTTGTCTCGGGCTTTGGATATAGGTACATGTTTTTGATATATAGGTGTCTGTGATGCTGTTCAAGTAGCATTTATATGCTCTTGTAATTATAGGCGTCGCGCATAGAGAGCATTTAGCAGGAAAATTTAATCATAATTTAGCAACAAGCATGTCGTGTTTGTCGTTTACACCGTGAACCAGAGTAGGGGAGGTGGAGTTACACACGCTGAGAGCTGGGTGTGGGTTGTTATCGATAAGGTTGAAGCTTAACCTCAACTCCCCCCCCGGTCAATGCTTCATGCAGATTGAACCCGTGTACGAAGTACTCCGCGACGACTACATATCCTCTAATGTTCAATTCTTGAATTAATTTAATTATAGAAACTCAGATTCATGACCTTCAATTTGGCACCCTCAAAACTGCCCATCCCATGCAGGCACCCGAAGACGACACTTGGACAGCAAGACAAGAAAATGAAGATGCTGAGGAAGAAACGAAGCCCGCCCAGCTTGCTTCGGTGTCGGAGAAGCAGTTAACCGCAAAATGCAAGCCAGATATCTTGACGTACTGCCCTACTATGGACTTGGTGGCGCTTGCGACGGAAGATGAGCAGGTTCATGTTTTCCGGCTGAATGGGCAGAAGGTGTTTGGCGGGTTTGCGCGTGGCGGAGGGGAGGGACTGAAAGTGAAGGCGCTGAAGTGGAAAGCCAATGGTGAGGGCTCTTTCGAAGTTCAATTTGTTTGACTGTGTGGATTTTGGTTTCATATTCAAACACGCAAAGTTTCGTTTGGGTTTCTCGCTTCTGACTCGTGTTGTACAGGTCATCTTCTCGCTGTGGGCACTTCGGATAATAATGTCCGTATTTTAAGTGCGTACAGCGGAAAGACCGTGCATGTTCTGGCGTGCAAGCCAGCTCCGGCATATGGTCCGGGAGTTTCCCCGCGGGATCCGGGCTCCAAGTCGTCGGCCTCGATTTGCTGCTTGGGTTGGGGGGTAAACCTGACGGATAGCAAAACGGCTGCAAGGGCTGTGGAAGACTCCCAAGGGCGGCTTACAGTTGAAGATATGCTTGCCCCTGAGACACCGTTATCGAAGCTTCCATACATCAAGGCTGATCTACCGCGTGAGTTGGCTTTGTTGGATATAGATCGCTCTCTACCGAAATTGAGCACGTTACCCTCCACGGGGGATGAGTAAGTATATAGTTTAGTTTACTTTGCCCTTATCCAAGCGTAGAATTGATAGGTATTGATATAGAATTAACGATTTGCTAGTGATGATATATTCAGCTCTCGGGCGTCGATTGATTCGGTCTTTCATTCGGGCAATAAGAACTCCGACTCTGTTGATGTCTTACTTGTAGGATTCAACGATGGCACTATTCATATACGGATATTCGATTCATTTGAAATAGGCTCTATAAATGTTCGAAAGTCATTTGATAACTCTGCGGATGCACGCGCCCTCGTTCATGCATCCCACCCAATGAGCTCGACACATGCTTTTCTGTTTGCCACCAATTCCCGAGAAAGCGAGCGCCTATGGATCTTTTCCTTGGATCTTCTATTTATCACTAAGTCCGGAAGATATCTCTCCGTGCTGGCCTCTAAAGTGACACAGTTACAGAACCTTCTACGGTATATTAAGCAAGTGCAGGCACAAATTCATTTAGAGTGGAAGAATGCCCAAGATTTACCGGGGCGATATCTCAGGAACATAAATGAAGACTTGCAGGAAAAGCTAATGTGCGATTTTGTCACTGCTGCTTACCATTTGGCTGTCACTGGTGACTGCTTCGAGCCTCTTAAGGAATTTCTGGTGGATCAAGTAGGCGAAAGGGTATGGGGACTTGAATGCTTTTTGTATTGATATAGTTATTTCCTGAGCTGACAAATTATTATCAGGGTCATAAACGATGGGAAAAGGCAGTTCTTGGTGGGTACGAAACGACCAGACGCTTGATTCATGAGTGCCTTCTACCAGCGCTAGAGAGGTGCAGTGTTCTCCTTAGCCGCTTGATAGGGCTGTCAAAGTTCCACAAGCTGAGCCCAGTACTGGGCCTGGATACGACAGATCTCAAAGAATGTCTCGCCACAATTGATTGCCTCACGCTCCTAGGACATAAAGTCATGGTAAACAGCGGACACGAACTTGTTCAATTCTTCGCGTTTTCTCGGTGGTTGCGATATGAGATCGACCTTCAGGGCGCGGATCCTCTATCTTCCACTGCGGAAGAACTAATGGAAAAAGCGGATGCAATTGACCATGCACAAACCTTGAGTTATATCCAAGGGGCTTTGACGCGAAGTGCTTTACTCGATTTTATTCAACCAAGTACACAAGAACCGGGCAATAATCGATGGAGAAGTGTTGATGAAGGTGGTGTGTTCTATGAGAATTACAAGAAGATATTACAGAAGCTGGACAAGCGGAAGGCTGGAGAGGTCGTGGAGGCCCCGATGCTGAGTGACCTTACCGACCGGCTAAGCGTCCAGTTCGAAAGGGTATTCAGGCGCATCGCCGAAACACAACGAAGGAGCATTTTAGAAAGAAGTATCCGGAGTTTGGGCAAAGACTTCGGCCAAGAAACTGTCGACATGACGATGAATTATTGGGTACGTGTGGAGACCGCTCGAACACTCGTTTCGCAAGTGGTTAGGATTCTAACAAGGTTAAAAGAATGACGAAGGCACACCCGCGGTTTCAGTTTTCGCAGCAGCGAGATCTAAAACATGCCCTTTCATCCGTGAGTACTCCCACAGGCTCTATCCTTATTCCCAGGCCGCTGACGTTATTTTCTAGTCTACCTCGAGCGTGCTGTTCTCACCACTATCAATGGGGTGAGCTCGACAGAGACTCTTCTTACGGCGACGATCAGTCTCCGACAAGGCACTATCATGGATGTTAAGTTTGTTGAAGACGGAACGATCATGCTCCTCTGGTCCGATGGAAGTAAGTCCGACCCATGTCCTTGACCGGTTTCGTTTACTAACCCAGTCACCAGATATACCAGGGGCAAAGCACCTCATTCATTTTCCATACCAACCTGATAAGGATCCTTTATTCTCACCCAAATATGTAAAGGATGGCAACTCTGATCAACCGCCGCCATCGGACCGAATCACTCACCTCGACATATTTGATCCTCGATCGCACCACGTGACCTTTGTGCGGCATACATTTCCACAAGATAAAAATAGGGACCCGCTGCGCATAGAAGTAAACGGCCGCCGGGGCAGGAGAGTTGTTTGCGCTCTATACTCGGACAGACAGTGGTATTCTGTCTTTGACATCGACAGCATGGACGATAGAGATGATGAAGAAAATGACGCCAGTGGAGAAGAAGAAATGGGAGAGAAGTTCGATGAACAGGCTGATGAACAGAGAGATGATATTATGTCCGGATGATCACTTCCACATAGCTACGATAGAAAAAAGCCACTCTATGACACATCCAAGCTGTTCGCGAGTGTTTCGGCGTTTTCTAACGGCCATGAGAATCAGAATACGCTTGTCCTTACGCTGGCCAAGTTCCCATGTAGTCCAAACTCTGGCGATACGTTTAGATCATTGGCCTGATCTTCATATCATACGCCAGTAAGGTGACCAAACTGTTCCTAGATCCGAAAGCTTCAAGGTTGACACTCCTTTGTCTGGTGTAGTCTTTGGCAACCCTACGTATCGAAATGTTTTCTTTTTTTTGAACGGAGAGATCTAGAGAAGGAGATGAAGATGATTGAGTAACTAAATGACGGTCGTGGGACTGGCAACTTGCCCCTGGAGAGAGAGAGTGATGATTAGATGGGAGACGGGGAGCTCCGTCAGACTGGCGGGGGAGGGCTGCAAGACTTGGCAGGCAACTGCTGTGTGACAAAGCCGTGGGCACAGTCCTTTTGCTAGGGACACCCCCATGCAACTGTTGCCTGCACTCGCGCCCTGGTCAAAGGGATATTTCCACTAGAGCTTAGGTCTTAGGTGCAGGGTTTCAAGGATGCAATCTACTGCTCGTCGCGGCCCCCCGAACGCTCGTATGATGCAGATTCTAGAAGAGGCCTTCAGCCATCTGGTTCTTTTCCCAGCCCTTTGATAGGTTCGCCTGCGTGGAGTTAAGCACCGCGGGGGAGCAAGTTTTGCATGCGCCAGGCCGGATCGAGTCTAGGTGCCGTGTGCACAGGAAGCGGTGCGTGGGCATAGGCGCTCCTGGTGACTGACGGCGCTGAAGGGCGAAAGGGCGGTTGATCTGGCCCACTTTTTCGCTATCTGCTTGTTTACTCTTTTCCAACAACCACCTCTTGAGGCTGCTCTCCCAGACAGATCACCTCAAAAAGCCACTAGAACTTCGCTGTTTTATCATTTTATCTTCGACCCTTTCTTTTTTCCCACTTCCTTCTTCTCTCTTAGTTTGACTTCTGGTATGTTGTGGAATCCTTAATCGTGCGGACACGGCCGTATAAAAAACAGGGTTTCTGAGTCTCTTCCTCGCCTTTTATTGCAGGTTGAAAAAAAAAAAAAAAAAAAGGCACATCTAAGTTCTGAGGACCAGCCATGGATGTCAATCAGGTGCTGGCTGGCACCCTTTCACCAGGTATGATATGTCCTCCCCTCCGATTGAGTCTTTCAAGAAATTATGCCGATCGACTAACCCGGCGCTTCGCCCTTCAGATGCCGCAACTCGTCAAAACGCTGAACAACAGTTGCTACATGCTGCTGAAGTCGACTTTGTACGTCTCTCTCTCCATTTCTCCCCAATCGTGGTCGGATACAGTTGTATTTTGGGCCTCCCGCGCCTATATCTGGTGTCTGTCGCCTACTTGGCTAACTTAAATCCACTTTTTTGCTTTTTTTTGATCGATAGGCTGGATACCTCACTACCCTAGCAGGTGAACTTGCAAATGAATCTGCGGCTCCCGCTATCAGAACAGCGGCTGGTATAGCGCTGAAAAACTCCTTTTCATATCGAGATCTCGCCAGATTGAGAGAAGTTCAAGGGAGATGGGTTCACCAGGTTAATCCACAGGTTAAAAGCGGGGTGAAGGACCTAGCTTTGAAGACTTTGGCCTCCCCTGATTCACGAGCCGGACAGTCCGCTGGTCAATTTATTGCTTCTATTGCGGCGATCGAACTTCCCCGAAATGAATGGCCTGAGCTAATGAATAATCTGGTTCAAAATGTTAGCGGTGGATCGGATCGCTTGAAACAATCCTCCCTCGTTACTATTGGATTTATTTGCGAATCTGAAGATCCAGATCTCAGAGAGAGTCTGAATTCCCATTCAAACGCCATCCTAACTGCGGTTGTGCAAGGAGCAAGAAAAGAAGAGCCAAATAACGATGTTCGGAATGCGGCCATCACAGCATTGAGCGACGCCATAGAGTTTGTGAGATCTAACTTTGAAAATGAAGGAGAACGCAACTACATAATGCAGGTTATTTGCGAGGCCACACAGTCAAACGATGTTAGAATACAGAGCGGCGCGTTTGGTTGTTTGAACCGTATTATGAGTAGCTATTACGACAAGATGCGATTTTATATGGAAAAGGCTCTTTTCGGACTCACGGTCTTGGGAATGAAGAGTGAAGAAGAGGATGTTGCCAAGCTCGCCATCGAGTTCTGGTGTACCGTCTGCGAAGAAGAGGCTGCTATCGAAGATGATAATAGACTGGTGAGTAGAAGATCATGTTCCTCACCATCAACATTCATATGACTGATTCGCTGCCCCTAGGCGAAAACCGAAGGATCGTCGATTATTCGCCCATTCTTCAACTTCGCTCGCATTGCTTGCCGGGAGGTCGTCCCAGTGCTGTTGGAATTGATGACCAAACAAGACGAAGACGCTTCTGATGACGATTATAATATCTCGCGGGCCGCTTACCAAGCGCTTGAATTATATGCCAGCTGTGTCCATGCTGACGTGATACCTCCTGTTCTAGCATTTGTGGAAGCCAACCTTAGAAATGACGACTGGCACCGTCGTGATGCGGCCGTATCATCGTTTGGTGCCATCATGGAGGGACCAGAATTTGAAACTCTCGATCCGCTTGTTAAGCAGGCCCTCCCTGTCCTAATTCAGATGATGGATGATAAGGTCATTCATGTAAAAGATTCAGCTGCATACGCCCTTGGTCGAATCACCGAATTCTGCCCGGAGTCAATTGATGTCAGCATGCACCTGCACCCTCTTATTTCATGTCTGTTCAACGGTTTGGCAAGTAGCCCCAAGATTGCTGGATCTTGCTGCTGGGCGTTGCAGAATATCTCAGACCGCTTCGCTGGTGAACCCGGCGCTGAGACCAGTGAATTCTCTAAGCATTTTAAGGATAGCGTCAGCTCATTGCTTGCCGCCACTGAGAGGTGTGTAAACCCAAGACTATTCTTGACGCGATTACTAATTTTTCTGTATCTAGACCCGACGCGGACAACCTTCTCCGAACGGCTGCATATGAGGTTCTCTCGACATTTGTTACAAACGCTGCCACTGATTGTCTGCCTGTGATTGTCAGCCTGGTCGACGTCATCATGGAAAGACTGGAGCGCACTGTTCCTATGCAACAACAGGTAGTCAGTGTTGAAGACCGGATCACACTAGAAGAACTCCAGACGAGCCTTACCAGTGTCCTTCTCGTAAGTTTTCCTCAACCCCCGAGAACTCACAATCTTTTGTCGCTTACTTTTTTTCAAGGCTATTGTGCAACGGTTAGAAACCGAAATAAAACCACAGGCAGACCGGATCATGCACCTTATGCTTAAGGTCTTGTCCACACTGCCTGCGAAATCCAGCGTGCCTGACGTCGTGTTTGCCACTGTCGGTGCAATTGCCAGCCCCGTGGAAGAAGACTTCTTGAAGTATATGGAGGCCTTCACACCATTCCTCTACAGTGCTCTGGGTAACCAGGAAGAACCTGGTCTATGCTCTATGGCTATCGGCCTAGTAAGCGATATCACTCGAGCATTAAACGAAAAGGCCCAGCCCTTCTGCGATACATTCATGAATTACCTCCTCAATCTACTGAGAGTAAGTGCCTTCCGCTTCTCCGTTATGAAATGCGCTAATAACCGAATCTCAAGAGCACCACGATTACCAATCAGCTGAAACCTGCTATTCTTTTGACATTTGGCGACATCGCACAAGCTATTGGAACTAATTTCGAGACATACTTACCAGTCGTGGGTCAGGTTCTTCAACAGGCGTCAGGCGTTACTGTCGGCAACGATTTATCTCAGGACACCCTTGACTACGTCACTTCTCTTCGTGAAGGCATCATGGATGCTTGGGGTGGCATACTTCTTGCCTACAAGGGTACGCCCAATGGTGAGTAAACCCTTAACTTATTTTATCAAACATGAGAACTCACGTTTACTAGCTAATAATTTAACACCTTTTGTTGAGTCGATATTCCAGCTCATTAGCCATATCGCTCACGAGGGCACCAGAAGTGAGGGTTTGATGAGGTCCACCATGGGTGTAATTGGGTACGTTTCTCACTTCTCACATATCGGTCTTTTTCTAGGCTAATGGGAGCAAGTGACTTGGCCGATGTGTTCCCCAACGGTGAATTTGCATCCCTATTCCGCAACGAGTTTGTCTCCGGCCTTGTAAGAGAAACCCGATCCAATCGGGACTACGGTGGTCGCACAATTGAGACTGCACGATGGGCCCGTGAACAGGTTAAACGACAGGTCGGCCTCGCTACTGCGGCTGCCATGTCATAGATATCATTTGCGATAACAGTGTTTCCCAGTATCTCGGGTCTATTGTGCCTAACTTACAGGAAAACTGTCACTTAAATCCCCCTGTAATGGTCTATACCACTAGTGGAAAGTGACAGCCGAGTTCGTCCAACTCTTGAGGGTGACAGAAGAGCCCGCCCAGAACTGCTATAAAGGGGTTTCCTGAGCGGCATGCAGATTGGAAAATCCAATATCTTTTACAGCACAGGAGTTTTGCACATGGACTCATAATAATAACCCCACCCACCAAGCAGATCGACCCCCTGTCTCGCGGTCACCCTGAACACTCACAAGCCCGCCCCCACGCCAGCAAGCATTCAAGCATTGCAGCCTTTCCACCTCGCAATGACCCTAATTCCTTTGTCGCACGACCCCCCTAGTATGATATGTTGATGCTTGTTTCCAGAAAGGGTTCCGCCCCCCAACCTTACGTTTAAATCATGTATGCCCCTAAGTCATGTATCTTCCTTACGGCCTAGTATTTATTCACTTGGACTGGGTTGTTTGGAAACTAAAATATTGATTTTTGTTATTCCGGCGAGTGTGGAGAAGCGAAAGGACGACGGATGGATGGCCATTTGAGAGGATGGAGGAGATTTTACATTGCCTTTTTCAGCCTCTTCTTTTCTCCTTTTCCCCAGTCTTTTCCCCTTCGCCTAATTCCCCCCCCTTCGATTTCGCTTACCCTATTTTAGACATTGGCACAGCACTTGATTGCCCCTTCGAGCTTGAATTTTAGAGCAAATTGTAATATCATCCAGCCCATGTATTTGCCCTCGCCTGTGCCCTTACATTTTGCTTTACTTAGACGAAGAATATTCTATGGCCCTGATATATGACAATATGCAGTTTACCAACACTGACAGGGAAGTGTATGATATCGTTCAACCCTCATGATTCCTCGTCCCGCCTGGCGCCAACTTCTATATCACGTGATAATTACTGTATAAGGTTAGAGCTAGGGCACGAGGGGATAAGCCCTAAGCCGTGCGCGCTAAGCCGGTTAGCTCACCAGACCTCCACTCGACATCGAGCTGGTATCGGAATTTTCGACAATCTCCAGTCCCAACGCAAGACCAACGCCGTCCACGTCAATCGAGGTATGTAACTATGACCCTTCATGTCGCAATCTGCAGTCCAATACTCTTCAGCTAGCTTGGGAAGAAGCAATCATCATGCCGTGGGACTGATGGGCAGGACATGATGATACGCTTCTTCCCTGTGCTCCATGAGCACGGGCTGAAGAACCCTCTTCTCTTCCCGTCTAGCGAAGGGGGCACTCTTTGCGCTCGATAAATAAAGCTGGCTGGAGGCTAACATATATGTGCTTTCTTTCCCCTTTGAAATCCCTTTTCCTATCTTTTGCCTGAGATATGGGGAAGATAGGAACGGGATTTCAAACAAATGGGGAGAGTCTTGCCCGTTTATATAAATTTAGATACCTCATCTCCCAACGAGGAAAATTTTTTCGACCCGTTCGATTTGAGAATCTCCACCGGCGAAAGCTACCCTTTTCTTTAAACCGCCACAATGGTCAAGACTAGCGTCCTCAATGATGCGCTCAATGCCATCAACAACGCCGAGAAGGCTGGAAAGCGTCAGGTTATGATCAGACCTAGCTCCAAGGTCATTGTCAAGTTCTTGTCTGTGATGCAGAAGCATGGTATGTGAGATTTTTTTTCCCCGGGGCTTTGCGATTTTTCCTTCAGGACACAGCTGCGGGTTTTCCACTGTTTGACATTTTCCCTTTTCTTTTCGGGTTGATAACTAGGCGGATGTCTCGACTTTTAAACCACACCACGATTTCTGCCCTTTAAGTGCCCGATATATTAATTTTGCGATGATCTTACATGTTCCAGTCGCATTGTCGTTTGCGATTTTGCGATATTTTTCTCTCTGTGATTGGTAACTTTTAATTCGTCGCTACATTTCACTGACAAGTTCTCTTTGCAATTTCAGGTTACATTGGCGAGTTCGAGGAAGTCGATGACCACCGCTCTGGCAAGATCGTCATCCAGCTCAATGGCCGGTACGTTTCTTGACATATAAGCGTTATAATTAGGTCACGTAATACTGATATTTAATGATGTTATAGTCTGAATAAGACTGGTGTCATCAGTCCCCGCTACAACATCCAGCTCCGCGAGCTCGAGAAGTGGGTCGTCAAGCTTCTTCCTTCCCGTCAGTTCGGTTACATCGTCTTGACCACCTCCGCTGGTATCATGGACCACGAGGAGGCCAGACGTAAGCACGTTGCTGGCAAGATCATTGGTTTCTTCTACTAGAACGACCATTTCAAAAAGTTTTCCGAAATAATTTTTTTCCGGGATTCATGGCGTTGTACTTCTCGCTTCATGACGGAGTCCAAACGGGCTACTCTGTATGGATAGCAGGTTTCCTTCTGGTCATGTGTAGACGGGGCATATAGCAGTATATAAGTACATTGTATCCCGTAAATCCTTTTCGCGTGACAACGTCCTTGTGATACTTCGTACTCCGTGCTCTTGCGCAGACAATGTAATTATCAGATCTGGTGAAACCAAGCCGAGGTGTTTTTCTTCACCGCCAAGTTTTATCGATTCTGCCACATCCGATAAGTAGCAGCCAGGAGCACCTAACGCGACGGCAAGCACATGAACTTCTCGCTGCTGGTGAATCACTTTGCGGAACAGGAACAGTCACGGCTCAGGCAATAACTTACATCTTTATAAATGCCACTTGACACGATCTACATCACCCGGCATGGGGTAAGCCAATTCCGCGCTTGTCGCTTCCCCCGCTCCACTCCGTTCCATTCTACGATCGTCACTGACCCGGAACCTGTCGTTCTTTGCCCTGCAGCACCGTCTAAACTGGACAATAGACTTATCTACGGGTACCTACCATGCGACCTACCCAACGCCGACCGGCATTCCCGTCGACCCGACACTCACGCAGCCAGGTGTTCGGCAATCGCAAGAGTTAGCAGCGCACTTTTGCCATGAAACATTCACGACAAAACCATGCAGGGTGTATTGCAGTCCATTTTATAGATGTCTGCAGACCATCCAGCCGACAGTGGAAGGGCTGAAAAAAATCCAAGAGGCAGAGAAGAGGCCAGATATCGACTTGACTGTTAGAATCGAAAACGGCCTTGGGTAAGACCACGACGCCGTGCCGACTCTTTAAGGTTGATTTTGCCATATTCAGGTCGCTAGTTAACAGTATTCTGATTCAGAGAATGGTTCGGCTCCTCATCCTTTTTCACTCACCCGTCCCCTTCGACTCCTGAGGTCCTCGCAAGCCACTTCCCAACCATCCTCTCTCCCTCTCCGTCCGAAACCCAATACAAAGCAAGGATAATCCCTTCTCCCAGTGGTGAAACTATCGCCCAACTACACGACCGTGTAGCCACAACGCTCTCGCACATCATCGCCACTGTCGATGAAGAACTCGCGGCCTTCGCTGAATCTCATCCGGACGATCCCCGCAACCATCAAAGTCACTCCATATTGATATGTACGCATGCTGCGCCATTGATTGCAATGGGCAGGGCTTTGACAGGGAATATGCCCGACGATTCTTCAGAGGAGGACTTTAAGCCGTTTACAGCGAGTGTAAGCACGTTTGCAAGACGGAAGTCTGGGAGTCGGACGGGCATCGAGCAGGACGTCGTAAATGGAAAGACCGAAGAAATTTGTGGAAAGAAGATTCCCTACTGGAGAGGTGGAAGAGGAGTTGGTGGAGGCTGGGACTGCGTACAGAATGGTGATTGCTCGTTTTTGAGCGGGGGAGAAGAGAGGGGCTGGTATGTCTCGATAAAAGATTTGGGCAAGATATCCTGTTCGATGGCTAACTTCTACTTTTTTTCGTGTGCGTAGGCATTTTAACGGCGAGGAAGACTTCCTTTCGATGCCTACTCCGCTTGTTGCTAGCGCACCCAGTGGTGCGGCAAGCGATGCTGGCTCTGCGGGTTCTTCCTCTGCAAAGCTTTAGTTATACATCTACTATGGATGTTTTGCACGTTAAGTCAATCGGTTGCTTGTTTGGCTTGTTAATAGATGTGCCACGGTTTCATCTGCTGTTCGAATATACCCCGGACGAGGTGCATAGAATTTCGATTCCCAACGTCCAAAGTCAGCGCAATTTATATATATTAATATACGGCTGATAAAGGCTAGAGAAGTAGATAAATCAAAGCAACCTCTATAATTAGCTATCTCTCGTGGATATTCAACATGGATTAAAAAGTAAATTGAACGACAAAAATAGCCAAATATTGGCGCTTACCTTCTGCGTCAAATACACGCTTTTGCGACCTGGCTAGTTCTCTGGGGCATGTAAAAATGCACCACTTGAGTGAAACAATCTAGACCCAAGAGAAAACAACATGAAGAAAAATAAGTTCAGAAACCCGGACAGGGAATAATTCGAGCTGAATGTCGATCATGGACTTCATTTTAAAACAAGAATACAATGATGGTAGAACGCAATGCATGAAGATCCAATAAATCGCTCATTAACCCCGCAGCTCTTGGTCTGGCTGCTGGTGTTGTGGAGTTTCGCTTATGTTGGCCTCATTAGATGATCTGACATCCGATATGTCAGTGTTGTTCTCAATGTTAACACCATCAGTCCCATCAGGGGCTTCCTCAGGGCGTTGATTGTCTGCCTGCTGTCGCTGTTCTTCTTCATTCCGCCGTGCAGCTTCTGCTGCATTTCTAGCCGCGATGTGACGCTCACTTAAACCTGGAACGAAACTCGCAATGAATATTGCAATGGATCGCTCCAAACTGCGTAGCCCTTCCCACACTCCGCCTTGCTCACCTTGTGCAGCGGCACTTCGGCCTTGGCCAACGTTGGCAGACTCGTTGCGCAAATTAAAGTTGGCATCCACTCCTTCAGGTCGCTGGGTGCCATTGACTTCTCGGGCCTGCTGACCATCGACAGGCAGAAGATTCTCCAGATGTCGCTGGACTGGGCCGAGCACAACCCGCTGAATCCTTTGAGGAAGGCTGGTTTCTGAAAATATCGCAATAATAGCGGATCCCATTACAAGAAATGTACGAAGCCACGATCCACGAGCACTGATAAGATAGCTGAAGAAGTATAGCCGTATAAACAGCCAAAGGCTTCGAACGATAGCGACAAGGTTTATTGGTCTAACGTATTGCCTGTACCGACGCCGGACCAATGGTGGCCTAAAAACACGATTCGCAGGAAACCGGCCTGTCGGACCAGGCGCCCCTAGCTGGGCCATATTACCACCAACAACGAGACCCGGAATATTAGGCGCTAGCCTTGATGTGCGGTATCGAAGAGTTGACGCTGCAGGTTGATTATTGGGGCGCATCACCACGTACTGGTCGCCATTTGGAGCCTTAAGGAGGTACGCCGCCGTGGGAGTAGGGCCGGCCGTAGCAGACTCTAAGCCGGTGTGATAATTGCTGGGTTGCCAATCTCTAGCTTTCATGATTCGAAGCTGGTCTGCTCTAGTAGCAACACTTATAATTCGACCTAGCCAGCCTTCCAGGGAGGCATCTCGGGGTTTTAAAGGGTTTCGATACTCCTCGTCCTGTATTTGATACAGTTGAAACCGAATTCTCGAAATTTCATCCACGGAAGGACTTATACCATGATCAATTTGATCCTCCATTGCAAGGATGCGTTGCGAGAGAAGTGGCAGTCTGCTTGTCCCCGCTTGATATCCTCCACTAGTAGGCGCACTAGAAATGAACCGTGGAACCGGATTACTCGTAGTTCTGAGTTCCGGGCCACGATGCGTACGATGCTGTCCCAAATTTATCGAGGACGCGGTGGAGTTCCCCATCCCGTAATTTTCGTGCAATCCTTGTAAGCCTGTGTGCGAAGGCCCCGGCTCTATCACGTCAGAATCGCTCGAAGCCTCCCGCTTAAGTCTCTGTATTGGTGAAATATTTGGTCCAACTCGAGGTAGGTCGACGGCATTCGTAGTACTAAACGTAGCATTTCCACGATTATCCGACTCCTGACCAGTCCCACTGCTCTGTGTCTGGGAATCATTGAGCTTCGAACTGGATGATGCGCGAAAAGACGCGTTGCAACCAAAGATCCCTTGGCTTGTGGCCTCCCGGTTGGATTCGGGGTCCAACTCTGGAGGAGTCAGGGCCGGGTTCAAAAGATCTTCGATTCTCTGAGATCGGAAGGCTCTCGATTGAGGGAGTGAGGCTTGTACGCTCCTGCTCTGCGCCTCGTCTGATTTGAAGGATGGCTTAGTATCGGAAGTTTCTAACAGCGGGGTTCCTGGTGGGAGAACGAGATGAATCGAGTGAGTTTCGCCCTATTCACAGTGAGCTGCGCCAACAACTAAGCACGCCACCCATATTGTCATACGACTTACATTTCCCAGCTCAAGAATTTTTGTGAGCGTTTCCTGGGTATTTGACAGCTCTCTGCCTCTATAAATCAATCTCTGCGACTCCGGAGGTGGTCGCGTCGCTAACGCGGTCGTTATCATCGTCTTCAGCTCCGAGACTGTTGTTGTAGGGCGGACATGATTGAAAGATATTCGAGCCGATGTTCTAAATGATGGTGAGAGTATCTGTAAGCTAAGCCCATTGACATCCGGTGTGCTCGAGTGGGCACTGATGTCTGCATCCGCTTGGCCTGGGTTAAGAGCCATTGCTTCTTCAACAGCCAATCTTCGGGCGCGTGGAAAACAACACCAGAACGCGATTAGCTACCCAAAGCAGTGGCTCTAGAGAGAAATATGCTGGCTGCTTCAGGGGCCTCTTCAGAAGGGTCAATAAGCGAACAGGCAGCGCTGAGAGTGTTTGTCTGAGATAAGTCTGGAAGCTCTCAGACCATACGGCGGAAGGGAGGTGGTGTGCTCCGTCTCCGGGTGTCAAACAAAAGTGATCCGGAAAACCCTAGCCCCTCGTCAACTTGCAAAAGTATACAGACAACAGTTCCATCAACGGCACGCACAGACTCATGATGACAACCCCAGTGTCCAGACTGAGACTCATCGTTGTCCGCGGGTGCTTGTCCGGCTTGCCATCTGGCCTCAAATCCCGCGTCCCTCCACGGCCGCCGGAAAATCTCTCGGCCCGCGACGATCCGCTCCGGAGGTCCATTGCACCAAGCTTGGTTCTCGGGCATTTTCTCCCGTTTCATCACCACGGCACTGCAGCCATGTCCTCGCTCTTTTGACCCTGCTCGACCCGGCCCAGCCGATGTAAAGCTCTACTGAATCATGTCGCTCCTTTTTGTCACGCGGAGAACGGTCTGGAGCAGACCGACACGCTTTTACCACACATTAGACAAGAGCTCTGTTGACCCCTTAATCTACAGCCATATGGGGAGATATCCCAGTCTGCGCCGTCAGTTTTCCTCATCGAGGTATTGGCAGCGTGGATCACAGAACCAGAATGAACGTCCTAATGGAAACCAGTCATTCTGGGCCAAGCTGAGCTTTGCTCTGAGCAAGACTAAGGTTGAGTGGTACTCCATTCCGGTTGGACTGGGAATCGCATATCTTGGCTTTGTTCAAATCTACAAAATCCAAAAAGCTGAGAAAGAGAAACAACTACAAGAATCAGGAGAAGGATATGAAGAGGTTCCACGGAGGAAAAGAGTACGACTTTCCGGGCCATGGCAAGTTCAAATGATGTCGACTTTGCCCCTAAAGGCAATGTCTCGTTTATGGGGCCGTTTCAACGAGCTTGAGCTGCCTTACTGGCTTCGTGTTCCGGGATTCAAACTCTACTCCTGGATTTTCGGGGTTAATTTGAGCGAAGTGGCCGAACAAGACCTTCACGTCTATCCCAATCTCGCGGCGTTTTTCTATCGAGAATTAAAGCCCGGTGTACGACCTCTAGACCCTAACCCAAATGCTATTCTATCTCCGTCCGATGGTCGTATTCTGCAGTTTGGTATGATCGAAAAGGGGGAAGTCGAGCAGGTAAAAGGCGTGACTTACAGTCTCGATGCTCTCCTCGGACGAGACGCGGGGACTCCAAGGTCAGGGCTCGCGCAGCCCGCCCTCAGATCATCTGGGAATAGCAACACGACGGATGCCAAAACCGACAGCGATAACATGGAAGCAGACGAGGAATTTGCTAAAATGAACGGCATAAGCTACACTCTACCCTCACTTCTCTCCGGAGGGAAAGACGGACACACGGACAAGAGAGCCAGCTCAATGGATGCATCAGTCGAGTCGAGCTACAAATCCGAGGTGAACGTGCAGGCCGATCTCGCAAAAGGTGAAACTCCATGGTATATGCCCAAACCAGCTTCGAATCGCGCTCTATACTATGTTGTCGTCTACCTCGCACCGGGAGACTACCATCGGTTCCACTCGCCAGTTCCATGGGTCGTCGAGAGCCGACGCCATTTCGCTGGCGAGCTCTTTTCCGTTTCACCATATCTTCAACGAACACTTCCAGGCCTCTTCACTCTCAACGAACGCGTCGTCCTCCTTGGCCGGTGGAGATGGGGCTTCTTCAGTTTCACGCCGGTGGGCGCAACGAACGTCGGCTCCATCAAGATCAACTTTGATCGTGAACTACGCACAAACAGTCTTACGACGGACACCGAAGCTGACCGCCAGGCAGCTCTTGCAGTCAAGCGCGGAGAAGTCTACCCCGGTTATGCGGAGGCCACGTACCACCTCGCTAGTAAGACTCTGGGCGGCCACGCATTGGAGCGGGGTGAGGAGATGGGTGGCTTCCAGCTGGGTAGCTCGATTGTCTTGGTCTTCGAGGCACCGATGGGCGAGCCAAAAAATCTAGAACTCGGTTCGGGCGGTGAGAGAGAAGGTGGCTGGGTGTGGAAGATCGAGAAGGGACAAAGAGTCAAATATGGTGAGGCATTGGGAGAAGTGAAAGCCTAAAAAAACACGCATTGACGCAGAGGGACTCCCTTTTCCGCTTTTTTCTTTCTTTCTACGGAGTATGGTATGCGCGGCAAGTGTCCCAGCCTTCGAAAAAAAAAATGCTTTATCTGCTTCAACATGTATCCGAAAGCTTTTATAGCTTCGCTGTTAATGACCCGTCTTGAGGCATTTTGTATAATACGTTGGTGTGCAGTGCGTGTCTTGGTTAGAGTGATACAGACTGGTGTTTCATGCCTGGATTCTGGCTTCTCATTAGGCAAAAAGCTTCACTGATCCTTTGGGGGACAATAAAAAGAAAATCAAGCCTCCGCCCCATTTGCTTAGCTTCGTCCGATAAAAAGCTTAAAAGGCATTCCTAAATGCCCTGGAGGGAGAAGAAGGTCTGATGAGGGGAGCGAACGTCGTATCGCAGAGTGTTCTCCGGCCCCTGCTGCACTTCTCCAAAGACCTTGACTCACTCAAGAGGCAGTTAGGCTGCCAAGCCTGTTTGCTAAAGTGGCATCACAGTACGGAGTAAAGAGGAGTTATCCAACTCGCAACCCGCCAGAATTTCTAGCAAACAAAATCAAGTGCCGGGAGCCGGCTTGCATTGGTCTGTCTTCCCAAGGGAGAAAGTGTTTCCTCATCAATGTTTTACCCTTGGAGGGTGCCGGGTGAATTTATCAGAGCCACAGCCATCGGTTTCCGGGCGTCCGCCATGTCGAACATGATGTCTCTGTTTGTTCCTTTTTATAACCTGTTTTTTTTATGGCCGTAGCCACAGCCACCGCGATGAATCTCGAATTTCTCTATCCTCCTTGCCACCACCACCACCACCAAGAATTTACACATCGGCTATGGTTACACATTTCCGTAATTCCATACATGCTGCATAAGCTGGAAAGTCTTTAGGGGATGTTTATTCGACTGCAACGCATCCCGGCGTGGGGAGAATAAAGTTTGTACCACATTTGTATGTCATGCACAAGAACACAGCAACACGCAAGATACCTGGGAAGGTCGCTGATTGCTCTGAGTGACACGGAGCTACTGGGAATGTACCCGCTATACGGAGTACGGAGTCGACGATAATCCAACAGGAGGCAATTGGACCATTGAATGTAGTAAAGAAGTTTGCAGTGATCCAGACTGCTGTTTAGAGGACGGAGTAAATAATCAGGCCCAATTGCACGAATAGCGGGGTGTTTACGCGATTGCTTTTCGGGTTCGTCAAAATGAACCTAATTATGGGGAAAATACCGGGCACCCACTCATACATAGGAACGTCTTGCACAACATGGAGCGGGCACTGCGGCTCAGGACGAGCCCGTGGTCCGTGGAATGGGAATCTGGCGGTAAAGAAATTAGTTAGTCTCGCAAACACAAGCGATCCCCCGCGTGAGCATCTTGGCGAGAGGCCGGGAGTGGATGTTCACCGGGGGGGTGATTGATCTCGTGCTTTTTTTTCTCGCATATGTAACTACGTCTGAAGAATTAGCAGCGAGTTAAACGGGTGTTTAAAGCGAGACTCCGCGGGGCCATTCAAGAGGGAGCTTATCGTGTCCAACGAGCAGCTATTCCGTAGGATGTTGAGTGAAACCAAGACGGATAAACCGTCTCGATGTATTCGCGTCCAAACGCAGCTTATGCTCGATCGGAGCCCCATATCGAGGTAATGCACATTAGATATCAGCAAGGCGTATTCCCTAGCGCATTTTCTTTCATGTGTTCAGAGAAAGGTGATGCAATTTCTTCTCCTTTTTTTTTTTTTTTTAATAACGCCCGCTCCCTCGTGCGAATCACCATGTTATCGCCCAGTCTGGATGCCCCTGTGTATCCGACCGTCGCTAGATTGACGATCTGTGGACGGATAATTCGCACATTATTTTTTTTTTCCCCCGAGGTAGCTATTGGAGGGCACCCAGTCAACGATAAGCATTGAAGCGTCCGCCGTCTTGGATTCCAATCCAGCGAGGCTCCCTCCTTTTTGCCCCGATCGGCGCTGGGGTCTCAATACGGAGTACTCCGTACGGAGGAGTGGAATTAAATAATTAACTTGTGAACAGCGAAGCACGAGCGAGATTTCCCGCAACGGATTGTCGGGAGGCTGCGACACTATCTGCCCAAGAAAAAAAAAAAAAAAAAAAAAAAAAAAAAAATTCCCGCAGTCGTCAAAGATCCGATATTCTGCATTGGCAAATAGGATTTGTAGTATATTTTTTTTTTATTTTTGGCAAATCAATACTACGACCAATCTGGGTTTAAGTACTCCTGTACTCCGTAGGCCCCAGGGCAAATAGCGTCGTCGACTCTCCGCTGCCCAGCACTGCGTCTGTACGTCGAGGCCATCCGGGGCACAGTGACCTGGTTACATAGTTACCCATTGACCAATTGCACGTTCCTTTTTCAAGAGTCGCAAGCAACTCCAATTCCTGTTTCCCTCCCCGCCAGTAGGACGGAGTGGTGGTCATACACAGTCAGTCACAGCCTGCGCTGCCAGTCCTTGCCAGGGAGCGCAGATCGTCTCCAGCGATGGACCTGGCCTGCAGACGATCGGCCCCGGGTGTGATGTCAGGCCTTATCGCCGGTGGGGCTTATCGTCACGTGTAGTTAGCCGGTGTTGCCAAGTCCCGTCCAACTACTGCCAAGAGCCGTAGTCCGCTTGGCTGTCGTGCAGGGGTCGTGGTGGTGAAAATTTCGGTGGTGGTGGTGGGAAGCGTTGGGGAGGCTCGAAGGAGAGCCCGCGGTGCTCCAGGGTCTCAGGTGGGTGGCCGGGCATGGCCGGGCATGGCCAATCCCTATAGGGCTGCATCCCACGGGCGGAGGAGGCTTTGCACCACCGCAAGAGCGAGCTCGAGGAAGAGACAATGGCGCACGTGGGGAGGACAGACCCGGGCGAGAAGATCCATCACCCTCCTCCTGCGGGCTCGAAAATAACAGCGTTGCCCCGCGATGGCGAATTAACTTCACCCCTGTCAGTAACCCAAGCTGGAATGCCCGGAGACTAGCTCGTAGGTGCAAAGAAAGGGCAAAGGGGAGGGAAAAAAAAAAAAAAAAAAAGCAAAAAAGAACTAATTGGAACCTTCTGGACCAAGAACATCCCTGACTTTTCCTCCCCCCATATGCAGCGGTTGAAGCCGGCTGACGATACGTTATCGTGTCCTCGTCGAAAGCTCCGTGGGCAGCAGGAGGTTCGTGGAGGGGTTCGTCTGGCTGCGCGCCCCGCCAATAACATGCCGCCGCCGTCTGAGGTGCGTGCTCATTTGCTCCTTCCGAGGCCCGCCAAGGTTCGATTTCGCCAGGCCAAGGAATTCCTCCGCCATGGATACTTCGCCAGTGGCTATGTGAGCGGCCCAAAACCTGAGCGGAATAGTGGGGGGTGGGAAGGGCACGGGTGGACCGTGGTAACTCCGAAACAGTCACCATACGCGTCGCCGTGATTGGCAGAGGACCGGAAATCCCAGTCTGTTTGCCTCCCAGTACGCCCGCCGGTGCTTGGATTTGCGGTGTGGGCGAAACTTACCATGACGAAGGTGGGGATGCCCTTCGGGCGACCGCTGGCCGTTTTTCGAGAGGCGATAGAGTTACTTAAAGAGTCACTTACGCCCCCCCCCGGATGCTCTCGAAAAAAAAAAAAAAAGAGGAAAAAAAGGAAGACAAAGAACGAAGGTCATTGTCTAGATAGACCTGCTTCGGGAATCTCTCCACTCTCACTCACTCTCGTTTCCTCCCTTGTTGATAGAAAGAGAGTAGAATCAAGCTTTCTGCTTGACTCTCCAGCTTGCTTTCGCTGCTGCTAACCACCACATCCTCAACGGTAGCCCACACTCAGTACTCGCCATCTGTCCCGGTTTATGGAGAAAACCCCCCAGACGCAGGGCCCTGGCCAACAAGGCCATGGGATCCTGTCCAGCCCTGCACACTGCTTGACCTATGAAGAAGCAATCCGAGAGTTGACCACTCATCCCGATGACGGGCTCACGGCGGAGGAGGCGAAGAAGCGCCTCGAGACCTACGGCCCCAACATGCTTGACGAAGGTGAAGGCGTCTCCGTCGTCAAAATCCTTATCCGTCAAGTAGCAAACGCAATGATGCTAGTTAAGCGGCCCATTTCCTCTCTCCCTGTTCGGCCCAATGTCACGTAGAACTCTGTTAGTCTGATCCATTGGCATTTGCAGGTCCTTATCATGGCCATGGCTGTGAGCTTCGGAATCCAGTCCTTCATCGAAGGAGGAGTCGTTGCTGCTGTGATTATCTTGAACATCATCGTGGGATTTTTCCAGGAATATGCTGCGGAAAAGACCATGGATTCCCTACGCTCCCTAAGCTCCCCTACTGGAACGGTCTCTCGTGAGGGCCAGACCAAAGTTATCCCCTCGACGGACATCGTTCCTGGAGACATGGTAGAGCTTAAAACTGGCGATACTGTTCCCGCTGATATCAGGTTAGCAACTTGTCAAGAGTTTTTTTCCAGAAATGCGTGTTATCTAACAACGTTGTATTAGGCTTGTTGAGGCTGTCAATTTTGAAACAGACGAGGCACTCCTCACTGGCGAATCCCTTCCTGTTCAAAAAGATGCTGAACTTACCTTCAAGGAGGATGTGGGCCCGGGAGATCGCCTTAATATCGCTTATAGCTCTTCCACCGTCACCCGAGGGCGCGCCCGCGGAGTCGTCGTGGCAACAGGAATGAAAACGGAAATCGGTTCGATTGCCGCTGCACTTCGTGCCTCCAACAGCAAGCGTCGTCCAGTGAAGCGTGGCCCTGGCGGTGAAACGAAGAAGCGCTGGTACTTGCAGGCCTGGGCCCTCACCGGAACCGACGCTGTGGGCAGATTCCTCGGCGTCAACGTCGGGACCCCTTTGCAACGAAAATTGTCCAAACTTGCCCTGATTCTCTTCGGTGTTGCTGTTCTCTTTGCGATTATTGTCATGAGCGCCAACAAATGGAGCGACTCGAACGAAGTCATTATCTACGCAGTTGCTACTGGCCTGAGTATGATTCCCGCCTGTCTTGTGGTCGTCTTGACAATCACCATGGCCGTCGGTACGAAGCGAATGGTGCAGAGGAACGTCATTGTTCGAAAGCTCGACTCCCTAGAGGCCCTCGGTGCGGTTACCAACATTTGCTCTGACAAGACTGGCACACTCACCCAGGGCAAGATGGTTGCCAAAAAGGCGTGGATCCCGTCGATGGGCACCTTCTCGGTAGGCACATCTAACGAGCCGTTCAATCCAGAAGTCGGCGACCTGGGCTTCGACAACCTTCCGCCTTCCCAGATGGACCCGGATGCCCCCCTGATTCCTATATCAGCACAAGACTTCGTGGAGAACAATGCCTTGGAGACCTTCCTTAACATTGCTGCAATGGCGAATCTGTCCCACATCTATAAGTCAGAGACCGGTCAGTGGCATGCTCGCGGTGAACCAACTGAAATTGCTATTCAAGTTTTCGCTTCTCGGTTTAATTGGAACAGAGATCGATGGACCAAGGGCCACGATGCAGTCTGGCATCAGAAAGCAGAATTCCCATTCGATTCCGACGTGAAGAAGATGTCCGTCATCTTCCACAAGATCACCCAATCGGAAGACCGGCAGATGGTGTTCTCCAAGGGAGCTGTCGAGCGCATTATCGATGCTTGCACAACCATCGTTTTGGACAAGGATACTGGTGCGGTCCCTATGACCGATGAGATCCGTGACCAGATCCTTGAGAACATGGAATCTTTGGCGAAACAGGGTCTTCGTGTCTTGGGTCTTGCTGCTCGTGAATACACCGGGTCTGTCCTCGAGGATTCAGAGATCAGCCGAGACGACGTTGAAAAGAACTTACGATTCCATGGCTTGATTGGATTGTATGATCCCCCTCGTCCAGAGACTGCGGGTGCTATCAAGGAATGCTACAACGCCGGAATTGAAGTCCATATGGTTACCGGCGATCATCCAGGTACGGCTCGTGCTATTGCTGCACAGATTGGCATCATCCCGGCCGATATGAGCTCGGTTTCAAAGGATGTCGCAGACGCAATGGTTATGACCGCTAGTCAATTTGACAAATTGTCTGATGAGGAAATCGACGCTTTGCCCACTCTCCCGCTTGTTATTGCTCGATGCGCGCCTCACACAAAGGTCCGCATGATTCAAGCATTGCACCGACGTGGACGTTTTGCTGCTATGACTGGTGACGGTGTCAACGACTCTCCGTCGCTGAAGCATGCCGATGTCGGTATTGCAATGGGCCAGGCCGGATCTGATGTTGCCAAAGACGCTTCCGATATTGTGTTGACTGACGACAACTTCGCTTCAATCCTCAACGCCATCGAAGAAGGCCGCCGTATTTTCGACAACATTCAGAAGTTCGTCCTCCACTTGCTGGCTGAAAATATTGCCCAAGCCTGTACACTTTTGATCGGATTGGCGTTTAAAGATCAAAACAATCAATCCGTCTTCCCACTCGCTCCCGTCGAAATTCTGTGGATCATCATGATTACTTCTGGAATGCCGGACATGGGTCTTGGTATGGAAGTTGCCGCACCTGATATCATGGACAGGCCACCGCAGAGCGTATGTTGTCCCCGTTAATGCTCAATTAGTATGCACATCACGTTAACTCTTTTTTTTTTTTTTTATAGAAACAAGGAATTTTCACTACGGAAATCATTGTTGATATCCTCGCATATGGTATTTGGATGTCCGCTCTTTGTCTCGCCGCATTCTCCCTTGTCATGTTCGGTTTCGGCGATGGAGATCTAGGAGTCCATTGCAACGAGGAGTACTCCGAGGTGTGCGACACCGTGTTCCGCGCCCGAGCAACAACATTTGTTTGCCTGACTTGGTTCGCTCTCTTCCTCGCCTGGGAGATGGTTAACATGCGCCGCAGCTTCTTCCGCATGCAGCCCAAGTCCAAGAAATACTTCACTCAGTGGATGTACGACGTGTGGCGCAACAAATTCCTCTTCTGGGCCATCATGGCGGGATTCATCACCATCTTCCCTCTTCTCTACATTCCTGTCATCAACCATAAAGTCTTCAAACACACCGGTATTACCTGGGAATGGGGGATCGTTTTCATCGAGGCTTTCCTGTTTTTCTTGGGCGTTGAAGCCTGGAAATGGGGCAAGCGCATCTACTTCCGACGCCGCACCCAACGGCAAGAGAAGGTTCCTCACGGAGTGGGTGAACGGGTCGAAGACGACGAGCAATGACTCCTGCTTAAAGCTGGATTCCCACTCCAGCATTTTTCGGCTGATCAAGGCGCCTGGCTGATAGGTACGCCGCACATAGTGCTATTTGAAAATGCTGACTTGGACATTGCACATAAGCATCTTGCGTTCTGTTTTTTGGAGAGCATGAAAGAGGTATGTATATGGCTGATTTCATCGAGTATGGATGATCAAAAGAGCATACGACAGCCCGATAGGGGATTCTGTGTAGCTCACTTTTCAGTTGATGATTGCTGTAGTGGATACCCAGTTGATTTCATAGATGTTGGAAAGGTAGAAACAATAGTAGTTTTAGGTAGCTATAAAAAAAGTAATTTTATCTTGCAATTCCTCTGTTCTGGCCTGTAAATTGAGACACGTCGAAGTTGTAGAAATTCGATTTTAGATGCCCTGACGTCTTTAACGACAGTGGTGAAAAACTCGTGGTGGGGTGTTGCTGCCGACGAGCGGGAAAAAAAAAAGCAATTTGGGCATCGAGCGTCGAACACGCGACTTTGTTGAAGCTCAAGAACCCAGCTATTTTTTAGTGGCTCCGCAGGGCGACCGGAGACATCGCGATCGCTGGACGAGCATTTGCGTTGGACATTTTTTGAGCCCGTAAAGCCCGAACAAATACGTATATCCACGCTTCCTATCCCTCTCGATGCCGAGACCCAATCCCCGACGACCGATCTTCCCCAGCGAAGACGGCGCATTTGCGTCAACAGCAAGAGCCGATATACCGCAGCTAGTGTCTCCCAGGCCACCGAACAATATCACCGGCTCAGCAACCACCACTGCTCCATGGCAACACCAGAACCACCACCGGCGAGTAGCAATCGGGCCGTCTGGACGAGGTTTAGCGGTGCAAGGCGGGTTGCTCGCTGACAACCAACATTTTCAACACGCGGAAGAGCGTTTGGGGAGCTTGGAAGACGAGGACTTCGATGAGGACGATGACAACGATCTCGAAGAAGATGAAGAGGACGAAGGGATAGAAGAGGATGAGGATTATGATATGCAAGATGACTGTATGTCTTTTTTTTTTTTTTTTTTTTTTTTTTTTTTCTGGCCCGTTTTTCTTCTACATTTTCTATCCTCCCTTCTCATGCCTACAACCAACCCTACTGATGAGACGCTTCACTCACTGTTTTCTAGCCAAGGACGTGTCGTCTCCGATCCCTCCAAACCTCCGCGAGATCTCCTCTTTGGCTTCATGGACCGTATCAACGCACAAGCCTGGCTGCGGCGTCACCGCCCTACGTCACCCTTCCCCGTCCCAATTCTGGCAATCCGACGGGCCGCAGCCCCATACCCTGACCCTGCACTTTTTTAAACGCGTTGCCGTGGTTAGAATACGCGTCTACCTCGACTTTGAGCTGGACGAGAGTTACACACCGACTAAGATGGTGTTTTTGGCGGGCATGGGTGGAAATGATCTGGTTGAATTTGCTACTTGGCAAGGTGAGGCGCCGTGCGGCTGGGTAGATATTTCTTTGGATGGGGTTGGTGGGAGGCATGAGCGACGGCCGACAAGGAGAAAGAGAGAGGTCAAAGGGAAAAATAGCGTTCTGAAAAGTTCGAGAAAGAAAGACCACAGGGAATATGATCACCATGTGGACGCCGGGGAGAATAGCGACAGTGAAGATGACGGTGACAGCGATGCTTATGATGACCTTTTTGATAATGATGACCCTTCTGCAGGAAATGTTCTGAAGGCCATGGTGATTCAGGTCCGGATCTGCGAGAATCATCAGAACGGCAAGGATACTCATGTGCGGGGCTTCCAGGTTTTCGCTCGTGATGACAGATACTATACACGCACACGAAGAGACAGCACTCGCAAATCTTTACGATCAAGCGGTGGAGCAAGAAAGGATGCCGGTGACCTGCATCCCACTGAGAGCGATCAAAGGGGCAATGACCTGGAAAACGGGATGGCAACAATTGATGAATCCGAGTGGTTTCTACAACCTGAAATCCGTTAGGATTGCGCTCCTAAAATACGTGTCAGAGTTGGGACGAGCCGCGAGTGTGCATTTGTTTTTATTATGGTGCTATTTCATTCCTGTTTTGTGATACCCAAATGCATTCTTAACATGGTCGGCCCATATTGGGCTTAAAGATGACTATTATTTTCATCGCATATGCATATCCAACCCTTCAAACATTATGCAAGAAAATTACCAAAGCTATGTGTCAGGGTCAATACCCTATTTTCCCTTCCCGATTTCAGAGAGATTTCTCGAGCTCTGCTGCAACTGCATCGCCGACTTCGCTCGTGGTTGCCTTTCCACCGATATCTCCGGTTCGAATTCCAGCCTCGATTACCTTCGATACTGCATCCTCGATGGCCTTTGCTTCTACTGGCCGATTCAGGGAATATTGAAGCATCATGGCCATAGAAAGGATGGCAGCAACTGGGTTAACGATACCTTTTCCAGCAATGTCTGGTGCAGAACCTATCGGATTTTCATATTAGTTGGACGGGAAACTATTCGAGAAAAGGGGCATGTTGCATACCATGGATAGGCTCATAGATTCCGTTCACTCTGGACTTCCCATCTGGGATTCCACTCAAGCTCGCGCTAGGGAGCAAACCCAAGGAGCCTGGGATAACGCTTGCTTCATCACTGATGATATCTCCAAATAGATTGCTGGTGACTATGATACCGTTGAGCTTCCGTGGGTCTTTGACCATCAACATTGCCGCACTGTCAATGAGGTGGTGGCCAAATTTCACTTGTGGGAATTCCTTTTCCATGATCTCGGTCACCACTTTGCGCCATAAGCGGCTTGTTGCGAGCACATTAGCCTTGTCCAAGCTCCATACTGGCAGCGGGGGAGAATGCTGCAACGCGAGATGACCTGCAAGACGGGTAACTCGTTCAATTTCCGCCCGTGAGTATGGTTCTGTATCCAATGCTGTGCCATCACCGTTGTCTTCCTTTCTTTCACCAAAGTATATTCCACCAGTGAGCTCCCGTACGATGTTGAAGTCTACGCCACGGCAAACATCGGCCTTCAGCGGGGAGATATCAACGAGCGAAGGGGCGGCAAAATTGCAGGGTCTAAGATTTCCAAAAGTACCCATTTCTTTCCGTAGGCGGAGGATCCCTTGTTCGGGGCGAACAGCGCCTGTTCCCCATTTCTATTCCTCGAAAGGACTCGTTAATCACTCAAAACACCCTATGGAATCTTGCCGGGCAATGAGGGACATACAGGGCCGCCAACGGCTCCGAGGATCACACCGTCTGCATTCTTTGCCGCTTGGAGAGCTTCGTCTGTCAGGGCGGTTCCGGTAGCGTCTATGGAGGCCTGAAATATCGTGGTAGGTAAGCGAATTGTTCGGTTTGGAGCTTGAGTGACGGTTCTGTCGGCCAACAGAGACATCGGACTTACGCCACCAAGCAAATGCTCTTGGAAATTAAACTCGATATCGGTCTTTTTTTCTACTACTTTGAGGACCTGGTTCGTGAAATTGGGACGTCAACCCTTCTGTCGCCATGCTTCCGCTTAATCCTGTAGTATTTACAAGCTAGACCGCAACGCACCTTGATTGCCTCTGCAGTTACCTAGGATCAAATTTATTGTTAGTGAAATCCCTAGATAGTGATTTCTCAAAATTGCAAGCTATCCACTTCATAGTAGAGGTCCTCACCTCTGGTCCACAGTAGTCCCCCGCGAAGACGACAATGTTGAATTTGGCCATGATACTTTTCCGTCCTGATGCGGACAATTAGACTCTAGAATACAACTAAGGACACAATTTTCAATTTCTTGAAACAAGCCCGGTATGAATTGGTGATGATGCGAGCTGGAAATCTTGCTTGGTGAGGATTTGGAGCTCCTTGCCCCGCTATCCGATATCGGCTTTGGAGGGGAGGAACTCTTTTATTTGCTAGCCGCTTCTGGAACTCTGAACTACTCCCATCCAACTCCGTATCGATCCCATTTACTATCCTGCCATCACACTGTTTTGCGCCGTTCAGCTCACCCCTCGTTTGCCATTTCGGAAAGTTTCGATATTGCTTGAGGATGAAGATAGGACGTCCACGAAGGTGGAAGCTGCTTGCCCCTGAATAACTAACGTCCTTCTCCAACCTTAGCTCTGGCCATGCTAATGTGGGCATCGACGATTCAACTACAACTATTCCCAAGATACCCTTTGCAGATAATTTGAATATAGGCCCACGAGAATAAAATAAAATCCACTTTTCGAAAGATAAAGAACCAAAATGACTGATTATTGCGTACTGTCCTACCTATATGCGCACTCGAAAGAACAGTTCTCGATAGTCAAAACACCGTTGAACAAACCTTAGGACTCCATGGGCTTTTGCCCGTGAATGAAATGGAACTGGCTATAGAGGTGGTTTTTCGGGTCTTTGAACTCTGCGCGGACCCCAGCAATCAGTACTTCGGTTTCTTCCACAGTATACCCCATCACCCTGGTATAGAGGGCCATCATGAATGGTTCCAGGGAAGAAAGAACTTGTACTAATTGATAGCATCCAAGCTTTTTCATTTTCGGGTCCTTGGGCCAAGATCCAATGGGAATCTGAAGCATATGTCAGGTTGCAAATTTCATCGGCAGCAAAAGGCTCGCAATGATAAACCCTTGCCTCACCTTGTAAACATCATCCTTAACATTGACAAACCCGGCATCGATCAATCTCTGTTTGTGTGTTCCTGCCACATTAAACTGCTTCCCGAATTTTGCACTGGCTTCGTCTCCCACGCGCTGAAACTTTTTGATCAAACGTGCGTTGTCTAAGCTGTTGTCGTCGGAATGCACGTCTGTCTCATATTCTTGCATTTCAATCCAGCCTCCGGGTTTTAAGTGTTGGTACGCCCGTTCGTACAGCTGGTCCCAGTTTGCAATGCTACCTCCCATCCCACGTCCATGGATAAAATCGAATTCCTCTCCCGGTTGATAGGGCCACTCGCTCTCGACATCGTCCACGTAGAATTTGCAGTTGGGCGGGATCCACGTCGGTTGAATTGGGCTCAGATCAGTGCCAATGACCTCGCTACTCGGAAATTCGTCAGCAATATCGATCGCCCATATTCCTAAAAGACACTCCTTGTCAATAACTTCTAATGCGACCGGTTGCAGTTGGAGGCCGAGAAATTAGAATCGCATTCACCTGTTCCAGTTCCAAAGTCGAGGATTCGCTGTGGGTTCGACGGGAGAGGCGCGCGATATAATTCACCGCCGAGAGTCATGCGGAAGATGTGATGCAAAAGATCTAAACGGTCTTGCTCCTTCTCATCGTTCGGAAGAAGGTCTGTCACAAAGGTCTTTGGTCAACACCCTTTGAAAGGACAAGGCATCTGAGGCCCGCCTGGAGACTAGAGTGGCTCACATTCACCGGCTCGATAGGCGTGATAACGGCGTCCATTCTCGTATTTATAATTGAATACAGAAGAAGCTATGCTTGTGCTGGTGTCTGAATCGAACGATTCTATATCGTCATCGCTGGTCTTGAACAAAGTTAGACAGCGCACAGGCCCCGTTGAATAAATGAAAGACACACATCAATCGCTATGTCGGCGTTTGGCTCGACCGGCTGATGGCCGCTTCTGAGATCGGGCTCCTAACAGTTCATCAATGGAGGCTCCTGCAAGCTTTGACTTTCTGTTGAAGATCATTTGAAGTCCATTGTAAATACGATGGATGGGGAATACCTTTGCTTCAGCTTGAACAGCGCTTGCCATAGTACTTGCTTTGCGTGATATACCTGTTAGGGAATACAAAATGGGGAAGTTTGGGATAAGTATCGATAGAGCCACTTTTTATTGAGGGAGCATTACGAATAATCTGGAACGGGGTTTGGAGGTCAGCGGTTCAAAGAGAATACGGGGTACAGAATGCGAAAGTTCCAGCCGCAGGGGAGACTGATCCATGTCCGCAGTGTTCTCCACTGGTATTTCAAGAAAACCGTCGAAGACAAACGTTGCGACTGGATTCATAGCGCTATGGCGAAAGTTCCTGTCACAAACCCCGGGCCGCTTGCGAAAGATTAAACGTTGCAATGGCTAACACGCGCCAAGTTTAACAGGCGCTTTTTAAGTAAGTTACCCTACTCCTTGACATATGTATTAACTACTCGGAGGAGTGAACCCGGACAAGGTTGCAATCTTGAATTTACTACTTCGAACGGAGTATGGAGTATCCAAATCGGCAAGGGACGCCTCTGAATTAGTTAGTTAGGTTGCGGGAGATCTTCGTACTCTGACCACTCCGTAGTTAGTGAATTCAACACATTGCAAACACCGCGCTACAATCAAAACTGGAGAGGCCGTTAACTGACAACATTTTTGGTGACAGGGATGATCTTAACTCGAATCCGGCCCATGGGCGAAATACGACCCGTGCGAATGTTTTCGGTAAAAAGGCACACTTGGTCGAGGAGGGGAAAATGACCATCCTTGAAGGGAGGAGAGATTACTCCATACGGAGTACTCCGAACATGCATTCGGGCTCATAATGACCTAGATGACGAAATGCGTCTGTTTCAACACTTCCTGGTGAGGCTCCCATGTGCGTATAATTTTGGGATGCGCACTCAGCACGCCAGGATACGACGATGCCTTACCTGTCATATTGCTATATATATGAGTACTGATAGGGCTGAACACAAATCTCAAGGTGCTTGGTAATCGTGGGAATTCTATTCTGAGTCCTAAACGTGTTTCTGTCCCCCCTCAACATCCGCCCAGGACCGGCCGTTTATAACTCCTTGAATTGCCGCTACCCTTTCCGAAGAGTATGCGTATGAGTACATCCATCCGTAGACGGGTTTGGACCATCTCCAGTCCAAGACGGGATGTACCTCTCGAAAGCATCTCTTCTCCAACTCCAGACTAACCCTTCCGGTAGTTCATGTGTCGGTACCGGACAGATCCCTCCCCAAACCGAGCGTCGTATTTAACTCATCCCGAGGGGGTTGTGTGTGTATGTGTACGGGTTCCAAATCTTATCTACTCCATAAACACTTCGGTCATTGACCCTTTTCACAACCCATCAGGCTTCTTGGGTCAGCAATCTACTCAGAAATGACCCGTTTCCGCTAAAGGAGGCGAAAAGATCACCTAGTTACTGTCCAGATACTCTGCACGGTGTTGCCCATTTCCTTTCATTTCTTCTTTTTAGCCTAACCACATAAGTCACACAGTCTCAGCGATCGGTCGCGCAGCGGCGACACCATGTATCCCCGAAAACGCCTCAGATACTAATCCAGTTTTCAAACTCAAGAGTCGGACTAGACACGATTCCGACAGTTCCCGGACACAAAAGCGACTCAAGCGTTCCGAATAGCAAGATTGTTCTTTCATCCGACGCCGTGAACCCGATTGTCCCCAGCTTTTTCCCCGCGGAGAGAGAAAAAAGAAATCATACAATTTCCGCATAAATCCGGTGAAAAATCGATCTGATTGGTATAAATATCTGAGCGTCGATTCCATTACTCACTGCTAACCTCATTGGGTCGGTATATACAATAATACCTAACCATCTTCCCATCCACCGAACCATGTGGAATAGCCCATTAATCCAGCTTTCCGATCGTCTATATGATACAGGGAATAATAAGAATGCATTGGAGGGAAAAATAAAAGCAAAAGAAAACATAATAAACTAAAAGAAGGTAGCTAATTTTGCATAGAGAACATCAAGTCAACAGAGTAAGAAATAGGGCAAAAGAACTGCAAGAATAAATGAGTATACACCCAAAAGAGGGGGAGCAGAAGGGAGAAACATGTTGCAAAGTTCGCGACGGCACCTGTCCATGGACTCCAACAATAAGAAGGGAGACATCCCTTGCAATTTGGACGAAAAACATCATTTCAAGAGAGTAAAAGCAAGTTAAAGGTTAAGTGGAATGATAACGTTGTCGCGTATCTGACGGAATGAAAATGTGGGGTTCAGGGGATGTCAAAGGCACTCATTTTCAGATCACAACGGAGGGTGTGAAAGTGTGCCGATCCACAAGGATTTGAAAAAGAGCCTTCAAGCTCTCAAAGATTACTTGGCCTTGGACAGGCCTAGCTGGCGGCGGCGGGCAAGGTCGCCTTCCGCAAGCCACTTGCTAGCCTTGACCATCTGAACAATGTTAATGAACTGCTTAGCAGCCATAATCGGAGCGGAGATCCCGGTGATAACCCAGGGCCAGAAGCTGTCCATCTTGTTGGCTCGCGCAAGTTCCAAGGCACCAGCGCTCCAAGGACTCGCGAAAAGAGTCGAGATTGGAGGCATGGCTGGTGTGCCGGGTTGCCCAGATCCTGCGCTTGTACCATCACCGACCGGCTGGAGGAGCGATGGAGAGAGAGTCGGGGATGAAAAGGAGAGCAGGTAGAGGCCAATGAAAAATAGCTCATTCATAGTGCAGAAGACGAACAAGACCATCTACAGCCCCAGGATGTTAACAATCAAAGACTTGGCACCATCTGGGCAAGCTCACCTTATTATTATAATATTGGTATAGGATCCAACTCCTGCTTGAGTCCACTTTCTTGTGGCTCTGGCCTGATCCACCCATGGTCAGCGTGGCATACATATGCATGTAATGACTGGCGAGATCCAAACTGATCAGGCCCTGGAACAGAATCGCCCAGCGAGGCCAAGCGGAGCTCAAGAAAACCAGCAGACAAGCCGTTGTACATCGATCGGTAACCATATCCAGCACCGCCCCAAAGGTTGTGGATTGGTTATAAAAACGGGCCGCATATCCGTCAAGTGCATCGAGAAGACAGGAGATGCTATAGAGTAGGGAGCATGTTCGAGGATGGAGAGGCATGTAGTAGAGAGAGGCTATCGCCAGCACGACTCGAATATAGCCTGTCGCCAGTCACAATTGAGATCAGTACACGAGAAACTAGGCCGTGAGAGCAGACAGATTCACAAACATACCAATTATGTTAGGCCAGAACAGGAAAATATTCTCCTTCTGTTCGCCCTGCGTGGATGAAACTCCTTTATGTTTGGAGCCCTTGCGAATTGTGCCGTTGGTATCAACAGATGCGCCGTCATATTGAACTGGTGATGGCTCAGAAGCCTTTTGCTTTTTCCCTCGACCGGTCATCTTCTGCTGTATTGCGGTGTAGTAGGTAGTGCGAGGTTGTTGCTGACGACTCTTATGTTATTGAACAATGTGCAACTCAACTAAGCTAGTGATTCGGACAACACGATACCACTAATTGTTGATAGACAGTCTGGAAAGAGGTCGCATGCAGGGGTATCAAAGAACACTGATCGCTGTCTGGAGGAAGGGTGTTGGTCTATTGCGGTTCCTTATGTAGTTGCTGGATGCACCTATTCGATCGTGGCGAGAACAAACCGTCAGCAATGACTTCTTCTGCCAGCACATGTCCTTCTTCATACTTTGTAGACAAATGAGAAACAAGGTTCCCTCTGCACTATCAACTAAATACAGAAAGGAGGGGAAATGTACACACCGCAATCAATTCCTGTTTTAGCTGTCTGACTCTCAAGTTCCTAGAAAACCCAATATTCAATCTCAGAGCTAGTTCGTGAAGACACCAAATCAAATTAGATGTAGAGAAAAGAAGTGAAATGAGGAACAGAATAAAGGTTGGTTAAGTAATTGATAAAAAGGAGTAATTAAAATATGCCTTGCTGGGGTACAAATAGAAGCTGTAAAAAAGGAGCGTGTCGAAAGGGATGCTGGCTTGATGACAGTATGAAGTTCAAGAAGACATCGACCGAGGGCACAGGCGGCTTGGAGAGTGGGAGTGCCAGTTGAGATTAAAAAGGCATATAGCTGCGCGGTAGAGAAATTAGACGAATGAAAAGAAAAGGTCTCGCTTGCTCAGGTGTTTGCTCTCTTCCCGCATGTCCAGGTGTGCGGTGCTGGATGATGTTTTTTTTGGGTTTGCGGAGCTTGGAGATTGAATTTTGCCTAGCGGGGCCGCCCATTCCGATTGCTCCAACGCGTGCCTTGGGGGCCGTTGAAACTCTTTTAATCTGCGCCAGGATGATCCCATGCCTCTGCGGAATTTATGCTTGTCATTAAAAGATTATTTTATGTATGTACATACAATGGTATCCGGTCTATAAGGAAATTTTGGTAGGAATATAGTGCACAAAAAAGAGTTATCTTGCAGGATCCAAGCCAGAAAAAAAGGACGTAAAAAAAAAAAAAAAAAAAGGAAGAAAGAAAAGAAAATGAGGCATTCAAGAAAATAATCATGAACACATTTCGTAAGTATGCATGGCGGAAGAACAAAAAAACAAATGTAATGGCAATCCAAGTACGGAGTATATGGGGTAAAATCTATAAACCCATTTGAAAAGTGGTCAAGTTGAACGGCGAAGCTGCTTTTGTCATGCTCGTCGCCCTCGCGGAACGGAAGCCTCCTGTTTCCGCCAATCTCTCGACTCTTTTGTGCCCATACTGCCCAGCCCCCCTTCCAGACGTCGTTCCCAACCTCCCAATCGTACCACCAGGCATGTTGCATTGTCGCCATCTTTCGATACCTCGGTCGCAAAGTTGACGACTTCGCGAGCACCAGCGTCTGGCGTTCTTGCTTCTTTGATGATGTCCACGATCTCCTGGTCTGACAAAGCGCCGCTCACTCCATCAGACATCAAGACTATGAACGAATACTCCGCGGGCCCCATTTCGACCCGCCTGGTCTCGGGCTCTGCCGATATTCCGATGCGCTTCGACTGGATGTCCCCAAATGCTCTGCTGTTCGCCAGCCCGCTAATGCGCTCTTCTCCAAAAGAGTCTGTGACGAGTGAGGTGGCATAGCGCCGCAACCTGTTACTCTCGACTGGAGAGGAAGGATGATGGTCTGTTGTTAGTGGAATAGCGATACCCGTAGCAGTAGAGCATAATAAAATTCGGGTGTCGCCAACGTGTGATACCACCAATGACGATGGTGCCGAAGGGTGCCAAAAGGGAGCCGGTGTGGGGGTGGAGATCATGGCAATGCTGCAGGTGCTTCCACCCTTGAACCGAGTCGATCCTCCCACGACGGCATGTCTCAGTCGTCCTGGATTGTGAAGGATATCGAGCTCATTTAACGGCCTTTCGGCGCGGGCGGAATCATCGTCCCGTTTGAAAGCTTGGGCACTAATAAAGTCATAATCGGCCTTCAAAAACGCGTATTCTAGCACCTCTTCAATAGGCACGCCCATAGTCATGTCTAGTCCGAGATTGTGCCGCCCAGGCTTGAATCCGTCGGTGTGAAGGTCGTCCTCCCCGAAATAGCAGAAATGAGCAGGCCTAAAGCGTCTAAAATACCCGCCAACCAAGGTTCTCCAGTCGGTAACTAATGCTTTCTCAAGGTTGCCGATTGCCAACCTATTTCCCGGTTGCAGTATCGGAAGATCACCGGAGAGCATAGCATTTCCCCCGTGGGCTTGGCTCGAGGACGCAAATGTTGGCCCTCTGTCATCAAAGCTATGACTGTAAGCATTCTGACTCTCTCGAAAAGCCTCTCTGTTCCGGATAGGCCTGGGAGGCAACGCTTTTTTCTGTGCATGCTTCCCAATGCTGGACCCCAGCTCAAACGCCATCGCAGTCTCTTGAATATATCCATGTAGTCTATCCCTCAAGAACTCACTACACACCGTTCCTCCATGCCCGTCGAACACGCCGAAGTAAAACACTTGAGGGTCGCCAATTGCATTTTCCGCAACCGGGTGTTCCACATGTGCATACTCTTTGTCTCCGGACCGCTTGCCAATTGTCAGGGAAAGCGGAGGTCGCTTTGCAAATGCTGGGAGTTCAATGACACCTGCTTGATATGTATCTTCATTTGTCGGACGAGACCCTCGCGACACGGATGCACCGAAATGATGTTTCGCGCTCCGGAGGGGAATGCGTACAACTGTAGTTTCCCGCGATACGCCGACAGGCGACAGGACGGTGGCGGGAGATGCGCCCTCAGAGGAGCTTATGTGAGGAGTGGACTCTGAGCGAGGAAGATGGTGAGGTGGCCCGGCCGACACGCGGGAATCCGGGTGGAGAGAGGAGACCGGTAGGTGGGTTACGAAGTAATCATGGAAATATCGCCGCTCAGACTGCCTGGCTGCGGCGGAGGCATGCTGAGGGGGTTGTTGAGATCTCGAGCCTGAGATGGCGTCAGTATGCTGGCGGCGTATGAATGTTGCGATAAAGCCTTGTGGTTGGGCAGTGAGAAAGAAGGTCAGCAAAACCCAGTCGGCTAAAAAGCAGGTCTGGAGCGGAAGGCCGGACATACTGTAGGTGTCAGCAAGTGTCCAAGCATGGACTCTTGCCGGTTTCACAAGCCGTGAACTCATTGAAACATCGATACAAACAGCGCCTTGAGAGCTTCAGAGAGAGGAGAAGATGGTCAGCACTGGAGGGTTGACATGTCTCCCAACCCTCCGGATTCGAGGCTGACCTTGCAAAAATAAAATATACGGATCCTGCAGTCGATCTGCAACCTCATTAGTCTTGCATGCATGGATAGGCTTGGATGGATGGCTTGGATGGCCGGGCATGCCAAACTTCGCTGCGCCGTCTACCCAATCCTGCCAGCCGGCTAGCGCCTTGGCGGCCCATCCTCACCAGCGAGTGATCCTCGTGGGCGGCCTCAATAGTTGAGCCCTCGCCAATCCGAAAGTTGAAATGAGGCGTTTCCAAGCCAAAGGTCTATCGCAGATGTTTGTTTGTCTGGAAACCCCATACTCCGTGATGCGAATGTCATCGCCGGGCCCTTATGTGATGCGGAATTTCCATAAACACCTCGACATCGCTGCCGGTATCGGCCTGGGCATCCATCATCCTTGTTTGTTCGGTGTTTCTGCCAGAGGGAGACCTCTCCCACCGCGACTTGAAATGCCTACGAAGTATCTACTAGCTCTTTGGCAGGCATGAACAGGTACAGGATGTTAAATGATTCATGATAGCTTAACTCGGTGACCACCAATTCTCTTAGACAAGAACTTTACGCCGCCTTTTACTCATCACAGCCCATCGGAGAAATCATCCATATTGCAGAGAAGGAGATCCATAGGTGGAACATACATACAATTCCGAATCAATCTAAGCTTTCCTCCCCTTATTTCAAATCCAGCGAATGATGCCAGCACGAAAGAATGGTGGGCAAACTCTTGGAAATGGAAATAAAGCAGTTCTACAACAAAAGATTTTAGACCTTCCGGAACAAGCTTGAGCGATAGATATTCGCTCGGGAAGTGTTTGCTTAACATATTGAAGGTCTTACAAAATATATGATTTCTTGGATATTGCCATCCAGTCCGTGCACTCTAAACTCCGTATGGAGTACCGAGTGAATCTTTGTGTTTCCTCATTTATCCATCTCATGGAGTGTTTAAGGAAGTCCTGGCCACATTTCCTCTGAATAGGCCTCCTTTGAGCTACTTTGATTCCAGATACCCGCAACGATGAACTGGTTTGGAACCACTTTGCGAGGGTCTGGGCGCGCACGTCCTACCCCGATTATCCCGCCTCGCGTCACTTGAAGGTTTGAGAACAAGCTTGATAAAGGGCTAGATGAATGATGGAACTCCTGCGCCTTCGGGCAAAGTTAAGCTTAACTCCGAGGTTAGATGTTGCACGGAGTATCCGTCAAATAATAATATTTGGCGTAGTTTTCAAGGGACCTGACCAGCTCAAAGGTCATAATTTCATAATGAAGCTACCCATTGGTTGCCCTTTACTTATTCCGCTATTTCATTGATTTCAAGCACTGAGCTACGCTGTCTGGATTGAGTGTATTGCACGAGACCTTTGAATATGCCAGTGGATTGTATAGGTCCTGGATAGTAAGGGTCAATATTCTTGTCCCTGGCACGAATTCGATCGATCTTCCTTGCCATGGCGAAATCCATGTCTCTACCTATCTAAGATCTCAGCGGACCTGACTCTGAAGACAGGGCGGCTAAAGACATAGTAACCAACGGCCCAGCACCAGCAATCTCCAACTCCCGATATGCATATGCGGTTATGTTCCGGCTCTTTGTAGTTCATCACCGCGCGCACATCGTCCTTCGTCTGCCGATTCCCTGTATCGCATCAGCCACTAGTGCCAAAAATATATATAGGGTGCTTTCATGACTCACCCAATTTCTGCATCGGTTTGGTGGGCAGCAGTTAGGGTTATCAAGGCAGTCCTGGTAGAGTTCGACACATTGGGGAGCTCGCATTTGAAGACTGGTACCAGTGTCTGCGCCCGGGACAGCCTCCACCCGAGCAACTGCGAGTGTGACGCTAGCGAAGAAGAGAAGCACGCCGAATTGCATGTTTGCGAACCGCCTATACTACTGCAGTCAGCATTGAACCGTCTAGCCTAGGTGTACCGTTCCAGTGAGCTTTCATGGATCAATGTGTGTGTATGGGTTCGGGAATTGATACTCAAGGCTCCTGATCGAGGATTAAGACATTTCAGGGAAAGTTTACTGGAGCTGTCTGCTGGCTTTTATATTAATTACATCAAAACGATCAGGATCTGATGAGGCATATTCTGTTAGCGTACGGCGTATGCAATAGTTATGCAGATTTAGCCATCTCCTGTGTTAGTGCGACACAACGCATGATCGTCCTTGCATGAGCATTCTTAGCTACGGAATGATTGCTGCTACTGTCAATACAGCACCAAGCAGGACAAAAAAAATAACCCTGCTAAGAAACATGCGTCATTGGCTCTTCTAAATGATAAAGTAGACGCTATTCTAGGTGTCTGAAGTCGTTTTTACGAAAACATTTCCCTGACCTAGAACAATGTGGTCAATACGGAGTACTCCGTACTATTCAACATTATTAAAAGCAAGTGAAACATGCTAGTATGACGCTTTTGCCCCCGCTGACCATGTACACCAACTGGGTTGGGTTGCACATCGTTCACCATCTACCATGTCCAACGCCCGTGATCGGAGATGGCCCCCAGTATATACATAAATCTTTTTGGCGTGCAGATTCGAAGGGGCTAAAAGAGGTGTTACAAAGCGGGAATAGAAACTTCAGCGGGCAAGTGTTTCACGGGACGTTTACACATACCACAAGCACCCGTTGAGCAGCTCAATAGCAGTCACTGACTCCTTTATTTGCTTGAATCCAAACCCCCGATTGCCGGGAATATTGGGTGGATAAGGCGCCTTCTAGTGCGGAATTAAACCATTACCTGGGGCTGTGTGAGTCGAGTCACTGCGTTCCCAACCATCAGAGTAATCTCCCAGATACGTTGTTTTTGAGATGGTAGGACGTAGAGAGACTATGACCTTTCCCGCCTCGGTGCTCCCTTGTGAATTAGTGACGTGTCGCCGGGAAACCCGACGGCATAAGGGATGAATTCCAGCATGGTAAGGGGTTGGCCATTGAAGGATGAGAGGAATGAATCAGGCCCTTAAGCGTACTATCCACGGGCTGCATCCTAAAAGACAGGCAATGGTTAATCGCTGGGTGGAAGCGTAAGGGCAAACTTGGAGACCCACACAATGGCAGCAGGAGCCAGGAGGGAGGCCTGGATCGTTAAGACCGGTGAAGGGGCCGTACGGCTGGAATGATTTGCAAAGTGAAGAGGATAGCATGGAACCACTGTCTAAGAGAATACTTAAGGCTCACATAATCGGATATCATTTGGGGCAATTAAGTGTAAGTTGGACGCGTGCGGCCTGATGCACTATAGCTGCATGCCAAACAATCGAAGCACCAAGACACTAGGCTGCCTTTTTTGGCGCTCCCGCGCTCCCTTCCTTCAACTCGAGCTTCCCAAGCTGAGCGGGGCCAGAAGAGCTTCACGTCCTCCGTACTATCTTTCCCTGGCGTGCTGGGTTTGAAGGTGCTTTCACCAAGGGCTTAGCTCTAGGCATAGTTGGCCTTGGTGGTGATGCTTGCGGCCCTGCCTCTCCAAGGGGCGTTTTCGAGGGTCCTCCGCCGGTAAGATACCCTCCCTGTTTCCTGGAGCTTTCTAGCTAACGCTGGCAGCGGAGCCAAGTCCTTTTCAACCACGAATTCTCCATCTGCCACCCGCCGCAACTGGCTTGGAAACTGAATATTTACGTTGCGGAAGCCGATCTTTGGCGTGATATTTAACGTGATAATTCGTGGAGTCCCTCCTTCAAAGCGAACGTTGACTGGACTGTATTTGATATTGAACTCGTACGGTCCAGAGTGCATGTAAAGAGATAAGTTGTGAGCAGCTTCCATCACTTTAGCCAGGTCAACCCAGGCCTGGGTTCCCACGGAGTAAATGAATGGAGAGAGCTGCTCAAACAATGCGTTGGTATTCTCGTTCATGCGCTTGTGGAAAAAAGTTTTCGAAAGGGGGCCGGTTGCGAAGACGCAGCACTTGCAATCCTATCGCGCCATAAAGTGAATCACGTCTTTGGGCATGAAGCTCTACAGCATAGAAAGGAGTTAGCAACAGAGTTTATGGTGAGAAAACCTTAAGCTAGGCTAAGAAGAGGAAGTGAGCTTACCATCAGGAAGAAGCCTAGACATTCGCGAGATATCCGTGTCGATTTCTCGATCAAAACCTCTGAAAACATCCAAGCACAAAACCGATCTCATGAGGAAGGTGGCGATAACCTTGGTAATCGCCAGGAATCGGTTTTCATTTAGCAGCAACAAAATTGCAGATGAAACGTCGGCAGCAAAGTGTAAGTTCACTCTGAATTCATCACTCATGGCGTTATAGTCGGTGTCCCAGTCATCTCGCGTCTTGGAGTATTTCTTCGCCCAATCTTCTATGCTTCCGAAAAGGGACCTAAACTCCCTAGTGAAAAACTCGGCAGTGAAGATTGGGTCTCGGATCGTGTTGTCCTGTGGCCCGGCAAACAGAGACGCGAAAGTCGTTGATGTCGCACTGTTCGTCGCGGCGTTCGAGTCGGACAACCGTGAGCTCGCTTCGATCGAGGTACCGGTGGTCGTCTGTTGTTGTTTCGACCGAGCTCTGAGTTCAGCGGGCAACACAACAGTGCTGAGGTCGATTTCCGGTGGAAGCTGTTCAAAGATTCTCTGAAGATGCGAATTCTCCGAGTCCGCTTCGACATCAGTCTTGGGGGAAACACGTCTCTCAGACTTTGCAAAGCGAGCAGCACGTTGTAGCCACTTCTTAGGTTCGAGCACAAAGGACTTCAAGCCACTTGATGACTTCTCTACCTTCTTGCTCGCGGTGGTGTCCTGCAGGGAGGATTCGAGCTCGAGAACCTTGCTTTGCAAGGCGAGAATAAGATCACGATCTCTTCTGCCCTGGGCTTCCGCATGACAGAGCTGTGCATTTGAACGCTCCAACGCTTCGGTGAGCCGAAGACGCGACTGCTCCAGCTCGCGGACCAGCCTCAGTTGCAGAAGAGCTGATAGCCCTCGAAAGGATGGATTCGAGTCCATCTTTCTAGGAGCACCTCACCCTTTCAGAGAACGAGCTTGAAAGTTCGAAAAAGAGAAAAGAGAGCTTTGAAGGAACGTTTGGAGGCTTATATAACCTATAAAATTGCAAGGTGGTCACGGATGAGGGTAAGGACGGAGAGTGAAGATAGATGTGAGCAGTAAAGTTGTTTGTTGCATAAAAAGGCATAAGTTGTCACGGCGGCAAGATTCCCGAAGATGCTATGACTGTAGGGAGAAATGCGATACTTCTTCCGGCGTCAGGTGCTTAGTCGGCGACATTATATGTGAATGATGCTGTTTCCCTCTCGCTCAAAACTGCACGTTTTCACTCAGCGTGCTGCTAAAATGATACTTATGGCCCCTGTACAATGGTGGCATATGGACACAATGGCACAATGAGAAACTCATCAGAGAATATCAAGTCCAGAAGGTCCGCATATTGACTCCTTTGAAAGACCAAAGGGGAGAGTATGGACAAAAATGAGTATTGTAGAAAGCAATGTGGAATGAAGAAATGAACAAAGCCAGGGGACCTGGCTTCAAATTGCCGTCACTCAAGTATGCAATCACTTCAAGCGGGTGAAATACTTGGGGGATTAGCCGCACATCACAATCAGTGAAGTTAAATCTAAGCACGCATATGTGTCGAAAGTCTCCGGACCGATTACACCTTGTTCGGGAAGTAACTGAAAGTTAGAGGAAGGATTGGGACCATTTATGGAATGAAACCATGTATTATAGAGAAAGCTTAGAAAGAGAACAGCACTAATTCATTGAATGGGGTAAATTACAAAGATGGGTTGCTCACAAAACCAGGTGACGGGATGAGGGTCATTAATTTGCAATCAATGGGTATGTAATCCGGCGGTTGAACTGGATCCATACTTTTGAGGTAATCGAGCTAAAAAAGACATGAGCAAAACCTAATCCAATGTCAGATATAAAACGCTCGGTGATGCTGGGGGAAAATTTGCCGATGTTCTCCAGTTGCGCGACAAGTCTCCCCCTAGTTTCCTCATGGCAATACCTACCACGCCTCTTTCTTAACAAGGAGGTAGTCGGGGTTTGAAAGGCGGTGACTAAATGGCCTTCGTGCGAGAGAATAGGCTGCTATATACGGCGTCGACGACAGGCTGTGCGGTGATTTGGCGTCCACCAAAGAATCGGCCGTTCAAGCCTTTGATAGCATTCTCTCCGCCCTGAACACGGTCAAATTTGAGATAGATATCACCTTGCGCGTTCGGGTCTAAAGCAATGTGGACAACATGGCCATATTTTTCCTCACACTCAGCGCGGACATCGTCTTCAAGCTCCTTGACCCAGCTATCGCCTTCTTCCCTATAACAAGTGTGAGTAATGGAGCTGTTGAGGAAAGAGGTGGAGCTGGACTTACTCAGTAGGATCAAACATGTTTCGGAGTAGCACGCATCTGCTTGCCATATTGACACTGACCGGCAGTGGCTTAGCCTCTGGACGAGCTTTCGGTGCCTTGCGTTTGTCGTCGGCGGTAGTATCTGCAGCAGGTTCATCTGTTCTCGCAAGTTTCCTCATCAATGCGTCTCTGCTATAATTGTTGAAGTTCACACCGGCAACATCTGTGTCATCCAAAGCACTGGCGCCTCCAACGCCTTTGTCGTTGTCGCGGCCTCCCGCACGATCAAAATTGCCCCCAAGCGCAGTCGCAGCCCCACGGCCACCTTGACCGTAGAGGGAATTTTGCTGGCCCTGGGCTTGAAGTCGCATGAGGTTCGTTGCGGGATCGGAACTAAATTTGTCATTACCAAGGCCAACACGAATAGGTCGACCAGCGAGGTCAAAACCGTTCATTTTCTCCAACGCTTCACGGGCTTGGTTAGGATCACGGAATCTAGCAAGGAGGTTAGGACGGAGCCAATGTCGAGGGGCAATGGCTGAACTTACTGCACGAATCCATAGCCTCTGCTACGGCCGTTTTCATCTTTTTGTAGTTGAACAAAGTCAAGTTCGCCAAAAGGCTCGAAAACATTCTGTAAATCGCTCTCAGTGATGCTGAAATGGATATTACCAACGTATAGTCTGTGAAACGGAATCGAGTTCTGATTCCCGCTCACATGCCCCTCGGTATTGCGGGCGGCTTTATTCTTCTCAGCTTCGGTAAATTGGGCGATGATGGGAATTCCTAAAAGTTTCTGGCCAGTAAGCTGGATGGCAAGTGGGACTGATTCTTCGTTTTTGAACTCGACGTAGCCGACACTATAATTCGAATATACGTTAGCACTTCGATAATATATCGCTGAGACTGATACCGAGAAACGTACCCTTTAGACCTTCCGCTCACGCGGTCTTTGACGATCTGAGCATCTTTTACCGGCCCCGCTTTCTCAAAAAATGCAATCAATTCCTTTGTTCTCAACCGTGCAGCTAGCTGCTGCACAAAGACTGTACGCTTATCACGTTCATCCTCGGTAAGCTGTGGTTCTGGAGTTTTACTACGACGCTTAGCGCTCAGTGACCGCTTGCGCCCATCCTTATCACGGCGGCTACGACGTCTATCATCATCACGATCGTCATCGCGGCGTGATCGACCACTCGGCCTATAATATCTGTCATCGTGAGGTGATCGGGAACGGGTGCGAGCACGACCGCCGCCTCGGTAGTAATCGCCACCCGAAGAGCGATAGTCATCGCCATAGCGATCGCGTCGGGAGCGGCGTCTGTCGCTGTCGCGGCTCCTGCTTCTTTTTCTACTTCTGTAGCTCCCGTTAGCACTTGCGCGATCGCTCCTTGGACTTCTCATCTCTTCGTCTCCATCAGCATCCTTTTCCGAACGACGTTCGCGACTCCGGTCCCGGCGCCGGCGGTCCCTATCGTGGTCACGGGATCCATCTCGGATTCGATCTCGGTCACGGTCTCGGTCGCGGTCGCGGTCGCAGTCTCGACGATCACTACGGTCTTTCTTGGAATCGGAGTCGTGGGTTTTGCTTACTGCCTCCTCAGTCTGCTGCGTTGGACCAGGCTCAGCAGTCGACTCGAGCAGAGCTTCAACGTCGATACCTGACATATTGGAAATGTGTTGGATTTAAACCCTGAGGTGCGAATTCAGAGAAAGTGGATCACTTTTGCTGTCCGTTAGAGACGCGAGACGAAGAGTGGCTTGATTGAGCGAACCCTTGTTGCCTGTCAAAAGATACTTTCGAGAGGGACTTTCCACCTCTATCACCAGTGTTTATTTTCACTTAATGAATAAAATCTCACTCAGTATGAAGGAGTAGGCTAGTCTGTTTCCTCTTGCGAACTGATGCATTCCAGGTGGTGGGAGATTGAAAAATCGCTCTTCGGGCGCTGGACGCACAAAATCGCCACCGACCAGCGTCGGCTGACATAAGCAGGATCGCAACTTCGTCTTCCTCGCCAAGGCTGATAAGTGGGGAGCTCTGCCTTCGGCTGACCGACTGCAGAGTATGGAGTTCATATCAGTCTCAGTGTCCTCTCTCTCGAATGGTAGGAGGCTGGGGCTGGGGTGGGCTACACTCTAACGTCCACTACTGATTGCGACATCTTATTTCGACAGTCATCGGTGCATTTAGAATTAAAGTGGTATTATACGGCGTACTCCATACAGTGAGATGAAACGCCCGGATCAACCCCCGTCCACTGTGGTTTCATCGCCCGAGGATATTCATTAAAGGTGTGTAGTTGCTAAGGCTAGTCGAAAAGCAAGAAATAAACATATGAGAGCCAGCAGTAATAGAGGTACGGCGAAGAAGCTCTGAATAGGGCGCATCAAAGCTCCTTCCAGGACATTGCACGCTTGCGCACGCCGGCTGGTGTTTCAAACAAGCAAAAAGCAAAGTAAAAGTGAAAATCGAGGATTACCAGAAAGTGACCTACTATAGTTCAAGCTCACATAAGGCAGGAAAAGCAGAATTCGGTACCAGTCGCTGCGGTACCATGGAAGGGGCACGGTAAATTTCATTCGGCCTTCGCAGACGGAAGTGGAGGAAGTTCTGTTCCAAACACCCTGTCCCAGAAGCGGCTGGTGACGCCAAAACCGTTTTCATAATCAGCAAAGTGATGCTGTAGGTGATATTTCTTGAGCTGGCGGTAATAGGCAGGAAGGCTAGGTGTGGTGTAGGTTAGAAACAGCATACGCAATCATATTATCCTTTACAAGAAATTGATACGTACTTTCGGTGATGCAGGAAGTAATGCGTCGTGTCGTAACACACGTATCCGAAAATTCCTCCAGAATACACCAGCACTGCCGCATACCAGTTGTAGAAGAACACGAAATGGGTAAGCTTGTAAAAAGGCGCGGCTAGGATAAGGAATAGCGCAGGTGGCATGACGAGGCGGTATTTGTCCATAGGCAGGTAATGGTGAATTCCATGAAGCAGGAAATGAAGGCTGAGTCCAACACGGTTATCTGGGAGATAACTATTTTATTTGTTAGCCCGTTCAACTAAACGAACGGAAGAAAAGGGGAGTAAGAGTAACGTACTCGTCGATATGAAAAAGGCACCGATGCATGCCGTACTCCACCAACGTCCAGATGAACAGCCCAGTTAACCAGTACACGCACCCCATCATTACGTTCCGGAGACCAGCAAATCCAATCGCCATTCCGTATGCTACGCATGGGAACCAGACCATCGGAACAACCCACCATGCGGTTTTGGTCAAAGGCTCGAGGAAGTTGCCAAACAAGGGGGCAGATGAGCCTCCTTTGTAGTGCCGTGGGCGATGGACCTGCTCGAGGTAGAACGCTTTCGAGAATCCGCCAAACCAAAGTTGACCAAAGAGAGGCCTGCTTAGATCCAAAAACTTGTGCTCTTTATAGTCTGCAGTGGCGTCGGTGTCGATGGAGAGGTCTTCTTCGCTGGACATTCCGGTCGCAGCGTATACTCGTCGCCCATTGCTTTGGATTATGCACCCGTTTGGCTGGCCATTCATAGTGCCATTAGTGTCTGACTTGGACGTTGACTCTGAGGTCATAAAACCGATATGATATTCTTCCAATATCTCGTAGGCAGCCTCGCTGTGCTCGTGTGAAATGGTATCCCGCAGGATCTGGGAGACATCCCGGCCTGCATGCTGCAAAATCAAATCACCACCACCTGGGTGGTCATCGACGAAGGAGGTGATATCGTAGACCTTTGATCCCCGTGTCACCCAGCACGATTTCGCGGTAGAGTGCGATTTGACTTCAGAGGAGGTGAAGGTCGGCAGTGTTCGCCCAGGCATGGCTGTGGATGTTCGGGATGATGGAAACGCTGGCAAAACGAATGAACAGGCTTTGAGAAACGAAGGAAGGTTTGTTCATAACATGCGAATAGTGAGTGAGGGAATCCGGGCAAGCCGCTCGCAATGGTTTGAAGATGTGAGGTGCTGGAAAGAATGACAAGGCGCTAGTCGGGTTTCCGGGATGGGGTGACTTCGCGGCCACAAAGTTGTACCTGCGCGCCAAAACTCAACCCGAAACGAACTTTCGTCCCTTTTAACCAAACGATCTAGCCCGAAGAAAACTCTAATGCGGACGTTGATTGGGTTGGCGACGGGCCGCTTGCAATTTTCTCACCTTTACCATGGATCAAGTCATCCTGCCCTCTTGCCCTGGTGTTCTCTATTCAGGGTCTTCTTCGAGGACGGACATTCCCGTGCTCCGGAGTACTCCGTACAGGGTAAAGGTGACCAACGCCACCCTCCGTATACAGACTGGGCTTCTCATCATGAATCAGTTAACGCGGAGCTACGACAGACCGGAAAAATAACTGCTCCTAAAGCCAAAATGTAGGTGCCGGATTTTAGAGGAGAAATTGAGAGTGCGAGGAGTGTTCTCTTCTTTGCTAACTCCGGTCTTCGGTCGCCAGAACCACACGGTGAATCCCGCTCATTATGCTACGGCGATAAATCCAGTATGACAAATGCTCAGTCTTACTTTGCATTCAACTGAACGACTAGGTATCGTTTGAGAGTTTTACTGATTCGGATTGCCAAATCCCCGTACTACTTGGAAACATAGCATATATTTATGCAACATCCTTAGGCATGTGATGGGCAAGCCAGGGCCCAAAAAGATCTGCGGGGTGCCATGTTCTAACAAGTTACAAGCTCACGAGCCGTTGGGGATTTCCAGATAATCTCCAACGTCATCTCAAACTGTCCATCGACTACTTCAGTGCCGTCAATCAAGCCCGCAAATTTTCAGATCACGTGGCTTGAGCGAGGCTCGTCTCTTTGCAGTAGGGTCTACTTCAAAATCTCCACGATTGCTTGTTAACAGAAATCTTGTCTCAAGTTGGGTGAGCTTGGTTGACAGAATGTGGTTGATTCACCGCGCATTGCTCATCGTCGATACAAGTGCGATTTGGCGTCCTCTCCGTGGACATTCGGTGGAATTCCGTGGCACAGGCACCAGTCGCTATGAGGCGAAGAAAGGGTGGTAAGGGATGCAGTTGTTGGATAACTCCATCCTGAGCAGGATTGTGTTGTTGTCTGTTAAAGCCTAATTTTGTCTCTAAACACACCAAAACGTCCTGGTGACGTCTTAGGCAGGAGAGCAGAGTCAGCTCTGCAGGATGCTTCCTTGGTTGTCGCCCACTTTGAAGATAGCTAGCCATTGGCATATGTTGTGTAATCTTGCCACCTTAATCTGTTGTAACATCTCTGGTTAAACCCAAATGGAGTTGTCACCAGAGGCTTTGGCTGATTGGTGAACCTTAAGTCAGCTGTCTGAATACGATGAATTGCGTTTCCAAGTAGCTACTGTTGGCGAGAAGGTGGGCGTGATAATAACTGTCCGCGGTCTTGGTGAAACCCTCCATGGGCCTGGATCTCTCGGGACCGAACGTTTTTGGGGCGGACTGAGACCGAGGGACATCTGGTGTTGGATCATGAAAATCACCCAGACTGTGGAGAGAACTGGGCCCGTTAAAGAATCGATGACTGACTCTTGAAACAGCATCGCACACTTGACAGCTGACGACAGCGAATGCGCATCGGCAGTTAGAGATCGGGAGAGGTTGAGCTCTTTTGACAAGGAATGTGTTTCGAGAACTCTGCCTGCAAATGATCTGCTGATAGTCCGGTCCAAGCAGTACAAATCAGCGCGGCTCACCAAGGACCTCGACCAGCAGGGCAGCTAAGCCCTTTGAGATCGGGCCCACCAACCGTCCACTTTGAATTTTCCTTGTCGATGCAGAACGAACATTTTGTAATAATCTGGATGCCTGGCCCCAGGAACAGCTGCATCGCCAGCAATAAGCACCCAATGAAGGGCCCGACTAGCCGAGCGGAGACATCAAAGCCGGTGCAGCGGGCTGTCGAAGCGGGCCTCTTCGCCTTCACACAAGCTTCATGCTGCCCTGTGATTGAACGCCTCCGCTCGCAGTGTATCTCTGAGATCATCGCAAGGAAAAAACAAAGTTGGCAATTGGCTGTCACGACATTCTCCCTCTTCCGATCCCTTGTCCGCACCGGGGCCCTGGTTCAAAAATGATGTGATAAGCTGCGAGTTCCCACACTAGCTCGTCCCACCGCGACTGCACGGACGAGGGTGGGAAGTCCCATTCCATATTTAACACATATGTATTATCGGCCCTTCGTGGGTGACCCTGTCATTGCTGGGGAGGATGCAAAGGGGATCATTAATATTAGGGGGTCCTAAGAAAACGCTGCAGCCGCCGTCCCGTGTCCAGTCTGTCAAGTCATAGTCCCAACAGGGACCAATCAAGGGCGGGCGAGCACGCTTCGAAACAAGGCGGTTGCGCGACGAGCCCATTCTCAGGCGGTCGTTAAACTAACCTCTAGGCGTTGCAGGGTGCAAAGAAATTTGATTTTTTTTCCCCCCCTCGGTGCAGGCGATCTCCGTGACTTCTCATGACACGTCTCATCACACAGATAACGTCCAATTCCTGGGTCGTTGCGAGTGAGACTACTTAATACTTTTGGCCCCGTCGATATCCCGAAAGACCCGTCTGTAGGTTTCATTGAGAGTCTGGAATTAGAGACCTGAATTTGCTAAAAAGAGGCCAGCAGCCCGAACGTCACACCCGCAATCAGGCCAAAATGGACGATCACATGTCCCCTTCAAGCCGGAATCCATTGACGACGTACTTACGCCAACTCCGTCAAACCAAGACATCCTTACCCCATGGCGAGCTTGTGTGCGTTTCAGCGTCTCCAAACATAAGCACGGTGGCCGCTCTATTAAGACTGGCTTGCGCCGTTGGCCCATATATCGCTGTTTTACAAGTACATGCCGATATAATCGACGACTGGTCGCCTGAGGCCGTTCGAAGGCTAACAAATGTTGCAAAGAGATTTAGCTTCTTGATTTGGGAAGGCGGGCGGATTTTGAATACAAAACGGCGGCCAACGGGTCAACACGCACTGTCGAGCCATGAGATAGCCAGAGACGTCGCTATGGCCCGGAAACGTTACACAAAGGGAATCAACGTAGCAGCATGGGCTGGATTGGCCAGTACGTGGGTTATTGGATCTGAAGGACAGGATAAAGGCGGCTGTCAGCTTATTCCCACTCTTCGTCGGGCTGCGCGAGAGACTGTATCGCGGATGACTACGTCCGTCCGCACGGAAATCAGCGGAGGACAATCACCAAGTATAGATGGAACTGACGATGATGATTGTGGGGATAGCCCTTGTGACAATGAAGAACAAGACCAAAACACCCTTAATACCGCGCTGGAAGATTTGGATATCTCGCCGCCGCTTCGGAAAAGCTCGGTGATATCTCTCACAAGGACGATTACTCAACACGAAGAACCTTCAAGACCTCCTTTAATTGAAGTGGATGATGACTGCGATTGTGGTGAAATTAATTCAGAGAATGAATCGGCATTAGCCGTAACTGTGACTCCACCGCCGCTTCTTTCCAGGGGGATCCTGATTTACCTACCGAGCAATGGCGATACGCAATCTAAGTCTCTACACAGACAGGCCGCAATTATTTCAGGGAAAACTCATAATGATTTTGTGGTGGGATTTGTGACGGAAGAGCCATGGACGAACGTTCGGAGAGACCAAGCCCTCGCAGAGAGTTTACGCCGGGCATGTTCGGATGAACAGGATGACCTCGACGAAGATGATGACGAGGAGGGGGGAGATGGGAATGGCAAAGATGAGGGGAATCTCAACAATATGGAAACTTATGCGATATTCAGTCCACTTGAAAACGATCATGTTGGCTGCAGCACCAATGTTCATGAGCCACGTACAAGCGCCGGGGAGAGCCTATCATCACAAGGACAACATTCGTCATCCCGCCATAAATCAGGCTTAGGCACACAAGCTCAGCAAATTCGCGCATTGCATCAGCTTGTCGCCCAAGCTCTATCACTTCTATCAACCATGAGCCCTGCTGCTCCTCTGAGCTCTTCAGATGCAAAGCAAGGTTGTTCAGATATCCTATACATCCCCGTCATTACTATGAACCTTTAATTTTCCCTTGCATTTTTGATGCTCGATACAGCACTCACTTTTCTCTCCAGATAATTCCTCCTTTGAATATGCATATGATTTGCCTATAAAGATCGATGTCATTGACGAGCCTAGCATTTGTTAGAGACCCTTTTATCCATACCTTCCAATTTCGTTTTGGTGATTTCATTCTATATTCGGTGCGCGCTTGCGATCACTTCGAGATTCCCGGGAAATGATATGAGCTTTATGTGTTTAACGAGGTAATATGCGATGAAAATGATTATATGAGTTTCAATGATTCTTCCTTCTATCTCGCTGGAGCGTGATATAAGCTTTGTATAGTCATACCGTCCAGATATCTCAATGACGCACAGAGCTTGCGCTCGATATCTTCAGGTGTACTACGAATCAGCGTACCCGCCCCCCTTTCTCCCGCTCCTGATGAATTTTTTTGTTTGCACATAGGCTAAGGCGCAAGGTATTAACCTCCATCCAGTCGTCAAACTGCGGCAGTAGATCTCAAAGTAAAGCAACATGGGATAGGGGGAATTATGTTTCAACACATGTACTGCCTACAGAGTACGACGTACGATATAGCATACTAGACAATCCGCGACATCCAACTAGCAACAAACTAACATTTGACTAGTTGGTTAATGAACCAATGGAGAGTCTAAATTATATACAAAATTCATGCCACGATCCCGGAGTCGCAAATGGAAATTAAATCTATTACCTAACTTGAAAACAATCAACTTGCTTCCACTAACATCTATTCGCCTTCGTCGGTCTTCCCTTTGATCTCATCCAGTCCGTACCATACAATAACCGCAGTCCCAATCACTGCGGCAATCGCACTAAACACTAAGGCCACAATCCCTCTCGGCTGGAATCCAGACGCCAACGGCAGCGGAGGCACATTCTGATTCGACAAATCCAGGAAATTTTCCGTATTTCCACCGGCATTGCCTTCATATAGATGACGAGCTGCACGGCATGTCGCGTAGTGTGATTCCGGAATGGAATGACGTTTCTTGGATTCGCGAAGCTGTAAGGGAGCTTCGATTATGGTTGCGACTAAGCCGCTATCCATATGCCATTCTATATGGCAGTGAAATAGCCATACTCCAGGATTATCGGCCTTGAAGCGAAGCACTGCATTCCCGTTTGCATTCACGAGGATGGTGTCTCGTCGCATTGGTACTTTTGGGAATGTTGGGTTGATAGAAGTATCGAATGGTCTGCCGTCCTTGGGGGAGCGGTAAATGGTTTGGAAGTTATGTCCATGCAAGTGGAAAGGATGCTTGCCTGGATCATTATTGTTGAGGATAATTTCGACAGTCTCACCATATTCAAGGACAAATGGATTAACATAGGGACTACTCCGTATATATCATTGGGTTTGTGACTAGGTTTTCTGGAGCTGTGAGAGCTGTGAAGAGCGTGGGAACCTTTTGTGGAACATAAGTGATATTGTTGAACCAGGCACTGTCTGTATAAGCCACACTGGCAAAGAACATGGTCAGTCTGAAGATTTTTGGACTTACTAGTTTGCTCCATCGCCGAGATTCTCCATTTTCACATCTAATATTATCGTGTGGTCGACTTTATCATACAAATAATATACTCTGTTTATGTGGTCAAGAGCACACTTTGTTTTCTGGTTTACAGTGGTGATCTCTACTATATCTATGGAGTGCTTGTGAAAAAGTTAATCAGCCAATCCCAAAAATAAGAAAAAAAAGGGAATGGGAAATTAAACAGCAATCCACAGCCAGAGAGTATTTGCTGTTGCAGTTTGGTTGTTGCATACAGTAGCTATCCAGCGGGTTTGTCATGGCTGGGCTGCAACCTCTACTCACTGAGCTGCATCTGGAGGTCAAAGACAAAAAAAAAAAAATAAGATTCTGTAGAACTATACAGAGCTAAAAGCACTTTGCGCCATAATTATTGTTCACTCAATCATATAACCCTCTGCGATACACTTCACATCCTTTGAGAAATTGACTCCTTCGCCTTCCATTTCTACCAAGGAGACACCGAGAACGTCAACGTCAACAAATGGACTGGGCTTGTTGAAACGGACAGTCATAGGGAAGAATTCGTTTTCGTCACCGTCAGGGTTATTTGATTCAAACTCGAAACTGCCCGAATTGTTAGAGTCGTCGACATTTCCAATGTTCCAATCTATGCTGTCTCCGGTAACTTCGTATACGGCGTCAAAACTGGAGATACTCGGCTCAACTGTTTGGAAAGGAATTGTAACAACGACATCTTTTAGGCTCTCGGAGCCGGAGAGCTCGTATTCCACCGTTACTGTAGTAGAATCAGATCCCTTGTTAATCCAGGCAGTGAACGTAATAGGTAGCAAGTCGGCGTCGTCGCTGCTGGCGACACGCCACCGCAAAACTCCAATAGAGTTGTTCGCTGGAAATCGTTTTGACGTGTCTTTAAGCTGGATGGTTTTCGAGTTGGTAAAGAGCGCCTTGTCCACGTTCGGGTGAGTACGGTACTGTGCGCCGTGTGTTGGGTTGGCTTTGAGATCAAGCTTCAACTTCGTGAATGATTGGTCGGAAATGCGGAGCTGCAAATCCCCCTTCACTTCAAAAGATTTCATCGCACCATCCCGAGATAGTTTGGCAGAAACCGTTTCGGCTACAGTTATGTGTACTGCCTCGCGGTCGGTCGACACGGATTGTCTGGAAGATACAGGTGCTACTCCAGCAACGGCAGCAGGGGTTGCGGAGACAGGAGCAGATTCTTCAACTTCGGGTCCAAGGTCTCCGCGGACTTTCTCATAAATGTCTGTCGTCTTCGATTTCTTACCAAGTTGCATCCCTTTACCTCGGGATGGTAGAGCCCTACAAAAATCAGTGACATGAGCAACGATACGGGCATATGGGTGGTTTGCACTTACTTTGTGAATGTTTTCTTCTTCTCTGCTTCATAGGTATCAAGGGTATCGGGAATGGTGGGTCGGGTAGGCTGACTGTAGACCGGATAGGATGGGGCACGAGGGGCCGCTCCTTTCGCCAACCGCGCAGCCTCTTTGCGTTGCATCTCAAGCTGCCTTGCCTTTCTTTTCCTCTCTTCGCTCGCTTCAAGTTCCTTGTTCTACACGGTGCAGATGTTAAAAATGGTGACAGCCAATTATTATGGATTTGAGGACATACCCGCTCAATAATTTCCGAAATACGTTCATCGTGACTCTCCATTTCAAGGAAAGTCTTTATCTGAGATAGTGAGAGATTCTCTCGGTAGCCCAGCGTAACCACCTCATCGAAGGCCGAAAGGAGTTCGAAGGCATTGCGTAGAATCTCGCGTTCATCAAGACTTTTGCAAATGCTCGTGACCACCTGAGCAAAAATATGCAAGCTGTCGATATCCTGGAGAATGTTTGATTGTTTGTTCGTTATCAGAACGATGTAAAGTTCGTCCAGAGGCTGATATACGAATCTGACGTTATCCTGTTCGACGGTGGTGTGTTGCGTTCCGGAATCGGCAAGTTTGGGAAATGATGCGAGGAGGGCCTCGATTCGCGATCGTGCAATTTCACGGAACTGCCGCGAGAGGACGGCTTTGCCTCCGCGGGTGCATATCGACGCTGCGAGAATGACCTAGGAGCGAGTGAGTCGGCTATGGACCCGATTCCGCCCTGCCTTTCAATTGACTCACCATTTTTGAGGAAATTAAGCATTCAGCATTCTAGTCAATCCAAAACCTGTAATCAGAGGAGAAGAGATAGCTGTTAAGATTGAGCTGGGGTTGTTGGTCATTGGCCTCCAGGGTGAAGTTGAATGTTGTCTTGATCGGTCTAATTGAGGTGGTCCGTGCATACCTAGACTCACTCCTTAATAAGCATTTCGCTTATGAGAGGAACTTCTTGTGGCGGCCTTTTCTCTCTTTAACCTCCTCTCAGCTCAACTTCATCCATACCCCGTCCTCATCTGGCCTGTTTTCACATAGTACAGGGCACATCTTTCCTACTTCTGCTACTGTATTTCAAGCTGCTATTTTTGACTATACCGCTGGCGTGGCTCATCCTGTCTACGCCACACCAACCCTTCTCAAAGGCCCATCACACGAAGATTGTATTAAGGTGGTTTCCCTCAGGATGGCCAGATAGCTTTGCGAGGCACTGTGAACAGCAGGGTACATTCAATAGACCAAGAAGATGGAGCACTCTATGTTTGATGACAGCATGGAGGTGACATCCAACCATCCCGAGATCCCTGCCGATGACGATATCGAGATAGATCTTGACATTTACCAGGATCGGGCAGAGAACAGTGATAATGATGTTGTTGTGGAAGATGCTTCTGCGACCGCATCACACCATCCTGATATGTCAGAGGACTATGATGAGCATGCAAGGGATGCAGATATGATCGATGATAACTACTCGGCAGCTCATTTACCTGATCCTGACGACCCATCAAATCGAGGCAATCGCTACGGTTATGACGAGACCAAGTTGCCCTCTAATCAAGATGTGTATGAGGGCGAGATGGTGGATGACTATGAAGAAGATATTGATGCCCCGATCCCCGGAAATTTTGACGAAGAAGAAGAAGAAGAAGGAGGAGGAGGAGGAGGAGGAGGAGAAGGTCCTTCAACCCTTACTGATGCCCACCCCCCTGACCTAAACGATTCTCCACCCTCCAAGTGTGACGAAGGTATAGAAGATCACGAAGCTCAAGAGCAGTTCTCCCCTGTCATTTCTCAAGTATCGTCTCCTCCACAACCTATACACGATGATTCAGCGGGTCAAGAGAATGAAGATGTCGCTACAGGAAACCGAGAAGCTCTAAGCATTGATAGTCTACAAAATTTTGGCGATGGAAAGGCGTCTAGTAAAGCAAGCCCGGAAATAGAATCAAGTTTATCCCCGCCTAAAGAGGAAGGGGATGGAGAAGCTGTGCCCAAAGGATCCGACCAGATCTCTGCTCAAGATACGACCGGGCCACCTGAGATTGTTAACGGCAACGGCAAAGCAGAAGATTCCGAGGCCACTGCGGCAGCATCTGCCAAGGTAGACACTGAGAATATTGATGAGCAGGATCAAACGGACGAAATAAGAAACAAACTTCCAGCGTCGCACCCAGCTGAAGATAAAGAAGATGGAGCTGAAACTGGAGATACTGCGGATTACATACCCCTGCACAGAGTAACCGTTCTGTATCAGGACAGTGAGATGTCCCTCTTTCCGCCGAATGAGAGCGACCCATCGGAGATGTACCTTTTAGAAGACGAGGAGTTAGCACATGCTCCTCTTTATCAACTTTTTCAGGCTTTTCGTAAAGTTCTTGGAAGCAATGTGTCCGACGAAGACGAGTTGGTGGCTTCTATTGACTGCCTATATATTCAGCTAAGTGAAGTTAGTTGATTTGAAAGTATTTCATGCAACCCACCAATTTGCTAACGGATTCAATAGGTTGCTACTCAGTCCTCAGAAATTAACCTATCTCAGATTGTGCAGCTATATCTCGACCTCTCCCGTAATGATGGCGTTGATAACCCGGAACCTCTGTACATATGCCTCAGTTCGAGACCAATTTTGGACGCTGAGTTGGCTGCCCTCCAAGCAGCAGTTGACCAGGGCAAAGGACTGTCCCATCTCTGGGAATGGGACGGTGTTGAAGGTCATGATATTGACGGTCCAGTTGGACTTCCTGAAGTCATTGAGGATGGATTTGGGAACAGTGATAACAGTACTTCACAAGAAGATCTAGGGTCTTCCAAGGAAATCCCCGTTTTAGAAGAATCTCTTTGCGAAGAAGAAGATCGGATCGACCACGCGGCCATGTCTCATGTGACTGAGGATCAACCAGCTACCTTTGAAGATCAGCAAAATGACGGAAAAAGTAAAGAAACCTTAGAGTCAAGGCCAGACGAGTTTCCGGATGAGGAAGAATTCTCTCCTGACGTCCTGCAAGATGGTGACGGTGAGGAGCAAGGTAAAATCCCAAGCCGGTTTTCTCTCTTTTCTTATGCTTGCGCGCTTACATGCTGCTAGGGGAAATTTGGGAAAATGGTGAAAATCATATCTTAGGGGAAGTTGACAGCAATCCGCATAATGATGATGAAAAGCCGCCGGACGAGCCAGAGGCTCAGACTCTACACCTCGATGAAGCAGAATCGGAGGAATTTGAAGATGGGGAAATTGCATCCCAAGTAGATGATGACATCCCAGCAACAGGGACGCCAGAAGACGAAAGCCATACAACTTCCCTATCTAAAACTCCAATTCCTGCAGAACCTACGAGCTCTTCTGCTGCAGCAGAGGACCAGAAAGTATTGGAAGTCATCAACACAGAGCCTGTCCAACTTAGCTTGGAAACGGCTAGAGATAATATTGAGCAAAACGATGTCGTTGGGCCCCATGCTACTGAAACCGGAACCCTGTTGGTCTCTGAAAAACAACCCGAAGACGTGTCCCCAGTTCGGGATCATGAGGTCCACGATGTTTCCGCGTATATTCGGCATTTAGATCGGCAAATTACCCCAGATCCTAGCCTCAATGCTTTTGAGATTGACGTTGACCTTTTCAAAAGTCCTGTCGCAGAGCAGTGTGAGCTTGTATACCCAAAGACCACAGATGTTCGAGATCTTGGCGATGAGGAATCCCTCGAAGTCGATTTCTCACATCATGAATCGCACGAAATGGCAGCATCCGGTGAAACTCAAGATGACTTCGAAGACTGGGATGTTATAGAACAGGCCGAGGAAAATCAAGTCCCACGTCATGATAATAGTCCCAAGGCTGTGAAACGCCGTCGTGCAGACGACGAATGCAACGACTTGGAAGCCCCAGTGCCTGATCTAAAACGGCATCGTTCCGAATAACGATAACCGCCCCAATTCCACCGAAACCCTTTAGTCCATACGCCATGCACATGATCTATATGTTTAATAACTTTGTGATTGTAGTCCTATACTAACCGCATTAGTTTTATTCTCCTACTTTGAGCGACACAGCAGCACGAAACCTGCAACAAAACTCAGGTAAGTCAACAAGTCACCCGTATCCATTCTCCGTTCCACGAACGGACTGCGTCGGTTTTAAATATTTTCCCGCTTTTATTGGCGGATTCATCTCAGAATCTCTCGCGACCACCCTCATTTCAGCGTCGGGGGTATTATGCTCTTCCCAGCTCTATTCCATCCGAGGAACTAGCATGCATTGTGCCTTGTGGTAAACTGGGGCTAGGAACGCCCAGCAGCTATCCACACATCAATGTTCTGGGACCACTCAAGTCTCTATATGTCGCCACTTCCTATGACGGACTGCCATGGTGACGTCGTCTCACCATCTGGCTCGAGATCATGGGTCTTTGGGTTATCGTTGTTGTGCCTCTCTTTCCATTTTATGGGCATCCGCCAGATCCCATATGCACGCGCTGGTCAAAAGAATGGACCGTTTTAACTTTTCGAGGGTGTGTTTGATTACATTACTGGCTCAAGCCTATTTGCAAACCTTGTCCATGCTCATGCTGGTATATCCAAACGGTTGAGATGGGGTAACTTCAAAGGCGAGGCCTATTAACAGGCAAGATATTGCAAATTTATCTCATTCCATTTCTCTGCTTCAAGCTAATTCGAACCTTGCAATGTGTCTGCTTGAGTATTTTTGCATGTATGATTGTTTGCTATTGCCACCATAGGCATCCAGCACTCAGTCAGAGTATTTTGTTTCGCATGAGTCCCTCAAGATTCCGAGCGTGTTTATATTCCGTTGGTCCTATCACTGTGCTTCCCCCCATGTTGTTCAGTTCCATGTTCTCAGCAATCATGCATCAGACGGTTCTTTGTACCATAGTCACTTTTTAGGAGCTTGTTTTAAGTAAGGCTAACAATGCAGAAAGCTTTATTACTTTCATTCGAGGAGAATTACATACTTTGTACACCGAGACAGGCAGCTGCTCTTGTTTTGGAACATTTTAGTTTTGAATTGATAAGCCCTGAAGAAATGGGAACCAGCAATCACGACACACTATCCACTACGGTCTGTGCTCTGAGTCTAAAAACTGCCATTCCCATTCACCATTGCTTTGCTTTACTAGCAAAAATGTTCTGTATATGGAATGGGTGTAACTACACCGTGCTCCGCACATAGATTGGGACCAGACAAATTCATGTGACGTCGTTCACAACCATTTATGCCACGGCTTCATCCCAAAACCCCACCAGGCGCCCAAAAACATTTGACAGGATGGCAGACGGCCATTTGCTCGGCCTAGGTCTCTGAAATCTACTCAGGATTATGCTGTTGAACCCAACTGCCCTTGAGATTACCTTGCATTACTCGACCTCATACCTATACCAGACCGCTCCTCTCCTCGGTAGTCCTTGTTATTCCTTTCTTGGTAATTATGGCGGCATCAAACCCTCAAACGGGTCTTTCGCCCAATGCATGGGATAGCCATATGCACATCGTTGATCCCGACCGTTACCCGCTAGCCCCAGACGCGCAATACAAGCCTCAAACCCACACTCTCTCGGAAGCCATGGAGTTCGAATCTAGTGTCGGCATCCCTAACATTGTTCTCGTCCAACCATCTATATACGGGTATGACAACTCCTGTTTACTAGAAGGACTACGTGAAATTGGGCCTCAACATGGCAGGGGAATCGTCACTATTGACCCACAGAGTATCCGGCCTGAGAAGCTCTTGGAATGGCATCGGCTGGGAGTCCGTGGCGTCCGGCTCAACCTCCAGTCAGTCGACAAGCAATTGACCCCCGAGGAACTAGCAGAATCTGTCCGCCAGCACGCGCGAGCGATTTTTCATCTCAACTGGGTTCTGCAATTATACATCCCGCTCAGCAGCGTCCCGGCCCTACTGAGCGTTGTTCCTGATTTAGGCGTGCGCATCTGCCTTGACCACTTCTCCAGCCCGGTGTTACCGTCCACGGATGTGGATCCTGCGTCATTTGATCCTTACTCCCTGTCAGGCTTCAGTGAACTTGTATCCCTTCTCAGACAGGGGAGGACTTACGTCAAAATATCGGCGCCATATCGGCTAAGTGATGACCCGGAACTGAAGTTTCTAGGTGTTATAGCAAAGGAACTGCTGCGGGTTGCCCCGGACAGGTTGGTGTTTGCAACTGACTGGCCGCATACAAGGTTTGAAGGGCTGGATGTCAAACCATTTATTGCAAAGTGTCTTCACTGGTGTGGAGGGAATACAGAGCTCGTTGATAAGTTGTTTCGTCGGAATGCTGAAGAGCTTTGGGGACTGTGAGAAGTATTAATAAAAATCAAAACACATAGGTAGTCTACATCAACTCTACCCCTTGCATCACTTGGAGGCATTGTTTCTCACAGTGGACACTACAAGTAACTTTGAATGATTTATAGTTGGAAAGAAGGCTTATTGAATGCGATGTCGAGTCCTCTTCTGGCCTGGGTGATTGGGTAGAAGCTTTTTTCCTATTTACAATTCGAAGCCGGGCTCAAGATGGAATGGATTAAATTTTTGTTTTCTCTTCCTACCACAAGTCCGGTGGAGGAGGGCACATTCTAACACGGAGGAGCCACAAAAAGTGGAAGCTGATAAACTATATGTCTTATTCTGTAACACTTGTTTAGTTCCAAGATAGTGATGTATTCGCAAATTGCGAAGACAGAGATGTATAAATTCAAATAAGGGCTCATCATAACTCATAAGGTACATGTGTGATATATACAGCCTTGATTTCATTGCCCCTTTGTTCGGATTAGCTTCCGGAAGACGGCCACCCGGTATCGAATCCACCTTGGCCAACATTCGTTGGCATAGGTTCCACGTACGAGAAAGCTTCGAAAAGTTCTGGCGCTATATCGTACATATGCTCTTGAGATAATTCCGACGGGTTTAATAGAGAAGGATCCATTGTAAAAGAGGTGTCCGAGTTTTGTTCTGTGAAAGGTGGTGGCGTGATGCTGAATGCGCCGTGGGGAGGAAGTGTATAGTTAGATGGAGACTGAAGGGTGGGCTGCTGATGCTGTGGTTGTTGATGGTCTGAACGGGAAGTATCCTGGGATGACTGGGGAGGTAGACGAGATGACGTGGGCTGGGGATCGGGATGTATCGGCGCAAGAATGTTAATGTGTAGTTTTTGTAACTCTTTTTCAACCAGGCCAAGCGCAGTATTTATAACTATAAAGGAAGTTGAATAGGGTGTTAGCCACAAAAAATCTTCTCCACACTATTGTAGAAAACTGAGGTGAATATGTGTGACGAACCTGGGTTTGCGGATCTAACACGTTCCAGTGCGACAATACAGTATCTAAGCTTCTCTAGTGTCGAAGCAGAGGCATACTTCAGCGCCTGTATCTCGAGCAAGAATATCGAGGATGCTGTGTACAGGCTGTATGCGAGGGAGAGAACGACATGAGAATCTCCGAAAGTTCGTCTGTAAAGGTCGTAGAGAGAGATAATGGAAGTCGCGGAAGAGAGACATTGGACCAGGTGCTTTGCATTGTCTGCAGCATTTTCCAAGCTTCTGAAAGGCTTCGAACAGAGCATGGGTCGATGGAGGAGGATGTTGGTGATGTGATATATGCAACTATAAAGACGTAAGAGGGGTGATCCTTAGGCAAAGAACTAATAAAGCTTACTTTAATGTGACAATATGGCTCGGGGGACAGTATGCGGGTAGATCGTTAACGATGAGCTTCAGGAAACTAGGTAACTCGGTCCACCATTTTTCGAGATTCTCGCCTTGTTCATGCACACAGTTGAGGATCTGGGTTTCTGTGCTTTGCCGGACTGGGTCGTATATGTGTATTATAATCTGGTTCAAAATTTCGGAAAGCGAGCACATTCTCATAAAGCAGGATGTCGAATGAGCCTGTGTTGGCGGGTAATGTGTACCCTCTGGAAATACGACCCCGTGCGGTGTCCATATTTCTATTTCGGCAGTGTCGTCCACTATATTTAAGTTTGCGTTAATAGCGGCTCGATCAGAAGCCGACAAGTGAAGGGATTAGCTTACGAAGAATCTGGGGCGGGCTGACTGGCGTATCTTGAATAATAGGAGATCGGCCAAAATACAACGAAACCAGTTTATCCCAGAAATAACAGCTCCAAAAAAGCCGATTCCGGATCTCGACATCTTCATCCGAGAATTGCACGGAGCCTGAATATTTCCGGCTATCAATTGTGATACCCAGGTCTTCCACTAAACGGAACGCCATCCCGCTATAGAGCCACGCTTGAGTCCTGTTTCCACGGCCACATTCCTGTGCACTCAGTAAAAGTAAGGACTGCACGATCGGTATTTGTCCGTTCCCTTGCTTAAGGCTCTCGTATAATCCATCTACTGCTCTATTGAAGAATTGAGTACCGCCGTCATATGGATCCAGGAGTCGACTGATTTTCGGTTCACTTTTGCACCATCGGAGAGAATGAGATAGTATGGCATTCAAAAGTACGTCGGAATAGTATGGACCGTTCATTTTCATATCGCCTATTGAGAGCAAAAACAAACTCATAAGTCTCGAGAACTATACTGATTCCTGACTAAGGCTCTGCAACTCACGTGTAAATGCTGGTCGGTATACAAAATTAAAAAGAGGGTGTATCCAGCACCAATGAGAATCGAGAAGGTAATGAAAAGGTTCCTGGATACAAATATCAGTGACCATATTCTATTTGCGCAAAGCTGCCACGAAAAACCATCTTACAGGGATAGTTGCAAGCTGTTCAAACGCTCGCTCTCTCCACGCGTTGTTTATGAGCCTCTCTTTCCGGCCGTCTAGCTCCTGCGTTGATTTAACGGGATTTAGATCTTCCTGAGGAATCCCGCTGGGCAACTGAAATAAGCTGGTGGGTCCGTGGAAAGAGATGCGCCCATCGTCCTCCATTTTCAGCCCTTCGATATCCCGGGCCAAGTCCAGTGTGTCTCCCCCATCTTGTGACCCATTTGAATGCCTGGCGAACCTTTCTAGAGGCACTTTCGTCTCGACCTCCTCGACCTTGGGCTTCTGGTCGGAACTCTTTTGGTCTTTGTTTTCGCTTCGTACAAGGTCCAGCTCCGCCTCTAATTCAGCAATCCGAGCTTCGAGGGATTTTGTGTACGATAGTGTAGGTGTTCTACAAGGATCAGAAACATGGTGGAGATTCCTGAGCTGGCTGGACTCACAGGCTATAGACGCAGGTCTCCCCGCGAGCAGCACATCGGGAGCATGATGGGCTGGCGCCGTTGCATTTCACCTAAATCCCATGAAGCATGGTGTCAGCTCGAACAGGTCCTTTCTTTTAATTTCTTTTCTTTATTTTTTTATTGTTTATTTTTTTTTAATAAAAAAGGGAAAACGAAACAGAAAAAGTTGAGAAAAGAAAAAAAAGATAGGCCAATGCTAGGATTTAGAAAGGATCGAGGGATCAAACCTTGCGTTTCCGACATGCTTCGCAGGAAAAAGCGCTTTTCCTGGGTACTGGCTTCGAGTTCGTCTCAGGCATTTGAATCACGAGGAGAAATAAGAGGCACACACAAGAGATCGTGGGCCAGATCACCAGCCATTTGCCTGGCAGATGTAGATATTGGCGGGGTGCTGTGCCTGTGCGTTAATGACTTCCTGCCGCTGGCCTTGAGTTTCGGTAAGGTGGAGATAACACAATCCAGAGTCGCTGGGAGTGCGGTGCATGTCTCAACAACTTCGCAACAACGTCCGGAAGATGCGCAGGCCTGTGGCGGGGAGGGAAAATGACGATTCCAGACTGGCGTCGAGCTTGTTCGCTGTCGCAGCCACCCTTCATTGGAAGGCAAGCCACGTTTTGGAGCCAAGCACTAGTCCGTAAACGGTTAGACAGTCTCTTTAGTGTCTCGGCCCAAGCTTTCTCCGATCCAGCACGGGCCGGATGAACTCGATTCGACGGCTCAAGGGAGATCAGATGAAACTACGGAATGCGAAGTAAAGCCGCTGAAGTTGGTTCGGCTTTGGGCACTGAATTCGTCAAGGGAAATAAATTTCAGAATCAACTGCTGTCCAAGAAGTGATATATTATACAAGTGATGCGCTTACAAGATCCAACTCGAGCGGGTTGGGAAATGCTATGCTGGAGACACAGATGCATCGAGGCTACCCCTACCAAAACTCCTTCTCCAGTTTTATCAACCAATCGTACACGTCGTCTGCCTTCATAGTCATCTTAACTGACCGGCCATCCGGGGATATAACGAAATCCCAGCCGGGGGTATTCTGTAACCATTGCTTGATTTCGGGCGGACTCCTTCCTCCCAATAGCCCGGTAAGATCAACGCCGACACTTCCGTTTGATACATCCGACGGGCCAATAACAAAAATGAGCTTGTACTTCCTGCCCATCGCTTCTCTGATCTTTTTGCCAAGAGACCGCGAAGACGTATCAACATCAATCTGGAAGGTGGCCTGGGCGGGATACAGCAGTCCAGGGGTAGCAACCACTTCGCTTTCATTGAATGTAAGGCTCTGATAACCGCGCATCCCTGAGGCGACGGTCTGGGCAGTCCGCAGCACTTGAGGGTCGTTGTTCACCGTGAGTATTATCCCCTGACGTGGTGAAAGCCAGAATGGCCATCGACCGTTATAGTGCTCTGCTAAAAGCGCAAAGAAGCGCTCCAGAGAACCAAATATTGCCCTGTGAATCAATACGGGCGTGGCTTTTCTTGGGCCATTGACGTCAGTTTCTGTCCCAGGAACCACATACTCCAACCCGAACCGTTGAGGAAGGTTCATATCGAGCTGAATTGTGGATAGTTGATGGTATTTCCCACGAGAATCCCGAATCTGAAGGTCTATTTTGGGTCCATAGAATGCCCCGTCACCCTCATTGATATGCCAGGGCTTCCCACTCTTATCCAGAGCATCTTTAAGCTGATTCTCAGCATCATTCCATAGCGCTAGGCTCCCCAGATAATCCTTTTCCGGCCGAGTGGAGAGGACGAGCCTATAATCTTCCAAACCAAACGTGCTCAACACACTTTCCGTGAACTGCAGCGTTAACTCGATCTCTCTCTCAATCTGTTCCGGGCGACAGAATATATGACCGTCGTCCTGGTGGAACCTTCGAACACGGGTCAATCCTGACAACGATCCCGATATTTCATTGCGGTGGAGAGGGCTGAATTCTGCAAATCTAACAGGAAGGGATCGGTATGACCTTGTTTTGGATGCGAATAGCACGCAGTGGCCAGGGCAATTCATCGGCTTTAGTCCATACTGTTCGTCTTCACCGATCTCCACGTCGACGGTTTGCCCTGTAGCACCACGCCCACGGACCTCGTACATATCGTCTTTATAAATATACCAGTGCCCAGATTTTTCCCAAAGGGATTTTTTATACATGGTTGGTGTTATGACTTCTTCAAAGCCATATTGTTTGTATTGTGCTCGAAGAAAGGACATGAGTTTATTGAAAATGTGCGCGCCATCGGGGTGAAAATAGGGGGAGCCGGGGCTGAATGGAGTCGACCCAAAGAGATCTTGGTCGGTTCCAATTATTCTATGATCGATACCGGTAGCAGAATCTATGGGGGGTGCTTCATCGTCTGGATGCCGAGCGCTTCTAGCTGTCCTACTGTCGGGACGGGTAACTTTATCTCTCCTCTCCCTGTATGAGCTTTGAGCGGTTCCAATGGTCTGATTATCAGCATTGGTAACAATATCTGAGGGCAGTTCATTACATGGATCTTGAGCGGTTTCAATTGCCTGATTATGGGAAATAGGATCTGAGGGTGCTCCGTCGCATGAGGGGGTCGACTGAGATGGCTGTGGTGCCCTGGAGTATGACCTCGTCACTGAGATGGCCGATGCAAGGCGGCTAGTTCTCCATGGAGTGGCCTTTGGTACAGGACGCTGGGTCGAAAACGAGCGCCATGCTCTTGCGACGACGTTCGGCCGCATCTTGCGTGCTGATCAACCCCCTTTTGCCGTGTCTGGGGAGCTCGGGATGCTCTCATCCTCAGCGAGAATTTTTTGCTGCGTTCACGGCAACGAAAGATCCCTGATGTTGCTTAGTCATCCAAGCATCGCAGCGAAACATTTCACAGGTCTCGCGGAGAGTGATCCGCTGCCCGAGTTACTGTATGTAGCTATACACCGGCAAAATCGACTTGTTACTTAGTGCTCATACATAACTTCGCTGAAATGCCCTCTATGCATCCTGCAACTGGCGTGCCTTGGTGTTCATACTTCCGGGCGTCACAACGCTCCCCAAGGACGGGTCGACCTCCTCCGCCACCCATCACGTGATAGACTGGCCTGTCGCCTAATTTGAGTTCCAACGGCAGAGCCGGCAGAAGTGCGCTGCAACCACATCCCTGTGGTTTTTTCCGCGAGCTGGGCTTGCTGAGTTGTCGCTGGCCTGCAGAGTCGCTCTCCTCAATCACCCGGCATGGGTCTTGATCAGAGCTGGAACTCGAGCCAGTCATTTTGAAAGGTTCGTGCAGCATCGGAATCTTCTCAACGAGCGAGTCCGGGGTGAGCGGGGATTAAGGGCAGCTCATTGGCAGACCAGTTTCTCTCGAAGGTGTTGGAGCACTCGGCAATCTCCTTAGACGCCAGTCGCCAGATAATGGTGGGGGTAGTCACGACATGCGGCTTTACACCATGCGGCTTGCAGGGGTCCCTATCACTGTTACCACGTCCATTCGTATCATTCGAAGACGGGACATAGCAATTTTTACGAGTACCCATGGCACTGGCACGGTGCAGACCTTTCCGCTGGGACCGTTTCATCGGTCCCTGATTTTGTTGCGCTTGGAGAAACTGCCCAGGAACCAGTACCTGGGTCACATTCAAGCCAGCCGGTAACTAATATGGAGAAGTGATGGCTGTGATACATCAGGATCCCTTAACCCAACTCCACTTCTTGGCATTCGTCCTGCGGCCATTTCGGTGAAGCTTTTCCTTGAAAACGATGCGTACGTATATGCATCGTTTGGATGTATGTATGGATGTCCATACGTAGTACGTCCATACATGTACGCTGTCTAGGTTTGCTGCAGTCAGACGGCCAATAATAAACGAAGCTCCTACATGGAGTTCATTCGAGTGTCTTTGTGTTGCCAATAACTTGCAGCACGGAATACTCCATGCATTTTCAATATGGCTCCGTTGACCAACCCCACATTGTACATACATGTTGGCCAGGGTCGGAAGAGAGTTTCTTTGAATCCGTCGACAATAATAGCGGTCATAACACCAGGTCGGCTCTTAATTATGTGGCCTCCAAATCCGACAAATTCTTCTCTCCCTGGCTGTTTTTTCCTGGGAATCCATTCCATGCTTGATATAAAAGATGTTTTCCCTTGATCCAGTCTTCTTGAATAATGCACATATTCTATTTCATAATGCATTGTTTACACTTTCTTCGAACAAACCTGCCATTTTCGTGATTAGCGCTGCGGTCCTTTTGCTCTGGCGACTATTGAAGGACATTCTCTTCAGTGTCAAGGCCCCATATGTCGGTTATGAATCGTCTTGGGAGCCGACATGGCTTATCAGCCGTCGCTTTTCACGCGAAGCGCCGGGACTGATTGAATATGGATATCAACGTGTAAGCCCTTGAGAACCCTTACCGTCTTGCTCTGTTCTCTTGCGTTAACGTGCTTTCTTGCGTGCCATAGTATCGAGACTCGATATACAAGCTTTCAAGAAGAGACTCGGACATTTTGGTGATCCCACATAAGTTCGTGGACGAATTGAGAAGCCTTCCCGAAGAACATATCTGTGCCATGGAGGCTCATATTCAAGTAACGCGCGCGTTCTCACTACACAATAACACCAGGAAGCTCTAACATATCATTACAGACACTTCTAGGCCCCATTACAGGAACAGACATCCTGCTTGACGGTGACCTTCACACCAAGGTACTGCAAACAAAGCTGACTCCAAACCTTGGTCATCTCATCGGGCCATTGAAAGAGGAGCTCGAGTTTGCTATGTCCATGGAGCTCCCTGATTGCAAAGGTACCTCGAGGATACCGTAAAGATTTCCTCTTTTTACATGGAAATTTAGGAACTGATGACCTCGAGAATAGATGAATGGGTCGAGATTCAAATGCATGGAATCATCCGACGGTTTGTGGCGAGGCTCTCAGCCCGTGCTTTCACTGGGCCAATCGCTTGTAGAAATGAGGAGTGGGTAGCAGCCAATACTGCTTATCCAACAAACATCTTCACGACCATTGGACCGTTGCGCATGTTTCCGTCCTTCATGCGTTCGTCCGTCGCTCCATTCCTATCCTCATACTGGCGTATTCGCTCCAATATCGCGACGGCGAAGCGCGTGATTGTCCCGATTATCAACCAACGCCGCCGAGACGAAGCATCCGGCGATCCTAATTATGAAAAGCCCAAAGATCTTTTGCAATGGATGCTGGACACTGCTAAACCTAAGGATGCTGCGCCTGCTTCGCTTGCCCATCGCCTACTGGCTTTGAGCTTAGGTTCATTAAACACGACCACTACGGCGGCTGTGCAGACTCTCTATGACATCTGTAATCACCCGGAATACTTTGAGCCGCTGAGAGAAGAGCTTCTCGATTCTCTGACGGCTAACGGTGGATGGGATAAAGCAACACTTAGCAAGCTTCACGGTTTTGACAGCTTTATGAAGGAGTCTCAACGAGTCAATCCGCCAAGTTATTGTAAGTTTGCTTGGAGAGCTTTGGCAGACTACACTTACTTACTTTCTTTTCTTTCCGTCTTCAGTGTCCTTCAACCGCGTTGTCCGCAAGCCTCTCACCCTCTCCGACGGGACTAGGTTTCCGAAAGGAACACACTTCGGCATGCCTGCATATTCAATCCTTCAGGATCCCTCCATCGTCGAGAACCCTACTGAATTCGACGGTTTCCGGTACAAGAAGATCCGCCAGCAGCCCAAAGAGGCAAACAAGCATCAGTACGCCTCCACAGATTCCAACAACATTCATTTTGGCCACGGGAAGTATGCGTGTCCAGGGCGGTTTTATGCATCTCACGTAGTGAAGCTTATCGTTGGCCATTTGATTTTGGAGTATGATTTTAAGTTCCCCGAGGGCAAGTGCCGGCCACAGAACCTCAATATCGATGAGAATGTGTATCCGGACCCTTCGGCGACTTTACTCATTCGACGACGCCAGATGGCCTAATAATTGTAGGTAATGTGAAGCCTTTTTTTTTTTCTCCCGCTGGCTTCGTCGTTTTCTTTGAAGGTTCTGATGGCCTTTGTTGTCGGGGGTTATGATACTTTATCAGGATTCCCCATACTTCTGGAGCACTTGTGGGTTTCTGGGATAGTTGTGATCTCCAAATCCCTATTATAGTTATTGTTAGAGTAATACACGTTAAAATAAATTGTGCAACAATGATGAGAAGCTACTCTTAAGATAGGCTGATCATACCGTGGATGTATGGAATTGGCCCAAACAAATGGGCCAAGTATCCTTATAAGCCATCTCCAGGAAGGTCCTCATAGCTACTCCGTACAATCCATTGATTCCACTCGCGATTATCCCTCAAACTCAGAATCAAGGACTGAGACGTATGTGCTTAGGGTAGTCTGTACGACGCCAGGTCGCAATGGAATACGTGACCGGTACCTTAGCCGCTGGATCCTTAGGTCTCGACCTTGGGGACTAGAGTCGGAGCATATCGATTCTCGTCCCAGCCAAAACATTGGAGCACTGTTTGCTTTTTCGCCGACGACCGTCAACTCAGCGAGCAAGCCTGGGTCGTGTTACTTGAGAAATCTTCAGCTCGCAGTCCAAACCTTCACTGATGTACCAGCAAATTTGACCGAAATGAAGATGCACACCACCTTGGTTGAGTTTCTTCCTGCTCCCAAAAGGGAAAGTTCTCTTTCTCATACCATCCCCGATGAAAAGAATGCTGCTACAGCTTCAAGTGGGACAAATCGCACGCACTGCGCAGTTCACCTTGATATAAGTTTGTGACATAGGTTGCTCGCTCCTGCACGATGCGAGACGGGTAATTGAAACCAAATTTATATCTAAAAACCAGCCCTCTGTGGCAGGAGATCATTTCATATATCAAACCCATACTGAGTGAATTGCTACTAGCGAGAAGGCTTTGCTCATGCAAGAGTGACAAATCAAACATGCCAGAACGTGCGACGAGAGAAACAATGGATGCACGCGCATCCGTAGAATGGAGAAATTCGGTCAGCTGGCTTTGGGATATAAAGGCGGAAGTTTACCTCTCCCCAGTGAGGAAACTCTGACTTGCAATCCAGACTGTCCTGCCCACTGAAAAAAACCTCAGGAAGAGTTAATTCATTATATGAGCTTTATTTTGATAATGAAGGTCACTCAAGTTGCTGTCACCTTTGTTTCCCATGATTGCTGCGCCCGACACTAGACGCGTGCAGATGTGTAAAGCTTTGGACAAGAACGAGTGCACCCATGTCAACCATAGCAGGGGTGTATATATGTATGTATTTATGTACAAACCCCGCCTCTGCTCGTAAGGGCACATCATACGTAAAAGAAACCCCCTGCTTTGGGCCTCGCTGTCCTGCAGCAGCTGTAGACGTAGGCGACATAGACAACAGAAGCCACGTAGACGAGGCACACAACATGGACAATATAGACAGCCATTTGTTCAGTTTATTCTGACTGCGGCAAATGCAGTGCCTTGAGGCCACCATGGGCTGCTGGATCTTAAACCAGGCAGGATGGTCTCGCTTCCCCTTCCAGGTTGCCTCCATCCTCTGCTGGAGGAGAAAAGGGGAATTGGAAAGTCTATATCACGCCGTACAAGCTCTATCCCACGGCCGATAATTTAATTAATTATCCACCCTGTGTAACGTCCAGTCTCGTGTAGCGATATACGGGGTCGGCAGTCATTTATCTCCCATCTAAGGGTACGATCCTCCAATCTCGCAATATAGGTGATGGTTTTCCGGATTGGAATATTTTTTGGTTAAAGCTTCGTTGTTGCTGTGACCTATGCCCCAGCGAGGAATCGAATGTTCCTGAACATTTGTTTGAAGCAACATCCTGATGGAAACTAAGCTGCACCATAAGTTTAGGTGGAATGCGAAAGAAACTGTGCAGACTAGTTCAGAGAGAGAAATATGTAATAAAAATATGTAGTTATGTCCCACATATATAAGAATTTTCCAGAAAGAATAAGGGAAGCATGCGTTTTCTGGTAACACGGTACCGGAGTAGTGGCTGCCACCATGCCATGTTTTATACACAGTACCACATGTGGGTTCATGGCGGGCAATGCATTTCAACCAGCAGTCTGAGAACAGTCTGCATCATCTCGCATTGATTTGCTTCCAAGCGTGAAAGAGGTCCCCGTGCTCAGTCTAATAACCTTGAAAGATGGTATTTCTGGCAATAAGTGACGAACCCAAAAATTGACTGTATCCTGCATGCAAGTAGAGAAGCCACGCATGGCTTCCCTGCCAATGCATCTGAGATTGAGAAGATGCCTGTATCGGGGAGCCAGAAAGACGTTCGAAGGAATGCTCTTGCGGATGAGGATGACGCGTGAAACTAAAGCCTAGGCTAAACAGCTCGCTGACTAGTTAGTCCCGGAACTTCGGTTGGAGAACTCCGGGACGTCGGCAAATCGAGGCATTTCTGCCGGTGGAGAGAGAGCAAAGAAGAATCATCACCAAACACACGAGGCCTCTTGGACACTGGCCGGTATGTCCGTACGTACGTACATATGCACGCTGGACTCTCCCGGATAGAGTAATTCGTTAGATAACTAAACATGGCCCACCCCACACGTTGCAGCAGCATGCCGGATGTTGCACCCACGAAACCCCCTTCGGTGTGGAGGACTTTGTCCAAGCACCGAGTTGCACGGTATCACCAAGATAAAAATCATAAAGAGAACGATAGGATCCCAGTAATTGTGGGCATTCCTCCATGCTCCATTCATGCATTGGATCCTGTGAGGAATCCCGGGTCTCATGTGCTGTTTCTTAGTGTCAGCTCGTGGCTGATAAGTGAGCATGGCTTCAAGCACATGGACCCCCGCAGGTTTAACCTTGGGTTCCCCATCCCTGAAGCTCGGCTGTTCGTGGAAGACGGGATGCTGACACCCTGAACGGGAGTCCGGAGTTTGAAGTACAAATATCACTAATCCACCACTAAAGCATTCGGCTCCCAGTGGACCCGTAAGGCAGTTATATCGACATCTTTAGTTAGTTGATTGACTGATCACATCAGTCTGCACTCGTTACCTTTCGAGTCTTTCATCACCGTCTCATCCTTTTACGGCTCCTTCAAACCATATCTACTACTATATCCTCAAGTCTACAGAGTCGCTGCCACTCACGATGGCCTCAGTCACCCTTCCCACGTCTTACGCCGCCCTCCCTACGCAGCACATCAAGCTCTCCCATGTGCCTGCCACGTCCCCGACCCCAACACCCATTCTCCTCATGACACTCAACCGGCCTGACAAACTCAATGCGTTCACGCCAACTATGTGCAACGAAATGGTGTCGATATTCAACACGGTCGACGTGGATGACCGCGTCAAAGTGGTTGTCGTCACGGGTTCGGGGACAAAGGCTTTCTGTGCCGGCGCGGATCTGGAGCTCGGATTTCCAAAGGGAAAAGGAAAGGATGGGCATACAAATCGAGGAGACGTGACAAGGCCTAAGGATCATCGGGATGGGTGAGTTCTTCCCCGTCCCGAACTATTTTGTGCGAGTTATAGGCAAATACTGACGCGGTGATTGTTTGTGTGCAGTGGCGGAAGAGTCACTCTAGCGATCCACAACTGCCGCAAGCCCACGATCATGGCCCTCAACGGCTCCGCCGTCGGAATCGGAATTACCATGACGCTCCCCGCCACTATCCGTCTCGCTACCGCCAACACCAAAATCGGCTTCGTTTTCGCTCGCCGCGGCCTGGTCATGGAAGCTGTATCATCCTTCTTCTTGCCCCGTCTCATCGGCCACTCTCGTGCCCTCCACGTCGCCACCACGGGTGCTACGTATCCTCCGGACCATCCTTTGCTACGCGACCTGTTCTCCGAAGTCCTCCCGACGGCTCAGGCGACCTTAGACCGCGCTCTCGAGATCGCAGAGGACATTGCACAGAATACTTCCACCGTCTCAACCTCTCTCATGAGGGATATGATGTACCGTGGGCCAGATAGTCCCGAGGGAGCACACCTGCTCGACTCAGCGATCATCTACAGTCTCTTCGGTGGCAAGGACAACGAGGAAGGTATCAGGAGTTTCTTCGAGAAGAGAAAACCGCAATTCAAAGCTTCAGTGACGAATCCGGACGATATGCCCTCTTTCTATCCCTGGTGGAATCCGATCGATCTCACTCCACGGTTGGAGAAGGCTAAACTCTAAGCTAAAGTGTCAGCAGTATTATGGGTATGAATATAAAGGTAGATTCTGAAGAGCATTTATTTCAGCTGTAGGTAATAAATCCGTCTTTATACTAAAAATGTTTTCCAATATGCATATGCAAGTAGCCCAAGCAGTGTAACTTCTATCAAACAATATAAACATCGAAAGATATCCCAAGATGGAGTGGAATCCATGATTTATCTCAAAGTGACCTATCTCTTTATCAGCCTTGCATCGAACCTTGGGTCTGGAGGAAGCTAGGGTGGGAGGACAAAGAGCACTTACCAATTCTTCAGCAGATGTAGGATGAATAGCAACACAGCTATCAAAGTCTTTTTTCGTGGCACCCATCTTCACTGCGACGCCAAAGCCTTGTAGCATCTCGCCAACTCCGAGACCAAGGATATGTAGGCCAACAACCTTCTCTTCAGGACCCGCGCAGATGAGCTTCATCTCGGTCGGGTTATGAGCTTTTTCTTCTGGGGGCATCATATCATAGAACATAGCTGTAAATTTAGTGTGGTAGATCTTGAGGTTGTCTTTTCCGTACTTCTCCACAGCCTCGGGTTCTGTTAAGCCGATAGAGCCGACTTCTGGATGAGCGAATACGACGGTGGGGATATTGTCGTACGACAATCTGGATGATTTCAGTTCGGGGGGCCCAAAGAGACGGTTTCCAAGTTGGCGGCCAGCAGCAATGGCAACTAAATACAAATCAGTAAAAAACTTTTCTAACTTTTTTTTCTGTCGTGGAAGAGACATACCTGGAGTCAGTTCCGCTCTTCCAGTAACATCACCGAGCGCGTAGATGCCTTCGACAGAGGTGTTCTGGAAATCGTCGACAGCGATATATCCACCGGGCAATTGTTTTACACCAATCTCCTTGAGACCCAAGTTGTCAACGGCCGGTGATCGACCAATGGCCCAAAGCAGCTCGTTGACTTCTATCTCGCTGCCATCATGCATGATCAGCCTGAGCAGCTTATCTGCGCCTTTGCCTTCACGTAGAAGCTTGACCTCCTTGACTCCAGTGAAGTTCTTGTGGATCTTCATTCCGACATCTTCGTATCGCTTTGTCATGGTATGCTGGATCATTGGGTCAAACTTTCGCAGAAACGTCTCATGGCGACAGAACAGATGCGTCTCGACGCCGGCAGTGTGCATGACGCCCGCCAATTCAACACCGATGTATCCAGAACCGACAACGGCAACCTTCGGCGGCAGATCCTCGATTTCGAAGAACCCATCACTAGTGATTCCGTGCTCGGCACCAGGAGTATTGGGGACCTTGGGGTAGCCGCCGGTAGCGATCAGAATGTGCGGAGCGGTGAACCGAACCTTCCCACTGCCATCTTGCAGTGTGACTTCGAGCTCCTTCTGTCCAACAAAGGTAGCTGTTCCGTGCACAAGGTCGATCCCTTCACGGTTCCAGTTCCGCTCGTAGATACCGTTCAATCGCTCAATCACAGCATCGCGTTTTCGCTTGAAAAGATTGTAGTCTACGGAGATGTTCTTGGGGATATCATAACCGTAATGCACACCGTCACGTAGTGACTCTGCGATCGAGGAGAAATTCCACGTCATTTTCTTTGGAACACACCTATTCGTTTCATATTAGTTCAGATATACCTTTTTTTTGTCTTTTTTTTTTTTTTTTATTATTTGTCTCTCGCAGAGCGGCAGGCGGCGTGGAAGGGGGAGGAGAAGAAAATACCCGACATTGACGCAGCACCCTCCAGATCTCCCGTTTTCAATGATCAATGTCTTCGCTTTATACCACCCCGCCGCTCTCCGTGCAGCACCACTGCCTCCGCTCCCACCCCCGATCACGATGTAATCATATTTCTTCACCTCTACACTGTCGATTGGCGCCATTGTATCTGATATCTTGGACAGAGCGGGGGAGGCACTCGAGAAATGCCGTGTCACCGATCCGAGACGGGTGGAAATCGCCAGTTTTCGAGGGGTGTTGTTCTTCGTGGGAGACAGCCACAACCTTGTCCCGTGAATTCTACGGCTCAATTGCGGCGAAGGATGGACTCGCAGTGCGGGAGAGACAGGTAGAGAGGGTACCGGTCGTTTGTTGGAGCTGCAGATTCGAATTAATGTATTCGAGGGACGTGGACAGAGGACAAGCATTCCTCCCTGCACTTTCGGGGCTTTCGGCGGGTGAGGAGGGTGTTTTAAAATGGCGCAATAAACGGAACTGACAGAAAATGGCTAGGGGCGGGGGGGGGGGGGGGGAGGGGAGGGGAGAAGCGAGCGGAAAGGTATGGGGAACGGATGTAACTGTTTTATGTACGGCGATTCCCTGATTTCCTCCCGCAACCAGAAAAAACGCCCGCCATTCGTGGGAATTATGCTTTGTCACCGGTGGCTACAGCGGCGGGGATTTTTTGCCGCTGCTCCGCCTCGACGCTAGGCCCGGAGTGGCGATGGTCTTGGGCTGCTTTAACAAATGCGTCGGCGTTTATGGTTCGTTTGATGGTTTAAGATGTGCTGCAAAACTGCCAATCTTCGGGCGAAATTCGCGGATTATGGGGACGACTGGAAAACTACATAATAGCCTTGTTCGGGTCCCCCTTGAGCCCTGTCCGTAAGGGTCGATGTAGCATCCTTCTCCCTCACCCATCGAAGCAGACCCTGGATATCTAGTATCCGCAATCCTCTACTCCGTACTCCGTACTCCGTATCTTTGTACTATTCCCAGGGGGCCCCCCTTGGGTGTCAATGATGTGAACCTGCAGATCCCCGAATGACAGTGACGGCTTGGCTCAGACCATCAGCAGCATATCCTAGTCCTTGAGAGAGCCCGCACAGTCTGTCAAGGCGGCTGTTGCGTCTTTTTCTTCGGCCGGTGTTGATTTGTAAAAGAGCAAAGTCCAGCTCACTTCTTAACCAACTTCCCAGGCTGACGTGCTCCAGCTGCGTGGAGCTGAGCAGCACTGATGAGAGAGGATCATGACGCCAACCACTCAGCCAGCTCCAGAGTTATTTAACTAACTAACGCACTAACACCACACTCTGTGGTTGCATAGGAAGCTCCGCGAAAGTCAACATCTCAGCCCTTTCCAGAAATCCACCAGCAAACAGCTGCTCCGGGGTGCATTTCATTACACAATCAGTTATCCACCTTGTTAATGCTCGTTCAAATTCCAGCCCCAGCAAAAGAAAGAGAAAGAAAAATCTCCCGCGTCAACAGGCTACTATCGTGGCTTTTCTTACAAATCCCGGGTTCTAGTCCCCGGAAAATTAGTCATTTCGGGGAATAGCCGGCTTGTCGCCGGGACGAGATGATCGCCGATTGATGCTTTCCGAGTTGACTTTTTCTTAGTTGCATTGTAAGCTATCAGAGTGACGTGAAGAAAATACTTAATCCAGTTATATTTCCACTTTGCTCAGGTGGTTACACGACTCCTCCCTGTGCGACCCAACGTTGCCACCCCCACAAAAGTGTACATACATACCTACACACATACACACTACATAAATATACAAGACTTTGCAAGAAAGGTTTGGAGACACATGGCTATACGCTGAGCCCAAAGTGGCGTAAAGTGTCGAGTTTCCGGCACCTAACTACATAGGTACAGGACGTACTCCACATAATATCATCACGGCAGATACGAACAGACAAAAGACAAGCGCCTTGAATCATACGTCAACAAGCACCGGGGAAAGGGGTAAAAAATAAAAAGGGAAAGGAAAAGGCAAAGAAGTGCCGTCATAAAGCACCTGCAAAGGAAAGGAGGGATTTTTTTAGTGCCTGGAAATAAACAATGATAATGATGCTAAATGCAGACAGGCTGCCACCAGATCAAAACAAGAAAACAAAATAATCTCTCAAGACAACAACATGACGGAGGAATATAGAAAACGTAATCCTTACCAGATGCCGATGCAATTCAGAAAAAACAAAAAGAGAGCGAGAGAAAAGAAGAGAGCGTCGGCATCATTTCCAAGGGAGAGGGTAAAGAGTAAGGGCGTGGTGAGAGTACAAATGACCGGCATCTGTCTGTCCCGCCATCGGCTTCTCATGGTCACCAAGGTCATTCGTGAGCTTGCTCCCTCAACGCGATACCCCTTTTTCTTCTCCTAGCTAGTGTCGGCAAAAAGAGTAGCACTTCGTTATGATATAGAATTTACTGTTGAGCCGCCATCAAATTGGCCGGGTCGTCGAGAAGTGGACTGCCGGGCACCGCATCGAGAGCAACTTTATGAAGAGCCGGTTGGGCATGGCGCCCCATGACGCCACGCTTGCGTTTGTCCAGGGCTTCTTTGACCCAGGCAGCAACTTCTTCGTCCGCGGTGTCGAATTCCGCTGCTGAGAGTGGTCCTTTACCCTTTCTGTCGGTTGCATTGATTTCAGCAGCAGCTCCACCTTCTGTTCCGCCCAGCAAAGAAGCAGGTGGTGCCAACAAATCAGCGAGCCATGGATGTCGGAGGAGAGTGGCATATGTAGGTCGAAGGGAGGGAGTCTTGTTCAGACAACAGCGAACGAAGTCTCTGGCGTTGGCTGAGAAGCCTTCATCTGGAAGCGTTGGTGGGTCTCCTTGGACAATTGCCTAGTTTGCTAATCAGTACAGTGATGGAAAAATAAAATTAAAAAAAAAAAAAAAAAAAAAAGAAAAAATATCATATGACAAACTAAACACTTACATTTAGTTGACTGAATATGTTGTTATATGATTCAGGTGGGTAGGGGTATCGCCCTATGGCGCACTCAATAATCGACAACCCCAAACTCCAGATGTCGCTTTGCACACTGTACGTTCCGCCGTCGGGTCCAGCAGAAGGAACTCCGCCTGCGATCCGCTCTGGGGCCATGTAACTCTGGCATCCAATATTTGTTTTGGCAATGCTTGCAACCAAGTTTCCACTGACTCCAAAATCACATATTTTTATCTGGCCTCGGGTATTGATGAGTATATTAGTCGGCTTAACGTCGCGATGTATGATGTTGTGTTCGTCTTTCAAAGACTTCAGTCCCATTATCGTCGAGAGGGCTATCTTTCTCAAGATATTCTCTGGAACGCCGTCGCCGTACAGCTTCTCCATGGAACCTCCATCCATGTATTCGACACAGATATACACGGCTCCCTCCTGGAAAAAAGCTCCATAGAAATCGATGATAAAGGGAGACACGCAGCGATGGAGGATATCCAATTCCATTATAATCGCGGTGAACTTGGACTTGTCCAGTTCAAGGCGAATTTCCTTCATTGCCATAACCACGTTAGAAAGCTGGTCTGTCTCGCCATCCTCTGAATTTGGGGCGTTTTCGGCTTGATGGACACTATGCGGCGCCATAGAACCCCTCAGTCCAAGGCCAGGTCTTCGAAGGCGCGGTCGACAATGGCGAACTTTGTAAACAGTACCGTAATTGCCTTTGCCCAATTCATCCAGCGTCTCAACCTCATCCAACGAGATGCTGAAACTGTGGCCACCTGTGAAATCAATACCACCACCGTGGATAACAGCCTTGTCCTTGAATCTGATCGTCCCTGCCTTCGTATCGATGATCTCAGAGTATTTGTTGAATCCAGATTGTGTCTGGGCAAAGTGAGCCTTTGAATGAGGCCCCGTTACCCCTTCCGGTAAACTGGTGGGGGCTCTGAACGCCGGACGAGTGCCTCCAGCGTCGGAAAGTTTCATGGTTTGCTTCAAGCCACGCTTGGCCGCCAGACCTCCCAGCTTGGGGGTCATTGTTGCAGTGCGACCGACAGGAGAAGGCATGGAAGTCCAGCCTCCCGGTTGGGGTCGGCCGGTGGGCGACAATCCGGCGTTGGACAAGCCGCCCGGAAAGCGACCAGCCAGCGCAGGACCTCCACCCAAAACATTGGTATTAATGCCACCAACCAAGGCTCCCTTTGATGGTGTCCCAACAGAACTACTTCCTCCAGAAGAAAGAGAGGATGGAGTATTCTGTCCGGACCTTCCTCCTTGTCGCGAAAGAGAGAAAGCCTTCATCTTTGCCTGTATGTCCTGGCTCAGACCGCTCGATTGGCCGGCTGTAGGAACCGGGGGAGGTCTTCTGGCGGCATTGATCTGTCCAAGGGGGGTGGAAGACGGAGTCATTGTTTGAGGAGATACGGTGCGGAGTGAAGGAGGCTGTGTGGTAGAGGGAAACATCGCATCGGTTTCATTGTGCTCCAGGGGACTCTCAGCGGGGCTCGAGAATGGGCTTTCGTCTTCTTGGCCATCGGTAAGATCAGAGTCGCGATCGCGACCCTCCATCGCTTGCTCGGTGGATATTGTTCTCCGCGACGAATTTCCTTCCGCCTCCACGTGGTTCGACACTCCCCAAAAGCCTCTTTCGGATAGGAACCGAGGGAGACGGCGTCCTTCTGACTGTGCAGAACTATGGAGTGCGCATGAAACAGAGGCAGATTGAAACGGAGTTGGCACGTAACCAGGCAGCGTCACTTTTTTTAGTCCCCCCTTCTTATTATCAGACTCGGTAGGGTGCTCGGGCACTCGTCTGAGGGAAGAATGGTGTAAGAACGGAATTTTTTACGGAAACTGAAGAGGCAAACGACACTCTACAACCGCCCAGCACGAAGCGATAAAAAGGGTTCTGTAATGGCAAGGATTTCGCAGAGGGGTTCTAAGACGCCCCACGTCGGTCCAAGAAGAGAAACGGCCTCTAGAACGGTGAAAGCTAAAAGAGAGAACAGGGGTCTGCAGGGACGAACTCTCACCCGGCTGCGAAGGATAGAGAGGGATAGAGAGGAGGAAGAAGCGAGACGAGAGAGTTGGCGGGACGGGAAGTGGAAGATTCGGAGAATCCGCATGCCTTCCCTGGCGAAAACCGATGTTTGCGCTGAGCTGAGGCAATGACTGGGCGCGAGTCGTGGCTTGAGTCGCGGTGGACTTGCGCTGGTGGCGGCGGGAGCTTTCCTCCTCGACCAACTACAGGACAGGTCCAAGCCACAGTGTGCCGTGGTTCCTCCAATCAGAGGAGCCCGAGAGTCCCCGCTGCGATGGGGCGGCCAATCAGGGGTTGAGCATGCACTTTCCGCTCCCAACTCAATCCCGTTGCCTTGCTGCACTGGGAAAGAGCACTCTGCGGGTGGCGAACATGTGCTTCGTGTCGGAAGAAGGTGCGAGGGAATTGCGGTGCCTGGCGGGATGGCCTGTTCTTGCGGGAAGGAACAAGGTGCCGGCCTATTTCAGCGTGTACGAAGCTCGGAGTACAGGAGTACACAAACTGTGAGTTACCTTACCGCGGCTTGGCCCTTAGGGGTCAGTCAAGATGTCGGCTTGGACACGGAGTATGTACTTTGGGTCACAGTCGTCACGGCATGACGACGGGACGGGAGGCGTGTGGTGTGAGGCGTTGTACGGAATATGGATGAGCAGTACTCCATATATGCGGGCTGGTACAAACGTAGCAGTGCTTGTTCGAAGTATACTGTATACTCCATATGATCGAAGGCATTTCCGTACTCCATACGGAGTACTCCGTACTCGCTGGAAGTGGATGAATTACGCCTTGATCCACAATGCCCGGAGGTTTTGGACGATCGCGAGAAGGCTGTACGGAGTACTCCGTACAGCTCCCGCACTCCACGCCAACCAACCCTCGCTTACTCCGTACTGGAGATCAAAACCCAGTCGACTCCACCTTCAATCCGCCACCTCTTCACTCTCCTCCCCCCGCCCCTTTTTTTTTTTTTTTTTCTCGAACTGCTCATATTCTTTCCAGAGGATGGTTGATCACAGTCGCCGGCGTTCCGTGTTCTCTTCGCGATTTCGTTTTCCTTTCTCTGTTATTTATCCACGATTTGTCTTTCTTTTCCCTCCCACTTCTTATTTTTCTCAATGAAGAAGCGGGGGGGAGCGAAGTAGCGTCGTCGCTCAGGCCGAGGTGGCAGCCGGCCAAGGTAGTCGTAACCTGTCACTGTTATTTCTTGTCTGTTGACAATTATCTCCCATTGCTGCACTCACATACCCTTTTTAACCATGGACTGTCACTCTGCCGAGATAAATTCATACTGAAACATTGAGAAATACTTCGTACAATCTATTCAAATAGAGAACAAAGGCCAGAGCGAATAACCATGACCAATACAAAAAACACTCTTCACAAATCTTTGCTGATGTCATGATTGTTTGTATCTACAGACTACGGAGTACAGAGTACATAACATAGCCCTACGGGCACCCCAGAGTTACCGGAACGGGTTTATAAAAAATCCGTCACATGTGGACCTCCAGTAGATAAAAGAAGACACAGATGATCCAAATTCCCCAAGCAGTCACCTTCAGGATTTAACTACTCCATCCTCCATACTCCGTACATAGTTAAAAGATTACTGCTGCAAATGGGCTCCGGTCATGACATCTGGTCACCTTCGAAAATGCTGGCCATTTGAAATTACGTTCAACGGGCCGAGAATCTAAGCTTGGTACGCATGATTCAGCCAGCAGATGGATCTGGAGAAATCGAGTCAGTCTCCTCTGTATATTAGCTACCATTATTCCAGGTCCCGTGATGCTGAACGAAAATGCCCTATAATTGCAAATGACGTTTGAGTAGGCCCGTCCCATACGTCTAAAGCCCCCACACCGACAGGGCCGCAACAAAAGCAATATAGTTGTCTACCAGTGTTGATTCACTGCATCCGTTCACCTTGGATCCTGGCTTCTTCCCGCTTCCGGTCATGGATTAAGATGTCAGAAATAAGCTTGCATTCATCACAAACCCATATTACGTGGCTACTCCACCCGAGCAATAAGCAAGCTTTATACTTTAACTTGCATGCTTCTCAGACTGGAAATCATATTTCTTCCTGGCCCGATGATCCAGAAGTTTTTCTGGACCTGCGCCACTTCTATCTTTCCCCAAATGCCCTAGGTGGCCGTCAGACTCCGGAGTTCGCTAGACGCCCGAAGCTTTCCGAAGCGAGGCCATAGTGTAGGTAGCAAGACCGATGCAGGTAGCATGGCGGGGAGGAATATGATCTAGAACATCTAATTTTCTCACGTTGGGAGCCACAAAGCTGTTTCCTTATTAAAATAAATCAAAGAAAATCTTTACTTTCAGGTCCTCGAGTCATGAGCAGCAGCGAAGCAGAGAGACAAACCTACATGTCTTACATTACAAATTATTATATTAAGGAGGCTTTTCAAATACATACATATACTCTAATCCTGTTCTCCCTTTTCCCACACCTGCTCACGCCAAAACAATATCCAGAAGCATTTCATTCGTGGCGTTGAAACCCATGCCATGCAGCTTTTTGGTTTTATGCCGGTGGAGCTGCTGAAAACAAATTCTCGGATTTTTGGAAGCCATTTCGAGGTATCCTTGCAGTAGATCTCTGCCTGAACGGGCCATTCCTTAGCGCCTTCCACTGCGGCGGTACGAATGATGTACAGTATTCGGGCCCCAGGATGGTCTGGTAGCGGTAGATGTGGGTTGAGCAGGTGGGGCAAAAGCAGTGCACGGGCTTTCCTAGAGCTTATGCTTGAGGAGCACCTACGCGTTATAATGGGAGATGAGGTGTTGAGAGCGTTGAGAGCGTTGTTGCGCACCACAATCGCCCTGATATTTGTCCTTGCTGAATTTCCCTTTTCGAAATTGGAGTTCTCCTCCGGCATCACTTGGTTGAGGGTGAATTTGCTGCCGTTGATCAGGATCTCTTTGCAGGCATCACAATGACTATGAATTGGATCCATCAGTGAGTATATCTGTAGTTTGGGGGGAGGGTTTGAGACAAATCATAATGTAAAATGGGTTGGTAAGCCACCAGAGAATGTGTGGTTTGTCCTGATCGCGTAACTTCACAGTCCATTCGATCTGGCCACAGTGGCACTACCCACGGACGGTAGACATTGTTGCGCTGAACAGTGAGCTGTCCAACTGATGGTTTGGTGGCGCAAAGGCAACCTGATTGACTTTTGACTCTAATTGAGGAGACAAGGCTCCTGAATAACAGCCCTTTGCAGTCTCCACAGCTGACTCTCAACTGATGAAACTATGCAAATTCTTCTCTTGGCCGTCCTTTCAACTTCAATTTGGCCGGAAAATAGCAAAGACTTTTTGTGCGTACGCCTGCAGAAATCCATTTCAAGCAAACCAGCTCCACGCTGAGCCTATATGTACGGGGTAACGAGCTATGATGTCTGGCCAAGCAGGTTCTCTGAGAATCCTTGGGACTCCAGAGTTTGGCATCCAATCTATCAGTCTTGACAGTCACATTTCCTCACAGTGCAATGGCCAGCCTGATTGAATAGTGTGTTGTTGCTTGAGACCAGCAAGGTGGATGCGGAGACTTAAGCATAGATATGAAGATATGCCTAGGAACAACTGTACTCCAGAATTGTGTTCATTTCACTCAAAGTCCCAGATTGAGTCCCGTCTCGCAATCTGTGGCTTAACATACAGCATGAAGACTGCGTCTACCAACATCGACACTGCGATAAGAACCTGCATCTGCCAGAATGTTCCTGTTGACAAATTATTCAGTGCGCCAGACAACAGGTTACCCACTAGGATCCCCACCAACGCGGCCGCTAACCCACGCCATTCCCATCCACGTACCCACAACATTTTTATCCGGTCACACCTGGGGAATAACAGCAGGCACCAGCACCGCTAGTGGTGTTACGAAGGCTAACTCCTTTAATGTCAGGAAGCTGAATAATGCCAGGATCTTTGGATTATCTTTCCACACTGCTGCCGCGGCCTCTTTTCTGTGCCGGGAGCATGATTCCCCAACGCTACAAAGCACTTAAACAGTGAGAGAAACCCAAGGATGCGGGGAACCATGGAAAGCCCACTGGGAAGCAGTTGAATAAAAACAATTGGGTAGACAATCTCGCCTACCACTGTCCCTAGTGTGACAAAATAAATTGCCAGTGTGCGGTTCCTTGAGAAGTAGGACGCGATGAGGGCGATGTCAAGGGAATAGAGAATTGCAACATTCAGGGGCTAATGCAGAACGGGCTTGCGTCTGCAGGACCTGGTAGAACTCTGTGCAGAGGCTAGGCATCATCACACCAAAGACAGTGGAGGACGTGTCAGGCAGTAAAGGTTCACAAATGTAAGCCTCCAAGCTGGTTAACTATGTACTCCGTAGTACTCTGTAATCTAGTTGACTCCCGTGTAAAGAGTAAAGATTAGGTGAATTAGTCGGGTGTTGGCTCGACTAGCTGCGAAGGGAGAGGAATCGTCCCCTCGCTGCCCCCGGAGTCGAAACAGCAAAGTCTCCAGTGCTAATCCAGGTCTAGTGCAAAAAGGGGCTTTAAAAGGAATCCAAATCTTCTGATGACTTTTTAACGTCTACGCGAACAAGCGGTTCCTTCCCACCGTTTTCAAAGGTGGTCGTCACGGGTTCCTCATCACGTGATCAGAATTCTGCGCCAAGCCACGATGTGTGGAGTACCGAGCTCGATACGGCTAGTTTGTGGCTCGCATATCGCCCCACTTCGCGTGCAGGTGGCGGTGGATCTCTCGGATTTACAATTCTCCGGAAAGGCACAGGGTCGCGCGACGCCCTCTGGTTGGCCCAAAGGCCGTTCCACCGAGCTGGTTTCACGGAGCTCTTCTTGCGCCACACGACGCGCTGGCGTCACCAACCACCACATTGTCCGAGTACTCGCAGGGCACGCAATCGCACCGCGAGAAGAAAAGTGAAACCACTTACCCTGGCCTGCAACAGTCTACCGAGATGCTCCGTACAAGCAGGCAGATCACTTTTGCCGGGCTGGAAATCGCACCATATCAAAGGTAAATTCGCAGGTCCCCTGCTTAGAAGTTAGTTACACCCGATGCATGGGTGCGCCGTTATCATCTCGCTCGACGGTGGCCAATTTGGGAGTCAAAATGGAGTAAATACATAGCTAAATGATATCATCCCCTCAGCTTTTTTTGGGGACCTCGCGCTGTAATTGTGAAGTTTTATTGGCTGCTGTCGGGAAGCATGCTCTCGCTTCCACGGGAGCAGGTGCTGATACGGAGCTCTTCTTTCAAGAAGTTGAAGCTTTCATGCTTGTCCTACCTCCCCATATCAAATTCCATGGCCTAAAAATGCCACACAATTAATTTTACTGTATCAGCATTTAGTGATTTGCACTTCTTGGCAGTCGCAATATCACCGCGATAACGGTCGAGACCAATCAAACCCGCGGGGCGCTCCGCCTCCAAAAATCCTGATTCTCCGCCCAGTGGAAAACGTTATCTAAACGAGACGTGTTTCCTCACGTTTAAAATATATCCATAGACACATATTCAACGGCTTACCTCTCGATCAGGAAAATACTGGGAGTTTGGTCTTTCGACCTTTCTAGCCTTCACTCTTCTTGCCGATACGTACTCGGTCCATACAATCCATATTATATTGCATGCTCGATGCCTTTTTTCACCTCGCCGAGGTCATTTCGAAACGCAAACATCGACTCGTCGCCCCAGGCCTCATTGGTAAACATCAATGGAACTCTTTTCACGGCCTTGGCTCAAAATAGCCAACCTGTCTTCCACAATGGAGCACCAGCACTGCCTCACGCATCGCACCCATCGCTGCCGTATCTCGCCCTCCTCGTCTTCGAGGCGGTCCTGGAAGTCGTCTGCGTGAGTTTACCGGGCTATATCGTGGCGCGAATGGGAATGTTCGATGCGAACGCACAGAAATTCGTCGCCAATCTGAATGTCATGCTATTCACACCATGCCTTAGTACGTAGATCTCTCGCTGACAGTGCGAATCCGCCTGTCTTGGTTGCGAAAACGAGAAGAAGAACGCTGACAGACTTGCATCTTTGGCCTAGTTTTCACAAAGCTCGCGTCCCAGCTAACGGCGGGGAAACTCGCTGATTTGGCGATAATACCTTTAATCTTCATAACCCAGACTGCAGTGTCGTGGATAAGCTCGAAGTTGATCTCACGAGTATTCCGCTTCAGAAAGCGACAGTCGAATTTCGTAACGGCTATGGGGGTGAGTGATCATTCTGATTTTCTGTATGCAGGCTATTTTTTCTGATGGGACTCCCATAGGTGTTTGGCAACTCAAACTCTCTACCGATCTCCCTGATCATGTCTCTCTCTAAGACAATAAAAGGACTCCATTGGGACAGAATACCCAATGACAATGATAGTGAAGTTGCTGCCCGTGGTATACTTTACCTACTTATCTTCCAGCAACTGGGCCAGCTTCTCCGATGGAGCTGGGGGTATCGCGTCCTCTTAGCACCAAAGGAACAATATTATCGAGATGAAGAAGAGAGAGCCAACTCTCGCATTGGGACCGTACAAGAGAGATACTTCGATCTTCCCGAAGAAGACAGCGATCCAACACTGCTCGGAGATTCTAACTCGGAGGAGCCGCAGTTCACATCAGGTGACCGGACGCCCGTTCTGGAAGCGGATCGCTCGTGCGCGAAGCTCCCGAACAGCGATGAGAACGCCGTCGACGGAACCACGGCGCCGTTGCCGCTCGCCATGCCTCTTCCTCATGAACAATCTCGAGGCTCGCCCGGGCGTCTTGCTTTTTCCCCCAGTGTCGAACCCCGAGAGGATGCGTCTTCGTTGGGATCGGCCAAAATGAGGCTCCGAGTCTGCCGACAAGCAGTAATCTCAACTGTCCATCGCTTCAACGACTTCGTGAAATCGCAAGCAAACCGGGCCTTCAACGCTATCCCACTCCGGATACAAAAGGCGTCCACCTGGACTGCCCACAAGGGGTACCGCTTCATCCACGGCGTGTGGGAGTTCATGAGTCCACCTCTCTGGGCCATGCTAGCCGCAATAATCGTCGCCTCCATCCCTTCCCTGCAACGCACCCTCTTCACGAAGGGCACATTCGTCCACAACTCTTTCACAAGCGCTATCACTCAAAGCGGCGGCGTTGCCGTCCCACTCATCCTTGTCGTCCTTGGTGCCAATCTCGAACGCAACACGCTCCCCGAAGAGGCTTACGATGACCACGAAGACCCGCGCGTGGAACGGAAGCTCATCATCGCATCGCTAATGGCGAGAATGTTTCTTCCCGTGCTCATCATGGGCCCTATTCTCGCTCTCATGGCCAAATACGTGCCCGTGAGCATATTGGACGACCCGATATTTGTGATTGTCTGCTTCTTGCTCACGGGAGCGCCCTCGGCGTTGCAGCTGGCTCAGATCTGTCAGATTAATAATGTGTATATGGGTGCGATGTCGAAGTTGTTGTTTCAGAGCTATGTTGTCTGGTGAGTAGTGCTTAAAGGCTTCTTGGTGATTTGGTATGGCATCGATTTGTAGACTGACGTGTAGCTATTCAGGATATTGCCTTCAACGCTTGTCCTGGTGATGAGTGCCCTGGAGGTTGTGGAGTGGGCGACAACCAGCTGACTGAGCCAGCAAAGCCTGTCGAACGAGCCCATTAGTTACATTGGGATCCAGCCCAAGTTGGCTTGGACTCCTTGTTAGGCTCATGGGTCGTGTCGAAATGCCTCATCTTAAATTGATGTGTCCCATCGGATAGGGAGGAAAAGCGGTAAAGTGGTTTTATGAGAAATGGATTATGATTTAGGTATTCAGCTTTGTGATGACGACACTTTGAAGTTTGGCGTTGTGGTGCACCTTGGTTGCTTGGCAGCACTTTTCTGCATTTGACTATATACTTTTTGCTGTGTTCTGTAGCCGGTACTCCGTGCCTTTGATGTATGGCCATGAAGTGGGATTTGAGATCGAATAGAATTGGTGTGAAATCCGTCCAGCGGGAGATGACTATCTAACATTTTTGTTGGGCCGTACTCCGTATAAGAATCGTTGAAATCACGATAACACCATTCCCATTTATCCTCGCAGAATTCTCCGGAGTGATCGACCAATGCACTACTCTCCATTCCCATTTCCTCTTCCTCTTCTCATGTTCAATTTTCTAACGGTCGCCTCCGTCGCGTCACCGACCCATTTCTCATACTCGCCATCGCCTTGCTCTACCTTCTTTCCAACCACACCTTTCAATACCTCGCCAATAAATCCCACAAAATTCCATCTCCTCAACGCATTCTCCCACGCCCAAGCACGTCGCTTCCTCTCTTCCCCCTCCAGCGCCTCCACATCCCCAATCTCCGCAGCGCGGATGCGTAAATCCTTAACCACCGCCATCAAATTAAACCGTATCTCACCCTCCGGATAGCGCGCAATCCGCCGCTGAAGGACCTCGATCACTTTCTCGGGAAAATCTGAAGAGTCGCATGGTCCATGACTGATGGGAAACGGCTGTAGTCCGTCTAGTTCGTAGAGAACGCCGTTGAATGGCGTGTATGCGATGAAGTGGTACAATTCGCTTTCTTCTTCGGGAACAGGGGGTCGCGAGGTTTCGTCGACGAATGGCGATGCCCTCGCGAATGTGTTGTGCGCGTTGCGAATTTCGGCGGAGTTACTTAGAGCTTCGCCGCGAAGGTCCGGTGGGAAGCCGGTCGTGAACTCTTTGAAGTCGCGGAGGCTAGGGCCAATGTCTATCCCCGGAGCTGTCGGGTCGGAAAGCGAGGGGTTATCTTGGTTTAGGATCACGGAGAGAATGGCTTGGGTTCCGCAGGCGTTTTGTATGGTTTGGGCAGCGAAGAAGAGGCCGTTTTCTGTGGCGGAGGGGTCATAGGTGCCGTCTTGTGGGGAGTCGGAGCTGCGTGTTTGCCCACTTATCCACTTAAAGAGGAATATGACACCGTATACCGGACTGGATGCGTGAGGTGCAAACGGTTAGTATTAGAACGGACAGTGGAATAGTCACCAGAAACTCAACGAACGGCCAATTTCGCTTCTACTTACCTCAAGGACTGTATAGTATTCGCATCAAGAGAAATGAGCTCTTCGAATTGCACATTTTTCACACCGAGATCTTCGATCAATGAGGTGAATACTCCCTGGGTGGCAGACGAAAGACTCAGCGATTATATCTCCTTTCAGGCACTTGACCGAAGGGTTCTCCATTGAGACAGAGATATCCATATCGCAAATCAAAGAGTAAAGACAAAACGTACCTCATCAGATTCGATTGTGCTCCATCCTCCAGCGTCTTCTGCCATCTTTCAAGCCGGCCGTGGTGGCACGCAAGCGCAAACCCAGAAAAGCTAGGATCGGGATTTGACAAACCCGTACGATGCTTATTGCCGACAAGAGATAAATGTATTTTAGTAGGTTATAATATAAATATGAACCGCGTGAAAGTATACGCTCAAATCTTCGAATGGACTGATAAACCATTGGCGCGTGCCTTTGGATAGCTCGCCGTTTGAGGCAATGATGTCAAACAAGGCAAACAGTGCAAACAGCATGCAAAGCCGGGTTTCGGCATTTCAATACTGCGAAACCGCTTGTTTGTTTGGAATGCAAACTGGCGAGGGGGCTGTGCACAACGCTCAAAGAGAAGGGCGCCTCACATACTCCGTGCTGAAGTTAGGTATTGATGCTTTGCTTCTCACATTGATCTCTCACTCATTTGTACAGCCACTACATTCCACGGAGTTATTGAAGTTAAATATAAATAGCCTTGCACCAGTCTTTGTGTGTTCATGTCAAACTAAGGAGAGGAGGCAAAGAGAGCCTGAAAGAAAATATCCAGACGTAAAAAACAATACCTATCATCACTCAAATCCCACAAGAGAATTGTCATAAAATACAATCTCTTAAATCGCTGAAAAGGCATACGAAGTATGCAGTGTAGAATGCAAAAAGAGGCCGGAATGGCCTAGTATCGTGTACATAGATTGATGGCCCAAGATAAAAAAAGAAAAGGAAGGGAAAAGAAAGAGTAATAAAGTAATAAATATTAACAGTATTTGAAAATCATAATGATATCTCGGGCGACTTAGAATAACTTAGTCGCCATCCAAAATCCCTAAATATATGCGGACAAAACTCCGACAGGTACCCTCCATCAGTTTTATCCGTAAACAAGTCTCATATATGTAGTATTCAAAACAGGCAATGAAAAAGGTCGTCTCTCTCTGAGCTTCCAAGCGGAAAACATGGAACAGCGTAAAGTTCTGGGTAATAGTGGAGAACAATTCAAGGTGTGGCGGGCGGCGATGTCGAGAAGGCAATTCATATGGGAAGGTTCCTTGGCTTCGCAGTCGAGCCACGGTATGAGGGTGTGTTTGAGTGCCTGGGAAAGCAAAAAGATTCGTCTCAGCTAGACAAGTCAATCAATCGGAGGGCGGACAATGGGGGCAAAAAAAAAAAGGTGGCGGACGGGAAAAGTGTATCCTGGGGATGGTGGAGTGTTACAGGGAGAGGGGTGATGTGAAGTTTTCGTGCGCTGTGATTCAGTGGATTATGGGTTGAAAGAGTGGATGTAAAGCATCAGGTCCAACAAAGCTCCGGAGCGACCAACCCTCCTGTCACATCTAATGGGGCTGAATGGCCATAGTCGATCCCTAAAGGCGTCCCCGGGTGGATAAGATTTCCCAAATACGCCGGATTAAAGACAGCAGGATGCTGTTCGTGTGGGTGGTGTTTATATTCTGCTGTGCGGTCGTCTATCGATTCTGGAGGCAAACTGGGTGAGGCTGTGAAAGCCTGGGAGTGACGACGCGAATCAATAATTGTTGGCATTTGGTACGGCGAGCCCACAATTGCAGGCGAGAGAGGCGAGTGGAGAGGCGAGGTGGTATATGTCGGGTAATGCGAGGCAGTGGTAGGAGTAGGCGGCAGATGGGGAGTCGGTAGCGACTGATAGGGACTGTGTGAGCCAGAAGAGTATGCATCCAACGAGGCTCTGGGTGACCACTGGAGGCGGCTTCGATATTCAGCAACTATTTCTCCAGGTAGCTCCATTAAGCTCAGAGCGGGAGGAACTTCGGGAGCAAACGGGTTTGTGGCTCTCCGATGGTATAGTATCTTTCGAATGTCCTCAATCGGGGTGACCGACATGGATCCAAGATATGATCCACCAAATTCCGGGAATATGGGTTCGAGGGCCAACGCAAGCCCAAAAAATTGAGATAGAACAGCGAGGGCACCGAGGTCAGTATCGCCGCCCCGAAGCATGGTTGGAGGTAGCCAAAATAGCCACGTTCTCAATGGCTGAAGTCTCTCAAATGCCTTCTCTGGTGATTGCACGGGAAGATCCTCCCGCAACCGATGAGCAAAACTCAGAAGATCTGTAATCCTTCGGTAATGCTCTTGATTGTGAGAGACGCGCTGGTGGATATTCTGCAAAGATGCGAGAATACGGTCAAATCTCATAATATCTTCATTATGAAACTGGGCCATGCCACCTGGATAAGTGGGTGTCAACGGCGACCGCGCACTGCGGAAAGCTCTCTGGCTATCCATAAATCTGGCTAATTCTGATTCATCTTTCCACCACGTCTCCATCGAATTAAGAACCTATAAATCCATTAACAAGCGCGTCCAACTTTTCGTAAAGCGCACACTACTTACCGTCGAAACACCTTGCTGTAGCGAGGCCCAACTTCTCCTGTTTAACTATCAGTAAAGGATGGCCTCCACACTCTGCAGCAGTTGCGGACAATTGTTACCATTCAGTTGCTTGCCAAGAGAGCAACAAAGAAGCTGCCAGGATGGCATCGGAATTCCCACGAGAGAAGCTACCGATCGCTTCATGGAGGCCTTTTAAAGCCACGCCACGGTGATGATATGCGAGATGCTCGGTGTCCTGATTTTGGGTCATCCAAGCAAGATGAGACGCGGACAAGGCCAGAATGGCACTCATCACGAAATCACTAGATAAAGCGATGGCCAGAAATCTATTTCAAATGGTGAGTAATCGATGGCCATTGCGAAAACAAAGGACGTGTTAAGAACCTACATCGGCATCTTCTGAGCCCAGACAGTGCAACTGCTATATCCCCTACGGTGTAGGTCAATTGATAGCCCGGAAATATGATGGATAAGTCGTAAATCCGTCTTTGAAAATCGATACCAGTAAGTTCTGGAACTTGGCTGTAGCTCTGGGAATGGGGGATTGCCCGTCCGCTGCCAGGTGTCGATTTCCATCTCGATCTCAGGGGACATGAGCAAATCCGGACATCTTGTGCTGGCTGCTTGCTCTTGAGCTATGAACACATCCATATAATCACAGCGACAGTTGTGCTTTGTGCAATTACGACTATTTGGCCGTGTCAGTACTCTCATTCCTGGTTTGTTCTTTCCAACGACTGTTCGTCATGTTCCATGCAAACGGGAGAACTTACCATTGGGGCATTGTCTCATCGCATCTGATATGTCTCCTCTTGCAAGTCTTGCAGCCCTTCCTTGACTTCGTGTGGCTCTTACGGGGAGGTCCACCGCCAGGTCCAGCCATCTTTTCCAATCTAAGGAAAAATGCTCGACGTTGAATGTAGCACTATTTCAGCAAAAGACAGACGGATGATCTGCCTTTAGTGGCAAACGGAATATGACGGAGATCTCCTTTGACCAAAGGGAAGAAAAGGTCGGGTATATATACGAGGGAGGAATAAAAATAGAAAAACCCTCCTGAATTTTAAGTACGAGGTGCTTCCGAATTTGAGTGACGAGAAGGAAAGTCACGATGAGAAGTCAAATGTAGGAAAGATGAAGGAACGTGATAGGATATATAAATTTGGATTGGCGTGACAACACGAACACCTTGGGAGGACCCGAGCGGAAGCTATGGGAACAAGGATCTTGATATCCGTTGAACAGGAGCCAAGATGCAAAGATCAGATGCAAGCGGCAGATGCAGGGCGAAGATGAATCAATAAACAAGCCTTGAGTGGGGTCTACAGGGGGAGGAGGGACGAGGAGGAAGTGCGTGAGAATTTGGCCGGAGAGGCAGAAAATGGGAAGTGAGAGGGGGGTGCGTGAGACCGTCGATTTTAATCAAACAGAGGACATCCGATTGGTATCAATCACCTCAAAGGACAAGATCCAAGGTGACAGGCGGGATGGTCTGTGGTTCTGAAAAAGAAGGGAAGAATAATTTTAGCACCGACGACACCTGGGCCAGGGATCGGGGGCCACGCGAGCGAAAGAGGAATTAAATAATATCAGAATGGACTCGTCTGTTCCGTTTTCTGAGTGGTCAGGTGCTCCCATTGGGCTTTAAACGTGTTTTATTATCAGCGTCGACCTGCGAGCAGCCTGACCGCAACAGGAGCTATTATCTCCAATCGGTGTCTTGGTAGCGACCAGCGAGACGGCCGGAATCCATCATGGTTCATACCCTGGTTCTTCAGCTCCCATGGGCATCAAATTTGCGTCTCCACCATCCCCCAGGATATCCAAGGCACCGGTGAAGGGCCGAAGAGATTGGATATCCGGCTGGCCTCTGACTTTAGATTGGTGGGCCATGCTTCAATGAGTTTAACTCCCACTTTTGGCGTGGTGACAAAAAGGAAAGGTTCCCTGTAACTTCACAGCATGGCGGTAAGCCATCGCCAATGGGCCGGTGTGGGTGTGTGGGTGTGGGTGTGTGCCCGGAGTAAAGCGACCGGAATAAGGCAGGCTTTTGGTACTGTAACGCTGTAATGAAGTGTTCTAGGGCTGTTGCACGGGATTGTGGGGAAGCGACACCCGTTGGGAGTATCAGAATGCCGCCACGAGGCTGTCTTTTCCATTGCATTACAGGCGCAGACAGAAATCTGATTACTCAGTACAGAGTTACGTGAGATACGCACATACATGCCTTGTTACGGAATACGTACGGAAGACACACATTCTGGAGGAGGGACGAGGTAACGACGGAGTACCAGTTCACATGTTGCTTCTTCTGCCGTGGGGGGAACGCCGCGATGCACACATACTCAAGATGGACTGGAACGGGGCCCCAACTTCGACAACCAACGTGCATGGTCCAGTCACACAAGTCTCATGTTATGAACGATTGCCCGTGTTCGACTATTCTCCTTTGGACTCGAGTCTGCTTTCGATTTGATGACTGGATTTGGTGGAGGGAACCGCGTCTGCCCATCCATGCTCAAACCGCATTGTGCATACATACATGTTACATTTGCCATGTTGCCTCTCAAGAAGTACATTCGATATATGTACTGTACATACAGACAAGGAACTGCTCGCTTTTGGTTGACATCATGACGGCCGTGATGATTGTTTTCCCATTTCAGGTATTATTCGGCAAAGCTTGTGCCAGAACTCGAAACCGAGCCTGCCCAGTCACAAATGAGACCGTACGATTTAGCTTTCCCAGGAGCTGCTCATCCTTGGCCAAGCATCGGCTGGCTGGTTCTCTGATTTGCAGACAAAATTAGCTGGGAAAACTTTAAAACTTTTCCGCCTGCGCATGAAAGGTTGCCTCTCATTTCTGCACCCTTCCTTGCGGGGCCAAATTTGGCGACCAATGCTGCTTCCACCCCCCTAGGTTGAAGACCAGGGGGGGTTGATTTGAAAAAATCCAAGATGTTTCATTTCTTCTCTTGATATACCAAGGCATGTATGTATTACAGAGGCCAAGCCATATTCGCCAAAAGAGAATTCGCCATCCATGCTTCCCGCTCGAGAGACCAAGATTCTGAGAGGCCACATCCTGGCACCAACGTGGTGTCAACTGCAGTGTTCAACCGCCATGGTGGAAACGGGAAACAATGCCTAGCAATCCGCATATCGCGGAGCATAGCATATTCGCTCTGCTGGACAAACTGTGTGGTGTTCTTGCATCCTTCCAAGACAAATGCACTCATTGTCCAAAGTTTGGTCTTCACACCCTGCAAAGAGTCGGTTAATCTGCATCCTACGTTCTGTCCTTGCAAAGTCACCAAGGAGTTCGACGTCACAAGCGTGGACAAACAAGCCAGAGGCATGCCGTGCAGCTGGAAGGTTGAACTCAAATTCGATGGTGGGGAAACTGGAAAAGCTCTCTCGTCAAGCCATGCCTGGTCGGGTTAGCCATGAGACAAATAGTTTCCAATCAACTTTGCCCGCAGCTTGGCGAAAAGATCTTCATTTGGATTGACTCAGCGAGTTAAGAGCGGAAAACTTTGAAAGCGCAAAAGAAGCGATCACAATTAGCAGCTTAAAGAAAATGATTAACATCTCCGATTTCTCCGTTGAAGGGAACAATCCCTCTGACCATCATCCCCGTCGACAGGAAAAAAAAAGAAAAGCAGACCAGGGGGGCAGCTCCCACTCTCCGGAGTCCAGGACGTCAAGAACTTATTCCGGAGTTCGGAATAATACACTGGACCGAGGGCATCAAATAACAAGCCTAGATATGGATGTATCGTACTGTCTCGCATGCATACATACGTATATTACCTGTAAATTACAAAGTGGATGAAGATCGACAACCCTCATTTTGGGCCCAACTTCGAAAAGTGTCAAACGAATCCAAAATGTTGAGAGGCGGCTCTGGAGTACCTTCGACAAAGATTTCTGGAGACACTTCAAGCTTAATTCCTGCGGTGGGGAGTGGCTTTTGCGGCAACTCTTGTCAGACGACTTCTCGGGACAAAGTATTTGGAATTCTCGAAAAGTGGAGCATACTGATCCAGACTCCACGACAACGAGCACAACAGCGGCAAAAAAGGGCAGGGCGGAGAAGGACAAAGAGCATGTGTAGTTATGAAACAGGCATGTTAGGGACAGAAAGGTCGCAACCAGCTCCCTTTAATCTGTCGTGGTGTCGAGTCGAGCCACCTCGTCTTGTGAGAACATTTGAAGGAGGGTTTTTTTGATTGACCAGGGAAATCTAAACTTAGGATGAGAGTCTCAAACCCTTGATTGGACCGAACAACCGGAGATGCATATGCAACGGGTGAAATACTGGTGCCTTCAGGGTCAACCACGCCTTTGGAGATCAATGTCAGGAACGTGATCAGCTTGTGATTGGGTAGGATGCCAGATTTCTCCGGCCGTCTCCGCTGCTGGAGGATGTAACCCTGTCAGTCGCCAAGCAACCATACCCTTTGACTCACGCCCTTCAAGGATAGGAGCAAGAGGAACCTTCAAAATTTGCCAACAGCAGCAAAAGGGAAGGAAAAAGGTGGTCCGTCCGGAATACTCCATATATTTTTTGCTCGACTCCTTGCGAGCCCTCAGGAAACATTATGCCGGCCGGGATATTCTTAGCTTCAAACACCATTGTTTCTCGTGTCCCCAGAGCTACAGCTTGTGGGTCCGATAGAACAGTCGATCCGAGCCGTTGAACACGAATTTGAGATGCCGTACGATGCTTAAACAGAGGCTGGGATGGGCGGATTTAATTCGACGACCCGCGGCGGGTTGCGCTGCGCTTGGGAAAAGAAGCTTTCTGAGAACGACGAAGCACAAGCGCCGAAATCAAGCCAACCGCGATGTTCGAGGATGCCCCGAAGCCCTGTTGCCCTTCTAGAATCCTTCGTTCCCTTGCGTCTCTCGTATCGGTAGATCAACTTTCGTGTTTCTTCAAGGGGACGACAGAAACGGTGAGGTCCGGAGTAAAGAGGTGTGAGATTCGCTTTTTGCCAAGCGGTAGGATCACTGAGATGATTTTCCTTTTCCGGGCGGATCTGGCGATGTTCGTCGAGATGCTTCGCTGGAGACTCAGGGGAGTCACTAGGCCCAGGTGGGATGTTGGAGAGAGGCAGTGATTGTCTTTTGGTGTCGATAAAAAGCAAATTCCGGTCGAGCAGCATTGGCAAGCGTCCAGTGCACCGGCAGGGGTGTTCCAGGTGTCCCGCGCAGCAGTGAGAACCTCAGAAGCAATTTCCCTTTGGGGTATCATGCAGCCAAGAACCCCACCGCTGCCGCCAACCCAAACCCTCCCCAAGCGCTCTGTACGCTTCTTCCTTCAGCCAGGAGAAGTCGAGAGTCTTGTCTCCGACGCGAAGAGCGCTGTTAGTCGTCTCGAAACTGGCCAATCATGCGCTCCGGCTGCGGCAATTGTGGACAGGTTCGATTATTAATCTGATTCTTGGTTCCGTCGTACATTACGGGCTGTATTGTGTGCTGGCGCATTTCAATCGCCTCGCTCGTCCTCCATACAATCCCTCCATCCAGACATTGCTAGTCTGTAAAATTACCGGGTAGTCTGCGCGATCATGGTAAAGGCCAGTCACTATTACTAATAATAGCAGGTTGGACATTCTACATCGATCGAGGCGGGCGCACCGACTCTCCGTCACCGGGTTTGCCTTTCGCAGCACCGGGTTCGCAGGCTTGCGCCCCAAGGAATCAACATGCTCCCGCTTCGCCTGCTACTCGGGCTCTCCGAAATGTGACACGCACCTCCAGTCCTCAATTTCTGGCCTCTGACTCCCTTGAATCTGCGGAGAAAGCCCTTCGTTGATGGGGGGAGGTCGGTGCGCTTGAAGCCCGCCCGGATCGGAGGCCTAGGTTCACTAGTCGTCTGGACCACGGCGTGCTCGGAGGCCGGAGTGTTTATTAGCACGCCTGATCCCTGCTCATCCATATGGCTCAGGGTTCGTGGTGCTGGGGAGAACAGCTCCGGAGCAAAAACCATCATCCTTGAACTCCCCACGGGCGTCAGCGAATGATGTAATCCGCTGCGGGTGGATGTGCGCACGTCTTCCCTTGCCTTAGATACATCCATACCGTCTCGAAGCACTGGGTTGGGGTTGCGCCTCCGCCACGGTGTGCTGAAGCCACTCCGTCCATTTCACATGAAAAACAGGCCGGGCTGCGGCAGTTCTCCGGGCGCGGCGACCAGGGGGATTGAAGGATTGGAGAACCCAATTTCAACCCTCGCAGAAAGTCTGTCTGGAGAAAGATTGAAAGCCAAAAAAAAAAGAGGAAAAGGTTTTGATGTTGACTGTGAGTTAAAAATAGAATGACGCTAATGCAGGAGATCGTCGATACAGTGGGGTTCTGCTGTACATGACGGTACGGTAAATTCTCCGTAATAAAACCTCATTTTCAGAGTGAAACACGGCCGTGTGGGGAACGCGGCTCTTCCATGGCTTCGATGCTTCCATGGCTGTGGAAGCGAGACAAGCAGGCGGAGCGCATCTATCGCACAAACGTGCCGCCGAATGACTCTGAGAGAGGCGTAAGGAACAAAAAGGAACGAAATCCCCTCTTGTTTCGAGCAATGTCTATCGCGGGCAGAGGACTGCAGTGCAACTCAAGCCCTTCGCCAAAAATTCCTGAATGGAGAAGTTTGATCGTCCATGCTGTTACTCAAACCTTGCACGCCTGGTTTCCCATCGCTTGAAGCCCTGGAACTCTCTAGGTAAAGTTGGTACCTTCGTTAATGTCGTGTGACATGCATGACGGTATGGTGTAAATGAACTCTCATCGATTGATTAGCGGGGACTGCCGAAGCGGCGACCGTCGACCCAGCTTGAAGACAAACTGTCTCCATTTTTTGACCTCATTCCGGTCATTATTTTGCGATGCTTCAACGCACAGAGATCCTCGGGTCAAGCCATGAATTGCACAGATGTAACATCGCTGTGGTGGGAATAGATCCCGTCCACCATTTGAGAACCTGGTCTAGTGCTTATGTATGCATATTTTTAGCGAGCGTGCATCTCAGATTGACGTTGATATATATATAACTTGGCACCGGGCGCGGTACCCTCTTTGAGCGCTGCGAAGTGTGTTCATTTTCCTTTCCAAGGCCATCATCATCATGGAGATCGGGTATTACGTCCACATGGCGCATAGTGTCCAACTCTGTCGTTGCTGACTGGCATCGATATGGTGTGTTACAACTGCATTGTCATGACGCATGGATACCGCAGAATAGGTGGAAGATCAGGTACAGTCCCAGCCAGCATTAATCACCACTTTTTGACCGGTCGGAATGGGGGTAAAGATATAAATAGGAATTTGAAATGGTGTGCAGAAGAAACGAAAGCGACACCAGGCAGGATTGAGTTGAACATCGTGCACCTTGAACTTGCTTATTGGCTTTCCTCCTTCTGTGACCCTTATTCCGGCATGAAACCGGGTGGCCAGAAATCTTCCAGGGATCATTCTCAACTAATGAGTATCTGCATCCGTCTGACTAACTACCAATATCCTAATCAACGCTGGTGATGAATTAGCATTGTTACATGCTCTCCCGATGGCATCCTCCGCCTCAATTTTACTCAATTAGTATCCTTTCCGGTTTTGATGGTTTTGATTGGCAATGTCAACATCAAGGTTTATTTTCAAGTTCTTTGCATGAGTTAGCGTTTCTATGTTTAGAACCTAGTTTGATTGAAAATTTCATGCAAGGATGTCAGGGATCTGGAGTTTCGACCTGGAACCAAACCCCCCCCCCTCCCCGGATCATTTTCTGAAAAGGCCTCGAGGAGCGACGGCAAGTATGGAGCCAAACTTGTGATCGATGCGTTCTTGGAATGCCCATTCTTGAGGCGAAGCCAGGGCGCGGCGGTCTCCGCGATTCCACCCTGTGTGCTGACTTCACACCAGTGCAGCTATGAGCATGGATCAGAGATTCTGCAGTTTCAGAGATGCGAGCCCTTGAATTTTCGCCCACGATGCGCACCCCTACCCGTGGCAAGCCAAACGTCAGAAACCATTCATGCAATTCTTCGCGTCGGAAAAGCCCCTATTTTCTCACCCATGTGCATATGCCGGTCGCCCATATGGATACTTGAGTGTGCGCTTTGGAGTTGCCGAGTTCTCTTATTTACAGGGAGCTGATTACCCTGAGTTCCTTGGCCCTGCAAAATATTTGAGATCCGGGGGTGAAGATTCATTCATACCGTTCTTTCTACCTGTTGACTTCATGTGGAGTATCACCACCCCAACACTCGACCCTTGAACAAACATCCAAGCTCCTCTGCACGTGCTTCCGGCGCCCTTGATATCAAACGCAACTCTGGTCGGCAATCGGAAAAAAGAAACGGACCGATCATACCTGCTGGCATGTTTCGCTCGGCGTGGATATGATTTATGCATCTATCCCTGAGCCAGCGGTATAAGAACTCGTCTAGGACAAATGGAATTATGGAAAGTCCAGCCTTTCCGTCTGCAAGTGATGTGCGAGACAAGAGGATGTAGAAACAACCTCAGTGATCATCTCGTTGCATTCTGTCTGCACAGCTCCTTTGTTTCCGCAAAGTTTCTTCCATTCGAATCTAACATGTGTGGCAAACGGGATGGTTTTAATTGTGATATGCGCAAGTCCTTGCTGTTTTTTTTTTTTTTTTGGCCTGCACCAGGGCCAACCATTCATGCGAAACTTCACATGTCTCATGCATGGGATAAGTTCTCCTGATGCGCCACTGAGGTTCGCATCTAAACTCAGGGGATGCGCGATTAACACCGACAAGAGATGCCTTCATTGGCCATTCATTGCCTTCTCCATTCCTCTCTTCAAGCTGGGACTCATCCCTGACAATTCTGGCTCAGCAGCATGCTTCTGCCCAGCTTTTGCGTTTCCATGCCCGGAAATATATGGCATCTGCGACCATTTCCGATCTAGTCGGGTCTCCCAGTCTTCATGCACAAATTAATTGATACTCGGCTTATGGAGTCCTTCCCTACTTTATTCCACGGGTAAACACAATTATCCCCTCGATTACCTTTGTTGCTATCAAGCACATATTCAGGACTGTTTTCTGTCATTTTGTTTCTCCTTTCTTTTTCTCTTTTGTTTTTTTTTTTTTTTTCCCTCAAGGTAATGGGATCCCGAGCCCCCGAGATGCGACATCCCCCATCAATTAAGCCATCACAGGCTTCTCATGGAGTTCCATGAGTATGTTTACCATGAATGGGTATTTTATGAGATTCCGGTTGTTGAACTGAATCAACCGATGGTTCGTTACGGCTGTTTGTGTACTCACACACATGCGAGTACCCTTTGTCTCCGGGTCCAGACCTTTCTTGGGTTCGATACAGAGCACAGACTCATTTGGGCTCCTTCAGCATACAACTGTACCCTGTCGAGACAGCGGTTACACAAAGGAAACCCCCCATGTTATCATTACTTTCGCCTTTGGCTGTCAACCGGCTATCGCACTGGTAGCGGTGAGCATTGTGTGAACAGATGTATGAACCGGAGTTGGAGATGTCACTTCGAGGGATCCTGTCGTCCAACAAGGATGGCCTACAAACTGTGCTTGGTCGAGGTTGCAGTTGAAAAGCATCCGTGACATTAGGGTGCATCCAGCTCCTGTCCATCTGCAGAGTGATCCAATGCCCCACCAAGTAAAGCGGGGATCCAACGGACAACAAAATCTTGCCACCAACAAGGCGAAGTCTGTTATATAGTCATCTTTTTACCAATATATATGCATACTGGGGTATGAAAGCCATCAAGCGATGAACTACCCGTTATCCTCCACCCCGGCTTAAGACCGATTGGACCATAGGCGATTAATTCTAACATGTGGAGTATTGGGCGAGCATTTGACATGATGATTCCGAATGTACCCATGTTCCGTGAGCAGAGTTTCGGGTATATAACGGATAGCCGATATCATCTCAGTCATGGGCTTGGTACTCAATCGATAAATTGATTTTATTGACCCCACTGGGTGTGGGATGAGCCACCTTACTTCCCTCCAGGAGATATGGATTTCCTCAATGATAGATGGAGGGGATGTTCTGGACAACGGCATCTAACGTTGTTGGCGCCCTGCCATACCCTGGAACGCTCTCGTTGCATTTGATTCTTGCCCGTTGGGTTGGAACATCCTCTCTGCGGAAGCGGTAAAGTACCAGGGAAAGTAAAAACCAGCATGAATCCTTACGGGATATCACCAAGAGGGTATCTAATTAGGCTTGTTGTGTCTGATTGCAATCCTATGTTTGTTGATAATATGCTAGAAGCGCGCTACCCCGGCCGGGGGTGGTTTGCGCAATATAACCTGTGGTAACTACAGGCGAGCAATACAGGATGATGCCCTCAGCTTTTAGTGGCCTTTCTCTATTGAGCACATTTTCAACTTCTCACAGATCAATCTTCCATATTCCCATCGGACAACTACCTATATACGTCGAAGTGACCTGCAATGTTTCTTGACAAGGAACCGATCAGCGTTCCAGAAATTAACAGGTCTGTGGGACCGGTGACCGGATATGGCCGCCGATCCCGATGAGGCTACCTGATACTGTCTTTTATCCTTCGACAGGGCTGGTTTAAGTGCAAGCAGATTTCAAGTCATTGTTACACAGCCCCCGTAAGGGAGGTAGAAGGCTTCGTCACTGTTGGTCTTGTATTAAATCAGCCGCATTTCGACTTCGTCTGATATCCACACCTCATATTTGTACGGTATCCCCGTTGCGGGTACCTGCTGTTGCTCCCCAGCATGGAGCGAAGACACAAAGAGAGACAGTAAGAAGTTCGGACCGGGATCCGCAACCACCGCGATAGAAGGAGCATGCACCTTGTCAGCTTGCGACCTGATGGTGACTCACACCTTAAGAAGTTGCCCCGGTCGAGGCCACTGCGTGACGTTGCTTGATCGCCTATTGAGCAAAATTTAGCCTCCGCCAGCCCCAGGCCGAGAGTATAGTCAAGCCATTCTACTCAAGCACAGGGTACCAATCCCTACGTCGACGAAACTAAGTTTTCCTTGCCCTCTCACCGTGTAAGGGTTATGATTGTTTAATGTTTCAAGGGGGGACTGCATGGACCTGAAAGCCACAGGTTGAAGGTTTGATAGTTGGGTGAATACACTATCGGGTGTTCCGAGCCGGGTGTCGGAGTGCTTTATTATTATTAAGTAACCATCCGCTGGCATCATACAGGATAGAATTTGTCCGACGGAGTTTGACCGACATTCACCGTACTATCGTGAGAAGAGTATTTATGGGGAGATAAGGGGTACGTAGCGATAAGAAGATAAGGCACTGTGGCGGAGTGGTTATCGCGTCAGCCTCGAATCGATTCGTCAGCTGATCCCTTCGGGGGCCTGAGTTCGAATCTCAGCGGTGTCGTCTGATCGTTTATACCTTCTTTTTTCTCCTTCTTTTCTACTCTATCGCTACATGTGGGTTAGTTACAGTTTTTTTTTTCTTTCCGAAAAATTTATTAGAAATGTCCTCCGTACTCTGGAGATGCTGACCAGGGGTTGTTTGAAGAGGGAAAATCGGAGTTTCCGCCAACGCCGGGAGTGAGTAATGCTGACCCTCGAACCAGAGAGATCGACGATGCGCCCCATCCTGTTTGATCCTTCATCCTTGCCTTGCGGTGAGCTCCCTCGACTATCCTTAACCCGGTACATCCGGCCTGGCCAGTTCGAGCAGGCCTGCTGCGCGAAGAGTGATCTACGCAACGAACGGCGAAGTTCCAAGGTTGGGTTAGAGGGACGCCTGTTCAAGGAGCTTTGATTCCTTATCCCCGGAGGTTTAATGAGCTATGCGTAAAGGTTTGTCATAGTCATAGAAATAAGGGTCATGTCGATACTAAATAGCAGAACCGATGGTATGCGGCGAAATCCCCTCCACCCAACTTCCGAAATCATGCAGAGGGACGGATTGATATTCCAAAATCATCCAGAGAGCATGACGTCCTGGGCGAGAGGAAACCAACTTGTTAAGGACATTTTGAATTTCGAGGGACTGACATATAGGGTATCACGCAAGGAAGTGTGACTTTGCTTCATCACATTGGCCTTCACGTCGTTATTGACCGTTCCAGCAACTCTAACTCATACCCAGCTATATGACCTCGATTTTCTCAACAATTTGGACACGAGAGATGAGCTAAGTTGACTGTCCCATGTGCATAGCACAGCCATTGATGGGCGAGACAGTATGAAATACCCGTCCTAAACTCACATCCACCAGAGCTGCTCATCGGGCAGTAACTCTCTATCTGCACTGTTTCTCTCGGCGAGTTGCCCTCGGACATTTGGCAGAGCGGGCAAACCTCAGTTTTCAGGTGGGTAGATTTGGGGATGGGCGCCACAGTACTGCTGGTGTGTAGTGCAAATACCACCATTTCGACGACAGTTGCCTTCCTTCCTCTTGGTGCAGTCATTTCAGTAAAGGGCTCAAGTCAACCCTCACTTTTCAAGACCACTCATCAAGTGCCAACTCCGTTCCATGTCATCGAACTCTTTGCATCGGTAGCCACGCAACAAGGTCTTCGTGCAGATCCTAAAGGGAGCGTCTCCAACGAGAACCACCTAAACCGCACGCGCTGCCAATCCAATCCAGGGGTTTTTAACGCGATTCCCGCCTTCCGTGAAACTTCATCAGCAGTAAAATCGTTCCGACTGAATCTCTTGAAGGCGCCTTCATTACGCGCTGAATCGAAACCAGCTCTCTCCCCATCGCGATGCCATCCCGAAGTTCGTCCAAGCAGCATCACCGATACTCAGATGCTCTTATCTTTTGTGTCGTCTCTGTCAAGGCTAGCCTTGCGCACCCTCCATCTTCAGTTTTAGCTACTGCCATTCCGCCGAGAGCCTATCAGCGTTGTCTATGTGTTCTTTGCAACTGATTCCGTACAGTGCAAAGTCACATAGCCTTCGAGCGAGCCGGTGGTGGGGAAGATATGCAAGGTTTAGCAAGTCCTGCCCGACCTCCTCCTCGAAGATCGACTTTAACTCGCGGAGTTGAGGATCCTGAGGGTCAAGGCTAGCAGTCGCCTCGTCTTCCTCTCCGTCTTCGCACCACTGCCATATCCATGAAGGAGGGGCACATGACATAACTCGCGGACCAAATACAGCCCCGTCCCAATCCAGAATGCCACATATTCGGAGTGAGCCGTCCGGGGCAGCTTCGACCATAATGTTCCGCGGGCTGAGGTCTGTGTGGCAAAGCACCATCTCGCTCTCACCAAAACAACCGCGCGCATCCATCTCCTCCGCAACAGTCCCAAGCTAGGTGAAATAGTTTGGTATAATGCGGCTATTGGGAGCGGACTTCCTGTGAAGGTCGCTCCATCGTCTGAACTGGAAAAGGAGCATATCTAGGGGCTTTTGTGTCTTGAGCGTATTCATAATCGCCTCAGATGCCTCTCCCCGAGATTCAAGCCGCAAATGAGAAACTTTGATTTGGGCCAAGGGAGCCGGAAACCCCGCACTTAAGTCCTCTCGTGGTATATAGAGATGCCCCGCAATAGGTCTTATCACGGCCTGAAGATCCAACCACACGCGGGCGAACTGACGCACAAAGGAGCAACGCTGCGCGTGGGACAGTGTTTGATAGCCTGTTTGCAAGTCAAGACCCGAGATCCGCAACTGAACCGTATACGGGCTGTCAATCGCATTCTCTGGCGTCAGATCAAATAGAACAATTTTCGGAATGGGTATTTGCGTCCGCTGTTTGAGAAAGCTAAGAGTGGCGATCTGATTCTCGACCTGAGCGCTTTCAAATCGTGGGATGCGAAGAATGAAACGGGCAGCCTGTGGTGGTGCTATAGCATCGGTGTTGACATTGTCGATTGACAAACCTATAACTCGATTATACGAGCCTCCAGTAAGGCGCTCGATGGTCGTGCCTTCTGGAGACGACTGCGGCCAGAGAACCTGACAGAGATGACGGACCTGCCCAGAGAATTCGGTGAAGGCAGTGTGTCCATAGTAGACTGTAGACGTTCCCGAGCGACTAGAGCAACTAGAACAAGAAGAGGGCATTTCCCCAGTAAATAGAATCCAACAGAGAGTAGTAACAAGAACGAATTACTTGACACGAGAAGAGGGCTCTTGGGGATAAAAAGCAGTTAGCGCTGGAAGATCTGAGGAGCCTCTCTTGGTGATACAGAAAGAATTTCAGTTTGCAATAGCTTGTTCACACCGTAAAACTTGGGGCTAGCCGTAATTATATGTGTTCTCAACCTGCACGTCACCCGGGCTCATATGGTCCTCAAATTCCCTTGGGATTCTATGCTGGCAGACGGATCTGAAGCTTGCCGTTCGGGATAAACACGAGGACGCAAGCAAGCAATGCAAGCTACCATAAGGTTCACGACAAAAATACTGACTAATCATAAATTAGCCAATCAGGGCCTCGGGAGTCTCCGATCCTCAATCACCGGGATTTTTAGAATTTTAACCGCTAAATTCCGATACACAACCAAGGCACTGTGGCGGAGTGGTTATCGCGTCAGCCTAGAATCGATTGACCTTCGACAGCTGATCCCTTCGGGGGCCTGAGTTCGAATCTCAGCGGTGTCGCTTACTTCTGAAACTTCTTTTTAAAAGCCCCTCTTTTTTCTTTTTAAACAGCTCATTTTATCTCCGGACACATGTTTTCCCGGCTGTTGGTTTGAAAAAGAAGATGCCACTTGCGGAGTACGTGGAGAGGGAATGAATGGTATTAGGGAGATGGTTCAACGTCCAAATTAAACATATATTACCAGCAGCACCTAGCAGAGATGGTATATACAAAGTGCGGCGCTAGTAATCTACATAGAACGCGAGCAGTGGCGCTGATGCTTCGACCAAAATGAGGTGCCTGACACAGCTCGAATGATAATTCCTGTCGTGCGTGATCACGGCCTAAAATTAACTCATTAATAGTCAATCACCCGTTTCTTGATATCTTCTATCATGTCCGCCGGTAATTCTTCCTCCTTTATGAATCCCAATGCCAGCAGATCGGACCAGAAAAAAAGAGCCCGATCCTGCGCGTAGGCGAGATAGTCGAACTCATCAGCCGCCTCTTCAGCCTCGACTTCTTGCTTCACCTGTTCATGGTTAACCTCCTGAGTATAATCGGCCGGTTGCTGCTCATCGCTCTTCTCTGGTTCGCTAGGAACAGAGCTTCCAGGGGCCGGAATATTTGCGGTGTCCTGTTTAGAAAGAGCTTTATTCATTCCGGGGACATGTGCTTGCACGATTCCCCATGCTATCCACTGCACTGAGTTCGCAACCCGCCACAAACGTGTCTCGTGGAGAAGGTGCTGCACTTCAGCTTCTTCGGCTGGATCACGATTCTCGTAATCTGTGAGAGGTGGGCTCACTCCAGGAACGTAAGTATCAAGAAGGAATGGGGGTACACGCGGGCTGCTAGTGTGAGTTGGTCGGGTAACTGAAACAGATGGGTGGGTTGCAGGTGGAGTGGAGATGTCCGCAGGTTGAGCTGTCAGACCGGATTGGTGACGCAGATATGCCCGGATGAACCGTTCCTGTTCTTCCTGGGTGGGATACCAATTTGTATGGCACGCCCATGGGCGTTCTGCATCATGATAATTATAACACCACTCGGTCTGTAATCGGGTCAGAAGGTTGCTTTTCTCAGGTGAACGTTGAATCTAGAAGGAAAGGTATGGCTTACAAAATGATTCGCAAACTCGACACCACGCATGTTAGCGGATGCATACTCAAAGTCAATGACAATCAGCTGCTTATGTTCGTTGGCGGGGAGCAACAGCGGTGACTCTTCGCTAGGTTGTAGTCGGAGAAGGTTGCCATATTGTGTCTGTTAAGTTAGTTATCGGAGCTGATAATTATATAACAGGACACAAAAAGATAGACCTACATCGTTGTGCGCAAATACCAGCCGCTTGGAAATCTCCCCTGCGCCGCCAAAATGTTCTTCCAGCCATTTCCGATACCTATCCACCACGGCCCGGAAGCTCTGCCAGGGAACGCAGCACACGAAACCGCGCCATCTCCAGGGCTCATTGGAAGCCTTTGAGCTATTATTACCATTCAGGATCTCTTGATCCAGCCAGGTAGTAACCTTCTCACAGCGTCCGACCCATTTATCCCAGTTTTTCCACAAGGAGGGTCCACTCTCTCGCTCTTCTGGGAGTAGATCGATGCCGTCATGAAGCTCTCTCATGCGTTTTGAGATTTGCTTGGAGGTCTCGGGAACACGTAGTTCTTTAGTGGTTAGAGGTTTTGCATGGAAATACTGTTCGAAACGTCCGTTGTTGAAAGTACCCAAAACACGGGGTCCGATATTCCTCTTTCCTAAACGACGGAGAATTTGCAGCTCGCGCTCTCTGTCGATAAGGTGTTCCACCTGAGGCCCATAAACACGGAGGAGAAGCTTCCTAGCTCATCAATCAGCTCTATACTTTCTTGTTGGAGGAAGTGAAAGGACTTACGGGGGAGGTTTCCGCGGCACTGATGGCAATGACGACTCTGATCTTTGAGCCATCGGAAGGTTTTTGGGCGGTGAAACGACGTAAACAGCATTGGTCAATGCTCCGCTTAGGCGCACGACTTCTACTTCGCCGCTGACCTCCAAGGGTACCCTTCTCCAACCCTTGAGCCCTAAGGTATGAACCAAACGGACGACTTCGAATTTAAATTTCAGCCAGTTCTCGCGATCCTTAGCTGAGGGCTTAACTTCGAGAGCGTCGACGTCACTATCCGCCTCGCCGCCGGAATAGAGAAGTGCCTTGGAATTATCCAAGGTAACATCGGCGCTAGGTACGCCTTGATCAGTGTCCGTGTAGTCAGAATCGGAATGGGATCCTCGTCGTAGTTTCTTGACTGCTGCTGCCCGTTGCCTCGGTGTCATTGAACCTCTAGGACGAATATTCTCCCGAGAACTCGAGTATTGTGCCAGTATACGCTCAAGCTGGTCCAGGGCGAACTCCATGTCATCCGTTCTAGACTCGGAAGTGTTCGAATCCGGCGCTTCCGCGGACCCATGTTCATCTCCAACTTTCTGCCTTCGAGCAGCCAGCTTGGTCCTTTCGTTCTGCAGCCAGCTGAATACTTGCAGGAAGAGCGAGTACTGGCCCTGACGGGATTCATCAGAGCTTCGTGCGCCTGGATCTGTATCCTCGGCGCTTGGGTTGGCCCCGTCTAGCTTTGAGCTGGCCCTTTGACTGCTAAGGGAGTTCAGAGATGAAGAAGAAGCGTGTGGCAATGTCCGCGCTATTACCTTCTTCCCGCCAATGCTCGCACGATGTTGCCTTATCTGCCGGGTGTCGGACGTGGGGTTGTCCACATTCTCCGCATTTATTGTTGGCAATTGCGTATTGGACGTTTGGAAAGGCCTGACAGTGTGATCTGCAACGGGTACAAGAGTTAGAGGATTGTATGTAGAGAGTATGCAACTGGGTTCATGCGATGGGCGTGAATGTCAAAGGCGGTATTTTATTGCAGGAAGGGAAAAGGCTTGCTCCAAAGACTGTACATGACCGTTCACGCACTGTGAATACCTGTAGAGGGCTTTTGTTGGAGCAGGGAGATATGCAGGATTGGAGAATATCTGAGAGGACGTGAATGGGAACACTCACCCAATGTGTCCTCACCAGGTTGACCACTGGTGCTTCCTCCATTCCCACTCCCGTCATTAGCACACAGTGTGACCTGCAGTATGGACATCTAGGCGATGGGAAGAGGGCCTATCTCCTCCGGGGCCTCGATGCCTGGACTTTGCTCTAGAGGTATATAAGACAGGCGAAGATTGGCACAGAAATTCCAAGGCAGAACCCTGATATGCAAAGTCATCCAAGATTAGAAACGTGATATATACACAAAATCTCAGCTCCTTCACGCGCTGCAAGGATCCTGTCTGGTATTCACACCCTTATTCCCACCTATATCAGAGCACCTTGTCAGCCTTGTATCCAGGCACGGTGGCAAGGACTTCAGTGTGTTCAAAAAATGGCTTGTATATTATCTACAAAGAAACAGAGAAATGGAAGTTAAATAGCTACAGAATGGCAGGGTGATGAAGAGAAAGAGCAGAGTTAAAAAAAAAAAAAAAAAAAAAAAAAAAAAAAGGATGTAGGCAAAGGTGGGAGGATAAGAAAAAGGAAAAAAAACAAGAGAAGCGCGCAGGCGAGCTAAGTTAGGGCCTGGCCTGACCCGGGCTGGTGGCATGTCACATGCTTTCCGACTGGCGCAGCACCGGGTCTTGGCATCAAACGCGTGTTGAGCGGACTGCAGGCCATCTGGAAGCCTGCCAATCTCGCGCTGCAAGGCCAGCTTGTGCCATGATGATTGCATGGCAGCTCTCCAGGTCATATGCCTGCAACCTATGGCCAAAGGGCACTTGAGGGAATGGTGTATGCACAACACATAGCTATCCTGGATGGGTGATGAGTTAGTGGGAATGCAATCCTTGACCGGCATTCCCTGCAACCAGCGCCAGCTACTGAGGCCCGGCAACTCCACCAGAGGAAGCTTAGCTGTAACTTTATTCTACACTGGTCCTCATCGTTCACTGACCTTGGGATGCCTGACCATAGGGTGTAATTTTCTTTTTCTCTGTGTGTGTGTGTGTTTGTTTGGTGTTGGGGGGGGAGTAAAGAGCATATACTCTGTGGAATGTTTCAACTGCACTCAGGATGACCTCATTTCCAGCTCCTTGTCATCATTGTATCTACAATGCCTAGCGAAGTGAGAAATCCAAAACATACATCATAAATCCCAGGCCGTTTCATATGGATCTTCTTTTCTCTCCCCATGATTGAAAACATATTCAGAGAAAGCAAAGGTTCATGCAATATCAACAGGCACAAAGGGAAATTAATATCTAGACTGCCTTGTGCCCTTTTGGTCGCATTATTTTATTTTCACTATAATTGATAACTCGATTGAAGTTTCCGTGTGACGTTGACCGGTAATGACGAAAGGAAGGCGTTGAAATCCGGTATCAGGCTCTTATAACCTTGTAGCACCTGTAGCCACCACTCGTTAGCTGATTGGCAAAAGCGAAACTATGGTGTGGATGTGGGAAAAAAAGTTACCTGTTGAAAGGAATGTTGTAAGCTGGTGAACTCGGGCTGACTTAGCGACTTCATAGGGAACAGTGCGATAGCATGGAAATACTCTCCGAGGCAGCTCTCCATCGCTTTGGGGTTCTGCTGGACCACTTGATTGAACCCCAAAAACGAACTGGACTTCTCCCGCGTGAATTCAACTTTGGACATAGCCCGGAGAAACATCTCAGCAAAGCGTGCAAGATGTGGGGCAAGTTGCTCCGGGCAACCAGATCCGAGTCGTCCAAGGGCGATAGCTGCGTTTTCGTTCACCGAGTCAGGCACCTCTTCATTGCTCATGATTATAGCAAAAGCTTGATATAGACTCTCCAAATACGGCGCCATGGCGGCCTTGGCGTGTATGGCGATTTCACCACACGCCCAGCACGCGTTATTGATCACACTAAGGCCACTCGCCGAGTCATCGTCCCGTATCAAATCCAAATCAAGCTGTTTGATGAGAACTGGCATAATCGTCGGGAGGAACGGTTGGAGGTGAGGGAAAAGGTTGATTGCACAGTCCCCAAGTAAAGCATAAGATGAAAGCCTGACTTCACCGTTGGGGTCTTGCAAACAGTAGCAAAGAAGGTCAAAGAACCGTGGCTGTGAGTTTGCGACAAGCTCTCCGCTCTTCTGAGGATCGGTCGCCTGGATGATACAGCTCAGGAGATCCAAGCTGGTTACCAAAAAGTCCTTGTCTGGTTCGTCGCCGGTTGCGTTATTGACTGCATTGATGTATTCCTGAATATTTTCGTACAGGATCTTGATACATCTGGCAAAGATTGGAGGCGCGAATGGAGAGAACGCATCTCCGTATGCAGAGGCAATGTATCCTAAACATTCAAGAAGCGGGAAAAGTTCTCTGGATTGATCCGACACCTTGTGCCATCTCTCGATGAGGGCCGGCATCAATATTTCAACGAGTTCGGGTTTAGCGAGCTCCGACATCACAGATTCGGCCAGTGTCTGCACACAATCGTATAGAACGTACATATTGCGATCCTTGTACTTTTGGAAGCACAACACAAATTGGCGGAGAATGGGCTGGCAGTAAGGTATCAGGTTGGCATCGGACTTTTCTTCCAAACTTGTGAAAGCAGATGCAGCGGCTTCTTGGACCTTTTTGTTGTTATCCAACATCCTATGAAGGATACCTTCCATCATCGGTTCAAAAAAGCGGGCTTTTTCGGTCGGCTCTAGATGCGCCGCCCATTCAGAATATCTTCCTAAACACCAGCACGTTATTTTTCTCACGATAGGTTCTGGGTCAGACAAAAGAGAGATAAGGTAGGGAATGAGTTCGGGAAGATGAGGCGTCACCGAATCCATGCAACCGTCGGCAATGGCTCCCAAGGCTAGCACAGCAGCCTCTCTGTTGGTCCATTTGGCGTGCTTCAAGTTATCCCTCAGGTAAGGCAGGATAGTCTCGAAAACTGGCTGATGGTAAACGGTGGCAAAAACATCGAGAGCAGCGGCCGAGCATTTCCTCACGGTCCACTCATCCTCTGGGTCATCCCCGTAGTCGGAGTCATCTTCGATTTCGCCATCACTCAGATCATCCTCTTCTTGCGCAGCTTTCCCGTCACCGTTGGGCTGGTCACCACTCTTCAAACCAGGTAGCCTTGCACCTTTGCTCTTCGCAAATTGTGGTCTCAACTCCTCTTCCTTGTCTTCGAACTCGGCATCGTCTTCTTCACCTGCCAACAACGCCGCATCATCCTCATCGTATATCATATTATGGAGTAAAACAGGAATGACTTTTCCGAGATACGGCACTAAGGACTGCTGCAGCTGTTTCTGTTCGCCAACCGTCAACCAGAATTCAGCTGCATCGAGCGCGAGCTCCGGGTCTTCGATATTATTTTGCTGCATGATTATATAGTTCACTAAGCCTTCCATATGGGGGGCCAGTTTATCCGGGGCGACATCGACAAGCTGCACAATTGACTGGCACACTGTCTTCCGTACATCCGTGTCCTGATCATGGGCCAGCTTGAAGAGTTCGTGGACAAAGGTGTCCAATGCACCCATGAGAGCATCGGGTCTAGAGGAGATAAACATCTGGACGGTGGATAGGGCCATGGAACGGACTTTTGGGCTGGGGCTGGCAGTAAACTCCATCAATTTCGGCAGAATGATACTTAGCGGGCGCTGGCCTTGGTAGTCTCTGTCCAGGATCTTCCGGTTATCCTCGCATACCTTCTCCAAGGCGGACATGGCCGACTCTTGAGTAACTATTGGGACAGATCCGGTGGAGTTGCCGACCAACGACAAGAGTTCCTCAAAGAGCGTCGGCCATGATAATACGCCACCTTGTTTCACCATCTCTGATATTATCGAGCCTGATGCGTTCCGAACCTGGCCCGACGGGTCCTGCAATGCGACCATGGATGAGGAACGGATATACCCTAGGCTGTTCGGAGTAATCGTTCCGTACGCCACGCGCAGTTTTGTTTTGAGGTTCATCGCGGCAGCTACTCGGATTACGACATACTGGTTTGCGTCGAAGCCAATCGCGGATGGCACCTGGGCGGTGCAGATGAGGTACGATAGATAGTTCACGAAATCCGGTGATGATGTCGCTTGCGCGAGCATCTACATGCAGGGAACCATTCGTTATTCGTCATGTAACAAAGAACAATGAGGGTGTGACATGGTTTTCAGGGGAAGGGTCTTCCGGAATGCAGGGCGGGGAGGAGTCTGTGCTTACATGCTCGGCGTGTTTCTGTACAGCATGATCAAAACCATTGAGGGAGTCATTCAGGAATCCGGCTAGCTGCCTCAATGGTTCCTCCTCTGGTTGCCATGCCATGTTGACAATAGCTGATTGGACTGCTCTTTGCATTGAAAAAAACGCCTAGGGTAAGATGGTTGCGCACTGGGAAAAGACCTCAGCTCCCAAGATGATATCTTGGCTAGTGATGAAGAAATTCACACATCAGCTACTGAATAAAATGAAAATTAAAACATTTCTGAACTCACTTACTGTTTGGTCCGAGTATTAAGCCCCGGGAGGTTATGGGCAGAACGCTCAGAGGTCCTGGAGGGGTCTTTAGCTCAGCGCAACCCAAACAAGTTCTGAAACAAAAATTCACAATCTATGGACAGTTGTAAGAGAAAATAGCGAGCACAAAGAGAACAAGGAATGGAGAAGAAGAAGAATAAGAAGAAGAAACCCAAGCCAGATGTTCCCAGGTGATGTAAAGGAGAGGAAAGTAGGCTTGTGTGAGAGAATTAAAATTGTATATATGGTAGCATGTCGCAAATGTGATAGGGTTTGGGGAGAGGCAATGCCCTGACAGCGCGCTGGTGTTGGTCGGTGGGTGGGTGGGTGGCACATTGTTGCCAAATGCGGTCCAGGGCGGTCGCGGCCGGCAGAACCATACACATCGTCATGAGAAGAGTTTACGACATCTCGCATCCATCCACTGGCTCGTCCATGCTGGCTCTCACAGTTTTGCAAAAGGCCTGATTCAACAAGAGATTTTGTGATTGAATTTGCTTCTCAGGACATTGCATTCAACCGTTGCTCTCTCTATTTATCCATTTGTCTTTGGGGATTTTCAGATTCTATATACAAAATGGCCTGTGTACACATGTACTGCACACAGCCTATGCAAACAAAACTGCCTTTTTTTTGGCAATTTAAATTTAACATATATTAGTTAAAAGGAAAACCGCTCGCTATCAATTCTATTAAGCCCAAACAAGTTTCTTTATGTCAAAAACCAGATGCTCCAGGTATCCGGTTTGCTTCTTTGCATCGGTAAGAGATATGATCTTCGCTTCTTCGACCATCGACAGCTCCTCTGGGTGACTTAACCCCGGAGACTTCCTTGCCGTTCGTTCGATATCGTTGCAAATGGTCTGCGCTGTGTCTAGTTCGCTTACGACAACCTTCATCGGGCTTGCGAGAGCGACTGGTGTGGTTTGTGGTATCTTGAAGGCAACATGGCGACAAGACGGTGCACTGGGACCCTTGAGAAGAGAGGTTAGGTCCCAGTCTGAAGCGGATCTTTCGCTTTCGGCTCGCGCTTGATCGCTCAGGCTCTGGAGAGAACGAGTATTGACCCGCAGCATGGTTTTCTTTCCTGGCATGTAGGTAATTGCTATACCCACATTTCGCTTCTCGTCCATCTGAGCTTCGGTGAGGGTAGACGTAATATACGTGCCGTATTTTATTTTCGTAATAGAATCGAGGTCAATGCGCTCGAACGACGTAACTTTCTCCGTATTCCAATCGAATCGACAGCAGTAGACGGCCGCATTAGTGAGCAAGAGGACGGACTGTTCGAACGGCAGGGACCTCAACGTATTCGGCTCGTGAGGACTCAACATGGTCCAACCTCCAACAAGCTCCTCTTTATCGTCGGAAATAACGATCTTACAGCTTGTTTCTATCGCATTCTGCTGGACTTTTTCCATTGAGATCCCGGGGTCTGTGCTTTCAAGTTCCATTTCGAACTGGTCAAATACTCCCGTCGTGACAAGCCCAAGCAAATAATCGATGCATGCTTGTGAGAAATAGTCGTTCACAATATTGTTATAGTACCGAGAGAGTGTTAGGCCTAGGTCGTTTAGTGCCCCGCGATAGTTGCGTTTCCTGGTTCTTGTATAGTCTCCTTTCAAAGCAGCAGTCGAGGAATATTGCCTAGAGATGGCATCCCCGTTGTCAGCCCACAAAATATTAAACCACTGGGTAGTGGTGCTGGTTTGGAGGTCAATAAAATAGCCTTCTTGTTTTAGCTGTTGCTCCAAGGCTCGTTGGCCAAAGGCGCACTGCGTGACACCGGTGCGATCCAAGCAATCCATACAGTTAGTCCTCACAATTCCTGACTGGGTCCTCAAAACCCCGTGGTTCTCGACCACAGTATCTCCAAAAGCATCCAGGGTATCAGCTAGTTTAGCAACGAGCCGCCTTACGTTTTCAAATTTCATACCTCGACACTCCGAATGGAAATCAAACCATTCATATCCCACATCGTGACCATTAAGGCCTCCAGTGCTATTAAACTTGTCAAGATATTTCTCGTAGGCTTCTCCGATGTTGACTTCCACTCCGTGCTTGTCAAGGAGACACACAGCCTGTACCTTTCCATATCTCATTCCAATGTCGTGAAAATGCTTATCAAAAGCAAGTTGATTTGTGGAAGTGGAATGTCGAAGTACAGGGATCGGCTTAAAGGTGTAGGGTGATTGCGAAAAGTACAGTGGAATTGATCCACGTAGCTGCAGCAAGGAATATACCTTTGAAGTAGGTTCCCACGACGGCCGGGATAGTATCTGTTCTGTCTCGACCATATTCGCAGTGTTACCTTCATCATCGACACCTCGGCGAAGATACCGAACTCCAGATCTCTTAATGGATCGACGAGAGATGAGAGTAAGGAGGAACCTATCATTTCCTCCAGGCGATGGTGGAGCAGGATTCTCGTCCTCGCCAACAGAGTCACAGACTTCTCCACCGGCATGAGTATCACTTGGACGAAGGAGGGGTTCAGCAGTGAATTCCTGCTGACCGATAAAGCCTTGCATTACAGGAAGGGCAAAGTCAAGCTCTCCACTTTCTATAAAAGGTGACAGCAAATGTCTATTCCAGAAAAACTGCATCTGAAATCAGCCAGTTTAATCACAAATTTATTGAAGGGATGGGCCAATACCAATGGATCAGCTCTAGTTGATAGAGGTAATCGGGAAACTTGAGGATCTTGAAAACTAAATCTTCTTGTGATATCATAATCATAGGAAAAATAAAAACTTCTTGAGCCAAAAAACATTTTGGTATATCGTAAAAATTTTGGCATCAGCTCATGAGCTCGTTCTTCACTCTCGTCGGGCCGTGGAGACGGCACCAACTTCCGTCCTGAGGAATCAAACTCTTCAAGTTCCATAGCATCGTGCATTTGGGGGTCGTTGTGATTTCGCCCTCTGGCCGATGGATCACTCAGGTTTCTGAACTCCACATCCCTGGATGGCTTATTTTCGCCTTGCCATAGCTTTTCAAAGAACCATTGACTTGCAAATCTACGATAGCGACCTCTTTTCTTGATAACATCTTCAGCAATGTGGCTGTTGGGTTGAACGGAAGGTATCTGCTTTTCTCGATCAAGAGGAGGGGGCAATGAATCCGGGTTTATATCCTCTTGATCAGGCGCTTCGGATTGATCCGTTTCATTATCCGAGGTGCCGTCAGCCCCAAAGGCGGACTCCGTTTTCAAGGAGCGCTGTGCGTGCACGATCGCTTTGGAGGCATCTGTCTGTGATGACAAGGGTATAACCGCGACGCCTGTTATTATAAAAATCGGTTTTCCTAGAATTTGAGCCACCTGCTCCCGCTGGGTAATCGATATCAGGAAGGAATATGAAGCAACGGAGAGTATCCCTTTACAACAAAATGCAGAGTCAGCTTGCGTCCAAAACCCGGCCATGTCAAAAGAACTTGCCGATAACCCCATGCGCCTCAAGTCGCTCGTCGTTCCTGGCGTGAAGAGTGCTGCCTGTCAACAGCGGTTGCATTCGAGGAGTCTTATAGTCGATTTGCAGCGAGGGTGACCCCGCACCGCCATAGTTGCGAGTTCCATTTCCATACGGTTGAAGTATCAAGCCGTCAACTGCCGCGATGATCAGAAGTTTTCTCGCCAGGCCCGGCATTATCCTTTATTCTGAGAAGACAAAAGACTGCCCATGCAACACTCTTCAGAAGCTAGGCATGGGAGCTTTTGTCGTTTATGTCCAGATGGCATCATGACCGCGCGAGATCATGCCGCCAAACCGCCAATCAAAGTTCCCTCTTCGCGCGAGAAGCCCATGAGACCACGTGATGCGCCCAGGGGCCCTTCCGAGGCACGGGGAGAATGCTTGCTGGTTACGCGCAGTGGACCAAGTGTCGTCGGAGAAGGGTCAACAATCATACGCATTCTGTGCCATGAAATTCCACCACCTCAGGTAGGGAGCACTGTAATTAGTTCGTCTGCCTACGGAGCCCCGTACAGAGGAAAATTACTCACTCCTACGCCGTACTCTAGGAAGAAGGTAGTGGCACAAACCCGGGATATATTGGCATATCTAATGTGATTTTCGGTCTTGTTGCTTGTCAACCATGTATAGTGTAACATAGCGCAGCAGTTGAGATCTCTCACAATATGAACAGAGATCAATAGCAAGGGTGCCAAATACATACTCGGACCTGAAATTGTTCAGGGAGTATGCTAAAAGAGAAAAGGTAGAAAACCGCCAGGGTGCGGTCAAAGGGTACGACAAACGTCGGCTGAAAAATAAGAGAGGATGTGGTAACAATGATAAGAGCCGCGATGTCGACGTTTGACCAGTGAAGAGAAAAAAAAATCCGAGCATTTACATTGGGGAAGCCCTGCTAGAAAAACTAAGCACCAAATACCCAACTGGTCGTGAATCGAACCAGAACACCGTGTATACATGCGAAGGAGCATCAGGAGAGCTCCTTGGAAAAGAAGGACGGAGACTCCGGGGTAAGTCCCGGCAGCAACAATGCCTGACTGCCCAAACTCCCCGTCAAAGAGACTGCCGCGAGTCGAACTCCAGTATCTATAATTCCCCACTGGATGACCCGGGCTATCGAATGAAAAGTTCGTTAATATTCATGCTCCATTTCACATTGACGGCCACGTATCCAACAAGACTGAAAGTCTATATCAATGGTCACGCAAAATGGAAGGTGGAAAAAGGAGAAGAAATGTATGCGAAGATTTATGGTTCACTACTCTTTGGGGCGACGTGCTGACGCTCGACCTGTTGGCTCGCTTTCCGAGACGTGCTGTTTCGTCCTCCATCATCGCTGTCTGCCAAATCCGTGAGGCCGAATGCGCCCGCCTCAACATCATAAGATCGCATCAAACCTTCACGGTCACTCGAGCCATGGAAGTATGTTAGACTCGAAGAGCTCCGTCGATGGTCAACGCTTCTTCTGTTTTGGAGTGATCGACGTGTTTGCAAACTGGCAATGCCATCGGTGGGTACACCGCCTTCCTCATCGGTTTTGCCGTTAAGCATAGTATGCCCGTCTGGATCCGTTCGCGATAAATTCAGGAGGTACACTCCGGCAAATATAATGAGAAAACCACATAAAAGCGAAATGGTGTTGACACTATCTGTGGTGTTGAACCCGTGGAAAAGGATGAAGGAGGCACAGAGGGTAGCAGTCGTAAAAGTCACATAATATAGAGGATTAACACTATGAAAGAGATTAGTATGCTCACATATGATCGGAAAGACTAGTTGAGAAAAAAGCATACATTGAAGTAGAAAATTGGCTTAGAGCCTTATTGAAATAATTCATCTGGGTGAGAATGCAACAGACAACCACAATGGCGAAAGCATACGTTGAGGGATGCGTGAACTGGTTGTTCCCAGCTAGGGTGAGTTTCAATGCAATGCCGAACGCCTTGACAGCCATGACAGAAACCGATCCAACCGTCGAGCAAATGGAGATGTAGATCATCGGGTTCTTCTTGCCATAGACTGGGGCTACTCGGTATATCATGACAGTGGAGAATATCGCGACGGCGAGACAGTAAAGCAAAAACCCTAATCAGTGTAAGCACAAAATTGCATTTCGCCAACATTTTATACTGACCGGGCTGGATCGCATAGCCTAAAATCTCGTCCACAGTCTCTATCTCCTCATCCGGCGGTGCATGTAGAACAATGATAACGGATCCAAGTAGCGACAGGGCACAGCCAAGCTTTCCGAGTATTCCTAATCTTTCATGTAAAAAGTAAGACCCCAGGACAGCCCTAAACCCAGGTTAGCGCGGAGAGGATTGATCAACACTCTCGATATCGCTCACCCGATTAACACACTTAAGGCGCCTAAGGGGGTGACAAGAATAGCTGGCGCGAAGGCATAGGCTGCGAAATTGGCTACCTCACCAACAATTACTAGATATCGAATCAATTAGCTGTGACCGGTCTTTATTGCGCGGCGGTGTTCGGGTGCGCACGTGTAATTATGCCTCCCCACCATATTGGACTCTTCAGGTAGGAATATCCTTCGCCTTCAAAGCCATGTCTCTCTGAAGCCTCCATTAAACCCTGCGAAGCATTAATATGCGCTGTGAGTCGACATGAGCGGGGTGAAGGTCACTGACCCTTTTCGTGATAACAAAACTTGTGCCTATCATTCCATGATGGGTGAGTGCGCGAACCCCCTAGCTTATGAGTGGAAGGACGAATCTATACGCACCAATTGCCATTGTCGAAAGAATGGCCAGCGCCAATCCAACATATCTATATTACCACGTCAGAGTCACTAAATGTCCTCTCTTGACATTAGAATAAAACGCGACCGTACTTGTCGGAAACCATTGTGCTTATTCCCGGAGTGGTTTGCTCCACGACCATCCTCCACTCGTATATCAGGCCTAAATCGCAAGCGATACGCTTCTAAAGCGCTGAGTAAATGCAGCGGTGATGGTGACAATAGATGCCCGTACAAAAATCGTGCCAGCACTTTTGTGTAGCGGGTGGGGGTGAGGCGCGGTCGAAGGAAGATTTCGGTGCAAGGAGCCGTTAATAATACAAAAGATTCAAAAAAACGAGTGACAATAATCTAAAGGAAACCGTGTGTTCTATGGGAGAACGGCACAATAACGCGGCGGCTGGATGCTCAGTTGGGAGATTAGAGAGCAAAGGATGATGGGTTATGAAGAGGTGGAACCGGCAAAATGGGTTGCCCAGGCTGGACTGCACGGAATACAGCCATAGAACGAGGTGCTGAGGACACGAGGAGGTGACAATAGCGTGTGTGAAGCTTGGAGTGTCGCGGCAGGCAGACCAGAAACCCGTTGCGCACTCCAAAACCCAACATCAAATCCGCGAAGTTCGTTCACTCGTGAAGCCGATCGTCTGGTTGTCACATCAGGCCAGATGGTGGATGTTTCAGAGCAGCACTAGCGCTTGGTGTGAAAAACCGCTTGCGCCGAGAACCCGTCGTTTAGTTTAGCTGATTACGTAAGTCGCGCTAACCAGCCGACTGACTCGCGGGCCGAGCCTCTCTCGTGTCCTTCATGTACAACATCTGCGTCGTGACGTCGACGACGGCTTCGAAATGACGGAGGTCCTGTGACAACTTGGGACGGAAGGAGATTTGAACTTACAAGTGGGAGTAGAATCCTAACAAGACATTAATTCCTGTGGATAGGAGTGTTTGAATGACAGATCTCAAATGTTCAAGTGAATGACATTAAAAATGTTCTTGGGACTACTGGTGAGAGTTGAAGGATGTTGAATCAACAGAACAAAATTGCAATCTCAATCCTGACCTCCGTGGCAAGCAAGAAGTTGAAAGCAAAATCAATGCCTGTGGTCACCCTATCCTGCTCAACTTCAATGATATCCAAAAAGCCTGCTCTCTGAACAGGTCAGGCTATCGCATGCGTTTTCAATGGCGTCGCGAGCATTATCGCTCTCCTGGACTACTGGTGGCCATGCAGTTATATAGTCCAGCCCTTGGCCTCGCTATCGCAATAGTTTGTACCATCGAACTGAGGGGTTTCATTTCATGTCAACTTCACCCAGCGGGCACTCTCGATCCAACCACTCACATTTGGCTTGCAGCAAAGAGGGTTCGAGGCATCACCGCATCTCGCGGTTCTCGGTGCTTCGTTACCTGTACAGTGTGAGTCTTCAGCTCAAGGGCATATCAAGGAGACAGCTGGTTAAATACATTCACTTCCGATAACAACACCTTCAACTTTTCCTTCGTCTGTATATCTAGCGCAGCACAATGGATCACGACCACTTGGACAAGTCCACACTGCATCGGCGGTGCCAACTAGCACCACCATTGTGACTGCAAAGAGCATCGCTGTCGGGATAAGCGTGGTGAGATGCATGCTGTCTGAAAAGATGTTGCAGGCTTGAAGTAAGAAATTCGAGGGAAGATGAACTTGCAGGTTTATATAGCAGGAGGTTCGGGTTTAATATGCTAAGCAGCCCAAGGGTCAACCGATAGGGTAGCTGATAATAACGATATAGGAGCCGGCATCAATGTTGTTGGAGACGGCCGGAGACGGTTTCGGCGGGTCGCACAGTTTGGCCTTGACGAGAGACTTAAGCGGCACATGGCGGGAAGGCGTGATGGGGGTTTATCATCAGGCACAAGCGGGAAGTTGTCGTAAGCGTTGGTTACTTCTGAGTTGGAATAGACGCGGGAGACAACATGCAGCCTGTGTAACATCACTTCAGGTCTGCTCCGTAACGTCACAGCTTCCACAACCACGCGTTCTTGTGTCTCGTTTCCGTCGAAACCACGAAATGGGGGGCACCTGATGACGGAAAAGAATCATTCACGGGTTTCATCAATCACCCTCACACCATCTCCCCACCATCATCTTCCTGTGGACCACGGTCGCTGATGGACGTTTGTTCAGCCGTGGGCCTCCTCTTCTCCGTCAATGTCTTCCATATGGCATATTCCGCAACCGCGTCAAGACCTTCTTTCGTGAGCCTGCGTTTCTCAGGTCGTCGATCACGGCCTACCCTACCTCTCTTTTCCTCTTGGCAAGGGTCTGGCTTTTTTTCAGCCTTGGGCCATGGGTCTTTTTTGACAGAACCGCATTTTGCTCTCTCTATCTCCTCTTGGACACGCCGTGCTTCATTAACACATGCTTGAAGAGCCCGATCCCCTGCATTTTGGTGATCTCCACACGCTTGGGCCTTGTCCAGCTCAGCAATGCTTGCATGGAGTGCACGTTCAATCACCTGCTGCTGTTCCTCGTCCTCCGGAGGCTCGATTTCCGTAAAGCTCTTTGCAACATTCTTTTGACTTGCAGCTCGGGTTACCGGCTCATTTTTGTACCTGTTAACAAGACTTGAGAGCAAGTGGGTTGCACTCCGTACGGCTTCGCGGAAGTTATCAGGAGTAAGTTTCTCTATGGCAGCAGGCTCAGCGGCAACGCCTTCAACTTCGTGGTAACGTTCATGGCGTCTCTTAGGATCAAATAATATTCGGGAAACTGCTTCCCATTCCGCTGCAAATGGGGAGTGGGCTGCCTTGGCCTCGAGATCCGCACCGAGAGAATACCACTTGCAAAGCGCTTGCTGTCGCTCCTCCCGAGTCGACTGGTTCCACTCGTCATAACCTTGCTTAGTTCGGCAGGCCACGATATAACATTCTACACTGGTGCTCCAGAGTTTCTGAACCTCCTTCTGAATTCCACTCAATGGATACCCGGCTAGAGCAAACACACCTAATCATGGGTATATTAGCCCATTTCTTTCTCTACACATGTTTAGGTGAAAGAAAGGACAAAAACCATGTCGATTGGGGCACACACCAGCACCAGGCTTTAGAACCAACCCCCCGATACCTTTCCCAATACCTTTTATAACTCCTTTTGCGCCCTCTTTACGTCCGCGAAGAGGCTGGGTGACAAGACCTGATATACCGTCATAAAGGCCGTAACCGAGCTCCTAACGCCATCAGCAAGATTTATATATACACCGTAAACGCTTAGCTTACCTTTCCAGCTGCCCGTAAGCCGCTTTGGAAACCAGTTATCTTATCTTGTTCTCGCACACTATCATCCCCGTACAGCTTTGGCGCATTATGAAATCCTTTTGCTACACTGAGAGCAAAGTTCATGGGCGACTTTATCCCTATTGTAACAAGTCTAGAAGCCGTCCGTCCCGCCCCAATTACCTCTTCTGCTGTAATCCTGGATATCTGAGAGGCCGCATCTCTTGATTGATAGAGATGGACGTTAGCTTCAATGTATAGATTGCCCTAAGAAATCACTCAGACACCAACCTGGCCTTTCTTTCAGAATTTGTCACAAATTGGTCATCAACATGCTCCTTATCTAATGGCTCTAAACCTGCGGTAACAATGGCCGAATCGACCAGCAAACTTGGGGGTGCGGGAGAACGTGAGTGGACATCTGACTGTCTTCGATCTGAAGAGGATGATCTCCGCGGAGTGCCACGTTCGGAGCCAGAGTAGGAAGGAGACGGAGAGCTTGAGCTCCTCTTTTCGCTCAACGACAACTGATGACGATGAAATGAAAGCGGGAGAAGGATTCTAGCCGGGAAATCCGCGAATCCTATCGTAAAGTCGACCAGGCTCTCAACCAGCGCCGCCGCTCCTCCGCTGATAGGATCACGTGGACCGGGTTCGAGGTCATATTCCCTTGGGCGATACCTGTTAGCGTTGTCAGCCGTTTCGTCTAGTCTCAAAAATCCATTATCCGTACAACTTAAGATCCCGCACATCTAGAATACCTTCCGTGATCAAAAGGGCCACTGCGAATGCGCTTAAACGAATCTTGGTGCGCTTCACACGCCACACGGCTGCTCGTTCAGGACAGAGTAAGCAGCGCACGGTTCCGGGATGGAGCTGGCTGTGAAAAGATTCGATGCCTCTTTCGATGCCTGGCTCTTTTCGGACTTCTACGCCTAACTGTTTTGCTTTCACTTGCATTCCTGGTTCGAGAGCTGAGATGATCGCAGTGGCTAATTTCTCCGCTGTTAGTTGTTTATGTGGAATAGGAGGCGGTCCTGCTCCAGCCTTGGAAACAATTGATCCCCAAAACGGCTGATCGCCGAAGAAAGGCACAATGATAGTTGGCTTTCCACAAGCAATACCAGCAGCGGTTGTTCCAGCGCCGCCATGATGAACAACACACGACACATGTTGAAATAACCAGTCATGGGGACAATTGCCAATCATTAAAATATCGTCTGGTATTCCAGGCTTCTCGGCACCAATGCCGCCCCAACCTTTTGATATAAGAGCCCTCTGTCCCGATTTCTTTATTGCCTCAAAAATTAACCGGGTCATTTCGTCAGGATCATCAATTACGATAGAGCCGAACCCAATATACACTGGAGGAGGTCCAGCGGCAAGAAATTCGGAAAGTTCAGGTGGAGGAGTATATTTGGACGCCATCTCGAGGAAGAAGAAACCGGAGATGTCGATATTCGGACCCCAGTCTCTAGGCTTGGGGAGAAGAGCGGAAGACCTGTCTAGATGAGAAACTTGCCCTAGAAGGTCTTCCCACCCCAAAAAAAAAAAAAAAAAAAAAAAAAAAAAAAAAAAAAAAAAAAGGGCCAGACACTTACCAGCAATACGTATAAGGCACTCTTAATCGTGGGATCATCCCCGGAGCCCACATTACACTTATCGGTTCTAATCCCAAACTCCGTTCTCTGAATCGATTTATGATGTCACCCAATCCTTGCCAGGTGAGCATCTCAATAAGCGCATACGAAACGAAATTGGCCACTCCTTTTTCGGCGTTGGAAAATTGGATATTTACCAGCGGATGCGGAAACGCTTGCGTTGGTGACCACGGCATTCTTACATCTGTTAGTTCCCCAGATACATACATGTAAAGGTTCAATTACTTACGTGAACATGAGATGAAGGGGGATCCCTAGCTTTTCTGCACAATGGATGTGGGCAAAGCTAGGAGGGTTTGCGATTATTGCGTCTGCGACGAACGGTTGTGTATCGCCCATACATCTCGTGAGTGAATCAAGGTCTGCAACGGGCGTCCCAGTACCATCACCAGCTTCAAAACAAGACCGCCAGCAGCCAGAAATTATCTCAGCTATATCTTTCCGTCGCCTTCCCACGTCGCCATTCCTGAGGGAATCGAATCCTGGCATGAGACCCGGATTCTTGACCATGTATGCCATCAGCTCTGTGGGATCGGCTCCGATGCTAAAAAATTCTAGATTGTGTTCTTCCACAAACTCTTTGAAAACGGGATGTGTCGCAATTCGCACCCGATGGCCACATTTCGTCTTCAAAGACTGACCCAGAGCTATAAATGGCTGAACGTCGCCCCGGGAGCCCACAATCTGAATCACAATGTTCATTCGCGGCACCGGACCCTTGCCCGTTTCGAGGTAGGAGGGGATGGATGGTCGCAGCTCAAGGATGTCTTCCCTTGGATGCAAGGTGGGAGCGAGCATATTGGATAATTTCCGTCCTCTCTCCTTGATATTGATATCGACCCGACCATCGTCTATAGCGGGGTCAGTGTCGCACAAAAAGACCACTATAAGGCACTTGCTGCGTAAACATACCTGCAACGCGTGCATTTGTCCCGAACCCCCTATGATGTATATCCATTTCTCCATATTTGGTGCTGTAGCAGGGAGGAGGAATATCCTCTTCCAAAGGGCTGAGTGGTCGAGTGTCTGCGACGTCTGGCACATGGCCAGTATGCTCCACAAATGACGCCATGATTGCAAACGAAAACTTCAAACGACTATTCTATGTTGCCGTACCGGCTCTAAGTAGGAAGAGGCCTGTCGCTGCTGAATATGAGGCAACTCGACTGATCCTTACCTGTGTCGGGGAAAGCAGTGATCCTGGGGATGTTGGCTTTCACCCAATGTAACATCTCGGAACATTCCGTAGAACACATGCTTTGCGCAAGGGCAAAATCAAAGCGACTGCACCTGACAAGTTCTGAGGTGTTTGAACATGGAAGAACACTAACCACTAGATATTTAAGTCCGATCCGACTTGAGCAGCAGGTCGCCGAGCATTTTGCCTGAGGTCGTTTTGATGATGTCATCCCCGAGCTTTTTTCCCACAGAGTTTGGCAGACAAACGGCGGTCTCCAACATGATCCTCTGCCTGCTTCGTGTACTCCGTAGGTACTTTGTACAGAGCAGACCAGACGAAAGCAAGCAAGAAACACATAACCTGTGGGATATTAGCATTAGAAGAGTCAGCATCGTGCTACGATTGGAATAATGAAAGCCTTTCCTTTTATGACTTGTTATTGATGTTTAGGGCCGTAAACATTTGATTTAGAGAGAAGTACGTGTGTGAGTGACAGATGGCCTGAGGCTTGGCTTTGGCTAGCGACGGGTGCTCCCGCCAACCTCCACAAGCTTGACAGCGACCCCAAAATGGTGGAGCGAACGCCTGGATCAATGGCACACACAGGGGTGCTGGGTGGGCACTGCCTCAAGATCTCTGTGGAAAAAAGATAGCCTGCATCTTCCCCAAAGGCCCTGCAAGCAACCAACTAGAGTTGTCTCGCCACCAAAGCCCATAGTGGTTCCATTACGCTGATGAGGCGGACCCACGCCAATTTCGTCTTCAACTTTCATAAATAAACACAAGGTGACAAGGGCAGCAGAGCGGGCTGGAGGGCATTTCACCAATCTTGCAGCCCAATCATCAATTGTTATTTATATCACGGGTGAATCCGCAGCTATTTTCGAACACCTCATGACCCCTGCATATCTGCAGCCCCAATTTTTGTTGCTGCAAACCAATCATCAAAAGGAGTTTGAAGAAAAAGAAAAACAATGCATGAAATGCAGCCGGCTCGCCTCTCGGAGAAATGTGGAATTGGCTTGGCGATGCCACGGCGGCTGGAGCCTTGAGAAGCTGAACTACCAATGGCACTGAGATGCAGCCTCTTCAAATATGGTGGGAAATGCAATGACCCCGAGAAGGGAGGCAGTCGCAGCACTGACTCCGCGGAATCCACACATTTTCTTCATATATTAACTGGACGGTGATGGACCTAGAAACGAAAAGTTGAACCCAAGTTCTCGGGAAAAAATAGATGTGCCATCTCTCGCTATATAACATGAATATTTAGATGCGAAGTGTACCCACCAACTATTCTCCTCGATTTTGACCTCATGATTTACTCCCGGATCACATCAGAAACCACAAAGCCACTTGGGGTGCCGGCACGACGATGGTACTGCGACAAGGCTCATTTCCTCGCCCTGCTCGGCTGCTACATATGCTTCATTCTCTCAATCCTTGCGATCCAACCCTCGATCGGACCTGCGTGGAGTCTGTCTTGGAAACTGGGATTAACTAACCAGCTGGTTGTCATAGGCTTGCTGTTGAGTTTGATGAACGAGTGCACCAGTGTCCTTGCGGCTACCCTTTTCCTCATTGTCGAGACCCGACGAAAAAACCCGACGCTGCAAAACTATGAAGCTATTATCAAGAAGAGCATTTTTTTGGATAAGATGGATATGCGCTGGCGCACATCCTTCCTCCTCCTCACCCTCCTTCCTCTAGGCCTCAGTGTCGCATACAAAAGGCTCATCGGAGGAAGCAGCACGATTGAGGCTCAAACCGAGTTTCCACGCTACTACGGCCTCGTACCGCTTCCCCTGGGAACGTTTAACGTGATGAATAACTCGATCTATTACATGATCAACTCCAGCGTTCCTTACATAGCAGCATCCTTCAGCGCTCGTTCAGGCCCGAAATTCCCGGAAGCTTACGGGTTTAACACGGTTCTTCTCGACAGTACGTCCACAGCGTTTCTGGACTTGCCTTCTCCAGACTTTCTATCATCCGTTCAGCAGAACTTGACTGAAGGTGGCTCCTGGAGCATATCAGCCTCAGTGGACGGAACAGTCGCTCGATATAACGCGTCTACATCTTCTTACAGAGACGATGATGGGTTCTGGACGACTGCGTTCAACCACTCCGCTAACCCTGATGGGCTGTCTACGATTTCACTCTACAATGGCTTCCAAATTGGGTTGATAAATGGCCTACACAGCGAGTACCCGGGCCCGTATTGTCTGCTGGGCTTCTTCAGGGGAGATTCATACGGGTTGAACATCTACGGTAGTCCCGACGAAGACATTAGCCGTGCGTTCAGGAGAGATGCCCATAAGTTCGAGATCCAGCGAGAGCGGTGTCAGGGACGGTGGACAGTGACACCCAGCAGCATTCAACTGGTCGATGGCAGCTGTACGGGTGAAAGAACCAAGCAAGATGTTTTCAATAATAGCACGCCGTATTACGCCGACGTGCTGCCTATTTTGGCTCAGTGGCTGATCCGGTACTCTCCTGCGGAGTCCCAGAGCAACTCACCATGGCAAATCCCTTCTTTCACGACCTCCGTTGCGAGCATGTTCTGGGCTCGCATGATCTATATGAATCCGACTAATGACTTGTACCCCGAAATGTACTACCCGCCAGCCGATGAAACCCTGTGGTCAACAAAGTTAGGCCTCAAGGCGGGTTGGATCTTGTACCTCACGCTCTCCATCCATCCAATCCTCTGCACGCTGATTCTGATTTCAATATGTGTCTGCTACAAAACACCAATCGGAACGGGGTTCGGCTTAGTCTCTGTTTTATCAAGCGTCCGAAAAGATAGTCTCGATCAGTTGCAGGGCGCGGGCTTGTCGGGGACCCTCACGAGGACGGTCCCTATGCGGATCACTATCCAGGACTCGCACCATGGTCCGAAAATCCGGTGTTGCTTGGGGGACGAGTATGAGGGCAAGGCCGAGTTGGACATAAAAGAGACATACTTTTAAAAGGATTTGTTGGCATTCGACATGGCGTTGACTTCTTCCTTCAATACTTTTCTATAGTTTCGACGTAATGATGTCTATAAATTTCGCGTTAAGAATCCCTGTAGCATCAGGACATAGTGGGAAGATGATTATATGATACAAACAAGAGAGCATCAAACCGTTCTGAATTCAACTTTGTTGTGGGGAGCCTGATGACCGGCGCCCACACCCTATCTCTGTGGGTCTGGTAAGGGTTTTGCTTCCTTAAGATACTTGGGATATATTTCATACATGCTTGCCAGCCAATGACAGAGTAACTGGGCGATGGAATAGCTCCATCACTCTTTGGCGAGCACTCTCGACGGGTTCTCTATGTTCGGCCATCAGTTTTGAGAGCTTTACGGTGCTGAAGCGGCGTCGGTGAAGAAGTCACTATCCAACTATCCGATTCAAGCCCCGGTTGGTGAACCACTTACTGGCTGCCACGACGCTAAGGCGTCGGAATGTGTCGCAGGCAACAGACGCCATCCTGGGGAGAGAATAGAAGCCGCTTCCGTTCGAACGCCGCCGACGCTATTTTACGCCCTAGGTTAATAAGTTGCGGAACCATCGGGAAGCATAGGCAAGCATATCGAGCTTATTGTTGATCTCTGGTTGTCCCCAGCGGCGGGAGGCTTTGAAGCCTTGGAGCCACCCCTGCTATTCCCAACGGGAACTGCGGCGGCCAGACTACAGTGAACAGGCCTCAAGGAGGCTAGGCCATATGTAAACACCTCCAATCATGCCCAATACACAAGTAGTTTGCAGTTTTCTCTCCATCACCACATGAAACATAACCGACTTACGGAGTACTTTTCTTTTCGTTCAGCGTCGAGAACGAGGTGTGTCGTAACCCTCAATCCCACGTGCATTTTCCGTTGCTGGGATCACTGATCCACTAAGATACTTACATGTTTAGGAGCTGGCATTCCATCAGCAAGACATTTTCGTCCACTGGCTCGTCGAAGTGAATGGCTCCTTCGTCTAACTGGACCGAAGCCTCCACGATCGATACTGGTGTACGAGTCGACCCGAAAGGGGTGTATTTGCTCCTGTGGGACCAAGGGATGCCAGACATATTTCACTGGGGGGTGCTCATTTCTCAAACCGATCAAATCGGCGTGCTGTACCACCAAGCCCTCAGCGGAACAGAATGGCGCTTCGTGATGGAAAATAAGGATGTGTCAAGATCCGCAGCTCTGTTGGTGGCATTGAAAGTTGGCCACGTTGAAAGCGTCGACAACATATGGATGCAGTACGCCAAAGAACGAATTATGGAGACGAAGGTGGAAAAGGAATTCCGATGTAAGAACTGGGCGATGGCGGCGATTCGCGAGCTAGCTGACTCTGGAATAATTGGTTTACAGCCAGATGAGGAGAAAATTGAGAGGATTGAGGAGGAGGCATTCCTGTACGCCAAAGATTGCTACGATATGCGGAGCAGGGTTGTTTACACGAGCGCGCATTGTGTCCGTTAGCTGGCTCTAACCACATCCTTGAATGTAATTCTCCGTGCTCCGTTTTGACTCCGTCGCTTCGAGTTGATCCCAACATCATGTCAAAGTTCCGGCTTCTTCCGGGGGGGGGACTGCGCCACTTGAGGCTAATTAATTTATGTCATCATGTGGCTGGTGCCTCTGAGCCGGTCTCTAACTGCGCTTCTTCGAACTTGCAATCAGAAACCTCGACGGGTGTTTAAAGGAAGCCTACAATATGTTATACTCTTCTTACCATTAAGCAATGTACACTCAACTGCCTTGTTGTAATCTATTAATTCGCCCGTTACCCATAATTCTCTCCTTTTCGAGCCATGCGGACCACCACCCAAGCACCAGTGTTTACTCTCACCCATGATGAACGTGCCTGTCTTGATGCCAGGTTGGTTATCAAGTCTGCACAGCTTTCTGCCATTGAGCACCTACATTTAAAGTTGTTTCTGAACCGCGCTGTTAAGAGCCCTGTGGCAGCAAGGTTTATCCTCAGTCGAACATCCCTGGCTGGGCCAGGTAACTCTGTTGAGGATATTCTCCGCTCGATCAAAGAGGACCTACAGTCCTTGGCCTTAAAATGTACGCCAATATCTTGATCTAAACTGCTAGTATGCACCTTAACATTTGTAGTTTCTCACGAGGTCACCGTCTCTTCAAGTGTGGATAAGGCTCTTCGTAAGCGGGAGAAGAACCGATGCTGCATCTCTAAGCACGGCGACAGACTAGAGGCTACTTATGTTGTTTCTCCGTCTATTCTGAATGACAAAGATCTACAGCCTGAGGTATATATTTATGCGTCTCGTATACTCGAAACTTAGCTTATATGAAGTCCCTAGGGTACCTTGCGCCCTCTCCTCGACGCGGCGGTTACCCCTGAGCTTGCCGATAGGCTTTTTTTGTTCCTCCAGTCCTGTGAGACGCAGAACGAAGAACTCAAGAACCTTTGGCTTATGTCTCCATTGGTTCGCTCTGCTTTTCGAGGCGGCCATATTGTAATGTCATCGAATGAAGTTGGGGGGTCTACTTATGTTGGTCATTTCCTTATCAGCATATGGTGATCTCCGTACTGAATCGTCTTCCATTTAACCGCAGTGGAGAGTCAGAAAACAAACTCCCGGTAACTTCTCAGTTCCTGGAGTCTCCGACAGCGATTTTTTCACCACCATCTATAAGGTTGCTCCGGCGCAAACTGAGAACCACCCTCCTCTCCCAGAGCCTTTTCTGCTAAGAATTCACTCAACAATTTCAGCCTCCCTGCATTACATGACCATCGAAAGGCAAATTAACAACGGGTGGCAACCAACTGCAGAAGGTCCGCAGATGTGCCCTCCTGAATACTTGGCCTGTCCTTACAAGTTTACTAATCAGATTCTAGCTGATTGGAAGATTGGTCGAACCGGACAGCGATTTTTACAGTGCTTGTTTCTTGTGCTCCCGGCGATTCTCCGTTTATGGGTATTCAAGCTTATCCTTAAATTGATGGATCGTTGGGATCCACAACGGGATTCGAGTTTCAAGTATCTCCCATTCGGTCTTTGCCTCAAGCTTGGCCAAAGGGCTTCAAAGAATGAGGCCAACGCTCTTCTTCTGGTCGAAAAGTACACGTCGATACCAGCACCTCGTCTCATTGCCTTTGCTCAAGACGGTAGGAATAATGGCTACCTCCTCATGACACGGGTGCCTGGTGTTCCCATGGACTCCGTATTCTATCGAATGACCTACGAAGAACGTAGTCAGGTTGCAAAAGATCTAGGAAAATACATCTCACAGTATCGGTGCATACGGAATACCAACAAATACCTCATTTGCGATACCCTTGGAGGTCCAACTATGGATCACCGCACTAAAACTCGTAGGCCTTGTGGTCCTTATGAATCGAAAGAAGAATTCCTCGATTTTCTTACCGAGAAACTCAAGGACGCTAGACATACGTTCCCGATGTCAGTGTTATATGAGAGAAAGCACGATATATGCTTTACTCACTCCGATCTACATCTTTCTAATATATTTGTTCAAAATGGACGACTTTCAGGACTCGTTGACTGGGAGCACGCATGCTTCAAACCGGAGTACTGGGATTATACTAGAGTAATGTGGGCTTACAAGAGCGATGACCAACTCGAAAAAGAGTTTAGTCTCGCCTTCGACAAGAGCTATAAAGACGAACTCGAGGCAGAACGACTGATTTGGGAGTTAGACCCAATTTTCTGACTTGCCTCGCGGAACAGAGCGTGATCACAGCGGATGATGAATCTCTAGATCGAAGCTAGACCTTCGTATTTGCAAGGTCTACATGCTCTGGCTAGGTTTGCTTTAGGGCATTATTACAATTTTCAATAGAAGATGGATATACGAAATTTACCACTACTTCCAGCTCACCCCTTTCCATTCGAGAAAAAGGTTATTCTCCGCCGTGATCAAACCTTAAGCTGGAAGAGATTTTTCGTTTTAAATAACCTTCCAACAAAAGCTGTTGTTCGCGTCGTACCAGAACACGAAGAGGAAAGGGCCAGAAGTGCAAATGGTTTGTCTTTCAGAACCATCTAACGTCAGGCATCTCAGGGGGTTTGCCAAAAAAAAAAAAAAAAAAAAAATCCATTTGTACGCTGGTGTCGGCAAGCTGTGGCCAAGGTTTGTATGTATGTACGTTGTCGCACCGCAGCGTGTTCCTACCGTCATCGTGACAAATGTCTAACATAAGCCAGGGCAAGATTAACTACGGGAAGAACACCCGATAGACGCGATGGCTGCAGCTTCCGCCGCGGGGTGGGTGGTTTGGGGCTGTTGCAGTTTCCTTGTACAAAAGAGCAGCTCACACTCCGGGCTTGATGTCAAGACGACTCCTGTGCCGTGTCTTGGTTATCGTCATCTTCGCTTCGTGTACCAATTAACAAAATGGCTGTTATTCCCGGATTGAAGATTTCCGGTCTTCTCTTTAGTATCGGTGCCAGTGCCATGGCGCTAGGCGCGTTTTATCCGTTCTTCTGCAATCACAACGAAATCGAGATGCCCAGACAGGAATTTTATGTCTGGGGTTCTGTGTCTGAGGCTGCGCGGAAAGCTATTGAGATAAGGTACAAGTTAATAGCCTATATCTATACTGCCGTTTATTACCAGACCCAGACTGGAAAGCCAGTTCTCAATCCTCTCTTTTACCTGTATCCTGAGGACGAAAATACCTTCGCGATTGATTTGCAGTTCTCCTACGGCGACGCTATCCTTGTGAGCCCGGTAACAACAGAAAACGCCACCAGCGTGGAGGCCTGTCTTCCGAAAGATATATTTTACGATTACTACACTGGAGCCAAAATTCTCGGCAAAGGACAGAATGTTCGTATTAACAACGTTCCCCTGACCCATATCCCTCTTCATATACGCGGTGGTACTGTGGTTCCCATGCGATTTAGGAGTGCAAATACTACAACGGAACTGAGAGAGCAACCCTTGAACATCCTCATCGCCCCCGGTCTGCATGGGGATGCGTCCGGAAGTCTATATCTTGACGATGGAGAATCGTTAGAGCAGGAATGTGCCACGGAGATCAATTTTGACTATAACAACGGGAAATAGATCGTGAGTGGCAAGTTCGGGGTTAATATTGGAGACACCCTCAGAGTCAAAACAATTACGCTGTTGGGAGTGGAGAGGCGCCTAGAATTATGGTCTACCGAAGGAGAATACTTTGAGGCCGATAGGAAGTTTGTCTTGAATGTTGGACTGCCGTTGTCGCGGGCGAGTAATATAACAGTGGTTAAAGAAGGATCCTGGCAGGTGGACCCGGACTTCTGATTCCTGCGTGATTGGGTGGACACTCCACCTAATGTGTTCATTCCACGGTTCCCAGTAATATAAGCTACTTGTTCAATAGTAGATTGTTTCTCTTCTAGATAGCTCTTTGTGGAAAAAGAGAATGCAGCTGCTAGGCACTCTCTACGGAAGAGCGTAATGATACCAACCCAAAATCTTTAGCAAGCTAAGTATATCAGGTAATCCTAACAATTAACCATCCGAAAAGGAACATTAAGAAGGTCAAAGGCTAGCCTTTCCCCTAGATTCGAAAGGCTGGAAAATAACCAATGTCCCTGCCGCAATGAATAATGCGCCGCTGACATACACCGGTGCTGCAGTCTCCAAATTTGCAAACATCGCGATGATCGGTGCCATGACTCCAAACACGCGGTTTGCCGCTGCTGTTAGCGCGTTACCGGTACCCCGATCCTTTGTCGGGAAGATCTCTGGAGTATACGCATATAGCACCGCGTACATGATATTACTCATGAAGTTATATGCACAGTTCCAGCCGAGCAGGGAATTCGACGTCATCGCTGTCGTGGAGGCGAATAAAAATATGCCTGTTAGGACAGCGGAAACAGAGAGTGCTCCCTTGCGTCCGAATCGTGGAAGTTCCACCAGCACTCCGCCGAGGAGGCATCCCGGGACACCTAAAACGGCGATGATTAGTGAGTTACGGTAGGTTATGTAGGTCGAGCTATCTCCGAAGTCGGCGCCGCGGGAAGCCTGGATGTATGGCAAGAAGGCGTTGTAAAGTGGGAATCCGAGACCGATGAATGCCCAGACGACAATTATCAAGGATGTGGAGAATGCGAGGCGTGGATTTGCAAAGAGGCCCTTGACATGGCCAAAGTCGAATTTTTCCAGATTTCGATGTATGGCGCCGGAGGTGCCGCCGGTCTGCAGGGGCCCGAGGGTCTCGAGATGCTCTAGCGTAAGCCAGGAGGTGGTTCTGTTACGTTTAGCAACTTCGTGTATGACACGGACGGCTTCTTCGTCTTTTCCGCGACCCATGAGGTACTTGGGAGATTCGAAGATGGTAAAACAGGCGAAGCGCAGAATGAACATTATCATCGCTAGGCCGCCAACGGTGATCATGAAGTAGCGCCATCCCATATTTTCCGAACGAGAGCAGGTGGTGTTCTCCTGGCACGTTAGGTTTCCCAAGAGAGGCCATGCGATCAGATTGGCCACAACTTGTGCCAGGGCCCAGTCGATGGATAGAATTGTAAGCAAAAATTGATGAGAGGCGGGTAAGAATTCGAGAAATATTGCTGAATCCACAGGAAGATTTCCACCAACCCCCACGGACCACAATGCCGCAAAAGAGGCAATGGCAACAAAATTGGGAGATCCAGCTGCAACAAGCCCAAAGACCGCGGTGATTCCAATGGTTAAGTTGAATGCCCATCGCCTCCCATACACATCGCACCCAAAGCCCCAAAACACAGCGCCAGCCAACAATCCAATATTTTGAGCGAGGGTCAGGTAAGGGGCGCGGGAGGGATGGAACTCATTTTTCACAGGGGTGAAGATCAAAGAGGTCACGATTGGCCATAAATTATCGCTTGCCCAACCGAATCCAATCACTATGAAGAGCTGCCACTGGTACCGGCCCATGCCAATGTCCTGCATCGCTTTGTTCAGCAGCCTAGCTTTGGCTTCATAAATTGGGTCGATAGTGCCCTCGAGAAGGGCTAAAGTAGAATCATCGTCGGAGCTGGACTCGGAGAGGTCTGTCTCTGTGGCTCCTCGTGCCTTGGGACTATTTTGAGCAGCCGCGCCGGCCATGGGAGCTCGCGTCTATCTTTCGCCGGTGGTTCGAAACAACAGGGGATTTCTATCAGATGTAACAGGCCCGGCAAAGGGCGACTACCAAAATGATCGCTTGAAAGGGAAAATGCGGACAATGGAAGCAATGGAAGTCTGATGTCAACTTTCATTGAGGTTTCGTTGGTAGGGAGGACACTGTACTTATGTCGGATGAATATGTTAAAAGCGCGTGAAAATGTAAACCGTGGAGCGATGGCGGGGGAACCGATGCAGTCATGATTTGTCACTTAAAGCTCAGCAGCCACTGTCCACTTCGTATCCCGTTGACAAGATACATAGCGCAAATCATAGAATGCTCGTTGGAACGGATCCAGGCGCGGGTTTTGAAACCTACCGAACCATACAGGCTATGCTAAAACCACCAAGAAAAACAACCCTCTCAGACCAGATTCGGACATGCGGTCACAGAGCCTGGAATCGCACAGTCACGCATCTTTCATGCCGGGAATGACGACGAGCAGCGGTGATCGTCTGGCTGGCTGGCTGGCTCGCTGGGTTCCTGTCGACCGTCGGCGCTCTGCGGACGGAGCAAGCAACCTTCGAAGACCCGATGCCGTCATAGCCAAGGCGCTAACGAGATCCACCGGCCCCACTTTGCATTGTTTGCATTGATCTGTACAGTTTTGCATAGTTTGCATAGTTTGCGCTGTTTGTATAGTTTGGCTTATCTGCGCCTTCAGCTTCGATCTGGAATCAGGAACGTCATTTGCCTCATTCTCATGACGATCAAAATATGTACATATCAACATACATGCGCTTCGTACCACACACTTGGAAAGGTATCATACTGATAAAGTACAGGAAAATAAACCGGGTGCGGACAATCCGAAAGAGAAAAAGAAAATCAATACAACAGCTGCAAGCGCACCGTCAACAATTAAAAGCTTCCTCCAGATGAGTGATGCAGACCCTCGCGAGCCTTTGTATCCTTCGAGAATTGGCCAGTGCGCATCTCCCGTTCACCCTCTTTCTTAATTTGCTCATTCTTCAGACGACCCTCTGGGTCGTTGGTTGCCTTGTCGATGGCTGCCCCAGTAGCTCCACGAATCTTTTCCCCCATGCCCTAGAACGAAGACCGTGTCAGCCCATGCCATTCAACCCATAAACCTTATTGGGGGGGAGCTGGGGTTTCAACTTACATGTATTCCTGCTGCAACGCTCTTTAGGGTTCCACCTGCCCCGCTGGACTTGCCTGATGATCCTGTTGTAGCTTCAGTGGTGCCGACACCACCTGTCGGTCCGTGACCGCTGGTTGCATGAGGACCAGTGGCTCCGGTGCTCCCAGTGGTGCGGTATGCCCCGGTGCTGCTGTCGACGGTGGGATCAAGTTTGTTAGCGGCCTTCGTTTCGTGGGGCCCGCGATTGGTTCCAGTCGCTTGGATGGTTCTCCCAGTGTCGTTATCAACGCGAGGGTCTAGCTTGTTTCCTAGGTTGGAAGAATGAGGTCCGGCTGTTGGACCGGTCGTTGCACCTGTGCTACCATATGTTCCGGTGCCGCTGTGCTTGGTAGCACTACCTCTAGCCGTGCGAGATCGCCCAGTCTCACTGTCAACCGTCGGGTCAAGCTTGTTGGCGACGCCAGAGCTATGCGGACCGGCGTTGCTGCCGGTAGGATGGGTAGTGTGACCAGTGCCGCTGTCTACTCTTGGATCTAGCTTGTTCCCCATATCAGAAGTGTGTGGGCCGGCAGTCCGGCCGGCAGTTACCGTCCTTGCGCCGCTCGTGGGATCGAGCTGGTTTTGTGTTGCTGAGCCGTGAATACCGGTAGTCGATGGGAGATTGCCGAATTGGCCACCCTGCGTAGGGTCATTGCTCAAAGGGTGCATACTTCCGGTGTTGTTATAACTCATGATTGCAGATTGGTTTCAGTAAGCTCTTTTATGTGAGTGGAATGGTAGAAGCGAGTCATGGAATAGTGTAGAATTGTGTGTAGGAGTAAAGTCCGACCAGCTGGACGTTTGACGCGCTTATATACCTGATATCCTCCATATCGAAGCCAGCAAAGGCCGTTAAACAATTTTAGCCGTTCGTCATCAAAACTACCGGCGAGTCGATGATATGGCGGTTGGTGACGTCACCGGAGAAGGGGCTCTTCACCCCTGAAGAACCAAGCATCCTCCGTCCTCGGCATCAAGAGGCGAAGAATCAGGGATTAGTAAAATCCATTTCCTCCCTGGCAAACAAGTCCAGGTTTCTATCCACAAAGCCGGTTTCCACTTTGCTTGAGTTGCGAATAACAACTCTCCAATTGATCCTGTTCGAAATCCACATATTACAACGTCATGCCATGGAGGCAACACGATGAGGTAAGGAACCAGCAAGTGGTAGTATTGTATTTTCACAGTGACTGACTCGTAGGGTGATGGAGAAGTAGAATTGCCGAAGGTAAACTGCGCACTTTATGGAATGAAATGCCATATCGCCACTGAAGTCTGTCCTTGGCACGATAGTCGAGGAGGTCAAGGAAATAATTCTCAAAGCTTCACAGAGTTGACTTCAAATGCCTAGGATTAGGGTGGCAGCTCGCCCGTGTCCCAGCTCTTCATCGCTGCGCCCAATTCGAAGTAATGCTGCCTCAGTTCTTGATATCTGTATGGCTGATCCATCTCTTATCCCAATATCGTCCACGGACTTTAAGGCCTTGCACAAGGTAACTTTCACCGCTTAGATTGAGCGCAGAGATCCATCACAACGGCATTTTCGCTGATTGATATGGTTATATTGCTAAACCACGGAATTAAAAGAAGGTAGATAGGCTGAGTGACAATAGGGTATAGCCCGCGGAAATTCGATTTAATCTGAGAGTCAAAAGCACCGCCATCAATTTTCCCTAGAGATACGTCTGAATATCATTACTACGCCAGTTTACGAGGCGCCAAGGAATTACCTGGGTGTCTTGAGGGCCGAATCCCGTAGTATGTGTTGACGATATTCCGGGTTCTCTGAATAGTCTTGGCTTGCTTTCCCCGTTTAATTATTCAGAAACTGGGTCAAGAAGGGTTGTTGCCCGGGGTCAAAGAGAGTTGTCCCTGATTACTAAAATATCAGCCACAAAAAAATTGTGAGTTAATCGTGGTTTAACACACACCTATCTCGTTGGTACCGCCGGAACCGACGCTACTCAACTTTAGGCCAGGAACGAGCTTCATATCAAGTCTCTTCTCAGCATATTTTGATCCTTCCATGAGTGTTATCAGCGTCTGGATGTCAAAGGCTATCAGCCAAGCGTATTCCATCGGTAGTGCTTCATAGGAATGGGATATCCATTCTCCGCAGTCCAGGGGATCAAAGCCAACAGCTATAGTACCGCTCGGCATGTGGGTGCGAAACATTTTTTAAAATTGTCGTTTGATGTCGCGATGCCATATTTTCTGCCATCCCGCACTTCTGTTTAGGTACTTCTCAAAATTGTCTGGTGTCAGGAGGTTGGCTACTTTACTCAAAGAGAAATCAGTGAGTGCGTATTCCACTGTACGACTAATTGCCCGGCGAAAATTTGGAATGTATCCATGCTTGTACCAGTCAGACAAACTTTGCCCTTCTGTAGTAGAACCAAGATGATCTGCGACGTCAAAGTCATTGTAAGGGACAACCTTGACATTAGTTTTCATTGCAAGGTAACCGTCTGTCCAGCTTGTACCACCTTGAAGCCCCTTGACGTAACGCATCAACTAGAAGATGGTTAGCATTTCTGCCGCCTCAAACCTGGATCACCGTAAGGGAGAAAAGCCAGCCATAGGTACTTTGCTCTTTTGTTAGAGTTTCCACTCCTTGCAGCTGGCAAAAGAAAACGCCCAAACCTCCAAATATCAATCAAGGGTCAAATCGAACTGCCTTGGGGGAAGTTCGTGGCGGACGCGCCAAGACAGTATGTACAGACAAGCTCAAAGCGCCAAGAATTTTAGTTGCCTTGAGGAGGAACCTTGCTCTCTGGCTTCGGGTGTCATAACAGCGGGAGCGCTCTTGTGGCAATCTGCAAGGATAGATGGATATCCTCTCGATTACCATTTCTCAATCATTTCAAACCGACACTATTACCACACGTGCATTATTAATGGCGATGGCCCCCTCACTTCTCTAGACCTACCGTGCTACATCGAAGTGGAACGTCACAAGGCCCGACACTGGATGCGGGAACGATTTTGACAGATAAATGAAACAACTCGGCGCCTATGGAGGACACAAATGTAAAGTAGTACACTATTTATGTGGTAGGCAACCGACCCGTTGGCGAATATAATGTCCAATTTCATCCATCAGGGCTTATATCTTGACACGTCTTTCTGAAGGACAGAACCAAGCATTCAACCTCGCACAACTGCAGCCCTTTTTCCTCGATGCTCCCCTCAAGGTTAATCAATCTGAACTTTACTTGCACCCATCCTTGGGTTTGCTGCGGTCTCAAAAGCTTTCTCTGCTTCTTCCAGCATAAACCGATTCGTCACCAGTCTTTTCAGGTTGATGATGCCGTTTTCCACCAGCCTGGCTGCACGTGGCCAAGTATTGCTGTATCGATACCGGGATTGCAAATTGATGCAGTATGTGCTTAATCTCATAAAAGGTAATTCCATCTCATTCTCCCCACTACCGATAACAAAGATGTTTTCCACCAAATTTCACGCTCTAGATAGCCGCCGCAATGCTGCTTCGAATGCCTATACATTCAAGGATGAAATGAGGGCGCAATTTGTTTTCCATAGCTGCTGTGCTATCGTTAATTTCACGGATAATGCCGGCGGCACTTTTTTCAGGAGTAGTACCTGACCGCAAGAGCGCACAGCAACGTTACCAGCCCGATTGGGCCAACGGCAGTGATCACGACGGCATCGCCAAGTTGTAATTTGCTTCACTCGTTGGCACCCAAGGCAACACTTAAAGGCTCGAGTAATGTACCATTCTTGTAGCTCATGTCTCCAATCTTATGACACTGGATGGCAGGGTGATTGACATATCACCAAAGTAGCCCGTCAACCGGAGGCGTTGATAAAGACTGGACATTTTCGCATCCGTTGTACCTCTCTGCAAGACACGGTTCGCACGCGTTGTAGATGATGTTGGGTTCGATGGGTGGCCTGTCGCCTATTTTGAGTGTAGTTATGTCTGGGTGCGCTGCTATGACTGTTCCGGCGGATTCGTGGCTGAGGATATGGTCGCCCGTGACGATCATCGGGCTGATGCATCCTGCATGCCAAAAATGAATATCGGAACTCTAGAATGCATTTCCATCCATCAGTCATATATTTTAGATACCAGGTTTAGAGCACCGAGAATCACACGCTTACCCACATATTCCATTAATTCGAATTTCAATAATAACTTCTCCCGATTTAAATCCATTTTCGCTGTGAAATATCCTTCATCGAAGTAGAAGTATCGTCGGCAGTGCCTCACTTATCTGGATTTTCGTTTGACCACAAACTGGGGGATCAACAGACAAATCCAAAGCTTCGACCTTTGCCCAAGAAGGGGTATACAGTAGAGACGCTTATCCGCGGCTGAATCTGTTCATGGTTGCTTGTGGAGTGTGGTACAGGTGACCTGTGATATAATCCCCAGAATCATATAATCGAGAAGAAACATGAGATATATCATACATACGATAATGTGTGGGTTGAAGTGCGAGGATAAAGAAGTCCCTATAGAGACTCAGAAGCCTGACAGAAAGTTCTTTGAGGATCTGTTCTTCTAGTTGAGAGACACCCTCGATACTCTCGATATCTTTTTCCGAGTGTATCCACCTCTCAGAACCATCATGACTCTTGCGCCCCACATCATATTCAGAGAGATATGATATTGGTTTGGGAAATCTGTCACATCGATTGTCGAAGCAAGAAGAGCTCGCGAATCTCCAGACCTCACAGTACGAAAGTCATTGACCAAGGCAAGATCGATGGTTTCATTTCCAGCTCTGTGCGTCTCGGTGAGAAGTGTGTACATATTTCTTTGTTATATTAAGCGGTATCGGTGCGATAGGCCCAAGCGCCTAATACACCCAAATATGGGATCCATAAGTTGATTGCCTGTCTTTTGATTTTGTATCGAGGATGTAGAATCCACTGAAATGATATAGTGCACTAATCAAATCCCCTTTGCCGACAAATGGAGGTCCTACCTTTCCTGTAGGGCGTGTCAAAGCGGTGAGACTAAGGCCTTAACTTATACATTGCGCTTAATTGGATCGTAGGAGGGGTACCCTTTAAGCCGTTTACGGCCTTTAAGTTTCTCCGGATTGACGAATTGTCAACAACAGGAATTTCCAGAGGAGAAGCTGTCATTAAGCTGTGGGAAGAGTCGCCCGGAAGTTGTGGCAGCCATACAGCGTGGCATTCGTTGGATGGGCTGCAGATTTCTGTGGTCGGAGTGGGCTGAAAGCGCGAATTACCGACAGCCGTCCTCTTCAGGCTCACGGCGTGTTAAACTCGGTGTAAACGTATTGCATCGCCAAAGGTTCGAGAAACTAGCATGGAGCTGATTCTTAACCCTATCAATGGCGGGAAGAGTAGTGGAAAGGCCGCTTTGACTTGGATTAGTTGCGCAACAGGACAAATGTGCCAATGAAAAGACACCCAATGCCTCTGGGTAATGTGATGTAGTAAATAATTCTTTCGTAGAATTTTGGCAAGCTGCGACGGCTGCCTTGCTTTGAGAAATGAACTTTCAATGCTTTGGTCAATAATATGATCCATGATGGCCATTTTCCGGTTGTGATACCACTGCTGTGGCCGCCGACTTCTGGAGCTGGCTGACCGGTGTGCTACAAAAATTCTTGTTTGCACTTATAGCCAGCGAAAGAGCCCACTTAGCAAAACCACATCTAGGCAAGACGAGGAATAACATGTGAGTTGGTGTGAACTATTAAGCGCAGCAAGGAGACCAGCACAATCCTGAGGTATGTATGGATGTACTGTATATATTTCAGTCCATCGGGCAGATAGCTTTAGGATGACATTCTCTGGTGAATCAGTGCCATCCCGTTGCTTGGCCATCAAGACATGAAGAGGTCCATCATTGATATCTGGATCTATTAATGCATGTACACATGTATGTACATGATCTCAGGTTTGAGAACCATGCTTGGTCCACAGACTGGCTGTGTGCAAACAATGTTCACATCACACAGCACGATCGGCTGCTTGAATTGATATTCCCATCAGAGAATAATGATAGGCTTCTTCACCAACAACACCCCTCGAATTCAATCAGCATGAACAATGCTCAGTGCTGTGCGCTGGTTGTGGCGAGCAATGAAGCAACTGTGAAGGGGAAAAACTGGCTGGAGGATGATAGTTATCACGTGAGGCACCAGCCAAATGACATTTTTTCCCTTCCAAGACTTCCCGAGCGAACGTGATTGTTCAGAGAAGAAGCCCTTCAACCTCGAACCTTTCGCCCGCAATTGACAGCCTTGTCCCCGCCCCAGGGTCGTCCACTAGTCGCACCTCTCGCACTTTGCTGATTCTTGCGATAACATTCTTTTCAAGATGCCAGTCGCCGCATCCCGCATCGCTCTGCGGCAATCGCGATTACTGATCCGCCGATCGGCCTTCAGACAGAACTCGACTACGTCCGAGGCTGCCGCTAAAACAAAAGATGCCGCATCTTCTGCCGCAGCAAAGGCGTCAGAAGGTCTGTCGAAGGTGAAATCCAGTGCGGGACCTGCAATTGCGGGAGCTGTGTCGGGAATTGGTAGTGCGCTGAAGCGGGTTGGAGGACGAACTGGCAGAATGGTTTCGTTCGTTGAATGTAAGACATCGCCCTTTCGACATGTCTTTTTCGCTTTTTCTTCTCGTGGGCCTGGGCAGGCAGAATGTCCTTTCAAAGCTTACTATTCCACTCAATTGCGCTGCGATCACCATGAAGCTGACGTATCTTGGCATAGCTTTAATACCTCCCACTATCTACTACTCCCGAGTGGCTTTCGAGGTCACCAAGATTGTTTTCCACGCCCAGAAGATGGCTCCTCCGTAAGTCTAGAACAGGTTTTCCGCCGAAATGGGACCCAGTCATTTATTCCTTCTTCACAGAAATGTCGCTACATTCCAAGCCTATTTCCAACCCATCTTCGCATCTCTTCGCCAACCCTCCGCTCTCCTTTCCAACCTTAGCCTCAAGCCTTACCTTGGCCGCATCAGAAACATGGACCGTAAGCAGCTCGCCCTCGTGGGCGTGACTGCTGCCGAAGTGATTGGCTTTTTCTCCGTCGGTGAGATGCTGGGCAGAATGAAGATCGTCGGATATAGAGGGGAGCCCGCCCATGGGCATTAGGGAAAAAAGCCGTCGCGCCACATTTTCATACTTTTCCGCCATTTGTATCGGTTCTTCTCTGTTTCTTGTACCATAGACGATGCAATTAAAGGACGTGTTGTCTTGTATATGACTTCACCCGTGGATTTGCCATTCAAAAATGTAATTGGAATTTATGTCCCCCATCGCTCCAGACCGTAGAACAGCTTATCTATCAGGGCCTTGCATTTCGCATTTCTTCTGCCCTGACTTCTCCTTGCACTCCGCTCGGCGTATTGGACTCCCGTGTCTAGTCACGTGACTGGATTTGGGAAATTTTGCGTGTCCGCAGCCTTCACGCAGCGCCAGGAACAACGCACTTTGCGAGCTGCGAAGTGTGCAAGCGTTGGCGATTTCGGTTCACACAGATGGACGCTTTCAAGCTGCTTACCCGATCTATCAAGCTAAAAGGCTCCCAGCTCGGGTCCTCGTCAATCTCCAGCCACCTTCCCTCAGCTGGCGAAGCGAACAATCCGCAACTCTTCCCTGCCTCAGAAGCAGATAAAACTCGCGGAACGAAGCGAAAGAGAGAGTCTGGAGAGGACACTGAGCTACCGAATGAGATTCCGGTTCCCGATTTCTTTGGCTCGGGATCTACTGCAGCAGAGTCGCCAAAAGCTCAGCGGAAACGAGTGACGGGAAAAGATGCCGACGCTGAGGGTCAACATGGCGAGGAGACCTCCATGCCAGAAGAAGAGCGCAAGTCTATATTGAAGTCCCATAAGATCAAAATGACCGACCTACGAACTCCGCCGTTCCGCGCCGTTGACACCGATATAAGTGGGAAGAAATCGAAAAGAAAGAAAAAGAAAGTTGAAGAACCTCCCCCGTTGACACGAAAGCAGCTAAAGGCTGCTCAGAGACTCTATCCCGAGCCCCTGACATCCTTCGATAAACTTAGGACAAGATACCACATCTCAAGACGGCTTTCAGACAATATCGCCAGTCAGGGTTATACTGTTCCTACGGAAGTCCAGTTGGGATCGTTACCATTATTACTGGGAAATGCCCCGGCGCCAAATGAACGGACTGCAGACGATGAGTCATTACGATCGCAGTCGGAGCGGGAGCCCGACCTTCTTGTGGTTGCGCCGACTGGTAGTGGGAAAACCCTCTCGTTTATGATTCCCTTGATAAATAAGATAATGAAGCACCACCATGACAACCCCGGTCTTAAAGAGATTCTTGCCATAGTAGTCGCACCAACAAAGGAGCTTGTGGCGCAGATTGTAAACGAGGGTCGAAAATTAACAGCGGGAACCGGAGTCAAAGTTTCTGCGGTGCGAAAAGGAATGCGGATCGTGGAGGAAAGAGGTCAAGAGACGAGATCCTTAGAGGAAGAAAACGATGGCGATGACTCTACCGCGTCTAGTGACGAGGAGATCCACTCAAGTGAAGGGGAAAAGTCGAAGGATATCCCTCTTACGAAAAGCGATATTTTAGTGTGCACGCCCCTAGTTCTAGCAAACGCGCTGTCGGACGGTGGGAAGAGAGATGTTGCTCCTTTACCATCCGTCCAGAAGCTCGTGCTAGATGAAGCCGATGTCCTTCTTGACCCTCTATTTCGGGAGCAGACTCTCAGTATATGGAGAGCGTGCACACATCCTCAGCTGAGAGTTGGGCTTTGGTCCGCAACGATGGGCTCTAATATCGAAGAACTTACAAAGTCAACGATTAAAGAGCGGCAGGAACTTTTAGGATTAAAGGACGAATCATCCCTTATCCGACTCGTTGTGGGGTTAAAGGATACCGCTATCCCCAACATATCACATAAACTTGTCTATGCTGCAACCGAACAAGGCAAACTCCTCGGGCTGCGCCAATTACTGCACCCAACTAGTACAAGCAGCTCTACTACGCATCTTCGCCCCCCCTTTTTAATATTTACGCAAACAATCGCCCGAGCCATAGCTCTACATTCAGAACTCATGTATGATATCCCAGCGGAAGCGGGGGGGTCATCACGCATTGCTGTTTTGCATTCAGAACTCTCAGACTCTAAGCGATCAGACGTTATGGCCGGATTTCGAAAGGGCGAGATCTGGGTCCTGATTACCACCGACTTATTAGCTCGTGGGGTCGACTTTCGAGGAATAAATGGCGTCGTGAATTATGATATTCCCAACTCCAGCGCCTCATATGTTCACCGCGTTGGGCGAACGGGTCGTGCGGGCCGTGAGGGCGGCGTGGCAGTGACCTTTTATACCAAAGAAGATATTCCATATGTTAAGAATATTGCAAATGTGATATCCGCAAGCGAGAACCTACGTGGCACAGAAGAAGGTGAACGGATTCCAAAATGGCTGCTTGATGCATTACCGAGTCTTTCAAAGAATGACAAGAAGGACTTGAAAAAGTATGGTGTTAAGGCTCGAAGGCCTTCAACCATCAGTGACAAGACGACAAGCAAGAAAACGAGGATTAGTACCAAAAGTGGTTTTGATAGGAGAATGGATAATAAACGGAAAGGTGCGATTAAGGGAAGTCAGCGACGAAAAGCGAGGGAACAATTAAATGATGAGGAGAGCGAAGATGATGTCTGGAATGGCATCGACGACTAACTTGATACTTTTGATACTAAAAGCGAGTCCATGAGACTTAGTTTTCAGCCAAATAGCCACAGTTATATTGCTGATTGCTTGTCTATTGTCTATTAATGCATATAGTCATAAGCGTAACCTTCATATCTCATAAGCCCGTATTTAGTTCTAACTATGTTCATTCGTATCCCAAGTCCAGACGGACCACCAACAGCGCACCTCAAGAGGGGAGCCATCTTTGCCTTCCCAATCATCGTGTCCGATTTCTTCGCCATCTTCTAGGATTGTTAGCCCTATATTACGCATCCGTTTTCTCAGCTCGTTCACTTGGGAGATATAGGCATCCCTAAGAGGCATTTCAAGCACCACTCTTGACCTAGTTTCAGGGCTGAGCCATTTTTGGATGGTTTGGGTCAACCATCGTGGATGATCCGGCGAATATAGGGGGTCAGCAGCGAGTATAACATCATATTTTTCCTGGCCCTCCACTTCATGCTGGTCTTGTAAAGACCAATCTAGGACACCTGTAGTGACCGAAGACCCTGTTTTTAACAAAAGCTCCTCGTTTAAGGATACATTATGAGCCAAGTTCGGTACAATATCTGGTAGATCCGTGAGGTGCATAGAGGCAGCAGAACCCCATAATGATGCGAAAGAGATGCCCACAAGGCCGGTTCCAGCGCCCATCTCAAGTGCGCGAAGAGGCCGGCCATCTTTGTACATGGCGGGGAGCAAATTCGATGGTGGTAATAAAAGTCCGCTCAACCGCCGGGCAAGCAGATATGAGGAAACCCAAGTCTTCATACCCAAATTATCTGATGTAAGAGATGGCTCATGAAGGGTCACCGAGATCTCCGTGGATTCTGTCATTGGAATTCTGAATACTCGAGACATGGACGGCCTGGCTATACGAATAGTGTTAGATAAGCTACATCACAATGACTGGCTGCTCGAACACCAGCTCAAATCTTACCTGTCCGGCCAGAACGTTCGCACAACCTGGTGCTAGCTGCGTGCCATACTACCTCCCGCAACTCATCAGAATCAAGCCACGACAGAGCACTGGAGATTATAGCGGTCAAGTATTGCGCGACACCACTAGGGTGAATTGACGGTAAATTTTCGGTTGATTTTCCGTTGTTGAACGTATGAGGCTGAATAGCGAGGCAATCAAGGGCACGTAATATCTCTGCCGCCGACGGCTTCATGTACAACTGAGGGAGATCAAAAACTGTAAAACGACGGAGAATCCAACGTCAGCTTATCGGCTTCCAGGGCCCGTTCAGCCATAAACGGGGCATACTGGGGAAATACCATGTAGGGGTTGAGCGTCATCGTCCATGGTAGCTAAACAACAGGGTTGCAGCAGCACAGAAATCCATAGAGGGATAATTATAAATCCTAGTAGGCAACTAACGCGTCTCCGATACGGTCTTCCGGCGCAACGTCGTCAGAGAAGCTGAATGGCTGAAGAGAAAACTTTTTGATACCAGGAGGCGAAAGGTGGTCCGTGCGGTGTGTGTGCAAAACCTTATCGATCTGACTGGCCCCGCCGTGCGTTGGGTTTAGTGTATGCATACTCCGTACGGAGTACTACGCATGCTCCTGATAAGAGAAACCAGAATACGGAGTACTAGTATCAGTCACCCTTGTTGGTCCAGGATTGGAGGGCTCTTATGGCAAAACTCGGGCTAGAGAATCTCAATTCAATGTAGCCTTAAATCCTTGGTATGCTTGTTCGATGTCAAAGGCAAGTTCTCGAGCTTGGTCTTCAGCTAGTTCTTCCGTGGCCCTCATTTGATTAAGGGTAATAAGCCATTGGATTATTTTCCCTCTATTCTCAAAGTCTTCATCTGTCACCTTATTCACAGACTGGATGACCTCTGAGAGTAAAGGATGCAAAGCATCTTTCGAAACCATATTGAGCTTCAAGGCATCCAAAAAGGTAATGAAATTTTCCGTCGCAGCAAGGATAAGGCTTCCGGAAGCGGGACCAGCCGCAGGAGGTTGAGAAGGGTTATGGGAGGGCTGCTCTACTGTTGCAGGGAGGCCTATTCGAAGCCTCTCCGTCGCTCTGGGGCACTCCAACTATGAACGTATTAGCGGGTACGCTTGAGACAATTCATAATACTACAATTACTCACCCCCCATGTCCGCTTAAAACTATCCAAGTCGACGAACTCATTCGATACGTTCTCGTCGCTCAAGCTGGATCTGTACTGCTTGAGAAGCCTAGCGCATGTCTCCGTGTAATGGGATTCAGTAACGGCATCCTTTATATATGCCTTTTCAAGCCCATCCAAGGTCAAAATAATACTATATATTTCCGCAAGCGATTCGTAGAGGTCCCGCTCCGCCGGTGTAGAGGAAAGCTTAACTTCCTAATAGCCATAAGTATCAAGCTGCCACGTCGACAGTCAACATAAGCAAAACGTCCACAATACCTCATCTAAGTTTATGGACGCCGACAGTGCTGGATTCGGAGTATAACTGTATGGCGTTGGCGCATAAGAAAGCGGCCGTTGAGAATACATCGTGCTGGTTGATGAAGTTATGACGAACGGACGGGCTGTTTGGGCGTCGGTTTGGCTGTTGGAGGGACGGAGTGGTCCGTGCGTGCGGCCGGGCAAAAATTCGCCCCGGCGAAAAAGCACTCTAGGAAAATTCGGCTTTAAACTTGACACTGGTTCAGGTCCCTCTACTACACCGCAATCGCATTTAATAGCCACTCTATTGGAGTGGTCAGCGACGATGGCGGGCTCCGCGAAGAAGTCAACGAAAAAATTCGGCAAAAAGCATCTCAGAGACACGATCGACCGCCGACGCGAATTTGCAAAGGTCAAGCAGCGACACCAGCTGAAGGAAAAGAAGAAGGCCAAAAATGCTGCAAAACAAGCTGCGGAAGAAGAGGAAGAGCAGACTTCTGCAATAAATGTTGACAAACAAAATGGTTTTGAAGCGATGGATGTTGACGATTTCTTCGCTGGCGGTTTCGACATCCCACAAACCAGCGCAACGAAAAGCTCGAAAAACAAGGACGTACCGCCGAAAACTGGGAAGCGGAAAAGGACGGAGCAAGCTGGTGGCGAAGCACCATCTATAGAAAGTGAAGACGAGGATATTCAGAGCGGCGATACTACGAATGCGAGCGGATCAGAAAGCGAGATGGACGACATGGACGCTCACGTGGGACAGCTCGAAGCACTCAAGGAGAAGGATCCCGAGTTCTACAAATATTTGCAGGAGAACGATGCTGAACTACTTGAATTCGGCGACCATGGTGATCTTGCGGAGGTGGACGGGCTCAGTGAGAGCGACGAAGAAGAATCAATCCCGCGCAAGAAAAAGAAGACCGACAAAGCCGAGGAGGGAACACCGGCGAAGACTCTACAGCTTTCTACCGTCCAACAATGGCAGAGATCGATGTCTGAGTCAAACTCCTTGAGAGCCACCCGTCAGGCTGTCCTGGCGTTCCGAACAGCTGCTTATGTCGATGAAGAGGACGCGCAGGATCGCAGGTTCAATATCTCAGACCCGGACGTATACCATCAAGTACTCGTTACTGCACTTGAACACGTTCCGAAGGTGCTGAATCATCACATACCCGTAAGAGAGACTGCAGGCAGGAAGGTTAGAGTGTCGATGGATTCGAAGAAGTTCAAGACTCTAACACCTCTCATCAAATCACACACATCGTCTATCCATCAGCTCCTCACGAATTTATCCGATGCAGCTGCATTGAGGCTTACGCTATCGTCCATTACACCAATGCTCCCCTATCTCTTACAATTCAGAAAACTACTCAAAGTTATTATCAAAACGGTTGTCGGACATTGGTCCGACTCTTCAAATTCTGAAGCCACGAGGATATCGGCATTCCTGGTACTTCGTCGGTTAATGGTAATTGGAGATGCTGGGATTCGTGAAGCCGTCTTGAAAGCGACTTATGAAGGGATCGTGAAAGGAAGCAGGAGCACGACAGTTCACACCCTTGCTGGAATTAATTTAATGAAAAACTCTGCCGCTGAGCTCTGGGGCTTAGATCAAGACATCGCCTACACCACCGGGTTCACATCTATCCGTCAGCTAGCCATTCACCTGCGAAGCAGCATTACCAATCCCACAAAGGACTCATACAAGACAGTTTACAACTGGCAGTACGTCCATTCACTTGACTTCTGGTCCCGTATGTTATCTGCACATTGCGATTCAATGACCGAGGCCAAGGCGGGCAAGCAATCCGTGTTGAGGCCCCTCATCTACCCCGTTGTGCAGATTACTATTGGAGCTATGCGTCTAATCCCCACGGCGCAATATTTCCCTCTCCGTTTCCAGCTAACGCGTGCTCTCCTTCGCTTGTCTCTCGCAACTGGAACATATATCCCTCTAGCCTCCGTTTTATTAGAGGTGCTTCTGTCCTCCGAAATGAAGACTCCTCCAAAAGCAAGCACGCTAAAACCGCTAGAATTTTCGACCTGTATCCGTGCTCCAAAGACCTATTTGCGAACCCGCATCTACCAGGACGGTGTTGCGGAGGAAGTTTCAGAACTTTTATCGGAGTTCTTTGTTCTTTGGACAAAAAATATTGCCTTTCCCGAGCTTTCTCTGCCCGTGATAGTCATGCTTAAGCGCTGGTTGAAAGAGGTTTCATCTCGCTCGTTAGGAAATAAAAATGTGAAGATTAATCAGATGTTTGCCTTACTGGTGCAAAAGGTGGAAGCCAATAGCCGTTGGATTGAAGAGCGGAGATCGAAGGTAACATTCACGCCAAAAGACCGTGCGGAGGTGGAGGGATTCTTGAAAGATACTGAATGGGATTCGACGCCGTTGGGTGCCTTTGTCAAGACCCAAAGAGCGCAAAGAACTGAGCGGGCAAAGATCCTTGAGAGGAGTCGCAGGGAGGAGCGCCAAAGAAAAGATGAAAAAGGCGATGAAGAAGCCGATCAGGCAATGGTGGACGGCGGTAGTGAGGATGAAGAATCGAGTGAGGCTTCATAGTAGGTATCCTGCTCTTTGAATCTTTTTTTTTTTTTGTTAGAATAGGGATGAGAGGGCTCAATGGATTCTCGTTGTATGCATATACAGTTCGCGACATCGAAGTGCCTCTAGCGTGTTTTACTAACTAGCTACAAAAGAACATCTATTGCTTCATTAATGGCATTTGAGATTTAATGAAAATGTTGCGGCTATTGGCAATCAAAGAAGAGCCAAAACATCATTCGAATGCTGCTTTCATGCGAAGCCGTTCTCCGTTTCCCGCCCATGTTTCCCGACCCCAACCGCTCGATAAGGTTGCATGCTCTAAAAGCACCCTTACCCGACTACAGATTTATCCAACTAAAGTCCTTCTCTTTACGCTTTCTGACCCTTAACATTTGCAGATTCTCGAATACGTAAGGCCATTGTTGTATTTTGGCCGTTGTACTCCCTGGACTACTCCTTTCACTCTGGAGTTGCGCCTTTGAGAGGCATGTTTGCCAACTTCAGGCATAATGGCCCATCGATCACCGAGAAGGGACTGCCCGCTTTATCTGATTGCTCGTTGTTCCTCTTTGTCTGGTATTTGCTTTCATTGGCAAATGCGATATTTTTGCATTTGACTGGGGAAGTTCGTATCTCCATGTCTTCTATAAATATGTTCTTCTGTCCGAGCTTGAGGTGTTCAAGAAAGTACCATCATCTACTCCAAGTATCAGACCAAGCCAGGACATCGCCCCTAATTTCTCAACATGTCTTCCGGCCAGAGAGGGTCCAACAATCCAGGTAACCCTTGGAACCAAGGGAGGACTTTTGCTCAGGTCGCCAGCTCCGCAAGGAGTCCGCCACTAGCACAATCCGCTGGAGAAAGCCGTGCTCCGCCTGAGAGCAACGTCGATAATGACGGATTCACGATAGTACAGAACAATCGAAGAAATCGGAATGGCCATGGCCATGGCCAGCTCCCTGCAGGTCATGGCTCCGGTCGAGGGAGAGGAGGAGCTCAATTCGGAGGTGATGGACGTCGAAATGAGCCAAGCCGAGGTCGAGGAGCCCACAGAGGGCATAGCCAGGGCGGAAGAGGCCGTGGTTCTTATCCTCAGCGCTCGTTCAATGATTCACCGCACAACAGCCAGGGAAGCTGGGGAAACCAGGGCGGCTCACAGGGTTATAGATGCAAAAGCAACGAGCCACCAAAGCTATACAAGTATGCTCTGTAGCCAGATAATAGCCACTGATTCTATGAGGCGCTGACATTTACTTTTTTAGCGATTACAAAAAGTCCACCCATCAACCATCTCAGGGTGTCAAGAGCCTGGAAGATGACATCGTCAAGGAGAACCAAAAGGATTTAACACTCAAGCTCGGGAATCTGAAACTTGCGGACCACAAGTTCTCCCTTCCAATGAGGCCCGGCTATGGAAATCACCCAACTGTGAATCTACTCGCCAATTATTTCGAGATCAGTGGTATCAGTAGCCTTGTCTTCTATGAATTCAATGTGCATTTTCAAGCAACTATGTCTCTTCGGGTCAAACGACGTCTGTTCACGTTATTGCTTCAGCAACCCCCACTGAATAATGAATCCGTGGCGACGAATTATGTGGATAAGCTGATTTGCGTCAAGAAGCTCAGCCCGCAGAACATTCGCGTTGGGTACTATGAAGACGGTGAAACAGGCACCCAAAGCCATACCGTCACTCTTCAATATAGTCGTTCATATCGAATGGCACAGTTGCTGGCAGATTTAAGATCACCGTTTGAGTCATATGACAGAGATGAAAGAAATATGGCGATCCAAGCGTTGAACATGGCCGTGGCACGGTTTCCGAATCATACTCCAAGAATACAATGTGTTGGTCAAAGCAGACATTTCTTTCTCAACCCCACTGAGGATCTCTCACTTGGGGGTGGTCTAGAGGCAAGACGAGGCTTTTTTCATTCTGTCAAGCCATCGACTGGCCGACTGCTTTTGAACCTAAACGTATCCACTGCCGCATTTTATAGAGCAGGAAATTTGAAGGACGTATCGGAAGAAGTGGTCCCCTTTACAGCAGCAGAGGGGGACAGCAGACGCACTGGCATACTCGACAGGTTTTTGCGAAAGGTCCGCGTCAAGACAACCCATGGACAAAGACATCAGACCAGGACCATTTTCGAAGTCGCAAAAAATTCGGAAGGCAAGGCTGCTGGGCCGTCGGAAGTTAATTTTTGGTGGCCTCAAGGACAGCCTGCGAGATATATCAGTGTCAAAGAATACTTTAGAAGGCGTATGTCGCCAGACTACAACCCGGCAATAGGTTTCAATTCTTGCTAACATTTCCTTTTAGAGTACAACGTAATCCTTGAAGATAACCAAATCGTGATCAACGTCGGATCCAGGGACAGGCAATGCTACCTTCCAGCGGAATACTGCAATATTATTGAAGGCCAGGTTGCTCGCCAGAAACTCTCTCCGGATCAAACCACTAATATGATAAGGATTGCTTGCCGCAATCCTACAGCAAACGCGTTGGATATTTCCGGCCAGGGTTTGAACCTTATGGGAGTCGGGCGAAGAGAGGGCCCGGTAAGCTGCCTTCGGTTTATGAAAAGCTGCTTGACGCTTTGTATGTTTGATCACTAACACAGTTATGCCCATAGAAGGAGAAATTCGGGATTGATATCGCCCACGAGTTACTCTCTGTTAAAGGCATGGTACTTTCACCACCCCGACTCAAATACAAAATGGACTCTATGCCTTCTTTGGAGTGTGGATCATGGAATTTCACTGGGCATTTATTCAGGAAAGCGGGCCACCTGCCAGGGACCAATCCTATCGGCGTTATCACTGTTGGAACCTTCAAGAGTGAACCCGAAGATTTCCTCAAGTCGCTGAAACAAACTCTCCAAGGGTATGATATCAACTGGCGCGACAGTGGGTCAACACGCATTCGCATACCTGCCACCCACAGGGCGGATGAGAATCGGTACAGACAAGCTTTCCAGCAATTCAAAAACATGCGGACACCATATGTCATTGTGCTCCTGCCAAGGTTTGACCAGCAGGTATACTCGTATGTGAAATACTATGGAGACATTGTGACCGGAATTCCGAACACCTGCGTTACCGAAAAGTATGTGAAGAAGGAAAAGCGCATCACCTTCAAGACAGATGGTGGGGCTGTGGAAAACATAGCTCTAAAAATCAACCTCAAACTGGGGGGAATCAATCATGAGATTCAAAGCGATGGGAGAATCCACGACATTATACGGACAACGATGTTCATCGGCATCGATGTCACCCATCCAACTGGTACGGATTCTCAGTCCGGTGCTCCCAGCATTTCTGCCGTGGTTGCCAACAACGACCCGACACTCGCGCAATGGCCTGCGAGTATAACCACCCAAGAGCACCGCAAGGAAATGGTGGAGTCAGTTCTTGAGCGTATGGTCACAGACAGATTACGCGCATGGAAGGATCAAGACAAACTTCCGGCAAGAATCATTGTATATCGTGACGGCGTCTCTGAGAGCCAGTATCAGGAAGTGCTTGATACAGAGCTCGTTCAGATTCAGTCGGCGGTAGAGCAGCACTACGCTGGCAGGAGTTTACCAAAAATCACACTGTTGATTGTCGGGAAGAGACATCACACTAGGTATGCCATTTTCCTTTCCTCGAAGCTGCACATTTATTATTTACTCCGACACTTCCTCTAATCACGACAAAATAGGTTTTATCCCTTGAATCTCGATGCGGCCGATAAAAAAGGAAACGTGACTCCCGGAACTGTTGTCGACCGCTACTGCACCATGGAACGCAACTTTGACTTCTTCATGGTCTCTCATGCAGGTATCCAAGGCACGAGTCGTCCGGCTCACTATGTCGTACTCCATGACTCGAACAACTTCACGGCTGATCAGCTACAAAGTATTGTAAGTCTTTTCGTCCCGTTGCCCTTTTTGGTGCCTCTTTTCTTGATATAATAACAGTCTAATAACCAACTCCACCAAGACCCATGACCTTACATGGGTATATGGCCGTGCTGCACGCTCAGTGTCCATCGCCACCCCAGCGTATTACGCTGACATTGTCTGTGAGCGTGGAAGATGCTATTTATATTCCGTTTTCAATAATGCTTTGCCTGGGCAGTACCAAGGGAACAATAACCGCTGGATGCAAGGTGTGCATCCGAACCTGCAAGACACGATGTTTTATATTTAATTTACTTGAGGATCTAGAAAAGGGGAAGGATACGTGACTTTAAAGGTGGCCTGGATTTACTAGGCATATTCTGGGCATGGTTTGAATTAATGGCCGTTTTGGGTACCAATAGAAATGGGATTCGTTTTGGCTCCTTTGGTCCTCTTTAAACAATCCATTATCGGCTACTTTTTTCTTTCTTCTCTTACACCACAAGCATCATGTTATGTGCACGGTTATACACCACCACCACCACCAACACTCTTGCCCTCCTCCCAATCTCCACTCTTGCCTCCCTTCTTGCGGACAACCCTCGCCTCTCCAATAACCATCCCTTTATCAACAGCCTTGCACATATCAAACACCGTCAATGCAGCTCCGACTACGGACGTCAGCGCCTCCATCTCCACGCCGGTTCGTCCAAAACAGTGCACTGTTGACGTAATTAAGACACTTCCATGCGGACAATTACCACTCTCTAGATCCGAACCCGACGACGGGCAAGCCTGGATATCAACCTCTACGCCTGTAATTCCTAATCCCGGGTGAGCTAGCGGAACGATGTCTGCCGTCTTCTTTGCAGCCATAATCCCTGCTATGCGTGCCACGGAAAGCACATCGCCTTTCTTAGTGTAGCCTTCCCCTGTGGTTAGGAGGGAGTAGGGTGTCCCGTTAGAAAAGATTATTCGACAGACGGCTGTGGCAAGACGGGCTGTTTCCGGTTTGTGGGAGATGGAGGTCATATGTACGGTCTCTTTGGGCGTTAGATGCGGAAGGACTGGATGTGAAGTTGTTGGGAGATCTGGCGCTCCGGGTTTGGAAGCTTGATTGGCTTCGGGCGTTGCTTGGAGATTCTTGGGCTGCTTGGTCGAGTAGGCACGACATACTGACGGGGTAAATGATGGTAAAATGTAGGTTGGAATGCTGGTCCATGCTTTCTGCCGTGCAAATCGGCTTCTGCGCATGTGGCCGCTCTGTCCCAAAACTGATGTAGCGGAAACAGGCGTGTAATTTGGTTCATCTAATCGAAAACAAGATCAGCAGAGCATTTTTCAGAGCCATAACATGCAGCTAATTCATTTAACAGACGGTCATCATCATCATCATCATCATTATTCATAGAATTCGTAAAGGTCATAGTTCTAATTTCACGCCGGATACTCCAAAACCCCTCTGCTACGCCAACTAAGCATGATTATAGAAACATAAACCTACCCACCGATCAATATCATAGGCCGATTCTTCATGTTCTCAAGCTCTCCCATGCCTGCATGCTTGGCCTTCTTCCGCTTCACCGCTGCTCCGATAATATCTAGCAGCTGTCGTTCCCGCTCATGGACATCAAGTCCCTCCCGTTCTGCTCGAGCAGACTGTTGAGCGGATTCTAGGAGGCCTAGCGTTTGCAGAGCCTGGGCATCAATCGGCTCGCCGCTATTCTCTTTCCTAATCATATCCCGAAGTGAAACCTCAGCATTTCCAAAGAGGCAAACTTTCAGGTTCCCATCACTCGTGATGCGGAGTCGATTACAGGTCCCGCAGAAATTATGTGTCATGCTAGTTATGAAGCCAACCCGTCCCGCGAAACCGGGAACTTGGTAGGTCTTGCTGGTATCGTTCTTGTGGTCCTGGACTTTCTCCAGGCTCGGATACTTCTCGCGGATCACGCGTAGCATATCTTTATACGGAAACATCTTGCCTTGGCTCCATTTGTTCCCGTCGAACGGCATGTATTCAATGAATCGCACCTCGACTGGTTTCTCACGGCCCATTTCCACGAACGGTATGATTTCTCGATCGTTCAGGCCCCGCATAACCACGCAGTTGATCTTCAACTTGATCCTCGCACCAAGCTCGTTCATTTCCAGGATCCGATCGATGCTCTTCATCACAGCCTCAAAACCCTTGCGGCGAGTCATAAGTTGGAACTGGAATGGATCCAGCGTGTCCAGGCTCAGATTAACCCCTGTGAGCCCCGCTTCGGCCATACTATCCAACTTCCTGTGTAAAGATATACCATTCGTCGTCAGACACAGCTCTCGCAGACCATCTCGTCGCAATTTCCCAATCTGCTGCATCATCGGTATGATATCCTTTCGCACGGTGGGTTCACCGCCCGTCAAACGGATCTTGGTCACACCTTGTGACACGAAGAGCGTAGACAGGTATACTATCTCCGGAGTCGTAAGGAGATGCGCGGGAGGCGAGAGCGGGACGCCCTCTTCTGGCATGCAGTATAGGCATCGTAGGTTGCAGCGCTCCGTGATACTGATGCGCAGATAGTCATGTTGGCGGTTGAATGTGTCGGTAAGGAACGCGGAGAAGGGCTTTGCTTGCTTGAGAGCCGCTTGACGAGCGGATGTCGGCGGAGTAGGATGCTTAGATGGCTGAGACGGTAGTAGTGAGTAGGGTGACGTGGATGAGACTGGGGCAGCGCCATTGCACGCCGTCGCGGCTATGCTCTGAGTTCTTCGGAGTTGCTGCGCCCGTAGGTGGGAGATTGGCCAGCGTCCGCCCCGCGCAAGCCATCGGGGCGCGCTTGAACAGTACGTCATGGTTGCTGGAACAACTCTGCGGGACTTCAGCTAGAAACTGCCGGTTTGTCGTCTAGTTACCTCAGGAGACGCATTCTGGGATGTCTAGCAAGTGTCAAATGTGGCACAAGCCCATTCTTATACGGAGTACGGAGTAGTTACAGCGTAAGCTGGCGGCAATGCAGGCCTATTAGTCACCTCCACGGGGCAAGGAGTGGAGTGCGAGCTCGCTGGGGGCAACCGGGGAACTGTCTTGGCCGAAAAGGCTGGGAGGATTTTGGCTCGGAAGGGCGTAAGTCTGCCCATGACTGATGGTGGCAGTTTGCGATCGACAGTGACCTTTCTGTCTCCGCAGCAATTTGTCATCGCGCTTCATCCAAGTTGCAAATAACCACCGTGTCTCGCTCTGTTCGCAGTGCAGTCAAAAGCATTGTTCGATATTTTTTTTTTAAGATACTATACACAAAGCTAACACCGTAATCGCTGTCGATAAAATAGGATACTCTATATACTCCGTACACGCATACAAAATCTAACCTTCGTGAAATTGAAATCAACAGAAAGCTTTGTACACCCGCTTCCATTTTGGCCAGCTCTCCCTTTCGGCCTTCTCCTCCGCAATCAAGTGCTGCAGATTCAAATCTCGCCGCCCGGTGGTAAGATCCATATCCTTCGCATGCACAATAGATGTGCGGTACCATAGTTTATATGTAATGTAAAATGTTAGCACAATCGGTGCAGCGAGGTAGGTCGAGAACCAGGTTTTGACTCTCTCGGAGTGCGACAATTCCCCATAGCCGATAGGGGCGAACCCAGTCCAGAACTGCGCAACAAGGACAATGCAGTTGATAATGAATCCAATCCAGGAGGTGATGACGCCACCTTGGGCTCTGAAGGGAAGTTCATCAAGGCTATGGCCCTGGATCTTCCAGCCTCGACGGAATCGGATGTGAGCAAGACAGATGGAGGCCCAAGTGAAGACGGATGAAAGGCCGGAAATCGCCAACATCCACGTGAAAGCTTCCTGCTGCTTTGGCGTAGCAGCGAGGAATCCCAGAAGACCAAAGCAAGAAGCAACAAGGATGGACATTAGGGGACGGCCCTTTCGATCGATATACGCAAGGAGAGCAGGAGCCTGGTGCTGCTCAGCCAAGGCGGTCAAGGTACGCGACGAGCCGTAGATAGCAGCGTTGCCAACAGACAGAACAGAGATCAGGATAACCGCATTCATCACCGAGTCAAGACCTTTGATTCCAGCATCGCTGATTGCGATGACGAACGGCGACGCTTTGACATCAGTAGAGGAACCGTTTAGCAATCTCTCGTCAGTGTACGGCACAAGCAGGCCAACGATGACCATGGACACGATGTAGAACAAGACAATACGCCAGAATACCTGCTTGACCGCGGTAGGGATAGATTTTCGTGGATTTGCAGTTTCGGCCGCAGCTAAACCCACCAGTTCTCCACCACCAAAGGTAAATGCAGCCGTGACGAACACGCTGCACAGACCTTTGAATCCATTGTTGAACGCACCCGGATTATGCCAAAACCTACCGCCGATATAGTCGCCGTTCGGGCCACCGCCACAGTTCAATACAATACCTAGAATGCTATTGAAAAATTGTTAGAATCCATCAATACTTTTCGAGCATCGGCGAAATGTGGATTTCTTACATGAACCCGATGACAGCGATGACTTTGATAATCGAAAAGACGAATTCCGCCTCGCCGTATCCAAGGACACCGAACAAGTTGATAACGACAATGAGCACATAGAACATAGCAACCCAGGCAGCCGGAGATACATCGGCTTCCCAGTAGCCGACGGTGATAGCAGCTGCGACGATCTCGAGAGGAAGCAAGGTAAGCCATAGGATCGCGTAATTCCAACCCATGGCGAAACCCCATGCAGGGTCCAGAAATCGCGTCGAATAGTGAGCAAACGCTCCGGCAACGGGGTACATGACGGCCAGTTCACCGAGGGCATGGATAGTTGCGTACAACATGATGCCGATCAAACAAAAAGCAATGACAACCGAAGCCGGTCCTCCGGTTGCCAATGATCTACCGGAACCGACGAAAAGACCCGTTCCTTGACGACATGATAAGCGATAATGCCGCAGCAGAGTAGGACATGCTGGACGGAACAGAAATCTCCACTCCAGACTCAGCGAATAAACAAGCACATACCTATCGAGCCTCCAATGGCAATCATCTGCAGATGTCTCGACTTCAATCGCCGTTTCAACGGCGACGCAGCCGTCGCGGCCGCGGCGCCCTCGGCATCGAATCCTTCCGTATTCGAGCTTATTGGTTGTGAGATATAGGCGTTGGGATCCCTCTTGAAGCTATTGATGATGCGTTGCGCAAAAGAACCCTCTGGTTGCTTTTGGAGGCCTTCGTCCCACGATGCGACACGCATCGCCTCCGCGTCGGCGATCATCCCGCTTCCTTGCTTGTGTTCGACGCCCATGATTGTTTCTTTCTTCGCCCTCTCTTTTTGTTTTTTTTTTTTTTTTTTCTTTTTCCTTTTTTACTTTTTTTCCCCTTTCCGGAGAAATTGATATCTGCGCTCCCTGTCGTATAGATGAGTAGCTAGGGGATGATATAGAATAAAAATTCGAAGCAGTCAAGAATTTGTCACCTCAACACATGGTCACGAATGAATGTGGGGCGGTCGGGGGTGCCGGAAGAGACGCGATCAGAAGCCTAGCGATCGTGTCAGAGGCAGATAGTCCCGATGAAACGAACGAGCCTGACGAAATCGGCAGAGGTTTGGGCGATGGCGGACGGGAGACAGAGGTGGGATGGAGAGCAGCTTTATCAGGGCTCAACGAGCAGCTCTTGGCATTTCTCTGGCACCGAGTCCCTCTATCCCTGGCTCTCCGCAATCTCTCAAGGATGATTCCAGTTGCGAGAAAGGCGCCCAGCGTTCATGATTGGTTGGCTTCGTTCCCACTGGTCGCCGCAAACCTTGAGAAACCCAGGATTAGTAGCATGAAGTTATTCCTGACTCGTCTTAGCCGGTTTCGCCTCCTTCGCTCAGATAACCAAAAAAATTCGCACTTGTTCAACCTCGTCACCCGCCATCCCGATGGCAGATGAAGGAACTGGGTTGAGGAATTGCTTGTGGAGCAAACTTTCCAGAGTTTTCTCTAGAAGAAAGTGGGCCTCACAGGGCGCGTTTCTGCGCTGATCATTCTGCTCGGGTTCGGACTTGTGTCAACTTTTCAAAGCTCCCCCCCACGCATCCACGTTGTGTGCACAGGAATCAGAACAACTCTCAACTCGCCGGGTCGGGCAGCCGGAGCAGAAAAATTTCAGCAGCTGCAACGTGTGGGAGTTCCGGCGGGTCGGACTACGCGGGGGCCATTCTGCGATGGGAACAGCAGAACTGCCCTTGACGGCTGGTCACCTTCAGGGAACATCCAGATAGCCTGGATCTGGCCAGAGATGTGATTACTTGCTCTCACACGACTTTTGGGAAGCTGCCAAAGCCCAATAATATCTCCTTCTTTTCCTCCCTACTCTTTTTCTCGACGCGGGGCTGAATGCCGATGACATACGGCCTACGGAGCACGGAGTAGTACCAAGTGGATCGCCGAAAAGTCTACTCGGAATATAGTTAGGTTTACGCCAGAAGGTTCGTGGAATATTCGCTTAACCAGTACGGAGTACTCCGTACTCAGTAATCCGTAACGGGTGACGGGATGCAGATCGCCATGCTGGAATAGCCGTCTGAGAGCTAGAATTTGAGACGCAGCAAAAGTATATATCTGAGAGAGGGCGAAAGCCTCGAAACTGCCAGCGGAAAATTCCGCGCGCCCTTCGAGTCCTTGTATTAGGCAAGGTTTACCCAAAAAAAAAAAAAAAAAAAATATCTATGCACGAACTCGGAACGTATCCTTACTCCCGTAACCCGGTGGGCAATCCTGGAAACCAGCCTTGGCAGACTGCTGTTCACTCATCAGGGTGCATCGAGGTGGAGGAGTCTAAAATCTTCTAGAACATGAGGAGCGGATGCTGCATATGGAGCATCAGTCAATAAAAAATCGACAAATTCAGGACCGCGCACGGAGTGGAATCCAAACATGCAAGGCCAAGACGCTGGATGGGCCGCGTTGGTTTCGATGATTTCGAGATGCCCCCACGGGGATGGCCGTGAATTGCCGCCGCCACCTGGATTTCCCCGAGTGTTTCCTGTTCTTGAATCCAGCAGCAGGCTTTCTTGTTGCTCTATTTTCGGAACCCGATGACAAATCTGCAGTTGAAGAGCATAACTAACTATATCTGGGGAAGCCAGTTGGCATTCTGGAGAGACATTCCGGGTTTTCAAGGTTTCCCCCAAGTTTGATACATCAACAGACATAGTTTGCTCAAACAAGCAAGTTCAGCTGTTCGGAAGCCAGCAGTACTTCATATGCAAGCGAATAGAGCAATCTTAGTCAGGACTAGCTGGCTCTTCTGGGGCCATGACCGTATACGCGGTCTTTAGTCCATTTGTTGGCGGAAGAGGAGAGCTTCTAAAAATTCCGCTGCAAACCTAGCCTAGCGGTCGGAGAATAAAGAAGCTTAAACTGCAGATTGGCGGCCTGCACAAGGCTAGACAGACCGGCAATTATTAATTCCCAAATAAAAAGTGGAATAAACGAGCGGTAATTCCCTCCCCAAGCTCGCTTGGGTTTGTGCCCCATTATCATTCATCGGCGCTGGCATGTCCAAAGAGCACCCCGTCAATCACCCATATAGCCGAGGCTTACGGAGGAAAGGCGGACGGACCGCAGAAAGCAACCAAGCTCCAACTTCATTCTTCAAATCCTCTGGTATCATGCATTCCACTCACGCTACCTGCCGCTGTCGCGAGAGAGCTTGGGTCTCGACGATATCAGTCAGCAGACGTGGTGGCTTGGCTGCACAGGGGTGATGGTCACATGACCGGATTTCCTAGCTGACGCCACAAGAGGCTGTGTCTGCCAAGATCATCATGTGTTCGCTGCCTGAGGCTTCGATGGCGTCGCGCCACAGCAGCGGCAGAAGCCGACACAAAACGGGATGCTTCATGTCGTTCATCATCATGGAACGGAGCCCACGGAATACCTCTTCGATGATGCCGTGAAAAGGTGAAGTTGGAGGACGTTTCGGCGTCTGTCCACACCCCAGGTTAGGAGCATGCCAGGTATGGCGGGGCACCGCGATTTTTGACCTGACCGTTGCGCGAGTAAAATGTGTAGTCCTACGGAATATCCTCTGTACTCCGTACTCTAGATAATAGATCCATGAGCTCTCTTTGCCATTATGACTTATTCAGCATGAGTTGATCGACGCGATGTGTGGTTCTCAGACCCTTTCACCGAGTCTTTGGGAACCGACTTGACTTGCCGTGGACACAAGCTCCCTCTTCATCAACCACCGTTGACGTGCATAATTTGAAAAACCCAAGAGTACGGAGTAGGAAGCTGGGATCATCATAAACATTGTGCCTGTATTCCTTTAGGCGTCGCCAAAAAGTAATTAGACGTGTTGTCCAACCTCAGGATCTTGCTTGGGCAACGGAGAGGGGGAAGACGGTCCGGACTTTTAACTCCCCGGGCTCAGAAAGTGGAGAAAGTCGCCCAATGGTCGCGACAACTCGATCGAAAAGCCTTGCTCTCTTCACAAGGGCCCAATGTCGACATCTAATAATAATGCCAAACACCACAGTAGGTTTACACAATGCCCTTAGAATGCTAATAAGGTCCCCTAACATAGACAAGGTGCTATTCCTGCTGTCATATCCGAGGATTGCCGGTATGTGGCCGTCGTGAACGACCGCTGTTTGGAACTACATCAGACTGCACAAGAAGACAGTTTGCTTCGCCTGATATTCTTGCATGATGATATTAAAGGTGGCCTGAGGTTTCTCCAATGGTCAAAACCCAGTTGCCTCACTAAGAGCAGCATCCAGCGGGTCCTCTGCGCCAGCAACGCTCATATCTCGGTTTTTGATCCCGAGGATGAAACTTGGGCTGCTGAGATCGATGCTGGGGAAGGGACCTGCTTCGTCCATGTCGATTTCACGCCAAGTGCAGATGAGATTATTTGTTTTCTGGAGTTCAATGTCCAAGCTATGGTTTTCAATTTGAAGACCGGTGAACAGCGTATTATCAAGGCCCCAAAATTCTCAGGTCCGAATGGATATGTATTCCGCCCACGATCCGGACATCTAGCATTGCTTCTTAAAGTGGAAGGGAATGATATCTTGTCCGTCCATGAACCAGGGACTTACGGCTGTATTGCTACCGCTACTCTACAAATGGTCGATGTTCAGGGACTAAAATGCAGCCCAAATGGAGCTTGGATCGCTTGTTGGGGTGCTTCTCTTGCAGGGACTGCAGTGGCTATTTACACCGCGGATGGGCAATATTTCAGAACGTATACTGGGGCTGGGAATGAGATTGGGTTTGGAGTGAAGACGATCGAATGGAGTCCTGACTCACGTATCTTGGCTCTTGGGAAGCAGGGAGGTACAATTGAATTGATCAATGGGAAGACTGTGAGTATTCTATTCTCTTGTCCAGTGACGCGATTGATTCTAATCCCTATTAGTTTGGCTTGGCGATGGCCCTTGGAGATCCGATGTCAGTGCCCATTGAGCGAAATGTTTATACGGAGAACAGCTCTGTTGTCTTGGAGCGAGAATACACCCTCGCTCCAGAGTCTCCGGTTTTTCCATTTACATATACCATCGCTGCTGGCACTCGGACCATCTCTGCCCTGTTGTTTAATCCTATAGGTACTATGCTTGCTACCATAGACCAGGGACTGCCACATATTGTCTGGATGTGGTCGATCCGAAACTTTACTCCACACCTGATAGGAGCTCTTGTTCAAAAGTCGAATATTAAACATATGCTCTGGAGCAATGAGAAGCCGGAGTTACTAATGACCACAAACGATGATGATGTCGCAACGGTGCACCAATGGATATGCGGACGTGCACCGAGGATAGTGCCAATACCCCGTGCGGATGGTGGAAAATACAATGCATCTTGGGTTAGAGATGCTGGTGGTTTGGTTTGGTTTGCCTGGCATGCTGGTTACACGATGGGATATCCTTTGGGATCAGGGCATTCAGCGGAGTTTCGGTCAGTCAGAAGCCTGGGGGAAGAACGACCCTCATTATCAGCCATCGATTTTCCCTGAGCCTAAAAATGGAGGAGAGATTGATGTATCCTTGAAGCGCAAAACCTGGCTTAACTACTCTTCATGCGGCCACCTCTCCACAGGTCATTTTTAACGTTCAATATAAAGGGACATGATCGAACACTGAAGGGCTGACCTGACAAGTAATAAGACACCACCATCCTTGCTGGGTAAAACTCAACGCTGTATGGCCCTCACCATCTTTGCTTCACACGACTGTGAATCACCCGTGACGCTGTTTTTTGCAGGAAGCTGTAGTAGACCCCGCCCTTCCACACCCATGGGTCGTCGCCGCACCCATGGAACCCGTCGCCAGACCAAGAGAAAATGAGCTTCGGCCGGAAGTGTTAATTAAGGTTAGAGCTAGTCCGGGATAGGCGAAACGAGGGCTTAGGGCTAAAGCTCGCTTAGTCATCCCCCACTCGCAATTTCGCAACATCCAACAAACCTGGACAGACGATCTTGAAGTTCGTGTTGAACATTCCGTCGACAACTGCACCTCAAGTTCATCCATCATGGTGAGTCTATCTCCTTGCTCAGCGAGGGCCGACGAGTTGATTCAACATGCGATAACGCAGAATGCTGACATGTACGTTTGCTACTAGGCACCCGCAGCAAGCTCCGGCGGCAAGAAGCAGAAGAAGAAGTGGTCCAAGGGCAAAGGTACGATTCTTTCTCCAAGCGCGGTCTTCCCTCGCTTCGAATATTTCGCTTGCCGTGGCCTTTGAACTGCCGCACCCTCCACGATACATCCAGATAGCTTTCTTTCGATACTACTATACCGTCATCAAAGACATGTGCTGACAAGCTCCCCCCGAAACAGTTAAGGACAAGGCCAACCACGCCGTCGTCCTCGATAAGACCACTTCGGAGAAACTCTACAAGGATGTGCAGTCGTACCGTCTCATCACCGTTGCCACCCTCGTCGATCGTCTAAAGATCAACGGCAGTTTGGCTCGCAAGGCTTTGGCTGATTTGGAGGAGAAGGGTCAGATCAAGAAGGTCGTCGGACACTCGAAGATGAACATTTACAGTACGTTGAACTTGCCTCTCTATCTCTCACACACATTTGTCGCGTTGTATAGCTCTACGTTGTTCAGCGCCGCTAACCGAACATTTCTGTTTGATTAGCTCGTGCTGTCACCGCCAGCGAGTAAATTCTTTATCTTTGTCGTCGTTTCCTTTGGCCTGGGTTTCCGTTACTCTTCCAAACGGTGTTTTGCTATACCTGCCCTTCTTAAAACAAGCACGTCTTTTATGGGTTAATGAATGGATTCCCTTTTTACTTGCCTCCTCCATCATGACAAATCAGTTGCGCATGAAAAAGGATATTCTTCAGGTTGAAATGACCGGGCAGACACTGCTGCAAAATATGAATTGAATGCCTTTTTGTAACTAGTAAGGCAGACACCTTATCATACAAATGATACATGAGACTGCATAAAACGCGGTCATGATAGCAAAGGATCGGCTCAAGAATGATCTCTACCTCTGCCGTGCTATTCTACGTAATTTACTAATTTCTCAGACACAAGTATCTGGGTCGTTAACCAAAAGCTGCATTATGGAGTGGCGTATATAACTATCACAATCCATATCTTTTGATCCAAGACAGGCGAATGTCTCAATTCGCTTTCTTTGCTTTCTTCTCCTTCTCTTCTCTCAGTTTTGACCTCTTCGGCCTTCCCTTCTTAGCTTCGTCACATAACTCTCTCTTTTTCCCTCCATTCTCTTCTATCTGTCCCCCGTCCTTGGTAACCACCCTCCCAACGGAAAAGTACTTATGACTCTTCTCATAAAACTGCACCCAATGCTTCACCTGCTTCTCCACCATGCTCTTCGCCTCCCTCATTTCCCTCTCTCTCCGCATCTTCTTTTCCGCCCTGGTCATCCCCTGCTCCGCCTCGGATTCATCATCATCTTCAATGGGAATAAACATTTCTTCAACCCCGGATAAATCCGACGTCAAATCATCCTGAAAACACCCCGTGATAAACGCACGCGTTGCATCGCGCCCTGCGAAGAAAGAGTACCCTCCGCCTGGGCCGTAGAGGTGCGGCGACGCGGAGACGTCGTAGATGGTGTGGTTGACGGAGATGTAGATCGGGAGATCTGGGGAAGTTCCATTATAGAGCGAGAGTTCGGAGGGAGTGAGAAGGACGGGACCGCGCTATGAGTGGGTTCCAGTTCAGCCAAGTTGTCCATGTATGTAGAATGAAACAGAGTTTGGATATGTCATTATGTGCGAGTGGATAGCTAGGGATGCAAACGTACGAGCCGTCTGACCAACACCGACCAACGTGTGAACCACGGCTTAAAGCCCCATGTTATTGAATCGCCCGTGAGGAAGTATGATAAGCCAAGTGAGGCAATTAAGATTAAACATAAAAATCGAAAAATATCCAATACACTGATTGTGTTCGATTCTTCGTCGTAGGCTCTTATTTGCTTTCTGAGAGGTTCGGACGATTCTTGCCGGTCGATCCCAGCCTCCGCTAGCGGCCGGTTCTTGGCCCGTTGCCGTAGGTCGGTCATGTCTTCGTCAAATATTAGTGTATGATCATGAGCACAATAGGTAGAATACGCGCATAAGGCAAATCACTGCCGTTGTGGTGTTGGGACGTGGCTACAGCTACATTAAAATTTACAGAGTACTCCGAACTCTGTATGGTAACTCATCAACCCCTGCACGATGACGCAAACGGGTCGGGATAGTCCGACCACAACTTCATGCACATAGATCTCATTGTCTACATACAAGACTGTAGAATGAGTGCTCAGATGCCTGTTAAATTCCTGTAATAAAGTAGGCTCTGTCATTCCTGTCCCAGATAGATGCAATCTTTGTATCTGTCTCTCGCAGGCGGAATCTCCTTATTCACCCTTTTTTTGGGGCTACTCATCATGGTTTTCTGTGATCATACGGTCCAGTACGATCACTTTCAAGCTCTCGTCTCCCGTTCTTGGTCCAGTTCCCGTTCCCATTTCCTTTCGAATACCTCGTTCAAGGCATCCTGGAACGTTCTACAGTTCATATCAATGAGCCCCTTCACCTCCTTTGCTTCTGGGTTCTTGATCACAGAAACCAGGCACAAGTACCTAACGAATCATTAGCCTGTCTATGCGACATAGGAGAACCTCGGAAGCATAGCTTACTTATTCATCTCCATCAAGTGAATCATAGTGCCATCATGCAAGATGACATGACTTTCTGCCTCGGGAACCTGGGGCCCCAAAGGTTTGCGATCTGGGTGCTCCCATGAGTACAACTCGCTGACGTCCACAATGACATCAATATAATCGGAGCACATTTCATAGCAAGCCATATCCACCGGACGCGAATCGGATGCGATATAGATCTTGCTCAGAACATCAAAGAGATATGCTTTTTCCATACCACAGTTGTTGGCAAGGATGTTGATGAGGTTCTCGAGAGTCGAAAGATATGGAATCAGCTTTTGGATCACCTTGCTGAACGCCTCAAAAACAGAATAATCATAAATAGAGGTAAGGTAAAAGTGGACAGGGGCATTCTCGTAACCAGCATCGCTAAGTTCATCAGTGATGTGCTGAACGATGTCTTGAAAGATGTCAGAACGGAACTCCTCAGAAAGTCCATCAACTTTATGGATGAACACTTCAATGTTGATATGTGGGTAGTACTGTTGGATCATTAGGATTGTGCGATTCAAACGAGCAACTGCATCTGTGTAGTCATCCTGGGCATCAATAACCCACACCAGGGCACCGAGTGTGCTGAAAAGCTCCTCCAGGTCAAAGGATGGTTCAAGGTACTCCAACTGCCCAGGAAAATCCCAGATTTGGAAATCCATGAACGAGCTGGATATTTAGAGGAGCCACGTTAGAAGCACTGCGGCAACTTCCATCAGTTAGCGGGGTAGCCACTTACTGGATTGAATCCTTCTGGATACGTGTGGTGGACTCTAGAAAGAGGGTCTCGTTCGGCGGCATCTTGTGGAAGACAACGCTTGAAATAGAGGACTTTCCGCTCCTGAACATGGACGTCGTTAGACAGAGATGGGTAGATGTGCAGATAGAGAGTGATGTTACACTTACCTGCGTAATCCCATCAATAACAAGCGGGGTTTCTCATCGCGGGGCTTCTTGCGAGGAGCTTGCTCTGCGCGCGCGACAGGTTGCTGACTGGACGACTGTGCTGCTTGCATGGCCTGTAAATTCTTCTCAAGACTTAGCTGGGCCCTTGTCTTCATGATAGCGGGTTGGCCATGGAGAATACTGCTGTCCGAAAACACCAAGCGTTCCTGTCCAGGCTTCAAAGCTGAACGGTGGCGCCTGGGGGTGAGTCTGGGGGTGGGAGGAGGCATTATCACGCAACGAGTGTTGGCCCAGAATGGACTGTAAAGATTGTAGTGATATTGAAAAAGTGCGTAGGCAGACAGAACAGAAAGACACACAGGAGGTAGAGAGAGAAATAGAGAGAGAGAAAAGAGAGAGAGGGATAGAGAGGGACAGAGAGGAAAAAAGAGCGAAGTGCACGAGTGAGAGAATGCAATTCTGGAGTAGGAGCTCGCGTGGCCAAGTTGTCCGGGAAGCAGGGAACAACGCTTGAAAGGACCCGACGGCGATTACATCGCTGGAGTGCAGAGGGTAGTGAGATATGAAGCAATGAAAAGCATGGCTTCTCGGGTAACGGGGCTGAAGCGCGTGTCTGATGCTCGTCACCTGGGGCCATCCATCACTTTGTGGTGTTTTGGGCTCTGATATCCCCCCGCTGAGGAGCTTCTTCAGCAAACAAGCCAAACGGGTTCGTCGAACAAAAGCTCAACGTCTGATATCAATAGGTAGAGTCCTTCCTCGCAGAAGCAGACGGACGCTAATCAATGGACGCTCGGGAGATTCCACTGCGGTTCAATGTTTAAGAAAGCGAACACGCCACCGGCAGGCTGGATCTGCTCCACACCGGAAGGTTGCTGAACGAAGAGATACAGAAGACAAACAGACAGAAATAGAGGGGGGAGGAAATCTTAAAGATGCTCAAGGCTTCCCACAGCGAATCTGGATAGAATACCTACTATATCCTTATTACGCTGCAAGACGGGGAACCATTGGGTGCATGCTCCATGTCGCGATTCTTGGGCTGGAAAATGTTTGAGCACCGAACGGCATCCCCTCCTTGAGCATGTGGGAAAAAAAAACAAAAAGAAAAGAAAAAAAAGGAGACGCGCCTTTTTAAATAAAGTGCCAATAACTATAAAAAAGCAAAAGGGCCGGAAACAAAGGTAAGATTGAGTTTCGCTTGTGATCAAGAAGAGGACAAGAGGCCAGAAGTGGAACAGCATAGGCGGAAGGAGAGCGGCTTTCTTACCTCCATGACTAGCCAATTCGTGGCGGTGATTGTTGACCGCAAGATTTCCGCTTTCCGCTGTTAGACCCTTTTTTTTACGGGCTGTTTCCGACTGGATCAATTGGCTCTCCGCCCGAAAAGTCAAAGAAGGGAACAATTTGCTACGGCCCTAATATGGTCAGAATTTATATCTGCATCGTGTGGGCTGTAGAAGCTTATGCACAGGATGGGCCTGGTGGAATCATATCGGCACCAGCGCGAGGAGCAATAACTTGGGCTTTTTCCCCATAGTTTACTACTTACACGAGAATTTGGACAGTTCTAAATGCGGAAAACTAGGGGAAGTCAGCCACATTCAGAATGGATGCCCGGCACGAGTGGGGTATTCCCCCTTGTGGGAATATCCAAGACTCACTCACACCAGAGCCTGAGGTAACGAAGGCGGATGTTCCTGGGGCGCGAGAGCTCTGGCGGCGTTTTAATTGGGCCGCGCCCGGTATCACAAACGAAACAGAGGTGGATGGATGGTTACGCTGGATGGGCGTCTCCTCTCGTGGCAAAGCTGCTTGAACTAAGCCTTAAATATGGGCTGCAAGGGACCGCGGGAGGAAAGGCCTGGCTGGGCCTATTTAAGAGGCTGCTTGAAAGTTGGAATGAATACTTACTTACTTTCCAAAAAGCTTTCCGTCTGAAGTCCTCTTCCCTTGGCATAGGGAGAAAACGCTGAACTTACCACTCATCCAAGAGCTGAAGGTCAAGCTTGTTCCTGAAACTGTGATAATGGCTGGAGTGGACATATAATGGTGGTTATGGAAGTGACAACAAGATGGTGATGGAAAAAGAGTTACAGTGTGAAGGTTTTAAGGGTCAGGGTCAGGGCCGTGAAATACAATAATGATGAAATCTCGCCCGGCATCCATGCAACCAACCCAGTTTCCCCATGCTTTGAATGCAAACGTTCATTTCCGTGGAATTGGCCAGGCCACAATGCTTGTCAGCATTTGTCAGTGATGCTCACAGGCTAACTACTCGGGGGCTCAGCATCTTTTAATTAGAGAACGCACTGCGCTAGCCAACTAGTAAATGAAGCACAGGTCACGTCTGGCTGTTTCCTTTGGACCACATGGATATGACAGGGATATGGGAAATGTTTTAATTTTGCACCGGACAGGGCCTGGCAGTATTGCTTGGGTGGTACATATATCTACTGCCCCCAAGCCCATGTAACATGCGGACAATTGCAGCCAATTCCCGGTGTACTCTCGATGATCCTGATATTGCATTCCGCCTGGGAGAATCAGTGGGATGTGTGCCTCATTAACACCTTGTAGAAAGCCCTGTGGAAATCTTTCGTGCTCACATTCCAAAGGGTCTGTGGAAAAGAGGTGATGCGGTCAATCCATACGGTAGAGAGCTTGCCAGCGCAAGTGTATCTTCCATTGCGGGGGACTAAAGAATTCGTGAACACCTCACCGGTTGGCATGAGAATGAATGGCTTGCACGCTTTCGTCTGAACTCCCGCGCTAGTTGGTTAAAACGGCGAGGAGGCGGCCTGACAAACCGTCGCAGCTCGGATTGGTACTTAACTAAGGCGGTCAAGACCAATTCTCCAAAAGCCGACGCAACGTCATGTCTTCGGCTTTGATTGTCTCACTGGCCACTGCTACCAACAACTCTTAATTCACTTTTATGGTGCTGGACAGAGCTCTCCCAAGGACTGTCTTCTTAATCATCTCCAAATGACAACTCTACTTCCGCGGGGTGCATACTCCAAGGAGGAGCTCGAGAAGCTTTATCCCAAGGGGCTGGAGCTGCAGTTGGTCCAAGTGGTATGTTCTGTGTTAAACAGTTGACTGGGTTATGCTAATTCGCTTGCCCTGCTTTCTAGTTCTTGCGACACGGTAATCTTCTTATTTCCATCTCGACAAGCAGCTTATTCACAGCAATCTAGGTGAACGAACACCTGTGTCTGCCAGATTCCAGAACGTACGTTATACAACCGGCCTAACCCTTGACTTGTAAGCTAATAACGGCTACAGACTGGGCTCTATCCATGTAAATTGAGTCCATAATCCCCAGAGCAACCCTGAGCCCACTCGCTGAACGCTTTCCCCTCAGATTGGCCGTATTGCAACTTAGCAAAGCGGTTTGTAGCGATAGCTGCAGCCGGAACTAGCTTGACAGAATGGGACGAATTTCACTGGCGTCGAAAGATCGAGAAATTCGGGAATAATGACCAAGCATTACTTTCAGTGGGACCGGCTGGAGAACCTGATGGCATCTGGCAAGTTAACATCCCAAGGGAGAATCAACATAAATAGTATATTATCGACCGTATTAACTGTTTCATGTCTAGTCAGCTTGGTGAATTGACCGACAAAGGACGTCAAACCACTCTCGCCCTAGGTCGTCGATTAAGATATCTCTATGTCGAGCAGCTCGGGTATATGCCTAAAATTATATCGAATGCAGACCATATGTACCTTCGTGCCACACCCGTTCCGCGAGCCCTTGAGTCGCTTCAGCAAACTTTCTGGGGGATGTACCCAGCGAGCGCTAGGACTTCCGATTTTGAGAACCCTACGATCGTCCAGAGAACACCCGCAGAGGAGACACTATACCCAAATGAAGGAAACTGTCATCGCTTCAGGCAGCTGGCCAGATTGTTTGCCCAACGTGCGGCTGAAAGATGTATGTACATCAATCTCACCCTGGGGGCCTTCGCTGCATTTCGTACCGGCCGAAATCTGACATACCGGCACCAGGGAATGAGTCCGAACAGATGGACTACCTGAATTCTATCTGGTCCAAGTGGATGCCCCCAAGCTCTCCTCGCGTAGCAGTTGATTCTCGGCCACGCTTGTCCGGTATTCTTGATACAATCAACTCGACCATGGCACATGGTCCCGAGACCCGTCTTCCCTCAGAATTCTATGACACCAAAGGTTACGGCATTGCTGACCAAATAGCCACGGATGAATGGTTTGCTGGATACAAGGAAAGCAAGGAATATCGCAAACTTGGAATTGGTGCGCTAATGGGTGATATCGTGGATAGAATGGTCGCTGCCAGCGTTAGTGGCGGCTGGTGGCCTACAACAGATACGAAGCGAGAGCACGGGCCGCCTGTCAAGTTTGCAATCAGCGGATGCCATGATACCACAATTGCTGCTATCTTAACGAGTCTAGGTGCTTTTGACAACGGGAAATGGCCTCCCTATACGTCCAACATCGCAATTGAGCTATTCAAGGACGTTGACGGGCATCACCACAAAGCCCATGTAGGAGATATCCTCGAAGAATTATCCAACCCTCTACCCGGAAATAATAGCAATAACAACGACAGCAAACCATCGTCACTGCTGTCTTTCTTCCGTCGCTCGGCCACAACATCCAGCACAGCGCTAACAGAGCCTTCCGACGTAGCAAGAACTCCAGTTTCTAAACTTCCTCCACTCCATAAACATTATGTTCGTATCCGCTACAACGACCAGCCCGTAGCCATACCTGGCTGCGCAGCCAAGCCCGCAAATCATCTACCAGGAGAGCCGACATTCTGTACTCTTGAAGCTTTCAAGCAGATTGTTGATAAATTTACGCCGGGAAATTGGAGAGAGGAATGTGGGTGGAATACAGATAAGGGTATGTTTGCGGAAGGGGAGGATAGGGCTGGCTATTAGTTGCTGATTATATTCTCGATTCTGGCTATGATGCATGATTGTGAAACCAAACCCCGCCTTACCTTTTTCTTTTTCCTTTTTTTTTTTTTGGTGGTGGGAAGTGGATTTTGACCTGAGGGTATAGATTTTAGAGTAAACTTTTGAAGAGAGGTCGAGAGATGCAAAATGGATCCATCAACTTAGGAGATTTGATAAAGGGGTCCATGGTCTTTTTTTGGTGTGTCTATCCACTCTAACGTTGGGGATGATGTAAATAGGCTTCATATATACAATCGCTCGAAACATATCGTAAATGCCAATCGAACATGGACATGTCCAGTAATGATATTAAAATTCCACTTCAGAAGCTGACAGATGCTCCTTCATAGCAGGCATATGTGCCTCGGCGTGCAACGCATCTCCCAGACGTAGACGCATGTAGTCGAATGCAAGGATCACGGGCACATCATCAAGCGCTTTCTGCAAGGACAGATCCTCTTTCGCAGAAAGGTCATCTGCTGTGTCGGATGTCTCCGGACCCTGTGGTGTTTCCTCTGTTGCAGGGATATCACGCACTGCATTAGGCATGACGAACCCGGGTGACTTACGGTGGCGAAATTTCGGTACAAATCCGGTCTTTTTGGCCTTCTCGATATTTGGCATTTCGCGGTATCGTTGGCTAAAGTGCGTTAGGACGATTACCTTGGCATGCATTTCTTTCCCGACCATAAGTGCCTCGCTGAGAGTGGAGTGTCTCTTCGCCAAGGCATCTTTAAACATGTCGTCTTCGAATGTTGCTTCATGTAAAAGGACGGTGGAATCCCGTCCAATGCGGGTAAAAGCCTCAGATGGGCGACAATCTCCCGAGTAGGAGACCTTTAGGCCTGAAGGGAATGTAAAAGAAACAGCCTTTGCACCTTGACAATGTGAGACGGGTACTGTGAAAATGGAACTTAGCCCCGTGGCTGCCTGGAAGGGGGACATGAATTGGTGTTTTGGAGAGTCGAAATTGATCCATTCGCCCCTATTCTCGCCAAATTGTTCTTGGACGAGCCCATTTTTATCACGACGGTGAAGAGTGAGGACGCTGGAAATGTAACCGCTTGAACGCTCATACGAAGTTGCGGCAAGCGGAACAATTTTGTCGTAGCCGTAATTTTCGACATGCGAATATTCAGCCAACCAGTCAAGCATGTGAATGTCTGACACTAGACACAGTCTTTTCTCGCTCAGGAATTGTCCGAGATTAGTTTCGAAACTTGCTGTTTTCTGTGGGGGAATACCAAAAGTTTCCTCGTACCAAGCCTTGATGACTGATACGGTACCTAGATGATGATCGGCATGCAAGTGGCTTATCCATATGACCTTTAACTCTCGAAGCACCTCTTTCAATTCCTCAGGGCTGAAAACTCGTTTTAATTGTCCCAATGTGCCTTCTCCACAGTCGAAGAGATAACTTCCATGGCCAGGAACTCGTAATAAAGTTCCAGCCACGTTTCGATACATCGAAGGCAGGGAAGAGCCTGTTCCCAGTGTAATTATCTCTGCGTCGTTATTAGGAATACTTTGCCGCATATTCTCGACTTTTGTTTGAAAAAGGATCTCATTAAACTTCTGCCGCACCGCATCAACGTGGCCCCGGACGGGATCGCCAACACTCCTTTTTATCTGGTCGATATCGATATTTCGTTCAGTCTGGGAATTCTCGATGCTAAACTCAGGCTCCAAGTTGACGACCATACCAGGCTTCGCAACACAGATTTCCGGCCTCGGTACATTCGAGCGGGGAGAAGTAACATACTTCGGAGGACTGTAGCGTGCACTGTCGATTTCTGAGAATTCCATGGTCGATCGGGCGACAGCTCTGAAAGTTAGGTCATTTGGGGAGTAGTCAGGCGACGAAAATACATGCTGAGCTTGCGACATAGTGGATATGAATTCTTGTAGTCGTGGATGCGCACCAACTCCTTTACCAAGTATCCATATGAACGCTGTCATTCCGTTCATAACCTCAGTCGACTTCCACTCTGGCCTTGCAATCAGATTCTCCACATAGTCCACACTCGGAAGTTCAATTATAGCGACACCTTTCCCGATGCGAGACTCTCCAAGTACCATATCGGGGGTGATGGTCTGCCCGTCTTTCGAGAGCACACTCTGATTCTCCGTCAATTTTCGATAGTCAGGGCCTCGTTGAACGCCTAGCGCTGCTGCTTTTTTTGCGTCAAACTTTCCCCTTACGTCATGGTTGCGGATAATATACGACATTGCACATTCTGAAGGAGATGTTGGTGGAAGAGATTCAACCAAAGCACCGGGCCAGGGTTTGCGCACCAAGACCATGATATCAGGCAGCGGCTCGCTATCGCCGGGCTTGGGACCGGTATAGGGTTGGATCTCTTGAGTTTCGGGGTTGCGCACGAAGAGTGTCGCCGGAAGAGAAACCTCCGCAATGGGCATTTCTACCAGCGTATCCATACGCCAGTCTGAATTGAACATTTCTGAAACGACTGCCTGACGAGTGACTTGGTCCTTGAAGCGTTGGTCAGACGATTTGGACGAGTCTGATGATGGGACCTGCTCCTCAAATTCATCATGGCTTCGCTTCCTGCTCCGGTTCCCGGAATTATTGGAGGGTAGGATCGGTAGAGCCCAAACTTTGATATGATCGTCTGACAAGGTAGGCTTATCCGCTACCTTCTGGGAATTTCCAATGCCGCTTTCCCCGTCGAACTCTTGTATACATATCGGCATCCCCTGTCGACAGATAAATCTCCGGCCGGTAGCAATTGTATGTGTCAAATTCGGGCCTCCACGTAGTGACAAAGTGGCCCGTTGCTGGGCTTGTACCTCAAGCTTCGATCGCTCCGCGAGACGTTTTTGTAGGCCACTTTCGGCCTTGGCTCGCACTGAGGGGTCGGTCGTGGTATCCCTCATCGTCTTTAACTCCGCAATTTTTGCATCCACGGATTCCAAAAGAGACGCTGAGGCGTTCGACAGTGCATCGGCCAGTGTTAAAAGCATGCCCATTATGCCGCCGTGTGTTGACCATGAAGTCTTTCCCGTGAAAAAAATGTCGGTCACCCGCGAAAGCTTGACTCCGCGCTCGACACATGCCCTCTGAGTCCCCTCTGCGAGGTTCCCAAAAATGTATCGCTTATCATCGAAGTGAAGGAGGATCGCCGTCCCGGGGGTATCGGCCGCAGGAGTGGTTACAAACTGGATAAAGGTCTTCATTGGATTGGAATCGTACGGGAGCTCGCGTCTCGGGGGATAGAATGACAATTCCTTGCCGTCCAGAATCCAACACCTTCGCGGGTTTATGAAGTCGTGGGCTCTGGCGGTAGTGGCGTCAAGTTCATCTGTGTGGGGCCTGCTTCTGGTGGTTTGGTAGAATTTGCAAAAGGTCCATGTGGTCGTTGGAAGGAGCCGGTACGAGTGAGGGGAGACCCCGAATGCTGAACTTCGCGAGAAGAGTCTGCACCCAGCAGTGAAAAACGGGGAAATAGTTGAGGACAGACCGCAGACAGACCGTGCCAGAGCTCGCGCTGGCAACTGTGAACCAGCCAGTTTTGTGGGGAGAATCAACGCGGAGGGGAGGATAAAGAGTGGCAGAGGCTTCAAATTAAGCCAAGATTAAAACACTAGCAAGCAATATAGATGTCGAACATAGCTCACTCCGGATCTCCTACGTACTGTCTGTCATGTCCCACCATCATCAAACTTCCGTCGCTGGTCGTCTTTTCCACCCGCTTCAGGATAGTTTTTTTCTGCTGGCCAGAGCCGCCTTACTTAGTCAGCTCTATCCTCTTGCGGCTGTGGACACGAGAGAAATTCAAGATGAATATCGAAGATTTGCCTTTTTGACTTGGGTTAAATTCTGATTGCTTCTACGTTATGGAAACTAGGCATAAGTCCCGTAAAGCAAACGTGCCGGCATGCCGCTGTCAAGTTCAACTCTGCGAGTACTTTGGACGGGCAGAAATGTCAATGATCGTAGATGGACTGTGGTCGTTCAAAAAGCCTTTTCTATAATTAACTATCTCTGACTTCGAGCATGTCCGCGAAGTGCGCGTAAGGCGGAAATATCTAAATCTTAGCAGCCTAGCAAGCGCTTTCATTCGATAAACAAAGGAACAATACTGATCCTCAAATTGTCCTCACTTATCTGTCGCTCATGGGCCGACGTCACCCTCAGCGCAGCACAGCACCTGAGAAGAGGCATGGCAACGTGAGTGATCGTAGCTGCGCTATGATGGGCAGAGCAATGAGGAATCATTCACTAGGATACTTGCCAGCTCAGGCGTTCATGCATTGTATTCAAGGCATTCCCGATGACCGAATAATGAAGGTAGAGCCACAACCCCTGGTAAGAGGTTTCATCGACCACAGTGAGCATTTGCTCAGCCAGCGTATCCTCACGCTATGCTTGTGCCGCAAAATTGCAAACGGGCCTGGGAACGCCTGTGCTGCTGCTTCTGGGAGAATGACCTGGCTGTCTAGTAGATCATCGGGATAGCTGACATATACCGCTGTTGCTCGTTAGGGGCAATGGGGATCTGACAACTTGTAGGGCTGGCCGTGGGTTGCTTTCCTAAAAGTCCACTGTGGCTCATAGCACCTCGACAGGGATGTCTGGCAGATCTACTGTATACGCTAGCTTGCTTCTAAAGATCGCCTGTGGCTTCCGTATTGAAAGCATTGAGAGCATTGACGGCTGGAACTTGGAGTCAATTGCATCAAAGTTACCATGGAGGAACTGGTACCAAAAATAGACAAGGTGCAACTAGTCGACCAAGATCTTGACGGGTCTCGCACTCTGGTGACCACTTGTGCAGGCCCAGTTGCCTCTGCGCCACGTTTGCCGATAGCATCCGGATGGAGGACGGAAGGGGTGCAATCGGCCAGCTGGAGCATGCAAGTCCCAAGAGAAGGCTTAGAGTGTCTCGAGGGGAAGGAAATCTGCCCTAGATGCAGACTTCCCGCCTCCTCCCCTCCGTTCCGGGACCTCTGATGTTTCCGCTTCGGCCCAACCAGCAGCAGAAAGACCTGTCGTACTGGGTGCGTGGGGGGTATCATTACGGCACTCGGATGGATGACAAGCATTTCGGTCACCGTATGGATGGTACGTGGAGTCCGGAGTAACACATTGTTCCAAACGATATTATTCTTAGGGTTTCCGTTTTGCTTTTCCCTGAAAATAACTACTCCACATCGGGTGAATATGTTGAGCCACAGGCTGTTTGGAGGCTCTCCGTACGAGCGTAGTCTTTTGGATTGTGCCAGCTGTGGTTGGGAAGCTCTGGGCGCCTCGTTTCTCCCTTTTGGGTAGTATCTACCTCGGCTGAGGTCCGGCGAGTTGGCTACACTTAGCTGCCAATCCGAGCTGAGTGTGCTGTCCAACAAGACGACTTTCCTGGGCTGCCGGCGACAAAGCCGACTTTTTCTTCAGCGACATGCACGGGCGGCTCCGGCTAAGCGGTCAGTGTGGTTCGAGGAGCGGGCTCGGGACAGAGAGCACAGAGCGAGAGGAGCGCCAAGGGGTTGCGGGCAGCGATTAGGAGTGCCCGATCTGGAATAGCGCGTGCAGGGTTGGGCAGGTGGAAGCCAATCAGATCACGCTGCACCGCCTTCTGTGCTCAGCCCTATCCTGGCTAGTGACCATTTTAGCGTACATTACCATACATACCGCAATGTCCCGACTGGAGCAGAAATTCCGCCAATGGGTACCGCCGTACGCTCCTGAAACATGCTCAATGTAACCGTGTTCGGCCAATGGGATGTCAAAACCGGGAATTCTTGTAATTTTGCTTGGTGGAAATGATGCTGCCTGACTGCGCCATTACCAGTTTATTACCACACCTGCACCGCCAAAACTCGCCCAGATCCGGCCTGCGGAACGGGATCGTTACAAGGGGCCACGTAGGCTTCGGCGCTGGTCAATCGCATCTCCACAGTGGGTTTCTTGGCGTCTTTTCTCCCTGAGGATCAGACGGTTTCACTCGCCTCGACTCCCCATTCCTACTACAACCTCGCTGCATCTCCCTCCAACTTCCACCATCATCACCCTCACCCTCACCATCATCAACATCAACATCAACTCCATCACCCATCATCACCAAACAACCCTTCAACTCCAATCTCCATTCCATCTCCCTGCCAGTCGTTACCGGTATTCACACCCAACTGAACCTCGACTGTCCTTGTTTCGCTGGGTTCGCTTCACAATCCCTTGCGTGAACGACATTCGTCTTCCGTGACACCTTTGCATCGTCGCCGCCATGGCTGCTACGGGAGAACTCCCCATGGCCATATCCGCTCTCTCGCCTGCCCCGAACTACACCAGCTGCTATGATACAAGCGAAATGGACAATTACATCAACTTTGAACCCATATATCCGTCTCCGTCTCTTTCTCCTTCCGCTGAAAACAAATCATCCAACCCAACCCCATCCTCGCAGCCATACCAACATTCCAACGCTGCATCCCCTTCTCCACCATCCAACAGCAATGCCTTTGGCTCAAATGCCCAAGCCTCCCAGCAATTGTCTTTCTCCGCACCAAGCCATCAGTATGGTTCCTACCAGCAGCAAACCGGCCTGCCAATGGGTGGTCTTGCCAACACCATGGCCCTCAATCCCGCTCCTGGTATGAGCGTGGGCTTCAACGACCCGAGCTTTGGGCCGCCAGATGGCTTCGGTTTAGTTAACAGACATGGCGACATGTTCTCGATGAACTCAAATTCAATGTTTTCTTTCCCCAACGATTCGACGGATATGGACATGGAATCCGACAACCCAGCCTTCCCCCAAGGTGCGATGCTATCATCACAGTCCTCTAAAACTCAGTTTGTCGATCCAAATGCTGTTGGAGGCCAGGAGCTTTCGCCGGTCGCTCCGTCCACTCAGATCGGGCGTGTGTACCCGGGAATACACCAGCAGCAAGCTGCCAGAGCAAGGGCTGCCCAGCAGCAAAGGCAGCAAGAGATGCTTCGACGCCAACAGCAGCAGCAGCAGCAGCAGCAACAACAACGACAGCAACAGCAACTTGCACAAGGGCAGCCACAGCCCCAGGTTCCACACGGCCATTCCCGCCAACCCAGTCGATCTCAGCAAGGCAAAGTAAACCGGCCCGTTGATCCTCTCGTTGAGGAACGTATTTCACGCCTTCTCCAGCAAATGAGACAAAGCAGTGTTGTCATTCGTGAAGAACCATCCGCAATGTCAAACGCACTTCCACAACCAGTGAAACAGAAGAAAGACGAACAAGACATGGACGAGGATGAGCGGCTGCTGGCAAGCGAGGAGGGTAAGAAATTGAGCAGCAAAGAGCGACGTCAGCTACGCAATAAGGTTTCAGCTCGTGCATTCAGATCCCGGAGAAAAGGTCAGTGTTTATCTCACTTGCGGTCGATTTACCTGTTGGAAAATCCAAGCTAACTATCCGCCAGAATACATTGGGCAGTTAGAAGGTGAGGTCACCGCGAAAACCAATGAAGCAAACGACCTTCGCCTCCAAAATCGAGCCCTCATGGAAGAAAATGCCCGCCTAACAGATCTCACCCGCATGCTCCTCTCATCTCCGCACTTTAATTCCTTCCTAAACGACATTACCGTGAATGGCCTTCCTCCCTCATTGCAAAAGCAGTCATCTACACCACAGGCCCATGCGCCGACTGATATTCAGAACGATGTGAAGCCAACCCCACTTCCGCAAGACGTTCAGATCCAGAACCCTCAAACAGCGCTTCCTAGCATCGCCGAAGAGCATTTTGACTTTGCTTCAATTGACTCAGGGTGGAATTCTGGGATTGACACAAACTTCTCCAATCCGACCGTTCTCGCCGTTATGGAGGTGCCCGAGAGCCCGACAGTTGATGCAGAGGTGTTTTGCGGGAAGAGTTCGTTCTCCGTTGGGCCGTTGCCATCTGAGGAAACCAAAGATTTAATGCCAACCATATCATACCCAGTACTAGACAACCGTAAGCCTGAGCCAGGGGAGCAGCATCTTTGTCCCAATACCCCTGTTGACGTGGACGAAAACGACCCATCCTTGGCACTCTATCTCGACCAGCCTAGCTACGAACCATCTGATGCTGAACCGTTCGAAGACATGTTTGGAGGCGCTGACCTGGCGAAAGTTTTCGCTCGTTTTGACCTTGTTGTGGACTCAGACTTTGCGGACCAAAGAAGTGTAGATCCTATTGCTGTACGTCGCTTCGAACGACTTCGAGCCAGCATCGAAGGAGCATATCAACGCGTTACCCGTGTAACCTCTCACCTTGGATAGGTGTGGTTTCACCTGTCCTGCTATTACAGTTCGGCTATCATATTTAATTTCCTGCGGCCCTTATTATAATCTCGTCTTATCCGCGCCATTCTCTGTCTCTCTCTATCCTTTGCAATTTCACCGGTTCGACACATACCTCACAGCCTAAATCTTCTCAATATTCCCTTCTCCCCAATAGAATTTATCCATTGGCCTAGGATCTGACAGCGACTGCATTGACTCGGTTTTATATATTATTGGAATGCCACGTATTTCTTTTGTTTCTCCTACATCTATCTGTCCATTTATCTCTTTTTTTTAACTGTGAATACTGGGGCTATATTGTTATTCTGTGGTCATAGTTTATGGGGATCATGTATAGGTTAGACAAGCGTACTCTTCAACATTGTGCCTGTAGCACCTTAGCTTTAGGTAGCTCGAATATGAAGTCGCTTAACAGGTTAGCAATTTAAATGGCTCGCAAGCAACTTGAAGCGTGTTTTGGCACCCATTGGACCTAAATTCCAAAGTCCCAATCGGGAAATTCAAGAGTGTCCGCGGACCTCTTACATAAGCCACACCCGACGTCATCGCTGATTGGGCGGGGACCTTTTTTTTATTTTTATTTTTTTATTTTTTTTTTTGGGCGGACAGGATATTTTTCCCTTCGAGGCCCGCGCTGCCGCTGGGTCGCATCAGCACCGTCGACGCGCCGCTTCTTCCTGCACCCAGACCTCGTCGAATCTCGCCAAAATCAGTTTTCCGTCCTTGCTCCGACCCCGCTCCCTCAAGCGGCTGCTGCGTGGGCTGCCGGGCGGGAGGATGTCGACCCCGGCGCAAAATGAAGCTGAGGCAGGAGACTCTATGCTCGGCTCGAAGAAGTTCACCGGCAGAGAGTTCTATCAGAGCCTAGGGAGCCCGAAGATGATTGTCGCGCCGATGGTAGATCGGTCGGAATTTGTATGTAATTTTTTAGCTTCCCCGGCGCAGTACCCTTTTTCCTTTTTCAAGTGCCGTAAAGGTCGAAAATAAAAATAAAAATAAAAAAATAAAGAGCAGACGCAGCTAACGTGGATAATTCCTTTTTTACCATTAGGCATGGCGGATGCTTACTCGTTCCTTCATGAAAGACAACTCACGGAATCCCCTTCTTGCCTACTCGCCCATGCTCCATGCGCGCCTGTTCAAGGACCGTGCCGGATACCGAAGTCAGCATTTCGAACCAGTTCGTCCGAAAGCCGATGCTGTCGAAACGTCCGCCGACACCGTACCGTTTCTCGATGGAAACCCCGCCATCGACAGGCCGCTTATAGTCCAGTTTTGCGCCAACGACCCTGACGAACTCCTCGAAGCCGCAAGGCACGTCCAACAGTATTGTGATGCGGTCGATCTGAATTTGGGATGTCCTCAAGGCATTGCCAAAAAGGGCCGCTACGGCGCGTTCTTACAGGAAGAGCCAGATCTGATTTATAGGCTTATCAACAAGCTGCATACCGGGCTTTCCATCCCCGTGACGGCCAAATTTCGTATACTGGAGACGAAGGAGAAGACGCTAGAGTATGCGAAGATGATACTGTCTGCCGGCGCGAGCTTTATTACAGTGCATGGGCGGAGAAGGGAGCAGAAGGGACATAATACCGGTGTGGCTGATTGGTCTTATATTCGCTATCTGCGGGATAACCTACCGCCCGATACGGTTATATTTGCGAATGGGAATATTTTAAATCACGATGATATCCAGAAATGCCTGGATGCAACCGGTGCTGATGGGGTGATGAGTGCAGAGGGAAACTTATCAGACCCAACAATTTTCAGCGAGCCACCTCCCGTCGGCGAAGAAGGATGCGAGTACTGGCGAGGCAGAGACGGGAAGGGGGGTTATAGGCTGGATTTTATCCTGCGGAGATACATGGATATTATCTACAAGTATGTCCTTGAGACAGCTCCACCCGAACGCAAGCCCCTTTTCGACCCCTCCAATCCTATTTCTCAGTGCTCCAGTCCGCGTGTGGAAACGGCCGACACACAGCCTGAACAAGAAGAAGGCCCTCCAAAGAAGAAACAAAAAAAGAGCAAAGAGCCCAAAGTTGTATCCCCGAATCTCTCCGTCATGCAGGGCCATATGTTTCAGCTGCTCCGTCCGCTTGTCTCAAAACAAACGCACGTCCGCGATGCTCTTGCGAGATCCAGGGCCGGGGACCTAGCAGCATTCGAAAATGTCGTGTCTCTGGTTGAGCGGGTCGTCAAGGAGGGGATTCAAGAATATAACGCGAAATCAGAGTTAGACGCAGATGTGGAGGCAGAGCCGGATCTCTCGTCTCTATCTGGCTCTCAGGCGACGATTGCAAAGTATAAGCGCCCCTGGTGGGTATGTCAGCCGTACATTCGACCTTTGCCTGAAGAGGCATTGGAGAAAGGCGCGCTGCAATTGAAAAAAAAGGACAGGGTAACAACAGAGACCTCAGAGAGGGAATCACGGGGAACTATCGACTCGTCATCTACCATCCTTTCTGCAAACGGTGTTCTGACCGAGGAGGAGATTGCCACGCCAAAAGATCAATTGGTTAGTGGCTAAATTTGCGTGATTTAATGCCTATCACCATGGAAACCCCTCACAGCTTCGACGAAAGGTCGAAAGTGAAGTACTTAGTTCTCATAGGTAAAAAGAAAGTCCCTCATCACATTAGGATTGCTAGACAGATTGCATCCGGGACGTCAGATTAATCCGAAGTTGTTCTAATTACGGACGAATGGAAAGATATTCGTGATGCGAAACATTGCGCCTCTCAGGCTCTTCCCCCCAAATCCTGAAGGAGCCGGGTACCAGCAAAAGTGTTTTAGCTTTAATTGGCCCTGGAGTCTAAAGGCTGTTTTGGACCTTGGGAGGTTGTTCAAAAGTACCTACATTGCATAGATGGTGGGCATCCGGTGAGCAAGTGTCGGCATGGAGTAGAGATTGAGGCATACAGGCGTCCAGAGGGAGTTGGAGATACACAATTATGGCTCTTATATATTACAGCTCATAGCTACGGAGTAACATCCTCTGGTCTTGGAGTGCAATCTACACGTTTTGTATGCAGCGGACGACTTGTCGCTCTGAACTTTATCGTCTGATCTTTTGTTTATCATGGAGCTTAACTATATTCAGCATGGTGGCTGATAAGGTTATTCGAGCCTGTTTGTTTTTCGCGCCCTTATCATCACGTGATTTAACCAGGAGCCGAGACGCTGGATTGGCGACACAGCCTCGGGACGGCCTAAATGCTTCAGGAGCAAAGGCCGACATGGCTGAAGAAAGCCCCCCGGAAACGATCCTACTTTGCAGATTTACCGCTTTTGGAAGACTTGTCCGAACTTGGGGGGTGATAGCAAACACTTGGGGTATGCGAGCCAGGGAGATTGCCGACTTCGGGAAGCTTCTCAACACTTCCATCCGGCGGGCTCTCTCTTGAACTAGCGTCACCAAATCCCCCGTCATTCGGCTCTTCCCCACTCACGCGGGGGAGAGCATTCAGCCATGCAACTAAATTCGATTAAAGATTCCCGTTCGAGCGCCCTTTCAACAACTCCAAGCTTCACTGCCTGTTTATTCTCGGTATACTTTCAGCGCATAGGCAGCAGCAGCTGATGTCCCGCGAGAGCTCAGGCCAGCCACCTGTCAAACGGCGCCGTTCAAAGGACGGTTGTCGTCCGTGTCGGATTCGAAAGAAGAAATGCGACGGAAGGAAGCCGACCTGCGTATCGTGCGAACGAAATGTTTTGTTGTGTAGCTGGTTTCCAAACACCGCAGCTACTGATACCTCGAAAGATGACGCCTTTGAAACTGGCTTGAGTTTGGTTTCGCACAGTAGGAAGAGGAAGCTTTCATCGTGCTCGTCAGACGATAGTGCGTCAAGTGAAGATCATCTGTTCCCAACAGCGTGGGAGTCGGAATGGCACGAACACGATCCCCTCCCCGATTTTCAGGATCTCGACGTGCTGGATATCGCCACTCTCCGGCAACAGCCTACTCTGGAGCCAATTTTCCGATCGCCAATCTCTCTCCTGCTCTATCAGCACTGGGTAGAGAGGACGGGAGATGTTATGTCAGCTCATCGTGGCAAGTTGAATGCGTTTAAGACGGAGCTGCCTCGTCTTGCGATCGCGTACCCAGACACTGTCCTGCAAAGCCTACTAGCCTGTAGCGGGATACACTATTGTAATGCGGGCAGGACGCCTGACATTGAGACGAGCACCTGGACACATTTGGGGCTCGCATTAAGATCGCTGAAATACGGATTAACAAAACTTGTGGCCAACCCCGGAACGGATCCGATACCGCTCTTGGCAACGGCTTTGGTTCTGTGTTTTGTAGAGGTAGAGTCTCGGAAGCGACCCTTATACCACTAGCATGATCCCTAGAACTAACACACTATTCCCTCTAGACAACCAGAGGCGACGTCAGCGGAGTTCTCTCACAACACTTACGAGCTGCTCATATACTTTTTAATGTCGTCCTTTCATCCCCGTCTTCCCTTCGTATCGATGAGTCTATACTTGAATTCCTGAAGGAGTTCTACACATATGTCTTGCGCATCACAGAGATAAGTAATGACTCCCAAATTATAGTCCTCCACGGCTCTGTGCGCCAAGAAACCCCGACAGGGGATTTTGCCTGGGTTAGCGGCAAGAGTTATGGTATGCTGGTTGGCTGTTCATATGAACTCTTCGATATGATCCCCCAGGTTTCTGCGTTGGCACGTCGGAAGCGGCAAAGGATAAAAGAGAACTCAAAGCAAAGCTCGAGTAGCGCGAGATCCAAACATCAAGAGGAGCCTGACACGGACGAGATGGCCTACCGTATCCTGAGATCTAGAATATTGTTTTGGCGCCCACCATCTGATGCCCGTCAGGATTTTATCACATGCGGATGGATCTACCAACAGGCCATCCTTTGTTATCTCGACGTATCCTTCGCGAATCCACCAATAACTGCGCAGACGCCTCTACCGCGGTTCATTCATGAGCGATTTGAGAGGCTCAAATGTCTGCTCGATGAACTCCCGATCGATGCGCCCATTTCCCACACACTATGCTGGCCATTAGCGTTATTTGGGAGTCTGGCGCGTAAGGCTGATCATAGAGAACTCATACTCAACCGACTACAGGCAATGTGGGAATTGCTTCGGCTGGGAAACATCAACACCACCATGAATTTCTTAAAAAGGTTGTGGGAAGATGATGGCAGCGATATGAGCGACAATGCCGCCTCCAGCAGCTGCGATCACCCCACTACCACGAAGAATTCTAGTGCGATGGTTCGAGCGACGAAGCGAAAACGAGCCCCAAAAATTATATCCGATAACAGTGACATGGAGGCCCTGATGAAGAAATATGAATTAATGTTTTCTTTTGCTTGATCGTGGTGGTCGCGGTGTTTTGACTTTGGGACGATCTGGGCGTCATTTTGGAATATTCAATGCTGGTATCTCTTTGTAATCGATTCAAACCATCCAACGACTTAGTTATGACTGCTGTCGTATTTTCCTATGTCTTGCTTTTCTAATGTTTTGTCCTTTTGCGAATAGCGCTGGAACTCGGAACGAAGACATGATTTTGGATTAGGGCCACTTGGATCTCTGGTTGAGTTAGAGGCAAAATCAACGTTATTTTGACTTACGAGCTACCACAAACAAAGTACTCCGTAACTCAGCAGGCATATGTAAACTCTGTGGGTTGATTGGGAAGTTCAGACATCCTCCCAGCCAGGGATTGCCTGAAGAAGAGAGATCGGGGTTTCAACAAAGACCCGTGCTTGATCATGAGGGTATTCTTCGAGCGCTCACGCGACTTGCCAGGGTCGATGACGATTGACGTAATACAAAAGCGTCGATCTTGCAGGCGAGAACCCAGTCTGGGCGGCATTTGAGGCGCTCGCTGGCTCGCCGTCGAGCTGGCTGCAGTCGATGTGGAACCCCCAGGTTGCTGTTGAGATTCGAACTGCCCTGAAAAATAATTGTCAATCGCCGGGGAAAAAGAGCGAGAGAGAGAAAAAGAGCTCACTGCAGAGCAGGATCCTACTGCCAGCACTAATCCTCGAAATCTGCACCCAGCCGGTGCCGTTAATGGTGTTTGGATCCTGTTTGACGAGACCTGCGGCGAGAACACACAAGGGTCGACGCGGGTGGGGTGTTGTTTGCCATGCTTGTGGTTCCATCGATGGCGACAGTTTCTTCGTCTGTTTTGCACACGTCCCTGAGATTGCCCGATGCGTCGCGTCCCTGAAGCAGCCGAATGCCCTGCTTAGTGTTGGCTCCTCATCCGCTTAATAGGTAGAGGAAGTTCTTGGAATGATGTTGAGGTTTCCCTGTTTGATGACATCGGTCTGGTGAAGGAGGACGAGGCTCAACTTCCTCCATTCTCACTTTTCTCACCGGACAGCAAAGTCAACATTATTTTACCTTTTTTTTCTTCTTCTTCGTTTCTCAGCTTCCTTTCTGCCTTCAGCTTTCGCTGTTCCCTTCCCTGAAATTGCTTTATTGAACTTCTGCACATTTGTCTTCACCATTCATCATGGAGCAAACTCTCTCGAATGATTCTGCCGCGACCACTACTCATAAGGAAATCCCTACGCTGCAAACCCCTTCTTCCTATAAGCAGAGCCAAACGAATGAGACTCAATGGACGCAGAGGAACTCTGGCCAAAGTCAACGAAAATCACCACCCATGTCCGCATCAAGACGAAACGACGAGATATCCAACGAGCTCCACCGTGGTGCCCCAACTGACGATACCCGTTTGAAAAGTGATTCCATAAAGACGCCGGGCCAGATAGAACTCGCGAAGCAGCGAAATCAATATTACAATGAAGCGTTTGGCTTAAGGGAGCCCTATCACACGTCGCGAAACCGAGTGAACCACGATTCCATTATTGTTGTCGATATGAAGACCAATCTCCAGGTACACACCGTTCCCTATCCTTTATGGTATACCTGTCAATTCAGTTTACTGAGTCCGTTTTACTTAGGTGGAAGCACCTCACCAGGCCTTGTCAGACATGACTTTCCACTTTGCGCAAATCTTTCAAAGACCGGAAAGCTCTATGATGGTCGTACTGGACGACAGTGCCTTTCTCAGATTTGGAACTACAGCCGAGCCAGCATATCTGGTGACGGTCTCCGCGCTATCTCACATGATTGCGCCAACGATGAATCTGCGCCATACAGCCTTGATTCAGTCAGCAATTAGGGAGATACTGGATATCCCTCAAGGTCGAGGTGTTATAAAATTTGAATCGATGCCTGAAGAAAACTTTGCTACGAACGGTTCTACAATCAGGGACGAAATCGAGCAGATGGAGCGAACTTCTCACGAGGAGAACAGCCTGATAAGAACCATCTCTCGAACCATGACCCGCAGGGGTAGGCCAAATGCCACAAAAAGTACCCTTCGAACGGTCCCGGCAACTCCTCCTCGATCCACTGAAATCCAGAGGACGTCAGCCGAGTTTGATTTGCCTAAGAATGTTGTTATGGATGGACCTGCCTCGACGGTAGATGGCGCGAAAAAGGTCAAGAGATATAGGAGTATTGTCAAATTGTTTTCTAACTGATTCAGCTATGTTCGACTGAAGATACCCAATTGATATCGGCATGAGGGGTGTATCAGCATAAGGTTGTAATTTGGGGTCTTGCGTCCAACAGAGGCTTGCAGTTTAGCGGGTTATGGTGGTTCCTGGGTGTTTTGAACTTGGAGTATGCAGCTTGCTTTCATGGTTGCTGCAGTCGCTATGATACCATAGGGGGTCCTGATTCTAGATTTGAGGAGCAAATTGTTCTGGAGTTTTTATTGACGGCGTTGATGGTAATCCCAGTTTGATGATGCCAGTTCTCCATATAGTCTTAACTTAAGCTTGATCCGACGCAATATTCGAGTTAACCCCCGTATAATCCCATTTATAAGTTTTCCGCGCGAGTCACCAGGTTGTAGTAATAATGGTTGATGTTCGATCGCGGCAGCCATACCCGCAGCATGGTTCTGCATGAAGAAATTGGTCTTCAAACCTGTATTTCTGTAAAAAAGAAGAGTTCTTGCTCATAGCCGCAGTGTACTCCGTACATCACATTGTTATAGCTATTGGCTGATTTGAAACAAATCCATCTGTGTATGAAAGAAGCGCGTCGATTGACAGTTAACTAGTTAAGTGTTGACTCACCAAAAAGCATTGCCTAGCAACAAACACACCTTGGATTCATATGGTTTTTAGAAACGTATAATTATAAATCCTACTGGAAAAACACAAAATTCATGAAAGGCACTCAATCATTACTTAATATATTCTCACTTCACACCAAAAGAAAGCTACATTTTTGCAAGAACAGCGCAATGAGCCGGATTACAGAGACGGAGGGCGACCTGTTCGACGCCCCCGAGAACACCGCATTGATTCGTAAGTCCCTGTCATTCGGTTACATTTTCTTTTGTTGCACCGTAACATTGTGCGACTTGCGCGTATTTAGTTTCTTACTTGCAATATCTGTCATGCAAGTTGCTTTTTGTTTCACGGGAGCTACTCAATATATCTGAGGCAACCAGGTATGAAGGTGACTGCATAAGCTAATGGTTCTGGTAGATGCATGCAATTGTCAAGGGTCATGGGGAAAAGGCATCGCAGAGACATTTAGGGCGAAGGTATTACAGTGTCTACCAATATATGCAATTATAGCAAGCTTATCTTAATAGTACCCCGCGGCATACCGCATATACCGCTCTCATTGTCAGAGATACCTCGTTGACGGGAAGAAACTCTCCGAAAACTCCAAGGATACACCGGGGCGGGTATTGAGATATCCTGAAGGTACTGCATTACTCATTCCACCGCAACCTGATGATTATATTCCCCAAAATGGCCCAGACTCTGCTGTCACACCATCTACCCAGGGGAAGAAGGGCGGTGGTCGAGCTACACGGAAATCCCTTCCCAAACACAGGCCAGCGGGCAAAAAACACTGGATAGTATGTTTATTTACATCATGGCATTACTCTGCGAAGTTGAAGAGCTCGCCGGATGTAATTCTTGAAAACACAATCCTGGCCCTGGGAGACTTGAAGAGACAACTTGAAGAGCTGCAGTCTTCAAAGAGAGATGGAAGAGAGAGTGCCCTTGATGTTAGCGAGAAAGAAAAAAGGAGACAGGTGGAAGCGCCCACTGAGATTTGGTCTTGTCGGTTTAATGCTAGATTGTTTGGCGTTCCCTGGCAGAAGACAAAGGCTCTCATGGAGGAATCGGGGTGGCAGGTTACAGTAGTTCGCCCTGTTGGGGAACCTTTGTAAGTTTCCCTCTTTTGTGCAAATGCAAGAACAGGAGAAACGATAAAGAAATGGCATTTTGTGACTGTGCCCACGTTACACAGCGTTGAAAATGTTAGGAATGGGGTTTTGGATTGGACGCAATTTGATGCAACTTGTTCGACAAAATTGAATACTCCGTTTCTCGAGAGTGGTGAGTATGTAGATGCGAGATTCCTCGTCACCTGTGCCTTGTCCGCGGCACTCTAAGAGAGTGTAGCCATTTCGAGGGCCGAGAACGGGGCGGAGCGGTGGCGCCGGGGGGTCTTGGCATTACGCAGATCACCTGATATCGCGTTATTTCCACGACGCGTCCCTGTCCCAGGCCAGTTGAGCTCAAGACCGGCATCGATTCATTTATAAAAGAAACTTACTACGGAGTACGGAGTACATGCTCTGTTTTGAATGAAGATATTTTTCTGCCCTTTTGATAATATCTTCTAGCATACACAAATCTGATCAGCAATGCCTCCTCTCTCCAAACGCAAAGCTCTCCCTTTCAAACCCCCGCGGTCTATCGCGGCGACTACCGAGAACGCATCCACATCAGCCTCGAAACATGAATCCGTCTCAGGTTCCGGAAAGCCCCGCAAACGAACAAAGACACAGGCCGTTGCTGTCACCCGTTCTCCGTCTCCCCCACTTGTATCCGAACCTTCACAATCCCCGGCAAATAGGCTACGCTCTCCTGAACATGGCGACTACCCCACACGTTCTATCGACTCATTATCCTCAGAGCCAGAATATATCCTCGCAGAAATCACTGCTCCTAAAGAGGAAAAACGACAATCTCTCGAAACCTCCGAACCAGACTTTCCACCCAAACTCCTAGCTGCTATCATTCATCATCACATGAAAAGCAAGGGCGAGAAGATGCGGATAAAAAAAGACGCCAATAGATTATATGCAAAGTACATTGATATTTTTGTGAAAGAGGCCGTGGCGAGAGCAATTCACGAGCGACGAGAGAAATTGAATACGGATGGAATTGAGAGGGATAGATCCCGGAGGATACTGGATAGTTATTTGGAGGTATGCCCAGTTTTCCTTCGCCAAGTTTCGCATGGATTATTTTGCTTGGGCGAGATTGAACTCGGGATTGGATTTATGTGTGTATATTGGTTCGCTCATTTATGCTAATGGTTTTCGGTCTTGGGCAGGTCGAGGATCTGGAAAAGCTGGCGCCCCAATTGCTTCTTGATTTCTAATGGAATCATCGGAATACTTCAAATTCATACACCAGCAATCGAGTCTATCAGAGTGGCTATGGCAAATTGACAGTTCCTTTTTTGGAACGCTCTACGAAACCCCTTCGTTGGAGATAAAGCTCCTTGACGTGTGGTACTATATTAGACCTAGGCCTGCACTATTTCATCGTGCGCAAGAGTCTCTATCCGCTTGAGCGAGTGATTTGTTTACAAAACCTCCCTCGCATGGTTTGAACGAATAGTCATGTTGGCCTGTGAAACCGTTATTACGGGAGTGATGTGGTCTCAACTAATCACGACGAATACTTCCTGAAAAGGAATCCGAGTTGCTAACTGCATTCGAAAGAAATAACTGCTGGCAGGCAATTGCATCTGGCGGCGTATAGCTATGCAATTGGAATGTAGGTCGATACACACCTCGTGTTTCTCAAGGCTACAGGACACTTGGAGACCCTTCGATTCGAGATTTGTGCCATGTTAAGTTCTGCCACCCAAGACAAATCGCCCCTTCTGTGCTTAGTTCTCGCCTATCATTGGCAATAAAAAGCAGCGCACACAGATCCTGGCGGGTATGTTTGAGAAAACACACCTGAGCATTTCTACCCGGGTCCAGAGTCAATGTCTATTGAGCCATTCATCGTGTACAAAACTGTTTTATATACAAAATGGTTCACTTAGATGAACTCTCGCCTTTCTCGCTATTTTCTATTTTATCCACCAGTTCATCAATTTTCTTGAACGGGAGGCTCGAGTACTGAGGTGGAAGTAAGAATGGACGAAGATCACTATGTAAGTCATCAATATCAGAATGGAGCTCAGTCCGGCATAACTGCAACTTACTATCGATTATCATCTGGCGAATATGATTCTGCATGGTACGACGGGGTCAAGGTCGTCATTTTAAACCGATTAACAGCGTAATAGTGATAGAATCTCTAAAATTACCGTTAGTGTTGCGTTTAAATGGGCTCACAGAGTAGTTCGGGTCACCCACTTTGACCTTTGTTGCTATATCTCGCGGCTTCAAGCCCTTCCACTCGTGCAGCAACTTCTCAAACATGCTATATGGGCCCAATTTCAATACTTTACGGCAGATTCCGAACGTCGACAGCTCATCATACGTCATGCCCATATCCACTTCATCCGCTTGCACATAATCTTTCGTTATGGGCTCCAGTTCTGCTGTGGGTGTGGCATTGAGAAAATCCACGAGAATTGGGAGTTCGAATTCCTTTTGCGCCCACGCAATAAATAGTTTCAAATCTTTCTTGGAGATCGAACCAATTGGGTTAATGTCGGCGGACGAGCAGTCGTATCTAGTATAGTAACCACGAAGAGCCCTAAAGGCACATTTCGTTAGTGGTAGGAAGAAAATAATTTGGGGCGGAACCCCAAAGGTCGTTTCGCAGTGAACAACTAATAGTTGTTTGAAAATAACTCACTCGTCGCAATTGGCACTACCAAGGACTAGCAATCCACCTCCTCCAGGCCTCTTTCTGACGGTTGGTAGTAATTGACTGAACTCGTACGCAGTTACCATTCGAGTTCGCGCCTGAATATTCTGAAGTGCAAGATTTTCCGCCTGGGTGCCACCATAAACTTTGAACTTGGGGTCGAATCCTGTTGCTTTAGCAAAGGTGTCCTTCTGAGCATTGAAAATATCGTCAATGTTGAGGTCAACATGATATGCGCCAATTGCCTTCGATAGGTCTTTGGCCCTGCTTCTCGTCTCCTTGGAGGACTGCGATGCCATGCCCATATAGACGGTGTGGAAAATGTTATAACACAGCTCTTGGGGTGTTTTGGGCAACCAGCCTTCCTTCTCATACACTCCAGCAATCCGCTTAACGTCAGTGACGACTTGCTGGTTCCCCTTTTCAATTGCTTCTATAACAAGACGGCACATCGAAAAAACTATGATAGCAGTGGCGCATGAGTCGATTCCACCGCTCAAGGGAACGAGGAACCCAGCAAGTTGGGAACGACGTAGATAATCCCACAGCCAGCATGCAGGGCCAAAGGCAATCTCCTCCTCAGGGAGATGGTATCGGACGTCGAGTCGGGGCGATGGAGAGAGACCGGGGTCTAACTGGTCACTTTCCGCAGATAGGCTGAAAGAAGTCTCGATACGTCTGTATTCAGGAGCGCGGACCGCCTGCAACCCTCGACTGGGTGCAAACCGGAACGCCCTAACCTCCTCTAAATCGACGGTTGCAGTGACCACTTCGACATCGTTCAAAGAGAACTGGGTTCCCTGAGCGACGATCTCGCCATTAACGACAATCATGCTGCATCCATCGTAGTACAGTCGTTCCCCGCCCCCTCCTATTTCCAATCAGCCAAATTTTAAGACCGGAGTAATTGTCATGTTTAGCACGGTGTATTTACCTTGTAAGTTTGAATAAAGATATATTCCTCCACTTTTCCGAGTAGCCTCGAGGATCAGGGAAACACGTTGATCAAGCTTTCTTAAATTATGATGGGATCCAGAACTGTTCGTGAAAATCTCAACGCCGTTCAACCCCATGTCTGCGTGTGGTCCAGCGGGTGTGAATAGCTCCTCGCATGTCTCCGCGCCCAGGCACCTTGGGGGCTGTTAGAAAGGGAACTGCCTATAATTCGGCCTACAAAACTCACGTATCTGGGGTTGAAATGACAGCGTCTCCAAAGGGAACTTTCGTACTGCCTTGAAGCCTCTGGATGATTCGTGGGAGGTAATAGTCCTCCACATGCCGGGGACGTTCCCATGGAGTGAAGTACCTCATTTCGCGATAGTTCCCATCGTTTGCCAGCCAGATTTTGGGACGAATGAGTAAGATCTTGCCATCTATTGCGATAACTCTGCAGTTGAAGCGAAGATTCCTGTGCATGATTGGCATCCCAATGTCCTAGTGGATCGTTAATTCGTGCGTTTGCAAAGTTAATCCTATGCGAAAACTCCAGGAAGTCGGGTGCGGTTTAGTTGCGCCTGGATCCTGGATGCACGGCTAGGGCATACCAGTAAAATCCCATGGCATTCTTCATCAGCGAGAATTCGTGCCATCATTTCCCAAGAATGAAGGTAGACATCGTTCTCGAGGAAATGATCAAGGCAATCATATCCAGAGATCTCCAGCTCCGGGCCTACTCTCAGCTTGGCACCAGCCTGCTTTGCACGCTTGATGGACTCTATGATTCGGGCTGTATTGCCCTCCCAATCAAGGGCCCATTGGTTCAGGGTGCAGGTACTAAACGGGGCTTCGGGTTATTTTTGGGTCGGATGAAGGTCTTCGCGGATGGAATACTTACGCGACGGTAGTGAGATGGCCCATGATGGGATGAAGAAATCGACCTTCCGTTTAGTCTAAGCGAATGAAGACTGGTGAAGCAGCCAAAAGACGGTCGATATTGACCAACGGACCACCCCGCCGGTGATCGAGTCCCAGGCACATCGCGCTTGCATGTCATCCCGCCAATAAGGGCCCTAGCCACACAACCCAGCCCATAGCTTCAGCCACTCTGAAACTCTAAACAGTTTGGCCCAAACAGTCGTCGTTCAGGTTTGACCGTCCTTGAGGTGTGTGCCTTTGCCCTGAAGATGTCTCGACTAGGCCCAGGAGCGCTTTCTCCTTCAAAGCTCTATCTCTTGGTGAAGATGGTCGAACCGGCGTTCCTTTCGTGATCGATTACCCCCGCCTAGCAAGGACGGTGCTCTCCGAGTCGCTTCGGGGCTTGCTTGCCCCCCCCCAAACATGCATCATCGATACCATCTTGTACTCAAGGTGACTACTATATATCCCTAGGCGTGTTTTTACAGTCTACTGCTTGCGTCTCTTCCTATTTCATAACAAGAGACGCCTCCTTCCGCTTACCCAGTGAAGCTTGGAGTATGAATTTTGGAATCTCACGTCGGCGAACCTGAAGTCACATCAAAATAGTCACGTGATGGAAATTGTTGGCTAGCCTGATTGGGTCAGTCCATACGGGGATGCGACACACATCAAACTCCGGGAACCTCACCATCATCGCGGCGTTCATGCATGGAACAGTCCGAGCTGCAGACTCCTACAGCGGCCCGGGTACCATTTCCACTGATCTTGAACAAAGATGAGTGATGCAGAAATCGGTATGGAGCTCAATTGCATCCGCAATGCCGTAACGAGGTTCCCATATCATTACATTCGCAATGACCACGCATGTCAATATCAAAGACTTCCGGGCCTTTTTATAACGTCAAGTTGGACTCCGCGGAAGATATTGGTCAGAGAAGTGAAGCTTGGCCCTTATTCCGTCCCGCGAGGACAGGTTTCCATGGCTTATGTGCGAACCGGTCGGGTTTAACACTGTCACATTGCTCCGACAATTCTTGTTAGATATGTACGCGCTAAGCCTTGTTTCTTCGTCATCTATTCATTCCAGCATGCCCGATACGGCTTCCAGGTATCCTCTTTGGGACCTTCAGGACCCCAAAATGGTGAGTGGCGTGGCGCTACCTCCATAGACGAGCCCCTTGATTCGGAAAGACTTAAAATCAAGGGGTCACGGAGGGATGATATATGAAAAGGGTGCCTGCTGATTTTGCTCTTTCTCTTTCTCCATTTTCCTAACCACCAAGTGATACCCCTTTGCTTTTCTCTTTTGTTTGTCTACTCCTGGGGAGTGTTCTCTTTTCCATTCGCTTGACTTCATACAGTGCAGGCACACCTCGTTTATATTTTCAGACCTGCAACTACTTGATCTCCCGGCCTTTCTTTTTTTTTTTTCTTGAAGAGACCGGTCTCACACACTATTCACAATGGCTCTTCGCGATGTCTTGTTATCGACCCTGCTCTTTGCGGCTGGGATCCAGGCCACGGTTGATGACAGACTTTACCCCTTAAGTCCACGAAAAGCACATGTTCCAGCCAAACGGCAGCTCCCAGAATCGATGGTCAACGTTCATGTAGTGCAGGTTTCGGATAATGAAGGTGCTTTGAAGTTTTATCCCGACGACTTGCAAGTCGAGTTAGGCGAGATGGTCCAATTCCAGTTCCATCCAAAAGTAAGTATTTTCAGCATTACCTACGACATAACCTGCGCTGACTATCCAAAAGAACCATTCCATTGTCCAGTCCACGTTCGACAGACCATGTGAGCCAATGAGCAGATCCACTCCAGGGATGGCCGGAATCCGATCTGGATTTATGCCCGTCGAAGCCGACTCGGAGATGATGCCCGTGTTCACTATCATGGTTAACGACACCAAACCCATGTGGTTCTACTGCGGACAGGGAAAGCATTGCCAAAATGGCATGGTTATGGCCATTAACGCGTAAGCCTCGTGTTGCACCGTGGATCTTGAGAAATACTGACAGCCCTATCTAGTGTTGCCGGTAGCAACAGAACCGTTGAAGCATATCGGGCACTTGCCGCGAAAGCAGACAGCTCGCCTAATGGAGGCCCTAGCAACACAATCCCGAATACTGGTCTCCCAAGTCCCACCGGTAGTGCAGCCGAACAGACACAAAACGCGGCTCCGAAGGCGGCTGCACATGTGGCCGGATTGAGTGGAGTGCTCATGGCTGTGGCCGCCATTATTGCTGGACTTTGAGCACCCTAGGAAAGCCTTTGGGATTGTGATATTTTCAACATATCGTGATGGCATCGCTGTTGTCAGTTTAACCTATTGTATAACGTTTTATTCATGACCCTTTACCTTTTTTTTTTTTTTTGAAAGATGTTTTTGCCATTGTCAACTGTCTTGGCGGCTATTTAAACCTTGGCCAGAATAATAATAAGAAAGATTGTCAATTCCTGCGCTACTTGCGATCAGTCAATTAAGCGCTCTGTACTCCGTAGAAGAACTCTGTAATTAAGCAAGAAGGCAATTGGGCGGTTTCGTAGTGAACTCCTCAACCGAGAGACATGAGAGGCAGTCAGGGCCTTGCTAGCGGCGACAAGAAAACCGCGAACTCTGATTTTTTTAATCTTGATCCGTGACGCCTCGCCAACACGATTATTCAATCTCAACGTTCCGAGGAGGTGTTTGAAGGAGCTTCTAGCCATCATGAATGATGCATCCACGTCTTTGCTTACAGAGCATTTTAGCTACACTCCCTTGGTAAGTATCTCCAGCAATGTCAAACGGCGAAACCCTTTGAAGCCCTGAAGCGGGGGAGAGATGACTGACACCCCGACTGCTTCTAGTCCCTTATCGACGACATAATCAATTCAGTGAATAATCTCATTTACCAAGCGATATCCAGTCTTGAAAATGGCATGCTCAACACGCCGCCGGAGCGATTGGGCTTTCGGCACGCGGACAACTCGATCCCGGACACCGACGACGACGGGAACATACAGTACCCCGAGGCGCGTCTTGAGATCGAGAATGGACTGCACCAACTGGAGACGCTGTTCGAGGCGACAGTAGATAAGGCGTTCGATAAGTTCGAGATCTACGTTCTGAGAAATATTCTGATGGTGCCGGATGATTTGGTGGGATGGATTCGATTGAGCCATCACGAGGTAAGATGGCTTTCATTAAGCACTAGGGATTACACGGCAGAATGTTCCCCTTTATATGGGGCCTGGTTTTAACTGATGGACTAATTGTGGCATGTTTTTTCTGTTCAGAATGTATCGTTTGAACCGCTGCCAGAAGACGCACCTACACACAAGTCCATCACTCTCCAACGCGTAAAACTCCGTGAAACCCGGAAGTTGAATAATCTGCTCCGAAGGGAAAGCGCACGGAACGATATCTTAATAGCCCAGCTCCGCTCCATGCTATCAGTGGGAGAATCACCCAGCGAAAATCCAAAAACTGCGGGCGGAGACGGCCGTACCAGCGCTCTTAATCCCCAGTTGCCCAACTTGTCATTCCTCTTCACCGACCCGGCTGCCAAACAACTTAATGTTGGCGATGATGGTGGTCCTTCACACACTCCAATCACTACGAATACAACATTTATACTCTCACAGCTCCCTGCATTACAGGCGACATTGACACAGCTACGACCAAAGCTAGTAACGTTAGCTACGCCGGCAGATCAGGTAGGAGAATCAGATTCGAAGCGCGAAGAGAGGAGACAATATATCGATAGCCGAACACACCTGCATCTGGAGCGAATTGGTAAATTGGTTGCCGGAGAAGGTCTTCCGAGAGGAAGGACGATCAATGAGAAAGAGGTGCAGACGCTCGAGAATGTCGTGGGAATGCTAACAAAATAAAGACCGTGTTATGGGTTATGTTTTAACGAATGAATAATGCTTTGATACTATGGGTCGGCTGGCTTGAAGGTAGGAGTTGGCGAAATGGTGTTTTGGAATCTATACGGAGTATGGATATGGGGGAGCACGGGTTAATTTACCCAATAAGAGGTATTTTCCTTGCTGATAGAACGCAATGCTGATTGCGGGCGTTTCATTGCCTGACTGCTTCCACCGCCTGGGTACTATGTGGCCAACTGGCTCCATAAGGCCTATATAGTTCCAAGGTCTTGCCTTGACTGCCTCCTTTAGTCCACTGTGAGAACCACTGGGCACATACTGACCAGCTCTCCTGAGGTAGTCATGGAATCTTATCCACTAGGCTAGATCAATTTTCGGATGATGATGATGTTATGCATCAGTGCATGCTGCAACTTTCCAAATGCCAGGTGTGGACAGACAAGCTCAACGGGATAGCTGGAAGGGAGCTTGCTATACGGACGTATAAGACTTATGAATTTTGCTCCATGGAGTAGAAGTGTTTCTTTCACAGGAGCGCGGCCAATAGTAGACAAGCCTGACATAACTACGTACACACTCCGTACCAAGATATTTTCTCAACTAGGATCAGTCATATGAGAGGGATTTTGTCGCTGTGCTTGAGGGCTGGCGTACTCTACTCCGTAAACCCACGGAGCACGGCGTTGGCGCGTGAAACGAGAGTCAGCAAAATAAACTCTTCGGCCAGCCAGCCCGACAACGCTGGTTGGCTAAGCTTGATCCTTGGTTGTGCAACGCGACAGACAAGGAGCTCGAGAACTCCGAGATTCGCCTTCGATGATTTCGAACAGTTTGACTTCCGCATAACAGCACCTTGTGATCATGTCTCCTACGCTTCCAACCCCCGCCGACGGGACTTCTACTCCAGAAGATGGAACGACTCTACTATCCCTAGACGATGGCGAACAATACAACTCTGAAGAAGACTCCGACTTCGATATCAACGCCCCCGCTGAAGACGAAGAAGAGGACGCAACCGATGCAGAGCCCGATGGTCGGCCGCGCAAGCGAAGAAGGGTAACTCCCACCCGAGTGCGAGACGAAGATGGTGATGAATATGTTGTTGAAGGTGCGCTAGACTCCGGCGACGAAGCTACGATTCGAAAAGCGAAGGAGAAAAGAGAGAAAAGGCGGAGGAAGGGAAAAAAGGTAGCCGGAGACCAAGAGAGGGATGGGAATGAGGATGAGGATGAGGATGAGGATGACTTTGACTTTGAAGACGATGACGAAGGCGGTGGAAGAGGAGGATTCGTGAGGACAAGAGCTATGAAGATGAAGATGTACGCATACGCCTTCCTTTCTCCTAGTGGCGTATATCCGGATTTACATGCTAATTGATTGTTTGTGAGCACAGGCAGGAGGAGCAGAAGCCTCTGGCGAGAATAGATGGTGCCACGGTCGATGTCGATGCGCTATGGGCCCAAATGAATGCGCCCGACTTTGGAAAGGAATCGACACCCTCGATGCAGGAGAAACAATCGGCAAGCGAAGACGCCTCCACAGAAACCTTGGAAGATGGCAAGGCTTCTAACCTTCACCTTCCGCCAAAGACACCCGCGAGAGGAGCGGCCCACCCGGGCGAAGAAACTATCACAATCAAACGAACCTACAAATTCGCCGGAGAAGTGATAACAGAGAAAAAAGTAGTCCCGAAAAACTCCGCAGAAGCGAAAGTCTACTTGTCGTCCTCGGACGCAACAAAAGATAACGCAAAAGACGATCAACAGAACGACGAGGCACCGAAAGCAAGCCCCCTTCCACTCCGCAGACCCCTTCGGCGCTACTCTCGCTTCGACCCAAATCCGCCACAAACGTATAGACGAAGCTGGGTGAAGACGTCAGCGTCGCAAATATCCCCAATGATGAAGGAGCAGCGAGATGCCACCACGCCGGTTGCGGGACCTAAGTTGAACACCGTGATGAAGTCGAAACTCGATTGGGCTGCGTATGTGGATAAAGAAGGGATCAAAGATGAGTTGGACGTTCATAGCCGAGCAAAGGAAGGATATATGGGGCGCGTGGACTTTTTGAATCGCGTAGAGGCGAAGAGAGAGGAAGACAGACGGAATGTGAGATTGAAGGGTGTGAAATGATCCTATCTATTATCGACCAAACACTGGCTACCCAGCTGTTCATGGCTATCGTGGATAACCGACATTACGATTCTTACGTCTCGCGGACTATCGGATTAGGTCCCAGTTCGGACATCGATCACTTCAGCATAACCTGATTTAACAAAGCATGGCGCCCGAAGATCAGGAACGAGGATACGAAATTGTTCCTCCTGTCAAAGTGGAAGAATAGGGCTGTTGCAGAAAGGATAGCATGGGGAAAAAGAAAGACAGGATGAAGAAGATAAAAGATCATGTGCAGGAAGAAGAGGTGAAACCAAGAGTCTACAGCTCGCAATAGAGAAGAAACCGCTCTCACAAGTAACGTAAGTATCGCTAGTTGATGATAAAAGAGGTTGGTCGAGTTCATGATTAACAAACCGGCATAGGTTCGCATTCTCGACTCCAAACATTAAAATAAGCTCCAAACAAGTTTTATGGATGCCATTTCCTCCTTGCAATTGGTATAGTCAAGGAGAAGAATATGTGACGGAGACAATGAGGAACTCTCAGCCGTTTTATACCCTAGCGACCAAGCTGCTGGCAGGGCAAAACTAGAGCATCCCTTCTAGAAGAGTTACTACCGACATAACCATCATTTTGATATGATATCCTCAGTGGGCTTGCCCTAGGTTATCGCGAACTTGCACCACCAGCAAGCTCTCAAGGCCACAGTGAGAGGGACAACGTCACCATAAGCAGCTTTGTGAGAACAGAGGGCTAAAACTGTGCATTATTTGAAGTCTTAACAAACAGGAGTGCTTTCCTCCTGCAAAACTATACCAAGTTCTTTTGCTTTCCAAATCTTATCAACCAGCACCCTTCCCAGACTCGTGAATTAGCCTGCTTAAGGGGTCAGTATTGTGCAGATGAATATTAACTACCTCCTTTTTTTTTCCTTTTTTTTTTTTTTTTTTTTTGGAACAGTGTCGATTCTTGCCTCAATTGAAGTCATTTAGTTCTTTGTGAACAGGTAACCTCAAGAATGAAACATGAAGGCCCACAGACTGGAGAGCAGGCCACCATACCTATGACTCCACTGTTCGCCCACAAGTAAAAACTACCTGGCAGTGGGTGTTGTTGTGTAGGAATTTCCCAGCTCTACTGGTAGTTTCTGCAATCCTCCACCTGAGTATGCGATGTCAACTTTGACACCAATCTTTGCCGTTAACCGGCTGGCGGTTAATGTGTGGACCGAGAGCGAAGGCAAAAGCAAAAGGGTGTTTCAAAGTTCAAGCCAAATGTTTGAAGTCCTATCCCTGTTCCTATGCCCAGAGGATCTGAATGGACGGACAGTGCGTGGCGATTTTTACGCCCCATCTATGGAGAACAGCAACCATCACTTTGTGCATGTGGACGCTTTTCTTCAAAGGATACATAGAATGTCGCTTTTTTTTTTTTTTCCGGCCTCGATGGGGCCCTTGTTGCTATCGCACCATTCATGGGCTGCTGTGAAGCAATCCTTTATGGAACTGGGCTTGAACCAACCAAGATAATGGATACGTATTGACGGGCTGTCTCCATCTAAGATGCGGCATCCGCTCCCTCGTGGACTTCTTCTATTGCCATGCTCGAGGATGACCGTATGGGTCCTCATCTGAAGCAAGCTGGATATTTCCGGGAACCTCCTTGGGTGTGGCGTGAAGCCACCTTCTTCCTCCCGAAGCAGATTTTCTCTCCTTTGCTTTAAAGTCTTCCTGTTCTTTTTGTTGCTGTTGAGATTACATGCATGCATCTTTAGAATTGGTCTGATATCCTCTCCCTACACTCTCGGTAGCACTGCACTGATACCCACTCTCTTTTTGGTCTATCATTTCATTACGCGGTACCAGATATGAATTATTTCAAGAACACTATCATCCTGCTCATAGCGCTTGCTGCCTCTGTGCATGCCCATATGAGGCTATACTACCCCCCTCCTTTCGCGGCCAGTAACAATCCTCACCGCACCGGCCCTCCCGACGACCGACTCGACTATCCTTATAACTGCTGCGGCAGAAAAACAGTCTACCCATGTCGTGGCTACCTCGATCTCCTTGGAACCGATCAAGGGAAGCCAGTAGCTACCTGGCCAGCAGGCTCCGTTCAGAACTTCAGTTTAGTTGGAGGCGGCACACACTACGGCGGATCATGCCAGGTCGGCTTCAGCATCGACAAAGGCAAAACCTGGCAAGTAGTCAGCAGCTATGAAGGGAATTGTCCACATCGCAAGGGCGGGAACAACGCTCCAGAAGAGCAGACTTTCCAGTTCAAAGTGCCCTCGGACATGCCTTCCGGAGACCACGTCTTCGCGTGGACATGGGTCAACCGAGAGCAGGAGTTCAATATGGTCTGCTCATCGGTTACCATCTCTGACTCTCTTGAGCCGCCTGTCCCCGGTTACGCCTCCGATGGCTTCTGCGGATCATCTTCGGTCACAGCAAGAGCTGATCCGAGTGCGAACGCAACCGTGTCGGCCTCTCCCGTCGAGCAGGGTACTCCAGCAACCCCGTCCATAGCGGGCACCTTGGACGCTGAGAAACCATTTGACGGCAATGGACAAGGGTCAACACTGCGGTCACCACGTCGCGCGCTGGACAGGCATCGGGGTCGCGCTAGACGGGTGGGTACCGGTCAGATCACAGACCGCGGAATCACTCATCCCGCATACATGGCCCGCCCTGGGTTTCTGCTAGCCAACATTGGAAACGGCTGCAAGACACCAAAGGAGACTGCGGAAGTGAAGTATCCGAACCCAGGATTGGACGTCGTCGCGGGAGATGGAGAGTATCCTCTTGCGCTTCCAGAGCCGGCAGATAAATGTGGAGCATAGATTTTTCGGAAAGCGACTCCGTAACACAGGATAAATACATCGTACATAGTACGGAGTACTCACTAGCGAGCAGGTTAGCTTTGACTAGTTTTAAAACGTTGATCGTGCTGTTTTGCCCTGTCTGCGCCCTTTTGTAGTTTGCTGCGTAAATTCGTCGGGCGTTGAAGCCAGCAAGTCAAAAGGAGCGAACGGCATGCTATTTCAAATCACCCTCGTATCCGCCCACCTAGCTCAGCTGGGAGCCGCAAAGTAACGAAGATCAAATCCAGAGCATCCAACCCTGAGTTTTGCAGCTGGATTGTGAGTATATGTTGGTTTCTTGGAAAAGAAGTGCGCGAGGAAGAAATTTTATGTACTGTTGAAGCCGGCGTCCAGCGTTGCATACAGAATGGGACTCAACGGTTCACGGCGGCCCCATGTCAAGTCCAGGAACGGATGCGCCCAGTGCAAGGCAAGGAGGATAAAGGTCGGTAACCGTTCTCCCGCCCTGCCCCTGTCCTCAATAAACTAGTGATGCCCGGCAGCCATGTGCTCTTCCTCGTCAGATGTTTTTATCAGCATCACTTGGCGTATCGGTCATTTAGTTAAACTGATGGGCCATATCAGTGCGATGAACTGCCTCCGCGTTGCAGGAATTGTCAGAAACGACGGATAAGATGTGACTATGAGGATCTGTTCGGCTTGACCTCTCAGGTTCCAACATCTGCCAAACCACCGGAACCGAATCTAAAGATCTATATACACCCGCTATCTGGCGTCACCAGCGGGGTTTCCTCGAAGACACAAGAGCAAGCTTTGTCACGGGCAGTATCACAGGCTGCCTGTCTCAATGTTCCGCTTGAAAGATCTCTCGGTCCCTCGCCCTTTTCTTCCGAGGACATGGAGCTGATCCACCACTACGCGACCATCACCAGCCTAACCCTAGCCGAGGATGGAAGAAAGAGGAAGCTCTGGCAGCACGCCATCCCACAGCAGGCGCAATTGTTCCCCTTTCTTCTGAACAACCTCCTATCCCTCGCCGCCTTGCACCTGGCTCACCTCCGCCCTTCTGAGCAAGAGAGATTCACCTACCTCGCCGCCAAGCACCAGTCTCAATGCATCAAAGCCGCCCAGCGGCGCAAGCCGGGCATCACCCACGAGAACTGCAGCGCCGTTATCGTCTGCTCCGGATTGCTCCTCCTCCACGAGCTGGCCGTCCTTCACCCGTCCTACTTCGTCCACGCGCGCTCTACTGATCCCCTGGATGAATTCCTCGACAAAGTCCTCTTGATGCGACGCATCCTCATCCTGTGGAAGATGGGAATGCCCATGTTCAAAACCGGCCCGGTTCGTGACCTAGTCCTGCACTCCTACAAGATGCATGGCGCCAGATCGCCCGTGCTGCGTGACGCACGGGCCGCTACTGAGCAGCTGCGCGAGCTCAACGCGTGTCTGACCGGGGGAGAAAATGAGCGAGCAGCATACGCCGCCGCCATCGATCGTCTGTGGGAGTGCTACGAGGAAGCGCTGTGCATACCGTCCGACTGGGTCATGACGATAAGCTGGCCTTTCTACGTGCCGGAATTGTACATCGAGCTTCTTACGCAGAAGCGACCCTTGGCGCTGGTGATCATTGCGCACTTCGTGACGCTGTTGAGCTTTCCAGCAAATAGATGGTGGGCGAATGGGTGGCCGGGTCCTGTGGTCCGAGCTTTGGCGAGGAATGTCGAGGGGCCATGGCGCGTTGCGCTGGAGTGGCCGGCGAGGATGGTTGGCGTGGAGATCTGCAAGGAAGGTTTCGGGACGGAAGAAAAGCAATCGCTGATAGTTATCTGAGCGCAAGAAGCCCAAAACAAGAACGATCAATCTGGTTTGTCAGAATGACGGACTTTAGCAGATAAGTCCGTCCTGCAGGCCGAACCAACAGTCAAATAATGCTGGCTTTCTTGGTGTAAACAAGCGAGTTACAACGAGTTACGGCGATAGTTTAGCAAAGCACATGGCGGCAAGCTAGATAGTTAGCTCGGTCGGTGTCCGTTTCATTATTAATTCGTGAGGATTTCGATGCCTCGTCAGGGGGAAGCAGATAGAGCATATATTTAAGACGAATACAGCTTCGCTCACCAACTAGAAAGCTCAAGTTCTCTCTCTCTGTGTGTGTGTGTGTGTGTCTCTCTCTCTCACACATCCTAGTACGCCTCCAATAACTGTGTCACTGAAGCTATCTTACCCACTAACTGTCTTCTCTCTGCGACCATGTCATTGCCATCGCTGGCGCCAGCGATCTAGCCAAGTACTTCATCGAGGAGCTAATGGCAGCCGCCCAGCCTTCTGCACCCCCAAAGATCGTCGTGATTACGCGCTCGACGTCCTCCAGGCCATGGTTCACCAGCAATCCTCACATTTATTCGAGTGTCCGACTACACCGCATCCTCCATCCAAGCGATTCTCGACGGCACCAACGCCACTGCGCTCTTTTCTTTCCTGCACTCCAATGATCCGCGCAGCTACAACACGGCTCAAGAAGCTATGCTTGCAGCCAGTCGGGCAAGCAAGTCGTGTCGGCGGTTCGTGCCCTCGGACTACGGCGGAGACATCGACAGATTTCCCGGTCTGCCACGGTTCTATGAGCCCACGCACAGAGCGTTCCGCGAGAACATCCTGCGTCACGAGACCGAGATCGAGTGGACGGCCGCCAACCATGGGTGGTTCATGGATTACTTCGTACAGGGAAGTAAAGTAGATCCGACTACATTGCCGTACGGCTTTTCTGGACGATCGCCGGCGACAGCAGGACAGGGTGAGAATGATAATAACAGTAAAGACATCGACTTCTCGATTCCGCGCTCGTACATGAAGCCTCTCCCGGGTATCTGGCCTCTCGACCTCGACTCGTTCACAGCAACGCGCCTGGGAACCGGGAACGAGGCTATCGGCTGGACATCAGCGCGCGATGTCGCTCGCGCCCTGGTGCGACTCGTCCAAGCACCCGCCGGATCCTGGGAGAAGCACACCTACGTAGCGGGCGAGATAGGGACGTGGTACCAGGCCATTTCAAAAGTGGAAAAGTTTCTTGGTCGAAAATTTGTTGTTGTCGATCCGCCATCAGAATAGCAGGAAGCTGTTTGACCCAATCCCTTCCAGTACCATTGGTGGCTTTAGCTAATCCATCAGCCAAAGGCTTATGACCAACTTCCACCATTCCATTTGCAGGAGGATTATCCCCTTGTCCGTAGGTTGAATGTTAGGCTGGCTTCTTGTGGTATATCTTTGAGGAACGTTCTCCATCTCTTCGTCAGAGTCTGCCGGGGTATCACTGAGCTCCATTCCAGGTCTCATAAGGTACTTCTTTAATCTGTTTCCTGCAATGGATCCTTTAATTTCAATGCCATCTAACTCTTCAAGGTGATAGGATCCTAAGTTCCGTATTGGCGGACTTAACCCTATAGGGTCCTAGCCATCAAAAGCGCAGGGTGTTGCTCCTAGACACATCCCATTCTCCCTTGGTATTGTGAAGCAAGACAAGGTCTCCAGGTTGAAGAGGGTTAGTCCGAATATTATAGGTGTAATCAAAGTATTCCTTATTCCTAGCGCGCATTCGGAGCTGATCGTGTGCTGCCTCCACGATATCCTCATCTCGTCTTTCAATTTGGAGTGCTCGCATAAGAAGAAGGTCTTCGGTTGTTCGAACAATTCCCTGGAGCTCCGAATGCGCGCTAGGAATAAGGAATCTTCAGCGGGAGATGGCCAGGGATGACAGCGACGACGACCCCACGGCGCTGTGGCAGGCGTACATGGACGAATGGAATATTACGGGGGCGAGTGCGGTGCCAATGGATATGGTCATGAGACAGCGGGAGAAGTTCTTTTGGGGGCTGAAGTTTCGGGGGATAGGGGAGTTGCTGGAGGATGGGCTGGGGGGAAAGCTAAAGGGCATGGTGTAGGTTAACTGACAGCTAACAAATATATATACATATATATATATATATGCTAACTAACTAGTTAGCTAGTTACCATGATGATGATGCAACGTATCATCTACAATTTTGCTGAACCAAAGGCAAAAAGTAAAAAATAAAAATAAAACAAATAGACAATGATGAAGACAAAATCAGCTAGAAGTTAAACAATGTTTAACTGTCATAATCATTTGAGTTATGACACTCCGTGATTTTCTTTTGCCGGATTTCCATGCCGAAGCCATTTGGTAGTTCAGCTGGAGGAGTTGACCGGAAATTCCGCACTGCTTCAGGAGCTTTTAAGTTGAATTAGCCAGCCAAACCCCACAAACTAAACCCCATATGTCTAGAAATCTTCTGGTTTGGATCGAAGTAGATAACTGGTATCCGGGCCAATATCATAAGCAGCTGCTCCTGTGTGTGTTAGTTACGGCCGCGAGCTAGGGTTTAATTCCGCTCCTTGACGGCCACCGCGCGGTTACAGCACCGAGATGGACAGGAGAGAAGCAATGGGCCATACTAGTGATCCTTATTCGTTTATCCCCAGAGTCCGCCATGATTCCGGAGTCAATTGCGGGGGATTCTTGACTGGCGTTTTGAGCTCTACCCCGCGTGTCTCTTTCTCTCTATATATATATATATAATATTGTGGTATGAGCTTCTTTGTCGGGAACCTGGTATCACTTCTCTTTGAAGTTCTGGAGACATTCACTTTCAAGAAGACTCAAAAATGGCAGTCGAAATCCTAGAGGATCCTCAATTCGAGATCCCCAAGACCTGCAAAGCGGGTGTTGTCCACAATGAAGGCCCTGAATTCGTCTTGAAGGTGGAAGATGTATCTGTGCCCGAGCCTGGTGAGAAACTTTTATGTGCCTGGTTATAGCCTCATATAAAAAAAAAAAAAAAAAAAAAAAAAAAAATCTGACTGCTGCTAGGACCCGATGAGGTCCTTATCAAATTAAACATCACCGGCCTCTGCTACTCCGACATACACTTCATGCTGGGGGACCTGGGAGGGCCTACAATGGCAGGGAACAACGTCCGATCGCCTGGGCACGAAGGCGCTGGTGTTGTTGTCAAGGTGGGCTCGAATGTGAAGGGCTGGAGAGTCGGTGACAGAGCGGGCGTGAAGCCGATGTGGGATACATGTGGTGCCTGCGAGCTGTGCTGGGGCGACAAGGAGACTTACTGTCCCAAGTCCATCTCCACGGGTCTACAGGTCTCTGGAACGTATCAGCAGTATATCACGAGTCCGGCGAGATACACGACCCCGATCCCCGACGGTGTTCCTGATGAAATAGCCGCAGTGAGTTGTTAAAAAAAAAAAAAAAAAAAAAAAAAAAAAAGAAGAAAAAATGCCCTTCCCCCCAGACTTCCCATTCAATGCTTGATGTATCCCGTTCTCATCGGATACACTGACAGCGTGTGTGTAGCCCATCATGTGCAGTGCTTCGACGGTGCTCCGCAGCCTTGAGGAGTCCAAACTCCGACCGGGTGACTGGGCGGTGTTCCCGGGGGGAGGAGGAGGAGTTGGCATCCAGGGGGTCCAACTCGCCCAGGCCATGGGAATACGCGCGATTGCAATCGATACCGGGGACGCAAAGAGAGCACTGTGCCTGGAGATGGGTGCCGAACACTTTGTTGACTTCCGCGAGAGCAAAGATGTCGCGAAAGAGGTCGTGGAACTCTGCGACGGGATCGGTGCCCATGCGGTGTTTGTGACGGCGCCACAGGCCTACAGGGACGCTATCTCTTTCACCGGCAGGCGGGTTGGGTCCAAAGTGATGTGCATCGGGCTCCGTAAGTTGCCTCAAACCGTGGAGATAAAACTATAAAAAAAAAACACCAAAGTCTGACCGAAAGGGGGTTGGGTTGAGTTTTGTTCGAGAACAGCATCGGCGAGTGAATATGTGTTTGGGGCGCACCCAGCACAGTTTGTCTTCAAGAACATGTCGGTCGTCGGTACGCTGGTTGGATCGATGAGGGACACGGCGCGGGCGCTGGACTTTGCGAAACGCGTAGGTCAACGATACGACGTGTCTTGCTCATGGATGGTGCACTGACATTTAGTAACACAGGGACTGTTGAAGCCGATCTACGAGAAATGGCCGATCGCCCGGATGCCCGAAGCCGTCGAAAAACTCCGACGGGGACAGGTCGCGGGGCGATACGTAGTCGACTTCAACGCATAATAAGTGGTGATCGAAGTAACCGCCACCCAATATGGAGTTTAGGAACTATAGGCTCGAGCCCAGACTCGGCTCTAGACGTGAAGACACCGGAAGAGAAAAAAAAAAAAAAAAAAAAAAAGGAAAAGAAAAGAAAAGAGAAGAGAAGAAAAGAAAAAAGGAGGCCGGGATATGTTCATTATTACTCCACTGAGTATGGAGTATGAAGGAGGAAGTAAAGCCGACCGTAGGGGCCTCGGATTGATGCTTCAAGCAAGCCATGTGAAATGCATTTACGGAGAAGGGGGTTTCTTTTAGAAGTGCATATGTATGTATGTATGTATGTATGTATGTATGTACTCCGCAGAGTACAGTAGATTATCTCCAGGCGAGGAGGAAGCGAGAACAGGGCTCCGCTTTAATTCAAAACTGTTGGGGAGAGCAATACTGGATGGAGTACTCCGTAGTCCTGCATTGTCTCCATCCATGGAGTTTAGTGTCTTCGAATTGCGGCAAATTCGGGGGGGTGTCCTTCACGTGAAGATGGCCTATCTTGTGAGAGGAATAGAGGCAAAAAGAGAGAGTGAGTGATTGTGTGTGTGTGTGTGTGTGTGAGAGAGTGTGAGAGAGAGAGATATATAGAGACAAGAAAGAAATTGAGTACAAAAATTGAGTACAATCCAGGCAGCGAAAACCAAAGTTGATTGCTGGGACAGTTGACATTGTCATGACGTTTAAGAATAGAGAGAACACTATGCGCGAGAGTTTCCTGGTGTCTCAAAAGCCCCTGGGGAGGGACATGGCTGCAAATGCATGCATGGTTACATAGGAGAGTGTTTTCCACGGAATGCCGAGCTTGATTATGTACAGTTATGAGGCAATTCTTGTTGAGCAGCGATGGATGTTGACAGCAGACGAGAGAAGGCTAACTACAGAGCACTCCTCAGGTTCTCACAGAGACAGCGTATCTCTCTTTACTGGCTAAACTGACTCGAGGGTGAATGTGACAGTTCTGACGAATATGACTGAATGAGTGACTGACAGTTCTGACTTGAATATGAATGAATGAATGAATGAATGATTGAGAGTGAAGTGAAGCGAGCCGAGGAGCCTGGTGGAGGGCGGTGAGGGCGGTGGGTTTGCCCGTTGAGGTGGCAGAACCCCGAATACCAAAAACCAAAAAAAAAAAAAAAGTGTGAGAGAGAGAGAGAGAGAGAGAGAGAGAGCTGGCCGTGGGTAGGGCTGAGCAAGACAAAAAACACAGCCCCAAGCCACCTGCTATGGATATGTATATCATCTTGTTCTCTGTATGTGCTTTCTTTTTTTTTTTTTTTTTTTAAATCTGAATGCTTCAAAAAAACTTCTTCATCTGTCTGGACTTTTGTTGTGTTCAAAAAATCATCGATCTCGACAATGACGCCATCGATACCAGAAATACACCGCCCACCATCCCCCGCTAAGCCTGATCGGGAAGCAACCTCGGCCGCCTCTCGCCCCGCCATTGGCCAATGGCTCCCGCTCACCTGTATTGCTTGTTTTCCCAACAAACCAAGAAAACCATAAAAATTACAGTTACGGATCACAAGGCGGCTCCTCGAGGCTCTTCCTCCTCCTCCGCCGCCGTGTACTGTACCAGTTCGCCCCCCTTCCCGCTTATTCTTCTTCTTCTTCTTCTTCTCTTCTTCTTCTTTTCTTCTTTTTCTTTTTTCTTCTTCTTTTTCTTCTTCTTTTCTTGACCATGGCTCTCTTCCCCTATCCCCTGTTCCTGACTCCACTGGCCTTCTTAGGCTCAATTCCCTTGTAGTATTGCCATTGCTTCCCCTTCTCTCCCCCCCCAAAAAAAAAAAAATCACCTTTGGAAACAAAACAAGCCCTGGGTCACACACCATCTGCCCGTCTGCGATCGCGCCCGCGCCCGGCGATCCTTTCCCTCTACCTCTCTTCCACTGAAAGCTTGCTGCTGGGTGAAGAAGTGCATCATCGCATCATCATGTTCTGATCCACCCGCCCGCTCAATTCTAGACACCAACCTTCTCTTGCTCTGGCTCCCAAGCCACCAGTCCACAGCCACCGGTCCAACAAGCGGCCGTCATTCTTAAAAAGCTCATCGTTGCATCCCTCCTCTTCCCTTCTCCCAAATTGCCCTTTTTTTCTTTTTTCTTTTTCTTTTTTCTTTTAGCTTCTGCAGAGAGTCACTCTAGCCACGAGAACCTGCAAGTATGGGTCTGTTCCGCTCGACAGAGAGGCCCGATCTGCCCTCCGTTCACCTGGGCCTTCCGCCGCGCTCCCTCCTCAGATTCCCTCCCGGCTCCCAGCCAGGGACGATCCCCGCTCCCCCCGTCGAACGGTCGTGGCTGCAGCCCTTCACCATCCCCCCAAAGCTGTACAACGACGCCCTGAAGGTGCAGGTTCCCATCACAATCGCCCTCGTCTACGCGACCACCGTCATCCTCCTCAACCGCATCAACAAGAAGAGAGGCAATAGGCCGTGGGCCATCAGCAAGACCAAGCCATTCCACCTCTTCGTCGTCCTGCACAATGTCTTCCTGGCGGTGTACTCGGCGTGGACCTTCCTCGGTATGTTGGACGCTTTCCGCGAGTCGTGGCCCGCCCGCTCCGAGATGCACGGCAGTGGCCTGGTCAACGTCGTCGACGCCTTCTGCAAGATCAACGGCCCCCGGGGCCTTGGGAATGCTGCCGTCTACGACACCGACGCCGGCTCGTGGACTATCTTCAACCCTGAGTACAAGTTAGGACCTGGAAATGTTCCCGATCCGACGGACGTCGGCAGACTCTGGAATAAGGGCCTCGCCTTCTTTGGCTGGATCTTCTATCTCTCCAAGTTCTACGAGGTTCTGGACACCGCCATCATCCTCGCGAAGGGGAAGAAGAGCTCTACCCTGCAGACTTACCACCATGCGGGCGCCATGATGTGCATGTGGGCGGGTATCAGGTTCATGGCCGCTCCCATCTGGATCTTCGCGCTCGTCAACTCCGCCATTCACGCACTCATGGTAAGGTGATCCCCGTTCCTCTCTTCCCTCCAAAAATTATGTGCCAACAGGACGATGCTGACTTTTTACCCTTTTTTTTTGGTCCAATAGTACACCTATTACACCTTGACTGCCCTCAGTGTTCGAATCCCAGTTCGAATCAAGAAATCTTTAACCACGATGCAGATCCTGCAGTTTATCTTCGGCACCTCTCTTGCCGCCAGCCACCTCTTCATATACTACTCTATTCCATTCCCCGTCCCTCATGCGGTGGCCCTGCGCCCGTTGGCATCGGTCATGCCTTCTGTCGCTGGGGCTGCCAACGAGAGCCAAGCTGGGGTAGGTTCGTGGCTGAAAAAGCTCGCACTTCGCGCTGCCGGTCATGAAGGCGTAGCTGAGAACATCGTGAACTCAAACGGCACGCTCTTTGGACCCGATGGCATGCAGGCGGCTCAGGCAGCCCTGGGCAAGCAGGAGATCCGCTACGCTCTGCAGTCTCGAACCTTCACCTGCATGGACACCAGCGGACAGGGCTTTGCCATATGGCTGAATGTGTTTTACCTCCTGCCTCTGACTTGGCTGTTTGCACGTTTCTTCATCCGCTCATACCTCCGCCGCACCGAGACCGCGGCGAAGCGCTCCCTGACCGACAGCCTCGCCGCTGAGAAGGCGGGACTCGACGCGCTCAAAGGTGTCACCCGCGAGATCCAGAATGCTGTCATCGAGATGCACGGCGATGGAAACGGCACCACGGACAACGAGTCAGGGGCCAGCACCCCGCAGCACCCAGAGGCGTACGAAGCAAACGTCGAGAATATCATGAGCGCGAGGCAGGCTCGTGCAGAACGACGATACAGCGCAACCACCAAGCACCCAGTGGGCATCAGTCTCGCAAAGGGAGATTCGGCCGGAACGCGGACGCCCATGGATCCTGCCGCCTATGGGGCCAACATCGAGGATATCATGACGCGGAAGCAGCAGGGAGTGGAAGAGAAGGCCCACCGTGTGGCCAAGCACCCGGAGCCGCCACACCTATCGCGTAGCAGCAAGGAGGGGATCCGGACGCCACTGAACGAGAGAGGATACGAGGCAAACTTGGAGGACGTGATGTCCCCGGCGCAGAGGAAACTCGGCGGGCGCCAGCCTTCTTCAGAGCCAAAGGAGAAGACGATGGAGGCGCCGTGGGTCCCCGTCCGCGGCAGCAAAGCTGGAAACAAGAAGGGCACCAAGGCCGGAGGCAAGACGGGGGCGTCGTCGTCGTTGTCGTTGTCGTCGTCGCCGACCAAAGGCAGCGGGTTCAAGGTCTTGGCCGATGAACACGTGGGGACTGCTTGAGAAAAATCATTAGTGGTCTTGCGTCTGAAGGAAAAAAGAGTCCGGCGCGAGGCGGTTGAGCAAGTTCTCGTAAAAAAAAAAAAGGACAACAAATGCCAAATGATATCCCACATAAGTCTTTATCTTTTCCTTTTCTTGCTTTCTATGTTGTATTTATGCATTTATTTTGATTTACTCATGGAGAGGCGGGCAAAAAGGCGACCAGCGTCCTGGTTTTAAGGGTTCTTTTTCACTGGGTTTTCTCATTTTCTCTTCTTCTTTTTCTTTTTTTTTTTTTTTTTTTTTTTTCCCTTCTTTTCCCCGGGGAGGTATTTCGGACACACACCCAAGACACGTATATATACCTACTATAGCCAAGAGAGAGACTCTTTTGGCATCAGTCCTGGAGGAGCGCGGGAGGCCGGTGCGGCTTTGCGTCAGGAGACTATCAAGTTTGTTAAAGCTATCCAGTGTCGCTCCAGAAGCAGAATACGGTGGGATGAGCTCATCCTACCGCAGGCTGATCTGTACGCACCGTCAGCAGAGAAGTTTTCGAGAGACCACAGAATGAAAGAAATTTCGGCCGGAAAACCCCTCGGCAAAGTGATGACCACTTTTTTCTTTTTTTTCTTTTCTTTTCCTTTGTTTTTTTTTTTTGGCCAAATACATGGTGAAAAGTAGAACTGAAGGAAAGGCGTAAACATTACCTCCTCACATGCGATTTTCGTGGCCTATTAAGTATTAGCAGCTGTGGAAACCTTGATTGCCTCCTTCACGAGCCAAAATCAAGCTCTTGCGAATAAGAACCTGAAGAATAACATAATTTCTAGCTTGAAGCCGAAACCTTGTGAACAGAGTTACCTTTCCGCGGTTGTTCCCACAAGCTTAAATCTCGCCAAAAGTCAGAGTTGAGATTCAAGCAAAATCGTGCCGAAATCCACCCCACACCGGCAACTCGACATTGCGCATTTCACCAGAGCAGTTAAACTTAACTGGTTAGTTTAGTTAAGTCGGGACAAATTTGGCGTGGGCCAGCACTTCGTCCACTGATGCACAAACATATCGTGCCAAATATCAGATGCCTTGCTCTCCACTCCATGACAGTGCAGCTGGCAGCGAGAGAGAAGATGAGGGGTTGATGGGCGAAGCAAAAGGCTTCGATCGCGCGTCACTGGCGACCGAGAACAGAACGCGTGTCTCGGTGCGCCCCCGTCGGCTGGGGAATTTGAGGCTCGACCCGAAGACAGTGTTATAAAGCAATGGCTATTAGTTATGGCAGCTCTGAGAGAATCACAAGTGTCTATGACTCGTTTTGGAAGAAGTTGGGGAGAGACGAACGAACGAAACAATTCGGCTGACTCAAGCGGCCCATTCTGTTATTTAGTTAGTTGGGGATGTTGAACTCGCCCCCTAGGTGATTGGCCTTCTTCTATTAGCTAGTTACATTCTATGCTGCAACCACAGAGTATCTAGTACCATTAATTAAGACTACCCCGATGCCTCTTACGGCGAATAGTACGGAGTACAAACGCCAATAAACCAAGCAACCCAGTCGTTGTCGCCAAGAAGATGCCAATTCTCGCCTCCAACGTCGATCCACCTGGCCCTCGGCAACTGTACGGAGTATAGATATCCTAATTGGGATAACAATCCGAATGCGAATCTGTTGCTTCAAGGAACTGTCACGCGGCATGCAAAACATAAATGGATCAGATTTTTGTCTTTGGATTCGTATCCTAGGGGATGTAACTGTCAGGCAACACATTTTCACCTCCTTCTCTTTGCATACCAAGGACACGCCCTCCACCCGGACAATCGAACCGTTCCTCATTCAACAATGAAGCACCTATTCCAATCCCATTGTCATCAGACAAACTACCCTCCTGTACTCTCTTCTCTTACTATCATTTACAGCTAATATTCCATTCTGCTCACCGCTTCGTTGACCATTCACAATATGAGTCATCATGCGGAAGAAACTGAACGTTAACGCCCAAGACTACCCGCAGACAAAATTTCGGCTGCACATAGTCATCAGTGCATTGATCTTGATAACTTTCATTCTGGGAATCGTCCGTGTGGCCGACAGCGGTACTCCTCAAGGCAGGTTGAACGTGGCAGCGTACATCCCGGAAGACTCCCATAAAGCACCCTGGGATACAAGCTGCCATAGGCGGGCAGCTGGATCGAGAAAAGTTCACGTTCAAATATGGTATATTCTTCCGTATAAGAAGCACATACGACCATAGGAAGTGGAAAACAGGGCTTCCCGTCCGCTCAGCCGTACTTAAGCCACTTGCCGGCCGGCTAGTAGTTGGGTGGGTGACCACCAGCGAATCCCGGCTGTTGTATGTTTTTTTGAGCTCCTGTCAGTTTCTTTTTGGATAGGTAGATGATGAGCTCCTGTTTGCCGGACTGAGACATCTCGCTCCATATCTTGAAAACAGGAACACCTGCTGCCCTCTCCGTAATAATATATTCCGCACCCACGTGGTTCCTAGGATCTGAGGACCATGTGTAGGCCTTTGGGACCAGAACATTTGTATGTTGGCTCCCTATGAGATGCATGGTAGGTTAACAAATGTTGTGGAATGCAAGATAAGTTGTATCCAGTATTTCAAAATAGCTACCTCTGATTTGGTAGTGTACACCGCCGGTCCAGAGTTGCAACATGGAATTTTTGCAATAATCTCCATTCCATTTTCTTTTTTAATTAAAATGGCCTTGCTGAAGCCACCTTCCATCTTTTCAACCACATTAATGAGAGATGCTTCTCCTCCCGCTGCGGCAGCGACAGCACAGAGAGGATCCTGGTTGAACTTCACATAACATCATTCAAATATGTATATATATGTATATATATACCTCTCATTAACAAGGAAATTTCCATTTGCATACTCAAAGAGTTGGTCGTCAGTGGTGGGCTTGCCAAGGTTGTATTAGCCAGTAAGGAAAGCAGGCTGTGTTGCTTCAGTGTGTACCATGACAAGAGATTTGTATATTCCGCCTTATTTGTTTCCCCGGAGCATTGATCTTTTGTAGGAGGGAGAAGATGTGATTTCGCATTGTCAGCCAAGGCTTGTCTCACACAGAGTGGAAGAAGTGAAGTTGAATGTATGGAGTAGACTTGCGTTTCCAGGCTTAGCCTACTGATATAATCAAAACTAGTCCCCTTCTGGTACTAGTGGGAGGGACTGAGTTTAGTTGGGGTAACACCGGGCTGCGCACTGAGAGAGCGCAATATCAAGCCTTGGATCAGTCCAGGCAGCTGTGGCATTTACGCTAGGTCTTCCATATCCTCAGCATACGTTATTTAGTAAACACGGTTACCAAATCGATACTGTTGGTAAGTGCTCGATGACGATTGTCGACTGTACACCCGCAATGCTAACGCTAATGACTCCAAATACGACAGCCTCGAATGTAATGAGGTACTTCGAGGGTTAAGGTATAATCTTGGATGTATGCAAGTACAGTCCGGACACTGGACAATATCCACATAGCACTTGTCCCAAAATAGACTGACTGTTGGGACTGGGATGGGATGGGGATTTTCCAACAACCTAGAACCTGTTTCATTACTCACAATCCTATTCCCATCCCGATCTACAGAATAGCTTTCCAATCCTGTCTCAATTTACAATTTCATTCTGTCCCAGTACAAGATTTGGACTGGATAGAAATCAGAAAATCTGGTTCTGATGCCAAGACTCTATTCTGCGTCAACTAGCAAATACTTTAAGATGTGTGAACTCATAAAGAGGAAGAATAGAAATTCAAGAATCTTCACCTGTATTATGGGAGGTTGCTTATTTACACATAGGCCACATCCACTATGTCGCGTGTGGAGGTTGGGGTCAGATCTAAAATTATGCGTTGGCTGAGCTGTTTCCTGTGTTTTCCGCTCTGGTGTTTTGACGGCGCTCTCGATGTTTGAAAGATCCAAAGATTGAACCTCCATGGTGAGAACTGGTCCTGTCAACTTGTCAACATTGTCCTTGGAACAATTATGGGTGTGAGATGCCACATGTCTCTTCTCTACTTGTTTAAAAGACTAGGTCTGAAACTCATCCAGCCTGGCCAAACTTCACCAACTTTCTGGACACACACAACATGCGGGCTGCGTCATCAGAGTACTACTTGTAGTATCTCGCAAGCAGCAATGTCAGCAAACATGTCTCCAACATGTAAGTTCCACTCTAAGTCTCAATTAGCATATTCTGACAACATAATATAGCACTGTTTGCCTACACCGCCGGTCGGTGGCTACACCTTGACAAACCGCAGCGCGACGCGCGGTACATTGAATCCAATTTCGACCGCCTGTGTGAGAAAGTACTTTCACTCTGCCCCTCTGGCACCTCAATTGAAAGCTGCCAGAAGCTGGAGGGTGGGTTTAGCAAAGCATTCATCATTAAAACCAACAATGGTAGACGTGTTGTTGCCAAATTTCCCACATCTGTTGCTGGACCAGCAAGATATGTGACAAACTCTGAAGTTGCAACAATTACTTATTGTAAGAGAAATTCAGTATATTTGTGAGATATCTAGTACTAACTTGTGCATGCAGTGCAATGCAATACCAAAGTACCTATCCCAGCCATTCTGGATTGGAGTGATGATCCAACCAATCCCATTGGCTCAGCATACATTATCATGGAACATGCCGGCGGTGTTCCACTACAGGAAGCATGGGCAGATATGCCATCAGACAAGAAAGTAAAGTGTATTGGAGCAATCTGTACAAGTATTCTGCCAATATCTGAACTTGACTTTCCGGCATATGGCAGCCTTTATTTTGCTGATGCTTCATTTCTTGATGCTGATTCCAAGCAAAAGTTGGATAATGATCTTAAGTACTGCATTGGGCCGCATTGCAGAGGGAGTACCTACTGGGATTGCAATGTTGGTGAACCAAGATACTACACATTCAAGGAACCAAATAGAGGACCATGTAAGATGATCTTCTTTCCATTCACATTCTTCACTCGTTAAATTTGACTCCTTAGGGCGCAACCTCTCCTCATACGCCTCTGCTTTAATCGATTCCGGCCTTGCGAGACTGTCATCAGCCGATCATCCTATTCTCTGTCAGCAGCGAGCATCCTACCAAGGCTCCGTGAACCGGCATCTGGAGCTGCTCAAAGTGGGCCAGGCTGTCTTCTCTGAGTTATTACAACACCCTGATATCAAATCTAATGCAACACCGACCCTCTTCCACCCAGATCTACACAAGAGGAATATTTTCATCTCTAAAGATGATCCCACCACCGTGACTGGGATTATCGATTGGCAATGCGCCAGTGTTGAGCCAGCATTCTACTACGCAGATGATGTGCCTGATTTTGCCAAAGTCCCTCCTGAGGGGACATCAGAGTCTGCTGAGGAAACGCTTTGCAGCCAAGCATATGAACTAGGCTGGGCCCTTCTGGCTCCACGTCTAGGAGAAACCAGAAAGATTGATGAAACACTCCTCCGGCCATTTCGCTATTGCCATCGGACGTGGAGAGATGGGTTTGTACCATTCACCCACGAACTGATGCAGCTAAGAGATGCGTGGAAAGAGCTTGGCTTTAAGAAGGACTGTCCCATGCCGGCCCTGAGCCCGGAGGAGATGAGCTTCTACAAGGAACAGCTTGGTATCTACAATGGGATGCTAGAGTTTAGGCAGGATATGGTTGAGACCCTGGGAGTGGAGGGGGATGGCTGGGTGTCTGAGGATCGCTGGGAGGGAGTGAAGAAAGCTCATCAATATTTCTATGAAACTATTATGGCAAGTATGGAGAATGACAAGGACCGCGAGGAATTGAGGACAATGTGGCCGTTTGATCAATGTCAAGCTTGAAATGGACTGGATAGTTTTGGACAGTTGTGATCTTATCAATGCTTTAAGCTCCCGTGCAGCTGTATTAGATTTATAGTTGTTACAGAGGTAATAGTAACAAGTCAAGTAGAATAGGAGGGCGTGCATCAGGCAGAGAGAGAATGTTACAAGATCCTTAAAATGTGTACCAGAGTAGTCCCAAGTCACTGATGCTATCTTTCTCCAGAACTTTGGTATGTATGTACTGTACATACATTCATACATAAATTGAGCGAGGATGCTCTTGTCACGGATACTAACCAGCAGCCCTGGGAATACACCAAAAGGCAGAGGGTTGGTTGCATTGTTTGCTCTAGTGACACAGTGGGTAGTCAGGCTACTCAGTGTCTAAATTGAATACATCATGCACAGATGGTATCCATTAACTCCACCAGGCCAGCTTCTTTATTAGATCTCTTGGGGTTCTCCACCCATTCTTTTGATTTTCAACCCCGAACAATAATAGCGTATAAAGTCTCTTGCACGGGAAAGAATGAAGACGTTGCCAACAGCACCTGGATTCCAATGTGGGATATACAGGTAGGTTGGTTCTAGAATCTAGATCAGTGGGTTTCTGTCTGGGTGGTGAAGCAGTCAAAGCGTCACACGATGCCCCCTTCTCAACCAACAGTTGGAGGGACTTCAGCTGAGTGATCCAGAAAGATATCACCGGTGAATTTAGGTAGTGACCCAACAGGAGAAACAGAAGAATATGGAGATAGAGAAGAGCAACTCTTCTCTCAGTGTGAACAACTGGGCCATATATGTTCTAGTGAAAGTAGAGGAATCCATCTTATGGTGTATACTTGCCACAATTGGGAGTGTATTCTGCCAGATGAGGGACCAGTGGGGAATGCTGAGATGGGGAAAGGATAAGGCAGATGGTGAGGACGGTAAGAATGGGTGAGCAAAGGTTGAGAACAGGGTGAGGACACAGCAGCCAGCCTCTTGCACTACCTCAGAACAGGAACATCCAGATTCACTGATAACTATGGGTTATATATATATATGTATGTGCATGTATAAATATGAGAGATTCTGGAGCAAGGGCAAGCACGAAAGCCCATCTCAAAGATTTTCGGAGCATCTATGATCTCTGTTGCTTGAACTATCCAAGAACATTGGTAGATTATGTTGAGCTCCGCACCATTGCGCTCCGCTGTGAAGACGGATCCGACCGGGAGCGGCGGAAAGCAAAGAGCAGAAGATCAGAGGCGCAGAGAAGAATCAGATGGCAAATAGAGGCGGCGGAACCCCGCCGTGATCGATTGCGTAGAGCGGGCCATGACTAGGCGAGGGCGGGAGATGATGTCAGGAGGAGGGCTCCAGACCGGCGGACGCCCAGCTCGGATGGAGCGGCTGGCTATTCTAGACCGCCCGGCATGTCTCCACGGACGGACGACCCTCGTTTCGGGGTGATGGCAACGGTGATAGGACTCTATACGGAGCAGTGATGACAATGATGAATGGTGGTGGTGGGTTCCCTGAGTGCCGGATTCTAATGATGCGGTTGAAATTCAAACCCCCCGGGTTGGCGAGTAGGCTCTTGGCGTGGGGTGGTGCGAGGGCACCCAAGGGGTTTTCGAGGTTGAGGTTCTTTAGGTGTACTCCGTACCCCGTAGAGTGCAGGGTTTTGGGGGGTGCGCCGCTGGCTTGTACTCTGGAGCTACCTGGAAGTTAGGGAGCAGCCTTAGGGGATGGTTAGGGTGTTTGGAGCCCGGACGGCCAGTGGACAATGCCCTGTAACTCGCTAACGGTGGGTTGGCTGCGCCCCGCTCTGCCCAGCTACATATTACTCTGTATGTACTCCGTACAGAGTACGTACACCGGAAGTGCCCAGCGTCGAGTGACTATGTAATGAGTCGTGAGTCGCAACCTCCCGGCCGTGGGTTGGTGTCAGGGCCGTGCTGAGTCAGGGACGCTAAGCTGTTTTGGGAGCCCGCGGACGAGGACTGGCCAATCAGGGTGCGCGTTGGCCAGCAGCGGGCGGGAGATCGTGGTGGGGCTGGCGCTAGGCCGGGCTCGGACTAGCTGGTATTTGACGCCAGTTGCTGATTGGCTTGGTGGGTTGTTTCCCCTATTCTCAATCTTACCATACCAGAACAGGCTGTCTTTACTCCTCTTCGGTCTGTCTGTCTCACTCTCACTTCGTTCTCACTTCACCTCACCTCACTTCACTTCACTCCCTCTTCTCTCCTCCCTCACTCTCTCACTCTCACACACACACACTCTCTCTCACTCGTTCTCTTGCTTTCTCACACTCTCTGCCCCTCCCCCCTTCACCTCTTCCTCTCTTCTTCTTCTCTCATCGCTGGCGTTGACCTTCATCCTCTTCCCTCGCTCCATCCATCTCCGCACGCCTTCTTCAGCTGCTCCTTCAAGGGGCATTTTACCCGTCAGCTCCCTAGCCTCCCCTCCAACCCCTTCGATTCTATTCAGCTCGTTTCCCCCCATTTGATTTTTGAAACAGTATATCTTTGTCCCTTGTCTTGCTTCTCCATTTGGTGCTGTCGCAGCTGCTGTTTCTCTTTTTTTTTTTTTTTTTTTTTTTTCCTTTGCTTTTTTGTTTCTTTTGGTCGTCATCCTTGACTGCTGTTGACACGAGCCAGTGCTTTACCCTTGTTTCTCCCACTTTTCTTTTATTTTTCTTCTACATTTCTCCAAGCCTTTGGACCCATACGAATCTATCGAAGAATCGCCTCGTTGCATCCTCTCTTCTCGCCGGCATGCGTGTTCGCCGTGGTTGAAAGCATCGTCCACTCGGGGCGTTGTCTCAGCGGCTGTTTGTTTTGTTACATTTCACGTCTTGGTGAGACCCTTATTCTTCCCGCTGTTCATGCGAACCCTCTTCCTCAAACCCCCCACTCCTCTCTCTGTCTCTCTCTCTTTTCCCCGCTCCTACCGAAATCGTTTCGATCACTGCGCCCTCCTCGACGATCCACTTCCCGGCAAAATATAGAGACCACCTTTGATTTTCTTTGGAGGGTGGCTACGAGGGGCTGAATGGTGAAGAGTTTCTGGCTGACTAGAGTGATACTGATAGATTGTCCTCCTCGCTACTCACTTTCCCCTCGCTTACACGTCCTGTTGTGATCACTTTAGCGTCGCCGGATCTTTAGATCTAGACTTGCCCTCTCGCTTTCTCGACCTATTTACAGCCCACCCCCCTTCTTCGAACTATAGAGCAAGTGTGTCAAACATGGCCGCATTGGTTCAAACGATCCCCCAGCAAGCTACTACTATCACCTTGCTTCAACCCCGTCCCGCCTCTTCCTCTGGCACCTCGCAATTGCATTCTCAGCAGCAGCAGCAACAATACCAAATGGCTCGGAATAACCAACACCACCGGCAGTCCTACAGCGGCGTCGGCCCCGTCCCAGGCTACAGACATTCCTCGTCGTCTTCCCCGTCAGCCCAGCCCGTCGCACCTTACGCCTTTACCAGCACTCCCGGTTTGGCCAACGCTGGTAACCAGTTATCACGCCCACACAGCCTCTCTCAGATGAAAGCGGACAGTTGGAGCCACGCGTCGCAGACCGACCTCTCCCCGACATACCCTGGCGTTATCCCCTCTCGTACACATTACCATCATGCTGCTGGTTCGGTATCTACTAATTCTTCTGCATCTGGCACATCATCCGCCCATTCCTCACGTTCAAAGGATGACCTGGCCTTACCTTCCCGCCACCTGAAGCCAGACCGTGTTCCACGCCCCCTCTCTACCATAGATATGTCTTTGCCTTCTATCCCCATCTCAATGCCTCCTGCTCCGTCCTCTCCATCATCGAAACCTTCTCCTGATCGCTACCGTCGTGGTCAGCGACGTGCTGAGCCGGCAAGCCTGACTCCATCTGCGTCAACCACCGTCGCTGCAGCGCCGCTGAGTCCATCGGCAACCCCTGACGCAGTCTTGGGCGAGAAGTACCCCGCATTGTCATTTTCTAGACCTCAGATCCCGGAACTCAAGACGAACTTTTCCCAGCACAGCCGAAATGCCAGTGCTGACAACGTTCCCAACACTGACAAACCTGCGCCAGAGCTCGCAAAGAGATATCGACGTAGAAGTCTTGGAAGCTTGGACAACGCCGCCCTTCTTAACTTTGCACCTTCAGAGTTCTCTCCAAAGGTCAAGTCTCCTCTTGGTTCCGCGGAATCACCCCTGAAATCGCAGACGGATTCGCCCCAGATGCCGCCCTCTGTTGTTGGAAATCGGTTGGAAACTCCCTCTCGTTCGTCGAGCCTGGTAGGTTCCTCCATCTTGGTATCTATATGCACTACTAAATTTTTTTTTTTTTTTTTTTTTTTTTTTGCCATTTAGGGCTCTACTCAACCTAGCGCCTCCAAGCCTAATTCCAAACCGGTTAACCAGACACCGTCACAACCTGCCGAAGTGTCACAACGCGCTAATTCCTCCCCTCTCTCCAAGGCCTCTAAAATGAATGTAGACGATTCACAAAAGAAGCCCGATGGGAAATCCCGAGATGCACCCTCCGATCAGACCAAATTCCAAAGCGCGGCTGCAAAGCGACTCACCGAGATCTCGAAGAAAGGTGGGAAAGGGAAATCGAGACTACGACGAGCACTCTCCTTCAGCAGTGTCGCAGAGCTTCGTGTTGCCTCTTCACCTGAAGTTCCAGAAATGACCCGCAAGCAGCAGCTCGATGAAGAACTCGGTGCCGAGCAAGCCGCCATCGCTGAAAAGCAGGAGGCTAGTGGTCTCGGTGAGAACATCTACACGAGCCAGCGCCATTTTTTCACAGGTTCTACCGATAACATCTCGGTCTCATCCACCGCATCCTCTGCGTCTATCATGCTGCGTAAGATGGGCAAGAACGTTAAACGATCTACTCGGTCACTTGTGGGGCTATTCCGACCCAAGTCTCTGCATAACGTCTCGCTCGAGACTGGTCGGGAAGAGCCCATGGTGCCTCAGGTTTCAAGAGTGACGGTCGAGGCTCAGCGTGAGATGCCATCTGCCGCCATAACGGAGAGTCCAAGTGGTAGTCGAGGAATCCAGCGAAATTCAGAAGACACAACAGGCTCTGGAAGGAGTGCTGAGCAGACCGACAGTGTTCGTTCGCGCAAGAGTATCTTGGGTGGAGATAAGGAAAGGGCTGAGGTGCTAGCTGCGGTAAAGAAGGGCATTCTCAAGAGTATGGTCTCGTTTAGCCACATTTTCGTATGACCAGATGCTAACGTGTCATGTAGAAACACTTCCTGGTTGCTCTTCTCCAGCTATGCGACCGTCAGAGGCTCGTTTCACTGACTCTCCACACTCCAGTGCTCCCAGCACACCACGCGATGAGCGGCCCCCGGGCTCTGGTCATCGTCGTACAGACTCTGTAACAATTGAAGGCGAAGAATATTTCCTTCCGCCTGGCCGCTTTAATGGCGCTAGAGCAAGCAGCGCTCCAGTCATACCCCAGAATACCGTCAAGAATATTTCTTTCAGCCCTAGAATTCAGTTTCATGATACATGGCCTAGCGGCGAATATGATCGTCGTGGGGATATTGCGACTTGTAATCGTTTGACTCCTCTTTTGGCTCAGCAGATCAAGGAGGAGCTTAATACTTTTAAAATGGTAAGCCAGGTCTCGCATCGAGCGTGGTGGCAACGGTCGGATTCGCTAACTACATGAACAGGAGATGGAAGTGCATGAATCATCCAAAGTCTATACACACTTCTTTTAACGATTCTGCATCACCGGCGGCGTTTTTTTCTCCCGCAAAGAATTTTTTTCCTTTTCTTTTTCCCTCTAGCGATTTCCTATGTGTATTATTTACCATACTCTTTTTGTCCTGATCATTCTCGATGCGAAGATTGTCTCGACCTCGACGTCTCTATACACTATTTTCTTTGATGACGACTCGGAAGCCTGTCACGCCAACCACTCCACCTCCACACTGGGACATAGCATTGTGCGCCATTCCCTCTACCCACGACATTTAAAAAAAAAAAAAGAGACCCCGCTGCCTTTACGACTCCTCTCATATTACACCCGAAACCCTAAAGGAAGGCTCCGTTGCTTTACCTACATTGTTTTTCTTTTTTTTTTTTTTTTGCACCGTGTATCCCAGTTCCGTATACTAGTTATTTAATGGGTTGCTCGTTCCTTTGCTGACTCTCCCCGCGTGGTTTGATCGATTCTCTTTTTTCCTTTTTGTTCTGTCCAGCGAGGTACACCTGTCCTTCAATTACCTTTTTTTTTTTTTTTTTTCCTCTTTTTTCTTTCCTAATCAATTGGTAGGCTAAATATTGACTTTGTCCTTTTCCATTCCTTTTTTCCCCCGATTTCTTGTTACATGTTCTCTTTTCTTTTTTCATGTCTATTACATTTCTGTGCTTTTTCTGCCAAGTGTGCTCTGGTATTCGATGAACTGTCTGCTGTTTGAGTGAGAGCGTGTATTATTGATTAGGATAGCCTTTTTTCTTTTTTGCCCAAAAGAAATGCATTTCCTGCATATCTCCATGCCCTTTGATCCCTGCCGTTCTCAACGTAGCTTTGCAGGACTCAGCATCCTTCGCCCGTGTAAGAGGGACGGCCTGATCGCAACTCGACGATCCCTTCGGCATTTTCTGGCGCTGTCATTCGATGTTTGAGCAAGGGCCATCCTGGGGCTCAGCCGGGGGAATCCTGCTGGCTTTTTAGCTTACTCTCCCTTTTGTTTCAGTTGCATTTCTGCAGAGTACCGGGAGGTGAGATCCGTGCCGATCAAAGGGTGGTATGTGCGGGGGTTTTTGGAACTCGGGATCTGGGGTTTCGCGGGGGTTGGCTGCATGCCAATCGCCGGAGTAAACGACACCCAGGCCGGGGGGTTTAGTTTGAACACGAAATGTTCCGTGGATAGCACTTTGGATGCCCCAGGCAAGGAACAAACCACGGATAAACGCGTGGAAAATGTCTTTCAAATGAATACGGAGTACACGTAACCTCGATCTACATACACACGGGCAGGCAGCTGGGAATCGATAACATCACCATTCCTCACATAGCCCGTTCAAGCTCATCTTCTCCGTCCCGTTCCCTCCCACTGGTCTAAACACCCTCACCCTCCCCTTCACCATCTCCCCAAGATCATACGCGCCTACACTCACCTCTCTCTCCACCCTGGCATTCTGCTCAACCACACTCACTTTCTCCCCCTCCACCGCATCCACAATCGCCGTATGCTCACCAACCTGAACATTCTCCTCCCCACTCGCCAGCCCGCCCAACAGCACCCTAATATGTCGAAAATGCGCATCGCTGAGCTCCAGGACGTCTCCTGCCCGCACGTCCGCCGCCTGCAGGATTCCCGCTGCCGGAACTAGCGACGACACGTCCCAGTCCAGAACTAACTGCCCGTGCACCCGGCCCGTGCTGGGCTGCGGTGGTTCGTGCCCTTCCCTCACAGCCGCGCCGCGAGTGTGCTGTAGGGCCGCCGACGCGAGCGACCAGCATTTCCCGTCCGCCACGGTGGTGCCGAGACGAGAGCGCGCGAAGGAGAGGATGTGTGGCGCGTACCATTGAGAGGCGAGGAGTAATTGCTCCCGGGTAAGTTCCCGGGTGTTGCCCCTGGGTCCGTGCGCCGAGGAAGGGAGGTGCTTGATGTCGGAGCGAAGGGTGTTGGTGATGTCAGATGTGTTCCATTGCACGCGAATTCTGGTTATGCTCATGTCCAGTTCCCATTGCACTGCCCCGATTACGGTCCAGTCTTGGCTAAGGACTCCTGGGTGTGTGGTCAGGTTGGACGGGTCGGGGTCAATGCGCTCGATGTATTCCCAGGTGTATGTAGCAGACGAGATGGGCGCGTGCGCGCGAAGCTCTGGGTAAGGGAACGTAGGTGGGGTTGCGAGAAACCAGTGTGTGGAGAGGGCGAGAGGGATGTTTTCTGAGGGATGGGAAGACATCGTACCGTTTGGCTGGGCGAGTATATCGGGGTATAAACTCTGCCAAAGAGGAACTATTGATGCTAACGTTCTTGCTGAAGAGAATGAGCGCGCATAGATACATGGAGTGTCGTTGGCCAGTGAACGCTCACGGAATTGCCGTGAGCTGGATAGATAGTTTCATATTGTAATCAAGTCATGGCAGCGCTTGTCAATCTTGTATGAAAGAAATAGATTCTAACATACAGATGTGACGCTGACTGCTTAGTGAAATCGCTGTATATCATTTCACCTCGACCATTCGTCAATGTGTATGCTTCCACCCTCGACTTCACTTAACGTTGGATAGCCCTTCCATCCAGAGTCCTTGTTGCTCGTGATGTGCTTTAGAACAAAGAAAAGGGGGAGATCGGGGTATAGGCCCATCCACACTTGAGCATGTTTCTGGGTATCGATCGCCAGAAGTGCAACCTAGATAAGTGGTCTGCTTGAATGTATGAGAATAAACCAAGCATCAACGTAGGTTCAAACCTAGGCAGGCGATGCAACCATGAGCCATGAATTCCTCTTCCCTTTCCTTGTTCTTCATATAAGCCGGCAGGCCTACTCGGATGCAGTCTTTTCAAGTTGGCAATTCATAGGTATCTACACATTTATTAGTCAGTACGCGGGTTACTCTATCTTCTTCACGGCTGACTCTCTTTGGGATGTATGTATACAAGTATAAATGTATATTCTTACTCACTTCCCGGTGGTTAATTAAAATTTCTCGCAGTGTAAAATAAAATGCCTAAAACCCGCCTAAACCGTCCGAACCTTACGCCTATGACCGGTGATGATGCATAAAACAGTAAAAGAAAACAGAACAAAAAAAAAAAAAAAGGAAAAAGAAAAAAGAAAAAAGAAAAGGGGAAGAAAGCACTCATCGCGGCTTCGTGTTCAACGGGAGGGGTGGTGGGGACGGGGAATGATTAACCGGCTTTGAATGCATGGATGCCTTCTTCGGTGGTGGCGGAGGTGGTGGCTTTCTCTTGTTCAATGCATCCAGATCGGGCCTTGACGTGTTTGGCGAGGAATATGGATGATTTGGGATAGCTGGTTGACTTGAGGGATGCCCCGGCGGAGGTGGAGGAGCATCTGGATAAGCTGGCGACTTCTGGTCTTCTATAAAATCGTTGATCCGCTTGGTAATCCCATATTTTTGGTTTAATCCGTTAAGCTTGCCCTTCACAGACTGTATTTGGTCTTCGTGTCGGTCTCGGAAGCTGTTTGTGCGTCCTGGGGGGGCCGGATGCAGTCCAGGGGAGACGTTACTGCGAATAGTTTGCTGGACGGCGGGCTGGGATGCGATATGTGAAGCTGCGGTCGCTGCGGTTTGGAATTGTTGGGGAGTGACGCCTTGTACGGGAGAGTGTGTAGCGGCAGGAGTAGAGGAAACAGGGGAAGAAGAGGAGGTGTTCAACCGCGAAAATCGCGACTGCAATTCATTTGTGGCGTTGATCGCTGTGGAAGCGTAATTTGGGCTCTGAGAGCTTGAAGTATTGTTTCCTTGACGCTGGATGCCCAATTCTGGAACCGAGACGCCAGCCTTTGCCAGACGGCTCGTGGCACCTTGGCTCAGATACGGCTCTGTCGCTCTTTGAACGGCTTCGTAGGGTGGAGGAGGTGGAGAGGAAGCAGTGGTGGGCAGCGCTTCTCGGGGAGGAAGCCGTGGTGGTAGATACGGTTTTGATTTTGTCGCTGTGCCGTCACCTCCCTGCCGCACGGGAGGCGTCGGGAAGCGGTTGGTTGAGAGGCCTGTGGTGGACGCGCGATGAGGGACTGGCGGAGGAGCAGGTTTCATCGATGTCTCCTGCTCAGCTTGCCGGCGGGATGGAACCGGAGGAGGGGTGTATGACGCCCCGTTCCCAGTGTTGCTGCGTTTCGGAGGTGGTGCAAAAGACGATGGATCCTTCAGGCTCGACAGTGGGCGTGCAACATGCTCCGTTCTCTGGCTGGCATTGGGATCTTTTCCTTTTCCCACCCATCCGGCCTAAGACTCACAGAGTTAGCTACAGCATTACATATCACTAACTCTCAGGAGATCTTGAACACTTTACCACTTGGTTGATCCCCTTGAAGTCGTCACGCCAGCTCTCTCGTCCGCCGTCTCTTCCCTTCGGATGCCACCCATCCTTTATGATCCCCTTAAAGCCACTCATTTTTTGAATGTGAGCAACGTCGGCACTCTAAGTTTGCTGGAGATCGCAACCAATGTCAGCTAACTGCGGCTTGCATGGGAGCTGTCGGCGTGTTGAAGGTTTTGATCCGCGTTCTGGCTGCCGCTCTCCGCCCGGGCCGTCGTCAGCGCATCACGTGTTGGGCGCTGATCAACCGCCGACGTCGACGAAAAAACACGCGGGACGCTTGACCGATTCAACGCTCAACAACGCTCTTCTTCTCTCCACCATCCTCCTGGATTGCTCCAGAAAGGTGGTTGTTCATTCAACGGAGTCAGCACTGACTGTCACGATGCTGCTAACAAAATTCTAGGATGATGAAAGTCGCATTCTCCAGGGATCCTAGCTAGACTTGATTTTGGCTTAGGCTGGTGACTTGTTGCTAGCTATCAAGTATTTTAATCTATCCGTCAAGGCGAGTGCATGCTGTCTGCTTAATAAATATAAGCAGCCTGTTGGTCTCTTGTCGGTCTTTGCTATCATGAAGGAAGAATCATCTGACGGGTTTGCATCCGTATCCCATTTCTGGGCTTCTTTGGATATGCGCTACATCCACATCCCTGGATTCCGCTGTTCACTCTTTAATGATGAGGATGCGCGCTCAAGCTCCTGTCCAATAGCCTTTCGGTCATCCCCAGAACTCTTCACTGTGTTGCTGTCAAACAAAATCATCGGCAAGAAATAACCAATATGCACTTGAATAGATCAGGTGCGGAAACCTAGGAATATAGTTTTAGTGCCGTTGTTCTCCGGTGATGCGCTATCAGGTTTCCTTTGCAGGGCCACTCTGTCTTCCTACCTTTCCACCTATGCTGGACCTAAGCATGTTGGCCCAGGGGACGCCATTAAGGATGCGCGTTACCTCCGACGTGTTCATGAAAAAGAAGCGGCTACGATAGTTGCAGTATTCTGGTTGGATCTGCTGAGTTGCCGGAAACTGCACTGCTAGTATTGCTTGAACATGTCGCTTAGGAATGGGTCCAAGACAACGGGGACCGCACACGTCCTACATGAAGATGGCCCCTGCTGTTGCGTTGTGTCTGCAACCAAACGAATCTTCGGTTAAGCAGCTAACTTCCAGAAAACCGTGATATCTGTCCCTCCTATATTTCGAATGACCCCAAAAAATTTCGCCAGCTGTGACTGCTGATTCGATTACAGGTCAAAAGGTGGAAATAGTTGATGGAATAACAAATCCGCGGAATATTTTCCCTTTGTCTACAGCACCCGAGTGTTTGATCCCGATGTCACCGCCTGGTGCTGGCATATCTTTATTTTTATTTCTGGCATATCCAGAAATGCTGAGATGGAAGATCTGGCTGCGTCAGCTTATCTTCAAGTCCACTACAATTGCCAAACTCAAATATCATGTCTTCGTCAGCGTTCTCTTCGCCTCCACTCTTTTCTGAACAAAAAAGGTTCTTTTGACGAGGCCAGAGATGTGCCAGTCTCCCAAAAGTTTCTAGATAGCTTAGCCATTCCGGGCGATTGTGATGTATCCGATACAATTCTCCTTACGGGGTTGACTTCCACATTGCTGACGCCCGCTCCCGCATTGACTCCTCGCAATCCTTAGATCGCCCCAGTTCCGCTTCCACAAGGGCCGCCAGCCTCACTGCAAATGCCGAAGCACATATATCAGTAGGAAAGAGCGTTCACCAACACCAGAGTCCTGGGTTGCAGAAAGATCTTTTTGATTTTGAAGGGGTGGACTGCGTTGTTTTGCAAAAGAGTTTGCCCTCAAGAGATCCAGATAATCTACAAAAGCAAGTGCAATCACGGGTGAAATATTTTGACAGGGTTAATGGGGGGCACAGTGCTATGTAAGGGCGTATGCCAACATCTCATCCATACGATCTTCGAAATGCGAGGAGGGAATCACAGGCGAAAGTGACTTCGCCCATAGTTAATGCAGAGCGCGATGCTGTTCAATAAAGTGCGCCAGCCCCCCATCCATATAGGCTGAGGAAGAGATCGCAGGCTGAGGTGTTACCACCTAGAGCCAAGGTGAATGATTGCATAAAAAAGCAACCAAAGCACCAGCACCAGCACCAGAAAACTCTGGAAGCAGGGGTAAACATTGCCGCATGCAGGGTCAGCTCACCACTAAAGAATATTAATGATGCCGACAATAACTTGCTAGCTGTCTCTGTTTCAACTAAACATTTGGACGCGATCCCTGAACACACAACTGCCAAAAGGAGGCACAAAAGCCCACATGCTCTCCCTCTCGGAGATTTGTTGGGGGGGGGGTTTACAAACTGCGAGAAGGCTATCCAACTGTTACATATTTGCCCTAGTGATATCCACTCAACCCAGTCTATGAATATGATGTGAACAAAAATAATTGAAGTTGTGGATTTGATTGTTCACAGCTTGGGTGTGAATTAACTCAGGAACTGCACGGGTTCTATCCAGGCGGGATTTCCCCCCTTCCGTTCAAGACTGTTAAATCTATCAACATCTAGAACTAGAGTCTCTGGAGACTCGATCTTTTGACTTATTGGCACATTCGTTGTTCCTGATCTCAAGCTTTTACGGACATTGTTTTAGAATTCCCGACATGCCAGCGCCATCATTGGCGCGTACCTACATACAGCTGTTGCTCCGAGATGCCTATCGTTGGCTACCGTAGAGCGAGTTAGCATAGCTCTACTGCAATCCACGGTGTTTGCTTATATCGAGACCTTTCAGCTTGAATATCGGTATTAGGTTATTGATAACCTTCGTTTAAGTATTACTATGCGAATAGAAAGTTCCATTTTTCTTTTTGCCTATCAGGCCTTCAAATTTGATTTGCACAACCATTTTGTATGGATCAAACCTTGTCAGGGAAACGATCTAAAATCATTGGTTCCATAATTTATTCTTTTTATTCGGCAATTGGTAGGAAGCATGAGATGCACAAGGTCAGAGCAGGATTCTAGGGAAAGGAAGGGGAAAGCAAGTGCTTAAGCTTCAAAGTCATCACGCATATCGAACCCCTCTCCCTCCTCACCACCACTAATTTCCGCGATGTCCTCGTCCAAGCCCTCGAAAATCATGAACTGTTCGTTCTTTGCATCCGTTTCGTCAGGAACCACGTTCCCGTTCTGCACTTCACAGTCCTTCAACACGCACTCACGCCCGATCTTACCCCTCCGCCCGATGATGCAGTCGGAAAGCTGGCTTCGCTCGCCGATGACAACGCCATCCATGAGCAGGCAGCGTGTAAGTCGGACACCACTGGCGATATGGCAGTTTGCGCCGACAACGGACTCTTTGATGACCGTCTTCTCTTCGACGGTGACGTTTTCGGCGATAAGACAGTCTGCTTTGGTGACAGTGCAGCGTTGGGCGATGCCGGCTGGGTGGGCGATTTTGTTTTGGTGAGCAAATGGCGAAAAGGACTCGGTGGCGTCGCTAATGGCTTCTAGTTTGGCGAGACGAAGAGAGGTGGAAAGGAGCAAGGAGGAATTGTCGACACGTCGGATGAATGGTTCCGAAGGTTTTGAGGAGTGGATATATGCCAGCACAGGAGGGACGACGAGCTTCTCGGGTGGAGGTGATACTTCGGTTTCTTGGAGGGTGTCGCTGCGCGTTAGGGGACCAGGTCTGGACTTGGACACGGTACCATTGGGGTTGATATCCAGCCATCTCGTAGACTTTGTGGTGCTCATAGACATCAAGTCAATGTCTTCTTCCACCTGGTCACGCTTGATGCTGTATTTGTTTCCGTGATCCCTGTCGGGGTCGAAGATCTCCCGAAGGCCCAGCTTCTCTCCAAGACCACTTTGCCATTCGGCTTTTGCCCACCATCCTACCAAATCTTCGCTGATGCTTTCGAATTTCTCGTTCATCATTGCCATTTCCTTCACCCAGTAAGGGAATATATAGATGTGGGCATCACGATATGTTGTTAGCATTTTAATTTTGCCGTGACGTTTTAATAGTGAGTGCCGCATCAATAGTGCCTGGTGTTCTTCCATGATATCCTTCAAACTGTCCATCGGCATGGTATAAACCAGTTTTGCCAAGGAGGACGGACCATCGTTATTACCAGGACGTACTGCAGGTGCCTCATCCTTATTTAAGGGCGTGATTGCAAGGAAGTCAGCGACCTCAGTCTTCACCTTTGTGCCATCCGGGCCTGTAGGATACCACACGCTTATTCCACCTCTTCGTCCGCACCTCTCGCCGCCTACACCTATCAAGCTGGAAGTTCTTGATTCGAGCCAGTCTCCATCCCACGAAGCATCGAGCGCGCCATGCGTTGTCATCCAGGCTTCTAGAAATGTCACTCCTGGGACATCACAGACCAGATCACAGGGAAGTACTATGAAATCTGATTTTATGCATGCTTGAACTTCCGGTAACCGCAAGAGCTCTGCTGTGCCTGTGGTGAGAGTTAAGCTTTCCGGGGATATGACTGTGGCCGACGGGGGTGGCAGAGATGTTAGATGCGGATTTTGCGACAAGGATGCCTCCAATGCTGCCTTGCTAGCTTGAGGTGTGATGAGTGTGATGTCTGGTCAACTAGTTAGCGGAGGCGTATAGTTTATCTAACCCACAAAAACACAAAATATTAAGATAACTAGATTGAATATAAACTACTGTGTGGACTCGTAGATCCATTTAACCTATGAACATAGCACACCCGAGAGTGAATACAATGCATGGTTGCGATATAGTACTTACTTGTAATTCCCATGCGATAACACCAATCCAGAGGGTACCAGACCATAGGGCGATTTGCAATAGGTACTAGGGCTTTGGGGAACTCTTCTGGAATGGATGTAAACGTGTTTAGAGAGACGCCAGGGCCGCAAAGGATAAGGGCCTGGAACCCTAAGGGGGGCCCTGAATGAGGCATTGTTCAACAGAATAGGTGGAAGCAAATGTTTGGGATTCTTGTCGAACAGCACTCTCCTCTAAAAAGCTTTGGTAACTATGCGTTTTCCTATTATACCGCTTTCAATGTCAGGCTGGCGGGGAATATCAAATTTGCTTTTTAAAAGTGGGATAAGCCTGATAAGATAGGGTATTGCTGGAGCGGAGGACCAAACTGGAATGTTATAAAACAGTACGGAGTACAGAGAAGGGAAGATGCTTGAATTAAAAAAAGATCATCTGCACTTTTTTACTTTTTAAGCCCATGCTGTCCGGAGCTTGCTGTCGCGTTCTTCCACAGCGAACACCTTTTGACGGAGTCATTCGACTCCGACTCAAACTTCACAAGCGCATGATGATAAGATTTCGCTTAGTCATGGAGCAATATGCAAACAGTACAAACATTGCCAGCCTCATGTGCCAGCCACATTTTGCTCAAAGTTCCGAGGCTGAAGGGAGCAGCCAGCAAGGCCCGCCCGTCCTACCTTTTCGCACCCCCTCGACGATGCGCTTCCTATCACGATCATCCCCTGCGACAGCACTCTGAATCACCATTCTGCTGGAACAGGACGCAATGAGCTGTCCTGCTCGCATCAACCAGCGCACCGCAAAAGGCAAATCGTTCATTGACATCCACTGATTTCTGCCCCTCATGTCAGACCGGTACTTTGGAGACAATCGTCGTCGAGGCCCGGCCGGTTTCAGCTCAGGCGGGAGACGCACTGCTCTCGGATACTGGGTACCTCTCGCTGTTACAGTTACAGTTGCTGCTGTTGGGTTGGTCGCTTGGGTATGGAGTGAGCGCAATGATGGCGACGAGGATGAACATAACGATGGACAGGAGGGTCGCGCGCCTATTGGTCTCGACCCAGGTGCCGACGATCCGGGATATGCGCAAGGGACTACCACTGGGACCCAACACCGATCCCCGGATGAGGAGCATAGCGTGATATCTCGAATGCAAGGCGCCTGGCGCCGGACACCGAGTCCCCAGCAATTGTTTGACGGTGCCAGCAAGACGGTCGCTGCTGGTGTTGCAGCTGCAGGAGCTGCCGTTGGAGGAGCCTTGAGCGCAATCCGTGAGGAGGGGACGAACGACTTCGAAGATCATTCAAGATGGGCTGAGGAGACAACTGCGCCAGGTTCTACAGGGCCGCCTACTCGCTCCGCGCCCGGCGTGCTTCCTCGTGGAGCTTCGTTGGCTGCTGATCCCACTGCGAAGAAGAGAAAGACGGTCGCTATCGTTGTGTCATCCGTATGCAGTGGTGAAAGTGATGAGGAAAGCGCATCTGAACACGCTGTAAGTTAAGGGGTTTGCTTTTGCTTTAATCTGGCTTGTGGCTAATGTTTACAGTCCATTCTTGCCCGCCTACCAGAATATATCGAACCAGAGGCGGCACGTATCTTCGTTCTTATATATGCTCCGGGAATGAAACCAAGGAGTGCCAACGAGGGGAACTCCTCCCGCCAGGCACTGTCAATGGCTTCTTCCTACTCCAATATCAGCCCGGAGGAAGCTGCAGGCGCTGAATCTCGGGGGGATTTAAAAGATGTGGAACCTAGGCCCGCCAGTGATGACTTCCCGTCTGCATCTCATTTTTTTAAGACACTTTACAATCAAGCCCAAGTCCTCGTTGATCAAGAGTCGATGATTATGCCGTTTAGCACGCCAACGGGTCACGTAAACATCCTCCGAAACCTCTCGCCTGATCTCGTGTACATGCAGGAGAGTATAACCGGAGATAAAGGTGAAAACGTCCACAACCTAACAAGATGGATCCGGCAAACTGTTGTGGTGGTCGGCGATGAAGGAGGGCGTGGAGGTCTGGTGGACAGCGATGACGAGTCGGCTGTGGCAACCGAAGGGGAAAGATGGTGGCAAAAAGAGGGAGTTATAGGCCTGGGGAAACGAATTGATGTTGTGGATGGGGTCAGGGCCGGAGATGACTGGAAGCGAAGGGTCTGTGGCCACGAGTAATGTGCCTGTCGGTTTTTAGCGGGCGGCTTCCCGTGATGCACCGGGATTTTATATTTAATGGGGGGAACTGGGGCGTTTGTCTGTTTACCACGATGATGCTTCTTTCATTACTTCTATGGAGGATGGGTTCTGGTGCTGCGCAAAAAGGGCACCGCTGGTTAATATGCGGAGGGATGAGAAAGATACCCTTTGGAGGACCGGGATGGGATCATTCACCTACCAATACGCAAGGATACTTGCTTGTAATGTTGTCTTGGAAAGTTTATATATTAATTAGTCCACACTTTATGGAATACATGCTCCCAACAGTTTCATTCCACTGCTGTCACAACTCTCACTCCCAGCAACCACTCTCCCGTGCCGCGTGCTCTGATATGAAAGTCGCTCGTTCTGCTGGCCGACACCCAAGGCTTAGTCAGCTGCCAGGTCTCACGTGGCCCCATTAAGCCTCATTCTTGGCATCACATCCGCCGTCGACGAGATTCATTCCGATCACGACGACAGCCAGCCCGCCTACGCATCACCTTTCCTTTCAGCCTGCCGTCCGACTGTCGTGTCTGTTCCATGTGAACCATGCAGAGCACTTTCCGCGTCCCATAGCGACCCGACTTGCGGTATACCCGGTCCTGCAACCTCCACCCGGAGCGCCTCCCGATCACTCCCCACATGCCGAACTCATCCATCATCGCCATATCTGCCCCTGCAACGTCGAGCACTCGTCAGCCGGCATTACTGCATACTTAGCCCCAATAGCGGTCAACCCCGTGTGGTTGTGGGCGTGGTTTAGGCGACCATGGCGACAGCCATCTCAACCAAATCCGCTACGCCTGCCGGTAAACTCAAACGTCCCACGCCCAGCTTCGTCCAAACCGGGGCCAACGGCATCAAACCTCCGCAGCCCCCTCCATCCCCTATAGCTTCAGCAAGCAGGCCCGGCACCACAAACCAAGCTGCCTCGTCACCGTCGATGAACTCCGTGACCATAAATGGCGTGTCCAACCGGCAATTGGCGAGGGCGAGAAAGGAGCCGCTGAAGATCTCCGACCCGTCCTCAAGATTGCGCATTACAACAAGAGCCCGGAGCAATGATGCCGTGAACGGTGATAAGCGACCGGCAAAGCGACTGCCTGAGCCCTACGGTGAGATCGCCATTTCCTTCATTGCACCAGTGCCAGTCCACAAGAGCTAACAGCCGCCCTTTTGTTCCCAGTGAAAACTACGTCATACATTCTGAAGAAATACGCGAAACAACCGCCGTCCTTCACCATACATCTGCATCCTACCCATTTTCGTTTTGAACAGCAAGATGGGAGCTTCCCGTATAATTCTGAGATGAAAGTTATCATCGCACATATTAAGGCTGGAACCATTCCCCACGATATGATGGAGGAATTGCTCAGGGGCGGGGTGAGATTTTACGAAGGTATGATTTCTCGTCACATGCTCATTCTGAGAGAGTTTGAGAACTTATTTCTCCTTCTAAAGGCTGCCTGATTGTCCGGGTTATCGACCATAAATCACTGTCCGCCCAACCGAATTCTTCGAAATCATCCTCAAAAGAGAAGAGTTCACTATTTTCCATACATAACTATAACGAACACATAACTCCATCTTCCTATGTGCCTTATCCGAAGCAGAGCCAGCCACAGCCAAAAATCAGCAGTGCTCCACAGTCCGACCAACAGGCCCGAGGTCAGACCACACCGGCTCCGAACATCGCAGTGTCAGGGCCAAACAAAGGCAAAGAGGTCCAGGCTGAACCCTCTAATGACGCGAACGCAGACTCTCCCGAGCCAAGGGTCTTCACCACCGTTCTTCATCCTACTCCTCAATCACTACAAGCCGAATTGACCATCCTGTCAATGACCCCGGATCCAAGAGCGTTACCACGTCGACAATCGCAAGCTTACCAAGCGTCGCGGACTCCAGCGTCCGCGACTCTCCCTTCACCATCTACCCCTTTGACAGCGGCTCAATCCCAATCGACTGATCGTGGGCCTCCTGCAAAGCGCCAGAAAATGATGGTGGAACCGCACGAGATGTTGGATTTTGAGGCTAAAATGATTAAAGCTACGGCGCCTCCACTGTATCTGGATCCGGTCGACAGCTTCCACGCGAGCCAAAAGCTTCTTAAGTCTTTGGAATCACCTCTTCACCGCAATAGGCCACCTTCGCCTAAGACCAGAAGACGAACAATTGCCGAACTGGCGGCTGATGAGGCACTCGCGGCAGAAGAGGAGCGATATATGCTTATTATGGATGAGCGACTTGAGCCTATTACTGCAGCAGCTGCTAGTGGAAATAAATCTGCAGTTGATGAGGAATGCGGCGCGGCGCCGTTTGAGCCCCGGTTTTCAAGGTTTAAGACACTGGAAAATATTCGGGCTCAATATGAGGAAAAGGCGAAGCGTGATCACGAGCGGAAACTCCAGCAGGATCGCATGAAGCGAGAGCAACAAGAAGCCGAAAGGGAGAGACGCCGGCCTGAGATTCGCCAGCTTGAGGAGCAAGCTAGAGAAGAACGACGGAAGCAACTTGCCGCCCAACACGCTCAACCGCCAAACCAAGCCCAGCTTATGGCTGCCCAGCAAAGTCGGCGGCCTCCATCCCGAGGAACCGTGACCGCTGTCCCTGGCACACAGCCTCCACCACCACCACATGTCGTCTCGGCGTCGCAAGGTCCCCAGTCATCTCCGGTTGTACGGAATATCACGCCTCATGCATCTTCACCTCTAGCAGGACACGTAATGGTGCCTAATATGAATCAAGGTATTACTATGGGAATGAGTAGCTCAGCCGAGGCCGCAGGAAGCCCTCTTGCTGCCGCAGTTTCTATGCAGCCTGGTCACCCGAACGTTATGAGCCATGCGATGGTCGCTAGCCGAAGCCAACAGGGCCATAGTGCGCATGGAACGCCCCAGATGCCCCACGGAACTCCAGCAATGTCTCATGCCACTCCGATTATGCGGAATATTACTCCAACTCAACGTATGAGTCATGGCAGTCCGAATACAACCACTATGGCGCAAACTCCTGTAATGGGCCAGGCTATGATGGCTCCGCAGATGAACGGAATGATGATGACCCCTCAACAGCAACATGCTATGATGCAACAAAGGCAGGCAATTTTGGCACAACAGCAGAATCTTGCTGCCGGACATCAATTTAATCCACAGCAAGTGGTGCAAATGCACGCAAACGCAGTAGCTCAACAGAATATCCAGCAAGCGCAGCGGCAACAACACCAGCAAATGTTACAGCAGCAGCAGCACCATCCACAACAGCAACCACCTTCGCAAGGCCCACAACAGCAACAGCCGATGCACCCCCAGGCGTATCAGGCACAGCTACTTCGCTCACAATTGGCACAGATGCAAGCTGCGCAGCAGGGTCATCAGCAGCAACATCACGGAAGCATGCCTCAGCTATCAGCTCAGCAGCAACAAATGATGGCGGCAGCGCAGCAAGCTGGTCAACAGCCCAATGGTATCAACAATCCTAGGAAGCATCCACTGGCGCAGCACTACGGGAACCTGTACCAAAGTCATCTTCAACGACTGCGAAATGAAATGGCTGCCAAATACATGTCGCAATACGGTCATCCTTCTCAATATCCACCAAATCTTCGTGCCCAGTTCTTTGAGGGCCTCGAAAAGATTTCTCGACAGTACGTTAGCGAGGTTATGAAAAAAGACCGTGAAAATGGCCATCAGCGTGCTATCCTTGCTGCACAAGTTGCTCAGAATCAAGCTCAAGCTCAGGCCCAAGCCCAAGCCCAAGCGCTACAGCAGCAGCAGCAGCAACATAGCATGATGGGCAATGGCCCGGGGTGAGGTGGCCAACCTCCGGATTTCTGGAACATTTTCAGTATAGGGAGTATGGACTTCATAGGATATGGCTTTGAAATTATTTGTGACACGTCGCAGGGGGGTTTGTTTTGTTTGTTCCTGGATGATGCATTCGTGGATTATTGACTGGATATGGATTTGTGCCTGTTTACTTCCCTCCCTTTTCTTTTCTTTTTATTTCCCCTTATGAGGGAGCTCATTTCTACATTTCTCTGCCTTAGGCCAACCACTTTTAGCTTGTGTTATATATCGTAAATTCCTCCCGATAATTTGAAGACTATTGTAAGCTTTTTATCACCTCCCACCCATATATTCTGGTTTGTAAACCTTAGCTCCCCCAGTTTTCATCAGCTCTCTAAGTGCCATGGTAGCATATTGGCTCGCCCCAAGCTGGAATTTGACTACCACAGCCAGCTTTTCTTTCTGTTTGTCGTCCATATCCTCATCTCCAACTTTGGCGTTCTCATTGATTGGCTTCCCTGGAAAGTTGTGGGCATTTTGACGAATTCGCTCTAGGTCAGTCTTGATGAACTGTTCATTGTCGTCCGTGTACATCCTCACATCGAGCGAATAGTCGGGGCCTGGTCGACTAAGAATCTTCCTATAGCTCCCACTAAGGCTCGTTTCTTTCCATTTCCTGCGCATGTCGAAGGGATCCAGCTTTCCGCCCCGCTCACTGCCCATGAAGGTCTTGTAGAATTCTGTCATTTTGTTGGGAGGGTAGATGATGTCGTATCCGGGAAGTGGTAAAACGATATCGAAGATGGTGTATTTCCCGCTGGCAGCTTCCTCGCTTGTTAGTGCTCGTGCACGCTCGAACACGCTATCTACAGAAACAGAGCTGTCGGCAGTGTCCGGTAAGACGATGGCTTCGCCGTCGGCATCGACTTCCTCAGCAATGGTGGGATCGGAATCACGATCTTTAAATTCATTGACTAGGACTAAATCCCCCTCGACGACCTTGTCGCCATAGAGACGCCATCGTTCGCCAACGGCGAAGTTCCAAACGAGAGATTGATAGGCGTGCACGTACATCAGCCGCAGGTTCCGTGGAATCGTTTGTAAGGCGCCCATGTAATCGTTCTGTTTTCTCCCAAGGTGCTTGATGATGTTGGACTCGGCCGTGAACTTTCTCGGCATTTTCGCTAAGGCTGGACCGGCTTGCCCGGTTGATTCGAAGATGTGGATTGCTTCTGCGCGGGAGATATCGTCAGAGCTTAGAAGAATATCATCTCCTTCGCGTGGCTTTCCTTGTCCTGCGTCCAAGCAAGCCGGAGTATAATGTAGAATACATTCACACGCTCCCTTGAAGTCTGACTGTAGCATCTTGAGTCCGATCGTGTCCGTCCGGGTCGCAAAAGTACCGAAGCGCTGTAGTCCATAGTAGTTGAAGTAACCTTTTTCGCGGAGATTTTCCATTGCGGTAGAAACAAGGTCTGAGGCGGCTGCAATTGGGTCCTCTCCAAGAGTGACTGGGAAATCGCAATCTCGAAGGGTTATGACGAACTCGTTTCCACCAAGTTCGCCTAGTTCTAATCCCTGTTTTTGATATTCAAAATCTCCGACGGCAGCGTTACGCAGGATACGATTCATATTTGCCAATCTACCGGCATCGACGCGGAAGACACACGCCCGTTGAACCGTCACGCCACGTCGGTCCTTTGTGCCGGCAAATTTAAAACCTCTCACGCCTAGTTTCATCTGGCGAGCTAGAAAATTGATCACCTCCATCGTATCTTTGTTCTCCTTGTAGATAGTGAAATGGAGATACTCGCCTCCGACTTCACTCCAGCCCAGCTTCCCTCTCCGATTGTCCGCAACACCACCTTTCATTTGGGCTTTTAGTCTTCGAACAGGGACAGAGGAAATTAGCAACGAGTTATCGCTTTCGGTTGAAGATTCTATCCGCCCCCCAAATATACGTCGAAGAGCCTGGTGGACGATTGTTCTCGCCTCTTTGTCCGGTACTGAGTCTGATTTCACACGGCCCAAGTCTCCAGCTCTGAGATTCGGTTTGGCAAGTGCACGAGCGTAAAGTTTCAGGACCTTTTGCGCTACATCTGGCCCAAGATGCTGTTCTAGGATCTTTCGGTCTTCATCGGGGATCTAAGGCCACTTATCAGCTTGCGACCTGCACGGTGACTGTTATGGGAAGTCATACTTCGGGGTTTGCCCGTCCACCCTCTACAGCGGGTGCCTCTGCTGAGCCTGCAGCCGCATCAGTGGCTCTGTCACCCGGCTGGTTGTCCGCTGATTGGGGTTCTCCATTCTCCCGCACTGCAGTTTCTTTCTCTGGCCCACTCTTCTGCACCGAAGGATTTTGCGAGCTTGCTTTTAAAGACGCCGGAAGATTGATGTCCTGCAAGTGGAGCACTTCACCGGATGGGAGGATCTCATTGACCAGAAAATCGGTATATCTAGAGTATGTAGGCATCAGAAACTGAGCCATAGAGCACGCCCCAGCGTAGGATCTTTATTCTTACCGTTTTTTAAGAATGCCCGAGAACCCAGGTAGATCTGGGCTTACAAACTCCGTAATCCCTACCTCCGCCTCTTTCAATGCCTGCGCATCGTCCGACGTCGCTGCTCGAAGTCTTCCAACTCCACCAGTTGCCCGCTGTGCAGCCGAAGACGCCGTAGCAGCTGCGTCGGCTTCCGAAAGCTTCACGCGCTTCCGACGGGATTCATCGCCAGACGGGTGCTCATCCATTTTTGTATTAGGTCGTCGCACAATCAGTTGAAACTTCGTCGTAAACTTTGGGATCTTGGCCCGGTTTCGAGGTCTCGGCTGTGACTGATTAACCTTTTTGGTTCCTAGGTAGCGACGAAATAGGGTTGGAATCGCGGGCGCATGGGTATTTAACCCGCGAACGGCCCTTAAGAAGCGAATTTTTGCGGATGTGGGAAGAGTAAATGCGTTGGAATGCTCTTCAGAAACATGGGCTGCTATGCCGGCGTGGACCGCCTGAAAATATCTGCGCTGCGAAAGAAGGCTCCATGTTTGCCTTGTTTGCTCCACAGCTGATGATTCGCATCCCACACACGGACAGCTTTCTACTCGTGGCAAGGTAAAATGCTCTGACACTTTAGTCCTTCAATTCGTATATGGTTTAGAACTATCTCTGATACAAATATATCTCAGTTTTTTGTGGAACTGCGGCTTGCAAAAATCGGCAAAAGCCGTCGTTCTGGATTACCCAGTATTCCTCAAGCGTTGACGGCCAATCCAGCGCTATAGTTATCTGATATCCACCTCAATATTCCCCGAAGGAAATTGCCATTTCCTTTTTCTAACTGGTATGATTCTGACCTCCTTTTATCAAGCCGGATAAATCACACAAGGCTTTTGTTACTGGTTTCTGGCCATTTTCCGGCGTGGTTATCGGGGGTTTAGCATCAATTCCGTTTGGCCGTTCGCATGCCATAAGAGCCCTCGACCTCAACGGAATCCAGCAGGAGGCAATGTCCGTATATCTAACGGCTTCCGTCGGATCCCAGTGGCACGGCCCTGTTCCCTGAAAGGCATGCTTCCAGACATCCAATCTTCTGGGTCTTGAGCGGTGTTGGGGTTGTTGTAAAGACATTCATCTTTGTTTGAAGAGGTTGGTTGTATTGCAGCTGGGAATTTTTCATCGAAAAGCTCCTGTGTGCATATGGGCCAAACTTTGTTCCAACAAAAACTGCCACTCGACTCTCGTAATGGGTGTCACGTCGGTAGCAGTGTTCGGGGTGCGAGGCTTTTGGTGCATGCTTGGCTGTCTTTGCATGCTTCCCCGACAATTGATAAAATATTTTGTTCCCCTCTGGTTCTTCGGTCTCGGTTTAAACATGGCTATGGCTTCTTGGCCGTATTGGGCTCGGTATTCTTTTGCCAGGAGAAGGAGGAGATCATCACGGACATGGAGATGGTCGTATGTACAGTGGATGAATCCTCGGGTGAATGGCCGGCCTTGCGTTTCTCGCATTGTTTGCCTCAGCAAATAGAGACAGCTATCGAGATATATGTGCTTCGGAATATGGTCCGTTTTGTTTCTCGAAAGGGCATTTAACTGCTGTTTTAAGGAATAAACATGGTCGATGTTGAGTAGCGAGAGCCCTTCGTGGCTGAAAAGAACGTCACCTTGTACCAGGGACCGTTTGACGATGTGCTCCCAGTGCATCGTTGGTGTGTCGCGGAGATCGAGTGGGGTCATCCAGCTTGAGGAGAGGTGGTACTTTTTTGCTGCCCGACGGACGTATTTGCTGCACAGCGCCCACGCTTCTTTGTCTTGCGTTGTTACAGGGATGATGTTTAAATTCGACCCTTGTCCAATGGGGAGCGGTGTGAAACGGGCGACGATGAATCTGGCATGCATAGACATCGAAAGAAACTTGGTTGCCACATATTCCAAGGCAGAGAGAAAAGCGGGAGTGACGCGATTAGGATCAAATCCCGATTCAGGCGACAGGGGAGGAGAGATCATGTCTGATGTTAGGAGGCGTTTGGGGCTGTCGGAGAGCCGAAGAACGGGGTGAGCTCGTGTAACAGTCATTTTGATGGTTTCAATTGAGCGGACATAGAAAGGAGAATGCTGGAGGATGCATCGTCTTCAAGGGAGATCCGATTTGATATACACCCCCTCTTCCCCCCCTGCTCCAAAAATAACAGCCGCCGAAGACAAGCTTAACTTTAATTCCCCATGTTCGGTCCAAATATAGAACATTTTAGCCCGTGCGGTCGCGCTAAATTCTCATAAAAAGAAACCAAGCGATTGGGAGACTTAGCCAATAACCTCGGAGCATTCCAAACGGCGGTGGGATGGCCTCAATTATCGACTCTCTCATTGAGCCATTCAATGTTGGTTTGGTGTTGCCAACCTGCATGTCGTGCATAGCGGAGCGGAGAGACGGAGGAGGTGCTATTATTATCTTCTTCCAGCTGCGTTCGTCTCACGGGAGACTTTATGTACGATCTCCCTCACTGTATGGAGTCCTCCGCGTAGTTTACCGCAGAAATGACGTTCCCTTCTTGACCTCGGCTGATCCCGTCCACGGGTTTATATTTTGCCGATATTCGGATACATAGTTATTCCGGATAGATTACTCAGCACCCGCCTCTCCGCGCCACACATGTGGCTTGAATCTCGCTCGCTAATGGACCCCAGATTAGGACTAGCGCTGCCGTCTGCCCCTTTTTCTTTCTTCCCGCCGGCATCGTGTCGACGCCGAAGATCCTTCAACTCCTCTCCATAGTTCCCTGATATGGAGTCGTCTGACACTAAGACCTGGCTTTAACCCTCGACAAGTGTGGACACAAAATAGGACTGTGCCCGTATCTGAAACGGCACGCAGAAAAGATGATTCGCTATTCGTCCATTATCCCTTCGTACTCTGGAAATCCATGTTTTTATGAACATGGAGAATACTTTTTTTTCGCTTGGAATAGCCTTCAAGCTTACGGAGTAGATATCTTGGATTGCGATTCATTATACCACATAAGGCTTCTCTTTCATTCGCATGATTGCAGTCTTATCCTTGATCCACAGCCGTGATTGAATGTTGGCGGTTTCCGCTTTCTACTGTTTTGGACCACCGTCCTTCAGTTACGAAGCCACTTCAGACCAACCAGCTTCATCATGGCAAGTTGTGAAAAGGCGTCGCTCAAATCCTGCGATGATTGGCCAAATCCTCAGGGCGTGAGTAGTACATCTCTCATTGAAAAAGACATGCTGGCTGATGGGAGTAGTTCGATACTTCCTACGAAGAGAGGACCCCCATAGCGCTCACCGTAACGGGGGAGATTCCTTCCTGGGCGGCTGGGACCCTTTATCGCTCTGGAATTGGCCAGGCAGAGATCAACACGGAGAACAATGGCACGTTTAAGACGAGACACTGGTTCGATGCCCTTGCTGTTGTCCATCGTTTCCAGATCCTGCCGCCAAATAAGGATCACCCCAAGGTGCGGGTGATATACAACTCACGTAGCACTTGTGATGGGCTTATCAGGCAAATCCAGAAGACTGGCGACCCAAGGGTGATGTCGTTTGGGAGAAGATATGATCCATGCCGAAGTCTTTTCCAAAAGGTAACGTCTGTGTTCCACAAAGGGGGCGATCCTGCGCCAGATGAGGTTTCAATGTCGGTTACTTTATCGGTTGGGTTTCCCGGGATGGAGAAGATTGAAGGAAAAGACGGTGACAGTCGATCGTCTATGAAGATACGAAACCTGATTAACAAGACGGATAACTCAAAACTTCAGGCCCTGGACCCAGAAACTCTTGAGCCCGTTGGCATAGCTTCGCAAACAATCCTACATCCAGATTTAAAGGGTCCTTGTTCGTCCGCCCACGCGAAGTCCGACCCGGTTACTGGGGATGTGTACAACTTCAATCTGGAATTCGGTCGCGACCCGACTTATCGTATATTCCGCGTGTCCGCCTCAACCGGTCAGACATCAATTCTTGCCACGCTACATGCGGCCGCAGCCTATATTCACTCGTTTTGTCTCACTGAAAACTACGTTATTCTTTGTGTCTGGAATTCATTCCACGTCGCCGGCGGCTTGAAGGTACTCTGGACCCGAAATATAGTTGATGCATTGTCGTATGATTCAACACGACCTGCTCGGTGGTATGTTATCGATCGCCGTCCGCCAGATGAAGGTGGGCGGGGGCTTGTAGCTGTGTACGAGAGCGATGCGTTCTTCTGCTTCCATACTGCCAACTCCTATGAACAGCCCTCCTCTTCAGGCAAGGGAAAAGATATCGTTGCTGATCTAATTATATACAATAATATCAACTGCCTAACACATTTCTACCTCGAAAACCTCATGTCTACAGCCTCATCGGCCTCACCCAAACCTGCGCACCTCAGTTACACTACGCGGTTGACCAGATTCCGGCTTCCATGTGTTCCGGCGGCAGAATCAATGGATATCAAGTCACCAAGCAGAGCTGTGATTGAATTCCAAACCGATCCCGATGAGATATTCGAACTTCCGACTCTTAATCCCCACTACGTTACGCATCCACATCGCTACATATACGGTGTCAGACACACAAACAACTCTACTTTCTTCGATGGGCTTGTCAAGTACGATACGGTAACACATCGAATTACGGGTTGGAACGAGCATGGTCAGAGTGCGAGTGAAGCCATCTTTATCCCGCGTAAGTCGGAAGACGGCGCGGAGGAATATGATGAGGACGACGGTGTTCTGCTCTCAGTGGTTCTCAATGGGAACACAAACAAGTCCTATCTCTTGGTTCTTGACGCGAAGACCATGACAGAGGTTGCGAGGGCTGATACCAATGGAGCGATTGGATTTGGCTTTCATGGGACGCATGTTCCGGATATCGGTGGGAAAGGATTGGATTTCTAAATTTGACCAAAGAAATTTTTTTTTCTTTTCTTTTCTTTTTTTTTTTTTTTTTGAACCGAAAAGTGTCTTGCTCGATACTGCGTACAATAGTTTGCGCAGTAATCGAATATAGATTCTATAACAAAGACAGTAACCTGACAGTGGGTATCTGTGCAACTAAGGCAGAGGCCTCCAATCGCCGAATCCCAAACTTTCACTGAATGTCTTAACGTAGAGAGATATATCATACTCCTTCCTTCCACATCCTCTTGACCTCTTTCACCCTGTCCCACACAAGCTTCCTGGCGTCTTCCCGGTCCATTCCGGAATCTAGAAGACCTTCGTAACCCGTATGCACATGGCGAATGTGCGCCTCAGCTGCCAACTCCACTTTTCTTTCATCGCTACCGACCGTGCCACTGCGTCCCACACGGCCAGAGCCTTTGAGAAAGGCGTGGTTTAGGATTGCACGCATGTCCTGAGCCGGGATGTAAGGGAATCCACGCTCCAGAGCAGCCTTAGCATGGCGTGCATGGCGGGCGTCCTTTTGGGCGACTGCAAGCCCACGTGCCTCAGAGGTATCGGCAGCGAGGTCAAGAACTCTGGCATGGATATCTAATGGCACACAGATGCCTAACGTGCGCTTGGTTTTAGAATGTTCCACCGTGTAGACGGGTTTGTTGGATTGGTGGGTTTGGAGACGGCTGTTGCGGGTGATGTAGACGTTGCCTTTGGGGACGAAAGTGTAGCCAGGTGGCGGGGTTTGGGTGTGTAGGAGGACCTGGAGAGATGGGTTAGCTGCCTCTGAGGAAGATTGTTTTCTTCTACGATAAGTAGAAACGAAGAGTGGAAAGAGAAAATCTGACAGCTTCGAGTGGGTTCGCATCCCTCGTGTTCGAGGCCCTTCCTTTGGATCTTGACTTAGCGAAAGCCCCCCTTGCCGCTATGAAAGCAAGTCGCCAGAAGCTGAGTTAGTTAGGTACTTCAAACCTGCTGTAGTCGCGAACCACGGCATGAATATGGGAAAGGCTCCTATTCACCTTTTTTCCGGCGCGATCTAGACTTACGGGCACCGGAACTAGGAGTCTGCTTGGTGGAAGCCATACTATTTGTCCCTGTTACGGGCAAGTATTCGGCTGCTTCAGTGATATATCTCTTGCTGGCGCGGGGACAAGATGGATTTTGTCAGGGGGCTTAGCCATCTATCCCGCTTTCAAGGTGAGGTGCAAAGTGAAAGAGCCAGAATCATCGCTAGATACCGAGTTAGCTGGTTAATCGGACTTTTGGCCCTAGGGGTCCTTGGTGGTGGAATTTGCATACCTGACGCATCCTGCTGATTGATGGAGAAACTTGTTGTCTTGTTGTGGTCATCGTCTCCAGGGATGCTAGTTAGTTACGGCAGCCCGCGGCAAGTGATCTGCCCTCCGAGTTGACTAACTGGTTCGTCACCTTTTTAACTAAACTGATAGCTACATAGCTCAATCTCCAACACCAAGCGTCTGCGAGGGCTTCAGACGAGGTTGGGCTTATTAAATTCCTCTCTGCTATGGGGACTTGGTACCGAAAAGTCGGGGTCAAAGCCCCCGACGCTGCACCTCTCGGGCTCCCTCGTCCGCAAACACGGGGTGACATCCTGTTTAACCCGACAATTCCCCAGCGCGACGGTCTGCAATCCTGCTCACCCCTGAGTAGATGAGCTTAGCGAACCCGACCATCTGGATCAGGGCTCTGAGAAAATCCTGACAGCTCATGAGCTCATGAGACCCTTTTTTTTCTTTTTTCCAATAAAACGTCGACCTGTTAAAATGTGGTTTTCTTGGATCCTGTTTCCCCCCTTGCTACCAGACCAACATGGATGTACCTTGGAATCCATTTCTCAGCTAGGGACGCCGAAGCATTTGACTTTCACCGTGCAGCACATACTAGAAACGGGCATTTGCCCGGACGAGATTACGGAGCTCGAGTTTTCTCCCGTGGAGATGATGAAAAAGGTATTGCTGGAAATAGACAGCTGGCATTGCATACACGCATCCAGACAGGGTATCAGGGTCAACGCCGGGATGAGCTACTGCTGCTCCATCACAAGACTAAACAAGGTCTGCAGCAAAGTACTTGAATTACTGCATGGAAGAGCGGGGGATCCCGAGAGCTACGGAGCCAACCATTCAGGCGGCAGATTTGCAGGGCAATCCCAAGTTTGCGGGGGGCCGCCCATGGGAGGGACGTACGTAGGCCAACCTTCGTTGTCCTTCACTTCATGCATAACTAAATAGCTCAAGGCGGTTGGGCAGACCACTTAAACCGGCGAGGCTGAGATGAAAAGCGCCTATATCTCTCGTCATCCTCACATGGGAGTGTTTGAGGCGAGTAGAGATAGCACCGACAATGCGCCATCAACTAGCACCGGCCCACTGGACGAACACCTCACCTCCGGAGTGCATGTCTGGCCTCTTCCGGACCCTGATAGAGCGGTCACATTCTGCAACCGTCCGATGGAACAGATCGGATAACGAATCTCAGAGCCCTGTAAGCAAGAGCATCCACCGGCCAGGTGCCCCATTATTGGCCAGGGTTTAAACGGATCCCTGCGGATGCAATACCGTGCCGTTTTCAAATGCACTCGTTCCCGCAGCTGAGCTCATGGAGGGATACTTGTTGCCATTGAAGCGTGGGAGCGGACTGGGTCGTCAAAATAGATTGACCTGCGGAAGCTTTCTCTTGCTTCCCCTCCCGAGACCATTTAGGAATCAGTTCCCACTCGGTCAAGTTGTGGTCAGTACCTAACTAACGTATGCACATGCGATTACCCATCTCATCTGGTGAGCAAACGGGGACTGACAATGGACGCAACCCCACTTTTTCGCAGTGTGACAACTCGCTCACTAGTGTTTTCCCCATCGTCCGGAGCAGACATCGCGCCTACGAGCCTGTGATAACTATGCGTCATATTCTCTGGTATCGCGACGTGCACCGGAGGCCGCATCATCGCCGCATGGAGGCCCGGCCGAGCATTGGTCAGGGCAAAGACCGGTGGGTCGCCTGTTCAATTCTCGACCAGCAGCTCTTTGCCACACGCTATGTATGTAGCTACTCCGTACCTCTTGTAGGAGAGCACTGGCCTTAGTTTCGAGGATTACGCTGGCCTCTCCCTTATCGTTTGCCTATCAGAATTCTCCCGAATCATCACGCCTGGACGACACCGGTGTTTTCTGCTGGTTCGTGGATCCCAAGAACTCGGGTAGCCCGATCGTCGCTGCGTTGCGGCGCGCCAACCGCTAGTTCACCACCAACCAACTTTAGTGCCAACATCAGTTAGTCAATACACTAGCGACACATCCCCGCACAGCCAGAATCAAAGGCCAGTTTTGGCTCGGGCTGCCTGCCGTTGACATCGCTACCGAGCCCGTGTCTTGTCTCTTTCCGGGATCCGGCCAGCCGGATCACGTTTGGACCCCTGGAGAAACACAAACTCCATGCGAATGGACAGAGAACCATGAGCTGAAACAAATCAACTCCTTTGTCAACCGGGGCCATGTCTGTTTCATTTGCTTCCTCAAACTTTGCTCCGGTGAGGATATGGCTATTAAAAACAGGGTACTCATAGCTGCATGGATCCTGCTGGGCTTAGCGCTATTGGGCCTTGTCGCCAGCGCGGCGATGCACCCGCTGATGCTCCCCGCCACTACTTCTGGGTTGTGTTCTCCTTGCAGTGCGTGTTTCGCAACTTTCCTACCAGATAATGAATTCTGGAGCAAGGGTTCGCCAATGCATGCTGACTCGACCTTCCTTTGCAGCCGTGAACTACCCCGGTCCAATCAGCCTGTTGCTTGGTCTCCTGCTCCTACATGTGTTGCAGTTGCAGCTCTAAGAACTCCGTATATGCAGCGTAAACACAGACCTAAGACGCGAGCCGGGGAGAACGATTGAACGGCGGGATCCCTCCTCAAGCGCCTCTGACGACGCCAACCTTCAACCTGGCCAAGCGTAAAAGAAAAACTCGCGACAAAAAAAGGAAAAAAAAAAAAAAAAAAAAAAAATTATGCGATCGTGCCACGCACAAAATTGTATGGGGCTTGTTAACGGGCAAATCCCTTAAGTTTCCGAACTGCGACTGGCCGCGACTCCACGAGCTTCCACAGTGGGGAGCGTTAAGCTTAACATCCGCCGAAACGGGTTGATGCTTGCTAATAATGCCCCCGCGCAGCGACTTTTCTCTCTGCTTCTACCTGCGATGCTTAACACGTGGCCCGTGTCCATTGATTCTGGAAAATGTGTTTGAATGGGTCCCCCATGTAGCCAGAAGGACCTCGAGGACACCGATAATGGCCTGCAGCAAGCAACCAGTTAGTTACTCATGCGGTGTTATCGAGGCGTATCCCACGATGCCTCGGATAACTAACGCAGCTACATCACTAAACTAATTGACCAACAAAGGCCTTTTATTAACGCCTATAATACAACAATATCTCCCTGCTTCTTGGTCTTCAATCTCTTACCTTTGACGGGGTAACCACCAGGCATTCCCTTTATCCAAAGCTATAACTACTTACACAAGCCCCACGGAGGTCAACGTTCTTTAGCATTTGATACCATAACCTTGACTCCTATTACACTTAACTAATCATGGATACCTCTAATCTTAATCATGATACGACCCCTTTAGCCGTCATTGGCTTTGCAACACGATTTGCGCAAGAGGCGACCAGTGCAGACAGATTCTGGGAACTCTTGCTAAGGCGTCGTCAAGCAGCAACACCCTTCCCGAAAGAACGGTTTAATTCAAGTGCTTTCTACCATCCTGATCCCGAGCATGGCGGAACGGTATATCTCTTGGTCCCAATTATGGCAATTGGAAAGGATTTCGCTGATTATATCATGGATAGTTCTATGTCAAAGGTGCCCATTTCCTCTCCGAGGACCCCTTGGGATTCGATGCACCTTTCTTCAACGTTAATAAAACAGAAATTTTGAGCTTGGATCCCCAGCAAAGAGTGGCTATGGAGAATGTCTATCATGCCCTTGAGAATGGTGAGTTTTTGCTGGGCAGTGCATCAATTCTACGTAAAGTTCGGTGCTGACGGCCGCTACAGCTGGCATTCCAATGGAGAAGGCCGTTGGCTCTAAGACGTCTGTCTATGCTAGTGGCTTTAACCGAGATCATATGATTCTTATGGATGCAGACTTTGAGACAGCTATGAAGCACAAACCGACCGGTGGCCAGCAATCCATTATCTCGAATCGTGTCAGCTGGTTCTATGATTTCAGTGGGCCAAGTATCACGATTGATACGGCATGCTCCAGTGGTATCGTGGCTGTTCACCTTGCTGCTCAAAGCCTTAAATCCGGAGATGCTGAGATGGTAAGTCTTTATACCCAGCCTGAACACCTTTTCTCTTTCGAACATTTTTTTTTCTTTAAGAAATATTGGTGCTAATATTGCAACAGGCTGTGGTCACAGGTGGCAGTATCATCTCTCACGTTCCTGATATCATCGCAATGAGCCATTCCGGTTTCCTTGGCCCTGAGGGAAAATGCTTCAGTTTCGACCACAGAGCCGAGGGATATGGCCGTGGTGAGGGTGTGGGGACCGTTGTTATGAAAACATTGGCGAACGCTCTCAGGGACGGCGATACAATTCGAGCAGTCATTCGTGCAACAGGTGTGAATCAGGACGGTCGCACTCCTGGAATTACTCTCCCAAGCAGCACCGCACAGACCAATCTTATCAAAGAAGTATACAGAAAGGCGTCTCTAGATCGCAACACCACGATGTTTGTTGAGGCCCACGGCACTGGTACTGCAGCCGGCGACCCCATAGAGGCGAGGGGCATTGCCGACGGATTCACGTCAATGGAACGAGAGTCCCCTCTTTACATTGGAGCACTGAAGTCAAATATCGGACACTTGGAAGGCGGCGCAGGCATTGCAGGAATAATAAAGTCCGTGATGGTCTTGGAGTCTGGAATTATACCCCCGAACGCAAACTTCGAGAAAGCCAATCCACAAATCCCAACGAAAGAGTGGCAAATTGACTTCCCCACCGAATGTATCCCGTGGCCCAAGTCCGGACTACGTCGGGTTTCGGTAAACTCCTTCGGATTTGGTGGAACTAATGCTCATTGCGTCTTGGATGATGCTTACCATTTCCTTGAGGAAAACGGTCTTTCGGGAAATCATAATACGCGCCAGTCTGCACCGACCAAACAAGAAATCAGTGAACTCCTTGCCAGACTGCAGAGATTATATCTTGATGGAGATGTGAATCACTCGAACGGCACTGCTGAACTTACAAACGGAGAAGCCGCAAAAGAGTCCCACGAACCTGTCGAGTCTACTGCACCAAATGAGACAAATGGAACCACAGAACAAGCTAATGGAGAGACTGCAAAGGAATCGCGGGAAGCTGAATGTTCAGCCTCCAATGGTGTAGATCTGACCACCGACAAAAATGTGAATGAGCCCCAAGAGGTTATTGAATCTGCTCCGATACAAGAAACCAATGGACCTATAGAGCAGGGTAACGAGGAGATCACGAATGGGTCAAGGGAAGCCGCTGAACTTTCTCCGAATAATAATGGAACCAATGGCATTGCAGAACATCCAAACGGAGAGACTGAGGTTGAATCTCCTACCCCTAACGGAATCAACGGCGCAACTACGCAAAGCGAGGTTCCCAGGCTGCTCATCTTGTCGACAGCAGATAAAGAAGGTATGAGCAGAGTAGCAACTAGCCTTCGAGAATACCTTGCTTCAAAGCCCGATTTGCCGATGTATGCCGCTGAAAGCCTACTTGACGATCTTGCCTACACCCTCTCGGAGAAACGATCAAGGCTGCGGTGGAAGGGTTATCTGTTAGCAAACTCGATCTCCGCACTGGAGGAGAACCTTGCAGATGAGAAGGCGTTGTCAAAGTGTTTCAATGCTCGAAGTTCCCCGAGACTTGGCTTTGTTTTCACAGGACAGGGTGCTCAGTATCACCGTATGGGCCAACAGCTCTTGGTTTACCCAGTTTTCCGAAAGAGTCTAGAGGAAGCGACGGAGTATATGAAGGCCCTTGGAAGCTCTTGGTCGCTAATGGGTAAGTCTTGTTGTCCTAGCGATTTTGCAGATCTTGCTAACTGAATTTTAGATGAAATTCTCAAAGACAAGGGTGATTCACGTATTAGCACTCCTAGTTTCTCACATCCTGCGTGCGCATCAATCCAGGTTGCACTCGTTGAACTACTCGCTTCTTGGGATATTATTCCGAGCCGCGTTGTTGGACACTCTTCGGGTGAAATCGCCGCCGCGTACTGTGCGGGTAAACTCTCGCGTGAAGCAGCATGGAAAACCGCTTATTATCGTGGATTCGTCTCTGCAAAGCAAAGTGATCCCAAAGGCGCCATGCTTGCTGTTGGGCTTGACCAGGAGGCGCTTCGACCTTACTTAGAGAAGATACATGCAGATTATGATGGCGAGCTTATCATTGCTTGCTATAATTCCCCGAAAAACAACACAGTTGCTGGCGATGAGACCATGGTCGATGTTTTGAAGACACTTCTTGACGCTGATGGAATCTTTGCCCGGAAACTCAACGTCCAGAACGCGTACCATTCAGCACACATGAAAGCCGTCGCCGACGAATACTTCGAGCTAATGGGAACTCTTGAACCGGGCAGAAGCTCTGACCTTGATATTCAGATGCACTCCACAGTTACAGGAAAGATGATTATGGATTCTGTTTTGGACGCTTCTTATTGGGTTGACAACATGGTCTCCCCTGTAAAATTCACGACCGGGCTTCGTTCAATGCTTTTCCAATCAAATGATGACAACTCCGAGAATAAGGCGGTTGTTGATGAGATCATCGAAATTGGCCCTCATGGAGCAATGCAATCTGCGGTCAAGGAAATAATTGCCGCCAGCAGTTCCGACATCCCTGTGTCTTATTCATCAGTTCTCAATCGCAACGAGCCTACTGTCAGCACACTTCTGAACACTATAGGCACTTTGGCCTGCAAAACATTTCCAGTTAATTTGCAGGAAGTGAATCAGAGTGTCCATCGAGGAGAGAAGCGTCCTCAGTTCCTTGTTAATCTTCCTCCATATGCTTTCAACCACGAAGAAAAGGGATACTATGAGAGCAGGCTGGCTAAGAATGTGCGTCAGCGAGAGTTCCCGCGACATCAGCTGCTTGGTGCGCCTGTGCAAGACTGGACCCGATTCAACCGCAAATGGAGACAGTTCTTTAGACTCTCTGAGAACCCTTGGCTGAGAGACCATGTCGTATGTTTCCCATGTCCCTATTCTATCCACTGAATTCTGACATTCGGCTCTAGGTTACGGATAACTGCATCTTCCCCGGGGCTGGGTACCTAGTTATGGCTCTCGAAGCAGTCAAGCAGACTGCTGGTGAGGCAGTAGAGATCACTGGAATTAGGTTCAAAGACGTGAGCATTAAAGCGGCACTTTTGATTCCAGATACGAATAACGGCGTTGAGGTGTCGCTGTCTGTCTTTCCCGTCAATGAATCCAACCAATGGACTTCTACGGTGTGGAAATATTTTCAAGTCTCGTCTTACATTCCTTCCTACAACGATTGGGTTGAACATTGCTCAGGCTACGTTGCTCTCGAATATGAAGCTTCGGCTCCTGACGTTGTTGGGAATGGCCGTGAGGGTAAGGCAGCAAAACAGGCGTGGGACGATGCATTGGATCAGGCTGCAGAAGTGTGCCAGACTCCATTAGATGCTGGGAAAGTCTACGAAAACTTGGAAACAATTGGCATGAAGTATGGACCATTGTTTAGGAACCTGTCCAACTTGAGTGTCAGCGGCAAACGAAAGGGAACCATATTCGGCGAAATGAAGGTGCCCAACTTGGGATCCGTGATGCCCAAGGGCTATATTCACCCACATGTTATTCACCCTACCACGTTGGACAACACG